TTTGCTAAAGTCGTGAGTAGAAACTCTGTTGCCCTATCTTAAACTGACTGTGTGCAGGCGGCCTACCCATGTTGGTCCTTTTGGCACTAGTCAATGTGAGGACCACCGTAAGGAGCAACGAGGATGATTTCCTGTCGGAAATTTGGGAATTCATGCTCAATCCTCCTGGTAGGCTTTCTCACCATAACAATTATCAAAGTACTGACCGGATTAGCCGGCGATGCAGGTGACTTAGTAAGGTTGCACATAATACCTGCCTTACAGATGATCAACCGCATGGTGTGCTTTCATGTCGTTCTCAACATGACCGACGAAGACAGAAACTTAGTTTGTTTGGAGTCCCCTGACATCAATAACACCAGGGCTTACTTCAAGAACTTGACTGTGAGGTAAGTCCAATGTCGATTCAAACTATACTAGGACAGATACCAATTTGATATAGGGGCTGGAGAATGTCTAGGCATGGTCGCTGCTGGGCAGATTATCTACAGAAGTACCAGCTATGTCCCTACAAGCAACAACATGGCAAGCCGCCATCTTTTGTTGCCCATCCACCCGACCCAAATTTCAACCTCACCTTCAACGTCTTACCTCTGTCCAGTAAGACACTAGTCATTGGGGTGCCCTTCCGTTGCATCGATCTTCCTTCTCCGGTGGAAAAAAGAAGCAATCATGGTATACGTCTGTGGACCGAGCACCAGAGGGCGCTAGCTGAGCATCGTAAGAAGTTTGATAGCTTTGAGGCGTTTAAGAAGGCGGCGAGTTCACTCCTGTCACATTCATCAATTGATCTCATAGTTCTTTACTAGTATGAGTGTCTCAAGAAACGACCTCAAAACTATGTGGAGGTCCCACAGCTCCCTGCGGATACGTAAGTTCCACTTCTACAATTCACGGTCTGTAGGTGCTAATAATATATATTTCAGAACTTTGGTGATCAATGATAACCACGGTGTGAAGTGCGCTGTCCTCCTCGGCCATGCTCGTCAAGATCCATCACTGGCTGGGAGGGTGGGGACCCTTATGGGAGCGACATACCCAGAATCCATTCATGGCGACTCTACCGTTCCTGGATTCAGGTACCTCTGCTGTCATTATCTGACTTTGAACAGGTACCTGCAGTCGGTAAGTTGTTGTTATTATGCTGCAGTGCTGTATACTGAATATGTTTAACAGGGTGTCGGTGCCCCTACGGGTGTTCATCCCTTTAAGCTACAAACCAAAACATGCCGCCGTTACGCTCAGCGTTTCCCTTCGATGTCACAGGAGGGCAAGGCAGATGGTAGTGAACGTGAGCAGATCCTGAATGATCTTAAACCACTCATCTTGGAGGTAATACGTGCAGTAAGTTTATACATGCTCGCTCTGAACTTGATGATATTGATATTGATATTATATGTAGTTGCGTCATCATCTTCCGGCGGAGTGCGATATTCAGGCCAAGTTTGCACAGAGACTTCCCTTACATGGTGTGGCTCCTGGTGGCATCTTCTCTGGTGTTGTCATCAACATCTCTGTTGCGACTGGTGGCCACAGAGACAAGAAAGACTTTGACATATGTGTCGTAGTCGCACTGGGCAACTGGAAGGGAGGTCATATCGTCTTGCATGAGCTGGGCCTGGTCATTGCTCTTCAGCCAGGCGATATCTTATGGTTTAGGAGCACCAAGATAACTCACTTCAACCTGCACTTCAGCGGTCAGAGGATGTCTATTGTGCTTACCAATGATGTAGAGGGTAAGCACTGGATGGACGGATACAATGGTTGGGGGCCTCAGATGGATTAGTGTAGTCTTTACATGTCACCCTTGCAGGCTGGGACTCAAACCTAATGAAGTACACATTAATGAGTTGCATTGTCATGATCAGAATGGAGCATCGTTAAGGTCACTTCAATCACTTCGCACAGATCAGTTACAAATGTAGTGGTATCATGTCAATTTCCCACGACCCGTCCAGGCTGGACGGCTTCAGAAACCCCTCTTGTGAACTCGCAAATTCGATTCTGAATGCCGAACTCTGCTATTGACATCGGAAACACTGGATTTCCTTCGGAAATACGATAAAGACTGGATTCCGAAACCAACATCAACTCGCGATTACAATACCACGAATCAAAATCTCGAAGTTTACCTGAATTGTTAGGAAATCATGGCTATTTACTAGTAATTGTATTTTTGTGCACTCGGTGCACCATATATGAATGAGCCCTACCTTAGGTTCATGGAGCTGGGCTTATTAGGGGTTATCAGTAGGACAATGTGACGGCACCGGGTTGTCGTTGACTGGCTCTCGGCTTTCTCCGGGACCTTCAAGCTACATCCAGTACACCTTGGCACTCGGCATCATACACCATCACAAACACTCAATGGAGGACTGTAAAGCAACAGGACGCGCAGTCAAGATATAGTAGAGCGGCGATGACATGGCTGCGAAGAGTTGCATCCCGATGGTCTCATTTCCGAAGGGTCCCGCTGTTGCCCGAGCGCCGTACGCCGACTTGTCAGGTCAGGGAGGTTCCACCGTCGATCAACCCCAGACCGCAACCTCCGAATGTACCTCCATACACGAACATCGCAGCAGCAGCTTCTATTCTTCAACCGACATCTGATCCACCGTCGCTTGGCCTCGCCGTAGCCGCCGTTGCAGGTCTTCCCACAGCGCTATGGATGTACAAGGTTCGATGAGTCGCATGTAACCTCGCCCTGTCGTTGACTGACAAAATATAGTGTCTCATGATGTACGTCTTTCAGCGGAAGATCATCTACATGGGTAAGCTCCAACTTGACGTCTACTCTCACCAACCTCATCGATGGCTGCGAAGGCTATGTTCCTCCTGGCGCCCGCAACGAACAATTGGGGCACTACCATACTGCTGGGAAACATATCCTGATAGAAGAAATCAACGTGCCTGGCGAAGATGGTGTTTGCCTGGCCGGTATCGTCATGCGGCACCAGGCAAACACTGACCCAAGGACGGTGATCGTGTACTTGCAAGGTGCGCAATACCCAATACTTACCCTTTATATCTCCTCGCGTGCTGATTCTGTACCGCTGTAGGCAATGCTGGCAATCCCCTCCATCGCATACCTGTCTTTGATACACTATTATCCTCCTGGCCTGCTGGTTGCGCGATAGCCAGCGAGCCTGCGCCGCCGGTCATCATGGCCGTAGCTCCACGGTCCTACTGGAAATCCACCAATAGATGTCCTACGGAACGTGGGCTTCTGAGTGACTACACTCACGTCCTCCACCATACTCTCCGACGCTATTCCTCCGCCGATATCATCCTCTACGGACATTCCCTTGGCGGGGCCGCTGCCATCTGCCTTATGTCACGTCTGCAAGACCCAGCTCCCGTCAGCCGCATCTATCATGCAGCCCCGGACACCGAGAATTCTTTGCCCTCCCGAATACCTATGGAGTGTGACTACTCCCGTATAAAGGGGCTGATAATCGAGAACCCCTTTGCGAGCATCCCAGGCATGGTCAGAGCGCTATACCCTCAGCGATGGTTGCCCTATTATCATATGGCGGAACTCGCATGGGATCGCTGGGACGCTGTGACCGCCATGAAGGAGGCTTCGCGTCTTCATCCAGAACATCCCCCAGTTCTTGCCCGGCTACAACGTGACATGATGCTCCTCCTCAGCGAACGAGACGAGCTGGTTCCGACACTGATGGGCGATGCAATATGGGATTCTGCCTTCGCCTGTGACGACGATGAGAGCGACAGCACAAACCGACTCAAACGATTTCACGCTCTTCGACGCCGAGTGATTATTACTGGTGCATTACATGAAAACGCATGGTCGAAACAGCAATGGAGCGCGGAGATCCGCCGTTACATCAACGAGATACAATTCCGATAGACATGGCGATTCCTGTGCGATATGCGTCACCTCGTATCTCATCTGTAAGATCCAGCTTAGTTCGTATGTTACAATACATGATACATCATCATTATGCATGTTCTCACAGCTCCTTAGCCTTAAATACCAAGATGTATGTAGGGTGCCCATCGAGATGGCGGCTGACCCATGCCCCTCAACCGTTGCGCAGCTGTATCCAACGCGTATGGTATATCGTCGGGATCCAGAAACTCGGAGTCACCCCCAATGAGTTCATCGTACACGATCTGGGCAACAGTGGGTCCATCCGCATCAGTAACAGACCTGTCTTAGGTTCAGATGTACTTTTCTCATTTCTGTTACAGTGCGACGCACCACATTGTGCCCACGACGCTTTTGAAACCCGCAAAAAGCATAGCAGCTGCTAAATGCACGATCTGGTCGGGCTGCCTTTTATCTCCCTTTGCCGTTTCGCATGCGCTGAGAAACGCAAGGAAGGCTCGGGGTAAAGGTACGGGCATGAGACGCGAAATGGTTAGAAGGCCGTCGCTCATCAGAAACCCACTCTCAAGCGGGCTTTGCGCGTTCTGGACTCCATGACACGCCAAGTGGAGTATATTTGCATGTGGAAGATCCTCAAGTAGGGCTGTCGAGGTGGTACCTTCCGCAGCCGCATGTGATGGAGAAACGTTCTCCCCGCCGCTGATTGGTATGAGCATGTCGGAAGGTATTGCGGAACTCACTGCCTCCACCTCCTGGACTGTGAACGGCAGGTATGCCCCGACATGGCTGGCTGGTGGCTCAGGAACTGCAGCAAGCAATACTTTACAATCACACTTCCTGACTGGCTGGTAAGTTTTCCTTGCTTGAAGTAGGGAACTCAGGGTCGGCGTATAAGAAGAGACAACGTAGCTCGAGCATGTCATACCGTCATTCCTGGTATAATCGCCCGCGGCGTGGATGGGAAGAAACGACAACCTCCCCGCTGGGCACCACCATATTCTGGGACGCGCGCGTCCTTGAGCAGGCTGCAATATCACCCTCAGTTGTCTCATACGCTGATAACTCCAATCACGATACTCACAGAAAACCCAAGTAATTCGATCACTGGCTTGGCCACTCCAATCCATAATTTGTGAAGGATTTGAACCTGTGTTTGTTTCTGCGAAGCCCTCATATCAACTCGTCGAACGCCCAAACGCGCTCTGGACAAATCCGGCGCCATAACAGTTCTCGTCCAGGCATCGCCAGCCTCCGTCAACCACTCGTCCGTGATCGTGGATAGCCTCTCTGATACCACCAAACCACCTTCGCGGATAATGATGGCGTAGCAAGAGTTTCGATCCGGTAGGAGGATTATCACAGGACCGCTCGCTGCAGCCATAGATAAACCCGAATAATCCTCCGATAGCATAAAGCGAGAGAGACGAGGAATACGGCGGATTTCATTGATCACCTCCTCGAGGCGTTCGCCTCGAGAACGCGTCAGAATTGCCTGTTGCTCGAGGCGACCCTTCATTGACGAATCGTTTAATGACCTGGACTGGTAGCATTCCTCTTCCAGTTGCCAGCTCAACTCGATGAGCTCCAGGCGGAGACCTTCGGGTATGCTATCGGTATCCTCCCATGGTGTTCGGAGGCGGTGTTTCCAGAAAAAAGCACGGCCTTGTTCAAGCAGCTCTACTGCTTCCCGGATCTTCCCACAGTTAAGGGCGAATAAGGCGGCGTCGAGAGGAAGCGATTCCGCGATGCGTAAACTTTTTAAACGAGACCTGAGATCGAGTCCGAAATAAGCAACGCGAGGGAGTAAGCAAATAGCTCGAGCATATATCTCAGCAGTCAGGCTACGAGTGCTGTCGTCCTGTTGAGATAATACCGGAATGAACCGGAACATGATGCGCATCCCCCGCTCGAGACGGGAAAAAGCACTGCAGTGTATATCATCCATAGCTTCCAGTAGAGTGGATAAACCAACGGGTTTGGCGAGTTCTAATTCGATCTCGGCGACGTCAAAAATGCAATGTGCCCGGTACGGATGTCCAAAGGGTAGCAGCGTAAACGCTTCGTCCAAGAGTTCTCGCGCGCGGATGATTTGTCCCGATTCCTTGGTAATTCGCCACTTCTTCCTGTACGAACTTGCGAGACGGCGGATTACTACCTGTTTATGGGCATGTTGCGTCCCACAACAGAGTAACGCCTGGTGACCCAACGATATTGCCTCTTCGAGCGAGCTGATATCCGAACCAATGATTGGTTGTTTTTCGAGAGCAGACGCGAGCAATTCCAATGCAGTCATTCGCAATGGATGTCCCTCTCGACGCAGGTTGAGGGTCTCGCGGAGGAGCGCAATAGCTGCCTGCAGGTCCTGCGGATCCTCGGAGTATTCATAACGCGCTAGGAATTGTTCCGCCAAATTCTTGAGGGGAATATCACGACTGGGATCTCCAGGGTGTTGTAGTGCCGATGATTGTTTACACAGTGCGATGGCCTCATCTATATCATCCTCGTTCCCAAGGTGGCAGTACCTTGAGTTGAGTGCGATAGCAAGATTGTTGAGCGCTATAGGTAGGTGCGAAGCTGGAAGGCCGCTTGCAGCTACGCACCAGCGACCAATACTTATAGCTTCTTCGATATATTTCAGGTTTCCCGACTCCCAATATAACCTGTTCAGAACTCCGACCAAGGTAGTGTTATGCAGGGGCGCGGAGAATGACGAAGCCGATCGCAGCAGGTTGGCGGATAATTTTAAGTCGTTCACATTCGCAGACTGGTCGAATCTTATGCGGAGTGATCGAGCGAGGTTGGCCAGGAACGTAGAACGCCGAGTATGATTCTGGTCGGATTCATCCACGCAGCTGCTTTGAAGCGTGATAGCTTCGTCTAGATCGGGCAAGGAGCCGAAGACCGTAAATCGCTCACAAAGCGTGAGAGCAAGATTTGTCAGGTATCCTAGGCGGTCCGGAGAACCGGGTGGCAGGAGCTGGAGGGCTCTCCGTTGAAGTTCAACGGCTCGGTGTATATCCTCTGGGGATCCGGCCCGACCGAATCGCACCTGAAGGGCAACACCGTATTTCATCAATGTCGTTGGGAATTCTTCATCACCATCGCGCCCAAGGGCGAAGGCTTCGGCATGGAGGATTACGGCTCGATCGAGGTCGTCCTGGTCTTGAAAGAAGATGAAGCGCATACGATGGGAGTGCCCAGCGCTATTGAGAAGCTCGACTCGGATAGCACTGTCTGCGGGACACGTCTCAATGGCGGAACGACAGAGATCTATCGCTTCGTTGATGCGGGAACGATCGTGACCTTCCCTGAGGGCTTCGGCGAGTATGATCGTAGGGCGTGACTTGGACGTTTCATCGCCAATTTGATCTGCTACTGATAGGGATTCGCGACAAATCTGAATGCAGGCATCTAGATCGACTTTTTGGCCGCCCAGACGGTAGCGGTATAAATTCCCAATAGCTAGGTTGTTCCGAATTTCAAAGACAGAGTTCTACGACATGCTTTTCAGTTATCCGATGTCATAGCATAGACAACGTTCTTACGGGAGTGCGAGCCGTCTCTAGCTCGAGGCTACAAAGGTCAATAAGCTTGTCCAACACGTCGCGTTCTCCGGTGTGGCGATATTGAGAGAGAAGCGCCGATGTTTGTTCGGCTATGTGCAGTGGGTGAGTGTAAGTGATCACGAGAGCAGCGCGCGAGTGCATGGCAGCGACTGAGGAACGAGCACTAACCATCACATCCGGCGGGCGCTACAACATGCTGAGTCGCTGAGGCGCCCTGATTCCACCGAGACTGACCGCTCTTAAGTTGAAGCAGGCTTCCAGCTGAAGTTGAAGATATGGGGCCGAGGTCGGTATGATGAACCGACTCAGGTTGAGTAGGCTGTACAGATATTAGTGGGCAAGGTGAACAATGGATCACAGAGACTTGCGGATCTAGCCATACAGCAGCGCTGGGGTTTCGGTAGCCAGATGATCGGGGACAGACAGGCTTGAGGCCTTGTTGCCAGCTCAGGGCCTCGGGCTACTTATAAGTAATCCCGCGTTCGTAGTCACACGCCCAGTGTGACCAAGACAGGGGCATTTCCTTTCATGGCACACGATGCGCATCTTTTCCGTGTCCTCTTGCTCTGCAGATTCTCGACTACCAGCGCCTGCGCCGCGCACTCAAAAGATGGCCAGACTTTCCGCAAGACTTCTCAAGCCGAGCAAAAAGACCAACGCAGCCCTCAAGAAACAGACCGTCGCACCGACAACACAGGCAGAACGTGGCGGCAACGTTTCGGAGGATGAAGAGCACGTCCAGGTCGCCCAAAACGATCGCGGGAGCCGAGACGAGTTGGACGATGAGAACGAAGATGACGACGACGACGACGATGACGACGATGACGATGACGACGACGAGGGGGTAGATGAAGAGGGTATGCAACGACTAATGGTGGCGCTTGGGCAGGATGGCTTGGACGAATTCGACTCGGAGCAACTCAGGGCGCTGGGAGGGGACGACGAGTCATTAGAGGAGGATGGCGAGGATGAATCGAGTGATGCGAGCCCCAAGAATGTGCACGAGGATGAGCAGGAAAGCAAGGATGAAGATGAAGAAGACGGGGAAGTGGATGGCGACCGTGAAAAGGACAAGATGCGAGATACTGCATCGAGTGGGGAAGACGAAGAGGAGGATGCGATTCCGCTGGATGAAGTTGACTCGGTCGATGAGGACGCAGTCCCTCGACAGAAAATTGAGATTGATAATACGGTACGTACATCATTCTCCGCCCCCGCTGCATTATTGACTCAGTATGAACAACTCGCAGGTTGCATTGGCTCGAATACGCGAGACCATCCAGCTTGACCCTTCATTACCTTGGACGGAAACCCTTGCGCTCTCATACCCCGAAAAGATCGAGGTAGACGTAGAAGACGACCTCAATCGCGAACTTGCATTGTATACATCTTCGCTACCCGTCGCCTTCACTTCGCTAACTCCCTTGTAGCTACAAGCAAGCGCTTCATAGTGCGAACGCTGCTCGCAAACTCGCAGAAAAACACTCGCTACCATTCACACGGCCGGCAGATTACTTCGCGGAGATGGTCAAGTCGGATGCGCACATGGAACGCATACGGCAACGCCTCCTGAACGAATCAGCTGCCATCAAACGAGGCGAAGAGAAGCGTAAGGAACGGGAGGGTAAAAAGTATGGGAAGCAAGTACAATTGGAGAAGCAGAAGGAACGACAGCAGAGCAAGAAGGAGATGGAAGAACGTCTCAAGGGACTGAAACGAAGTGAGTGCCAGTAATGCTTCCCATGAAAGCGACAATGACTTATGCGTGTCTCAGAGCGAAAAGACGCGCTCGACAACGGAGGCGACGATGGCGCCTTCGACGTTGCGGTTGAAGATGCCATCTCTGACCGTCCTCAAAAGCGAGGCAAGGCGTCCGACGGTCGAACCAAACTTTCACGGAGAGGTCGCGACCAAAAGTTCGGCTACGGCGGTGGCGGTCGGCGCGATAAACAGAACACGAAGTTTTCCACCGATGACTTCGATGCCCCCGGAGGACGAGGAGGGCAAGGCAGAGGAGGCGGACGTGGGGGCAGGGGCGGCGGGCGCGGAGGCACGGGCGGCGGGCGTGGCGGAGGTGCGGGACGGGGAGGGAGCAAAAGACTCGGGAAGAGTAGGCGGATGGCGGGAAGAGGCCGATCATGAAGACGTGAGGCTCTGCTACTCCTCTGGATTGATCTGTCCCGTCGCATCAGTATATTGAGCTTGTGGTTGTGTGTTCAATGGTATCGTTTTCCAGCACACTCGAGTGAGATACCGACTGTGACAGTCACGTTGTCACTGGCTTTCCGACGCCGTTCCGGAGTCGGTCGCTTGTTCCACGCCTTCCACTTGACCATCGTCATCTCTTCGCCAATGTCTGCAACTTACGCTGGACCTCTATCACCCGCCGGGGGGTATGTATTGCCTGGATACACGCATTCTCCGTCACCAGTACCATCGTTGCCGAAGGCGTCGAAACACGGATCGAAACCTCCCAACGTGTTCTCCAATGACGGCTCGTTCTTGGAGCGATTCCAGCGGTTGAAGAAAGTTAGCACTCGTATAATTGGTCGTCCATGGACAGACTCTAAATGCGGCCTGTAACAGGAAGAAGAGGATAGGAAAAAGCAGGAGGAACTCCTCGCCAAGTAGGCCATTCAATGACCCATCTTGCGACATGCACTAAGAACGAGAGTAGGAAGCGCAATTTTGACAACCGATTCGTGGGTATCAGCTCTCTGAAAGCATCTCCCAGCCATTCAGAGTGGGTGTCTCCAGAAAAACCGTGGCAAGCGACCATCACCGGAGACTGCTCCATCGTCTGCACCTGATGATACTAACGAACTACCTCCTGCGAAGAAGAGCAAGTCAGAGTCGGATCCCGACCGCCCGCTGAGTATGTCTTTCGTGCACTTGAAATGCCAGCGTAGCGATATTGATCTGCGAGCCTAGCGCAATACGAAAAGGAGGTCAGAAGTCACGCCGGCAAAACGCTCAAGGAAGATGGAACCGGCGTGCGTCCTCTCGTGAAATAGGCTGACTAATTGAGTTCCTGGCCTGGATACCCGAGGTTTTGTTTGGCGCCTTTGCCTCAGAACTCAGTAAGTGGGCCGGTAACATGGTTCATATCGCTCTGTGCACGCGGCTAACGACCATAGAAAATTCAGCTGTCTCGGTCCGTTGACTTCACCCCTCCACATTCTGTTGTTTCGTGCTTTCTGTCTGTTCAATATACTGATCGAATGAATAAGTATACAACATCGAAGATTCTTGACGTGCTCGATTGTCATGCACGCCAGTGGCCGAGGCGCAAACGTTGCTATATTACATGGCTGGTAGCACTGAGATACTTCACTGTGACACCAGCGATCTTACAGTAAATTGTCGCCGTCTTTTTCCCCAGTGAGAAAGCATCGCTCAAACACTCGTCAATCCTTCGGCTCTCGTGGGTGTTTGCGCATCGCTTCGTGGTAATCTTCGACGCTCTCGAGGGAGAACCCGACCGGCAGTGTAAGTGGTTCGATCGCCTGGCCATGAGCCTCCAACTCCGCCAATCTCTTGGCGGTCAAGGGTCTGAGCTTGTTCACGCTGTAAAGTCTGACGCGATGCGAGCTCGACGTGACGTGCAGGTCCCAGCTATCGATAGCATCAGCATGTAGCTTCACGAACAGAGAAGAGGAAGGCCGACGTACTTCCATGCGGACCGGACGAACGTTGGTTCGGTATTGTTGGACGAGTCCCATGTTCGAACGCAGAACTCGAGCCAGCCCTCGGCATCCACAGGGATGGTGATCTTCCATAGGCGCCATGCATGGTAATGCTGTAAACGTCTCGTGTCCACCTCCGCCGGTCTTCTAGAAACGCAACACGCACCTTCTGCGTCAGGTCGTCAGGTTGAACGGCATACCAAACATGACCGCTGTGTCGACTTCAGGTCTCGGCCCGCGGACTGGACCACAGATACGTACCCATCGGGGGAAACTTCAACCCTCTCGGGCCAATTCCCGTTGCCGCTGTATGCCCACCCAGAGAGTTCCACCTTCCCTTCGTGTACGATGACACTTCTATCGACTGGGTACATGATGGCGCTCCTGGAGGACTATGAGCTTTCTCCCGTGCACGGCACAACGAAAATGTGGTGCTCACGAGACCGGCATGCCTTGGATGGAGAAACCATTGGAGTAGAGCGAGTTGAACTTGCCGATCTGCCGGGGAAATCAGTCACGGAGCGACGGTCACATGCAGCGTACGAGCTCGCCTGCTGGTTGTAATATAGGTACTCCTGCTGCTGCACTGGCCCCATGCTGGGCTCTGGCAGGGCATTGATTCTGTAAACCCATTTGCAGCTACGAGCGCCGATGTAGCCTGTAACCACGACGCGAAGTGGCGCTCCATGAATCTTCGGAAGCGGTTGCCCGTTCATCTCCCAAGCGAGTAACACTTCCTCGTTCGCGCGGACCTTGCGCCAGGGGACGGAGACGGCATAGTTGAACACATTCCCTTTCCTGTGAAATGGATTGGCATAAAGACAATGCGGAGCAGTAGAGCAGAATTGTGCACTTGAAATATGTACTAAGGGGACACAGGTTAGCCAATGATCGGTATAGCCTTTGGTGCCGACTTACTCGGCGCCGATGAACTCAAGATGACTGCACTCGGGCAGAACCCCTCCGCAGGCACGTTTCAACACTTTCTTCAGCGGTACTCCACGATAGACCGCAGTGCCTCTGAAAATAGAATTACGAGCATAACATCGACAGACCATCGCGGGACGTACATAGCACCTTCACCCCATGGAGCGTTGATGAGCTCGTCGCCATCACCTTCGGCCGTAGCATCAGCAATTGCGTAGAACGGCCAACGTGCGGCTGCCCTTCACCTGGATACAGTGCGATCTGCTCCACTCTGCGGGTGCCACTACACTGCAGCGTGACTGTGACCTCAGCTTGCCTGTTCATCGCTCCTGAGCATATCATCCACACGAGAGGCATGCTGCTCACGGGAACTGTGCGGGATCTTGGAGGTCCTTCAAGGAGATGGTACAAGGCTTGCCCACGAGCCCGCCGATTTCGAGTTCATAAGCATTCTCATCAATGTCGGGGACGCCTCCGTGATTGCGGATGCTGTATAGATTCGTCAGATGGCCAGTTAGCCGATGGGATAGAAGCGGAACGTGCAAATGATGCTCGTTTTTCGTGATCTTGCCGTCGCCCATGAGATGCTCGCGTTTTGTCTCCCCATTATACGGGAAATCGAGCACGTGGAGCATGTCAGACTTTTCCTTTTGGACCATCTCCCAGCTGAAATCCACGACGTTCTTCAACCCGAGCGCCTCATGGTACTCCTTCCAACGGTGGCCGATCAAGATCGGATTGGTCTTTGGCAGAGGATCAAACTGGAACTCTAACCCGCCCATTCCAGTGATCAACAGATTCATGCGTATGTGTGAAACGATGTTACCTGGAATAGGAGTGAAGTGTTTCGTCTTGAGGATCTGGCTCGCAATCGCTTTACGGTCCGGGTTTGTCTCCCACTCGACGTATCTGTGTAGACGACGCATAAGCGACAAATATGCCTGGCGGATGAGAACATACCCTCGCCATCCTAGCTTGCCCTGAGGGAAGAGATCGGCCAAGCGCTGTCCGTTGAACGTTTCGTCACCTTCAGCCATGGGGAGAGCGGGGTGTCGATAACGATGGACGTTGGAGGGCAAGCTCTGATAAAGCGAGATTCATCCTGCGAGTCCTGTCTATTTTAACACCCTTCGCCGTGCCCCGTTTGCGGCGAAGAAATGCGTCGATAAGCGCCATGGTGCGAGTCCATCCAATCAGCAGCCCGTGACAAGCATGTGAACATCATCCGGTAGTGGTCCCGACATGCCTTGCGGAGGTAAGAGAGTTTGAGATGCGCGTCCGAGCTGAGATTCGAGACCGCGATTCGTCCTAGATCCACGTTCAACGATGTCGGTTCGGCTTTCTTTTTCACACAGCAGACGGCATTGGCTACCATTTCACGGCCCTCAGCAACGCGAAGTACTCGGGCGAGTCGGTCTGCGTCAAGATATCTGCTACCCATATAGAGTACATACAAGCCGACCTTCAACATATGTCGGTACGCGCAAGACCGCAAGGTGAGCGTCCCGAGAACACCGTGTTCGTAATCTATGTGGTTTCGAGTGCAATTGATCGTCGGATCGTCTGTGCTGACCGTGGTTGTGAGCGGGTCTGCGATTCGCCTAACTTTCACTCCATGCCATCACGCACGTGATCGTGTTTGAGAGATGAGGTCTCGGCGAGGAATTCCGAACATTAGCGTATGCATCCGTCTATGTGTACTTCACATCTGTCGAGTACGCTTCGCGCTTTCTATCCGGGATAGCATGTTGCTTGGCATAGAGGAATGAGACCAACGTCTTCACTGTGTGTGATCTTGTACAATGATTTCATGTCAAGACATCCTGGCAACACGTAGTATACATTCGTTAGGTGTTTACGAGACGTGCATACACACGCATTGCAGGCATCACTTCCAAGCTGGCGTCTCGGCGAAAAGCAGGTCCACTGAGCCCGGAGGGTATCGGGGCCCATTGGCTGCGTCTGCCTTCTGCGCGATCGCTCGCACCTCTGCGACCTCCTCCGGGGTTAACTTCACTTTGAGAGCGCCAAGATTCTCCTCCAGGTACTGCGGGAGAGAACTATCAGCAACGAGCAAGAGCGACCAGCGGGGGCGAAGACGGTACCTTCTGCTTGCGCGTGCCAGGGATGGGGATGACATCGTCACCTTGGGCAAGCAACCAAGCGAGTGCGACTTGTCCGGCCGTGGCGCCGTGGCGCTCCCCAATTTGCTTCAGCCCGTCGGCTAACTTGAGGATGTTCGGAAAGTTCTCCTTGGAGTATCGCGGTACCGTGCGCCTGAAGTCGCCCTCCTCGAAGTCCTCTGGCCCTTTCTGTCATATCGCGCACCGGTAAGTCTCGCGCCCATTGCACAAGGAAAGTGGCAGAATTGCTGTACGTATTGCCCAGTGATCAGCCCGCGACCGAGTGGAGAGTAAGCGACGATGGCTACGCCGAGCTCACGCGCAGTGTTGAGCAGATTGATCTGCGGATCTTCAATATCGAGCGTGAAAGGCGAATACTCGACCTGAATGGCGGCGATGGGGTGAATGGCCTGTGCCCGTCGGAGGGTTGTGGCGGAGACCTCGGAAAGGCCGATGTATTTAACCTTCCCAGCGCTGGGAGGAGGTGCGAGACGAGCGTAAGGGGATCAGAACAGGCCAGAAATGCCTATGTAGCATACATACGATACGAGCTCAGCCAGTGCGGTGACCGTTTCCTGAGGAGTGCATGAACACGGGTGACCTTGACCGGTGTTACGACGATGGGGCTCACTTCAATAGGGACCTGCGGATCAGGCCTGAACCAACATGAGAACACGCTGACCAGCCAAGCGGCGACAAGCTTACCGATGAAGATAGTAAAGATCCACATACTACCTGGCGCGTCAGCGTCACTGGAACGGAGCGACCAAAGTATCACTCACGTCAACACCGAGCCTCTTGAGCGACTTCTCGATCGCCTTCTTAGCGTACTCGGGTGTCCCATTGACGATACGCCCCGGCTCGTCGCGAACTATCCCAAACTTCGTGGCGAGGAAGATATCCTTGCGCTTTCCGGTCTTTTGAAACCTAAGAAGATTGGTCAGTTCAGCTCACCTCCACAATCAGAATCAAAGCGTGGACGCACCACTTTCCAAGTAGATCCTCACTGTCCAAGTAGATATCGGCAGTGTCCCAGAAGTGGCAGCCGCTGGCATATAAATCGTCGAGGAACTAGCCACAATCACTCAGAATAGTGACGCGACAACGACATAATATGTCAGCGTAGAGTATACCTTCAGGCGAACTTCATCGGGGTCCGGCTTCCCGTAAAATGCCGAAATACCCATTGCACCTGTTGAGCACGATTAGATCAATTGCGGACGCCCAGAAACTAAGCGGCCGCGATACTGACCGTACCCGATCGCCGTAACCTGGTCGTTTCCGATCTTGCGAGTGGGCAGAGCCATGTCAATTGCTGAACTGGGTCTGGAGGTTCGCGCACTAGTGGCCGGTTATAAGTACTCTTCGCTTGCTAATCGAAGTGGCTAGCGGGAGGGTCAGGCGGATCGACATGCTCAATGCTCATGAGCATGGATTGTGTACACGCTGATGACGTAATGTGGTGGATTGGTGGCCGCAGCTGTACTTTGTGCCCTCTCACGTCTGCTCTAGCTCTGAGCCAGGGCGCATAAGGCATTGAACTTGTGCAGGAGCCGGTTCAGGACCCCGCCAAACCGTTGGCTCGGAGACAGAGTGTCTTAGACCTTCAAAGAATGCACGAGAAACCTTCTATCGCACAGGAGATTCGGCGTTGAGCATTCCAAAGCAGTAAACAACACTGGAACGAGCAAGTCACAAACGAAGTCAATAGGCGGTTGCCGTACATAATAAGAAAATCCGTGGGTATTTAGATCGCATTAAGGGCGTTGCCGAATGACGCCAATTTACCAGAAGCTCTCCGCCCATGCGGGCCATGCCCTCCTTCACAGCTTCGGATCATGACGAGCATGTGTCCATTCGGGGATAACTCAACAGGTTGCTTCGTAGAAGAACAATATAAACTTCGACACAATGTTTTATTATACAGAGACGGGCGTGCAAGCGGGATTCTTCATGCTGAAGGAAAGACACTCGGATTGCATTACCGCTGGACATGCATTCTTACTTCCAAGCTGGTGTCTCCGCGAAAAGCGTTTCCACGAAGCCAGGAGGATACCGAGGCCCATTGGCAGCGTCAGCCTTCTTCGCGACCTCTCGTACCTCCGCCACCTCCTCCGGGGTCAGCTTCAGCTTGAGGGCGCCAAGATTCTCCTCCAGGTACTGAACAGTAGACGGTGAGTGATGAAAGCCGTTGGACGATGGGAAGGCGACCGCACCTTCTGCTTGCGAGTCCCAGGAATGGGAATGACATCGTCGCCTTGCGCGAGCAGCCAGGCAAGGGCGACTTGGCCGGCCGTCGCGCCGTGGCGCTCGCCGATCTGCTTCAGTCCTTCGGCCAACTTGAGGATGTTGGGGAAGTTCTCCTTCGAGTAGCGCGGTACCTTGCGCCTAAAGTCGTCTTCGTCAAAGTCCTCCGGCCCTTTCTATCACGCGAGGAGAACGCGATGAGTCCTGGCTAGACCTCTGCGATCCGTGAGTTACGGACGTACGTATTGGCCAGTGATCAGTCCGCGACCGAGCGGCGAGTACGCAATAATCGTCACGCCGAGCTCGCGGGCGGTGTTGAGCAGGTTGATCTTCGGATCCTCGATGTCGAGTGTGAAGGGCGAATACTCCACCTGGATGGCGGCGATCGGGTGGATCGCATGCGCCCGACGGAGAGTTGCAGCAGAGACCTCGGAAAGGCCGATGTATCTGATCTTTCCAGCACTAGACGAATGCGTGAAAGGTTTAAGTCGGTCACGTCGGGCGGAGAGACGCAATTTGCACTGACGATACGAGCTCGGCTAGCGCAGTTACGGTTTCCTGAAGAGATGCATGAAGTTGTGCGACTTCGTCTGGCATTTGTGTGAGGTCCATACCTCAATGGGAACCTGCGGATCAGGTCTGACCGAGAGTGAGGATGCGGCAGTGGGACAGGACCGAGGGGCTTACCGATGGAGATAGTAGAGATCAACGTACTATTACACGACGCATGAGGTTTTCTGTGATCTCACAGACCGGACGTCATTACTCACGTCGACACCAAGCCTCTTGAGCGACTTCTCGATCGCCTGCTTGGCATATTCGGGTGAACCGTTGACGAAGCGTCCTGACTGGCGGACAATGCCAAACTTGGTGGCGAGGAAGATGTCCTTGCGTTTCCCGGTCTTTTGGAACCTATGCACAAACCGAAGCGGTCAGCACGACAGCGCCCGTCAGAGATTGGGAGGCGGGCGAGAGTAGGAACACACCATTTTCCAAGGAGATCCTCGCTATCCTGATAAACATCGGCCGTGTCCCAGAAGTGGCATCCGCTTGCGTATAGATCGTCTAGGAACTGCGAGCGACGGCTGAGAACGACGGTGACAAGGGGCCAGGTGTCGAAGCAAGACGGACCTTGAGGCGGACCTCATCGGGATCGGGTTTGCCGTAGAAGGCCGCGATGCCCATGGCGCCTTTTCATCAATGGTCAGAAACGGCCCGTACAGGTGACGGGAGCGTCGAATGCACCGTATCCGATTGCGCTGACGAGGTCGTTGCCGATTTTGCGAGTGGGGAGAGCCATGTGGAATTGCTACGAGGAGTAGAGAGAGCGGCGACGGAGGGCGGATATAAGTACTCGTCGCATGATTCGCTTGCTAATCGGAATCGAGGCCAAGTGGGGCGGAGGCTCGCAGTCGCAGGAGGGTCAGGCGGATCGCCGTGCTCGTCAGCGCTCGTGGCGTGGTTCGCGGTCGGCCAGTCCGCGACGCTCGCCTCTAGCATTCATTAGATATCTCCTAAGCTTAGCTCAAGTGGATCGGTCTCCGTTGCATACCCCACTGGGGCGATGGCATTCAGCCCGTACGCCGTCCCGGCCCACCATCCACGAGCTTCCGACGACCCACGCCATCAAGGCATTCTAGCTCGGCCAATAAATGGACACTCCGAAGCAAACTTCATGCGCGTCTACATGCGGATGGAAGCTGGAAGAGCCCTACAGCATGGACTCTAGAGAACACGAATCGACAATTTCCCCCATATATGGTGTTCTGTTCGCATCTGAACTCGGGGATGCTATAATTTACGAGGCGAAACGTTGGGTAGAACCGTCGGGCTGGAATCGAAATCTGACACTCGATGTTTTTATGGATGCAACATGCCGTACGCGAGCGTACGCGTCTCCTGGCGATTGACAATACCCCCGCTGTTCGCGGTGTCCGCTCTGGGAATCTGTCGCGGTCCGTCGTCCTTCCTGGGTACCTTGCATCAATAAGCATATGCGCGCACCGAACTCGATTGGGCATACCGCTGGAATCACTTCTGCTGTGCAGCCCGTACTTATCTCATACCGTAGCATACGGCTCGATTTCTCATCTTTCCATCACGTGTGGCGAAACGCACTCCGCATGGAGGAGATGAAGGCGAGTGGACTACCTGCAGTCCTCGGTGATCGGTTCAACGGTTCGACTCATATTTCCGCCGTTGCGGGTATAAAGGCGGCGGTCCTGCACGCAAGATCATCCAGTACTTGGATACGACGATTCAAGTATGTCTACTTCGGAGCGTCTGTCGGTCGCCGTATGCGTGTACGAGCACGTCACTACCCTGGACTACCAATAAGCGTCTTATCGTTGGAGAGTAGCTTACCCGAAACGTTGACATCGCTCTGCACAGGTCCGCTCGACTTTCTCGGGTATGTCGAGCGATTGTTGGAACTCGGAAACGTGCCGTATACGCCGAAATACGTGTTTGATATCGATATTCTGAGGTATGTGTCGGTTTCTTGCCTTGTTATCAGCCTAGCAGTGACTGAAGCACACGCAGCAAATCCTTGGAACCGGTGAAGCCCGATGGGGCGGGACCCCGCGTTTCTCCTACCTCTACTTATGAAGCAGCGCTGGGATCGGATGGCAAGCAATACGATATCATCGTCATTCCTGCAGGTGGGTATGCACAGGAGTGATGGACGTGATAGCGGTAAACGTAGACGTCTACGCAGGATCGTCAATCACCGGTGCCCAGGAAAAGGAGGCGGTTGAATTCATCACGAAACAGGGAGCCAAGGCCAAGTATGTGCTGTCCGTGTGCGTCGGCGCCGCCATCCTCGCGTCGACCGGCCTCTTGGATGGCAAACGGGCGACGTCTAACAAGATGCTATTCAGAGAGATCGCAGGAGCTTACCCGAAGGTGCCGTCGGCTATGGTTCGGTCTGCGAGCGGGTGCTGACTCGGAGATCCTAGGTCATCTGGGTTGCCAAGGCCCGTTGGGTCGTTGACGGAAAATTCTGGACAGCGTCGGGTATTACGGCAGGCTTGGACATGGCATATGCCTTCGCCAGCGAGCTGCTCGGCAAGGTGGGTGCAACTGCAACGAACGCGATCTTGGCACTTAGTGTTGGCATGGACAGGAATACGCGGACAAGTTGGCTACCTTTATGGAGTACACGCCCGTCACCGATTCGGAGCACGACGAGTTCGCCTCTGTGTATGGTTTGGTGTAGAATAATGCTACGAATCCATAAAAGGGCGCCGGCATGTATCGTGGATATCGATGTGGCGCTCAGATCTCAGACGTCGGCGTGGCTGTGTAGCTGTCGGGTTGTCTTCGATCGCGATGGCGGAGACGGCGGGTAGCTCGTCGGACATGGCGACGACGCACGCCTTCCTGCGCGACTCGATGTTGCAGCTCTCGATCCCGACGCGCGACAACGCGTACTACTTTCCCGACGGCAACACGGTCATCCTCGTTGGCAACACCCTCTTCCGCGTCCATCGTTCTACCCTGGCATGCGACCACTCCGCCTTCGAGGGCATGTTCTCCCTCCTTGCTCCCGACGCGCCAGAGCCCAGTACGCCGGGCGCGAACCTGAAGTCAACTATGCCGACGCCGGTCGAGGGCGAGGCCGACGACAATCCGATCCGCCTCCAAGGCGACACCGCCGACGAGTTCCGTGCCCTCCTCTGGGCGCTCTATGCCCTCCCGCCCGAGCTCATGATCGCCCTCTCTCCCGATGCGCCTGTTCCACGTCTCTTCGCTCTCGCGCGCATCACGCACAAGTACCAATTCAGAACTCTTGCCACCTGGGCTCTCGACGCGCTTCACACCTACTACTCCCGCCCCGGCGCGTTCGACGCCGTGCCATCCTCCCCTTCCTTGAACGGCTCGACGCAGACGCCGTCATTGGGGGATATTACGGAACTCGCAGCGTTATGCAATCACTCTTCCCTCCTCGAAGCGACGACTGCCCGCTGGAGACGGCACGTTGCCGACGGCCGGGACGTCGCTCTCGCCCTAACCCTCGCAGAGCGCCTCGCTCTTCGCCCTCTGCTCGGTATAGCCTACCACGCCATGCTCCTTAAGGGTCGGGAGCACTGGGACGCGGATCCGCACCTCTCCCGCGCGCAGCGCATCCGACTACTGTCCGGGCACTACGCGCTCGGCAAGCTCTATGACGAGCTGCCGAACAACCCCCCTCAATTCGCTCATTCACCGCGGTGCTTGAGCCAGCCAAAGTGCGCCAAGGCATGGGCGACGCTCTGGCGTGGTGTTCTCGAGCTCGGCCCACAGATCGTTACCCACCAACGCGGCGATGTTCTCGGCAAGCTGGTCCTCGCTGAGACCTTCATCAAGGCCTTGGTGGAGAAGGAGATCCCGAGCCAGGGCATGCTAGATGGCCTGCCTCACTGCCGCGAGAATGCTCTGCTCGCAACCAGCCAGAAGCTGCGAGAGGTCAGAGAGAGCTTGGCGGACTACTTCACGGATGTCGTTTAGCTAGTTTGTAAAATATAACTGCGTGTATTCCAAAAGATACCCCGTCGCTGTCATTGCTAGATACGTTGCTACAATGTGATACTACCACATACACGAACACATTTAAACCACGATTACCACTCTAGTTGGGTGTTGGCGCATAACGAGACGTTGCTTGACGACCCATGTTCGCCCATGTCCTCGGGACCCACTATCTGGATGCCGTTGCCTTCCCCAGCACCTCGGTCGAGGAGCTCCGCCGTCGCTTGCCGCACCATCCATTTGTTTGACCCAATCACAGCGTCGAGCTCCTCTGGCTCCGGGAGCAGAAGGGATAACACCGCCGTATCTCCATCGCCCTCGACTTTGACGTCGAAGCTAAGGATGCTATACTCATCGTCGTTGAGGCATGCCCCTGATTTCAGTGCAAAGTTGCGTTTGTGTAATGGACCTGTGGAGGTTCAGCTGAACGTCCGGATTTCAATCGCTATCGAAGGTTGCTCACAGGATACATATGCTGTACCAGTCTTCGGATCATCGCCGATGATACCGTGATCCAGGACGAACGCTCGCTTGTGAGGGCACATCTAGGATATGATCGGTTACGGTGAATCTTGGCATATTAGTGCGCTCACCTGCTGCGTCGCGAAGAATCCCCTCTTCGGAACGCAATAGATAGCAATCTGGGTATCGCCATACTTGACAGCAGCAGAACTACAGCCACGGCCCGTGAGTACAGATACGATGCTCCAAATTTGAGCTTACGTAGTCCCCGCATCGGTCGGCATCAGGTCGGAAACCTTGGCCAACGGCCGCCATGTCCACTGCTCTTTCGGCGTCCGGATGTCCGACTCTGTGAGTTTGACCGGAGGGAACACCTTCGCCCAGTTCGCCGGTCGAGGTTGGCCCCGCTCGATGATCTCCTCAATCTGCGGCTTTCGTTCGTCCTATGTACCCAAGGCATTAGGATCCGACATGCAAAGAGTTTGCGAATCAGCGTACCGTGTTGACAAACTGACGGAACTGCTTCCGCCTGACCGGGTCCTGGACGACTGCCTTCCACTCGTCATAGTACGTGCCGACGAGCTCGTCCATCTCACGGTCGAGATCGGCACAGATGCCGAGTTCGTCGTCGATGATGATCTTCTTCAGGCGATCGAGGCCGCCTTCCATCTGCTCGATCCATCTCGCTGTTCGCATAAGCTTGTCCGCGGTCCTGATGTAGTAGATGATGAAGCGGTCGATGATCCGAACCACTCTGGACGGCGGAACGTCCTGCGCAAAGAGTTGGGCATGTTTGGGAACTGCGCCACCGTTTCCGCAAAGGAAGACTGAAAAAACGCGTCGTTAGGAAGGCTTGCTGAGTGTCTGTATATGCACGCACGGTTCCAGCCTTTGTCTGTCGCGATGAGTCCGAAGTCCTTGTTCTGGGCCTCAGCACACTCTCGAACGCAGCCGCTCACTCCTCCCTTGAGCTTGTGAGGAGAGCGGATGCCCTTGTAACGATCTTCGAGATGTATGGCCACTTCAAAGAACGTTAGCCATGGTCCAGATGGGTGGAAGAGATGATGCTGACTGCCGACAGAGTCACCAACGCCGTAACGACACCAACTGGTGCCTACGCAAGATTTGACAGTCCTCAGCGATTTGCCTAAGGATAGTTGGGTCAGCGTTAAAATAGCGGGAAGGGCATTATCCAACCATAAGCGTGCCCGCTCTCAAAGCCGGCGTTCACGAGCTCTTCCCATATGTCAGGGAGATCTGCCTTCTGAGCGCCAAACAGGTCCACCCGTTGACTACGAAATGGTCAGAACGTACACGAAACACTTGGCTCACAGCATACCCTCCAGTTATCTTCGTGTACAATCCATCTGCAGAGATGGTCAGACAAGACGAGGCAGATACAAGACCGAAACCGGCTTACACTTCTTCGCCACTTGGCCGAGTACGATCAGCTTGTCCGGGGTGATCTATCACGGGTGGGTGAAAAACGTTACAGAGTGTTCTAGGGACAAGAGCACAGACCTCCCCAGCTGCAACACGAGGGATGACAGAGAAAGTGCCTGTACGCATCGAGAGAGGTCAGTGTCAGCAGACGGTACTCGAGTAGAATGTTACCGTTCCGCTGTATGTTGGCCATGAATCTATCGTTCGTGTCCTGATTCTGATGGTGCGCCGGGTTCATGACGTGTTCGTTCCATAGCGAGGACAGGATACTGCCGATGACCGGCTTGCACGTTTCGCATCCCAACGCGTCCATGTTGACACCGCAGTCCTCCATGATGGCGGTGAAGGTCTTGAGCTTCTTGATCCTGCGTCAATCACTGTTCAGTGCATGAACGTATGCCGGTGATGATGAAGGGCCTACTGTACGACGTTGAAAAGTTCGGCCCGCGACATGGCGAAGTGCGGGCAGATATTGTTGTTAACGGCGTGGCCGGCCTTCTCCATCTCGGCCTTGAAGATGTTCGTCACGAGCGGCATGCAACCGCCGCACCCGGTACCGGCCTTCGTCTTGGCCTTCAGATCTCCGATATTATCGCACCCGTCTCGCACGCATTGCGCCACTTGGCCTTTCGACACGTTCTACACGAGACGGGCAACGTCAGAACCGGAGATGACGAAGGAACCGGCGAACGCACATGACAACTGCAGATTTGCGTGTCGTCGTCGAGATCGGCACCGCTTTCGTCCGATTTCGCCCCTCCGCCGATGAACTGGCCAGGAGGGATCTCGAGCGCCTTCTTCTTCTTGACGAGCGCGACTAGCTTGACATAATCCGACGTGTCGTCCACCATCATACCACCCAGGACGTATTTTCCGTCCGCGGTGAAAATGTATCTAGTCACATATCGACAGTCAGCTTCCTATAGGGACGTCGCGGGCAGCGACTCGCTTCTTGTACACACCCGCGAATGGGTCGCGGTAGGTCAGCGTCTCGATCGGGCCCTCCATGGCGGCTGCCGCCCCGTGCCTCTTCTTCGGCGCAGAGGCGTCGCTGAGCGGCTTTTGTGCAGGGGCTGTCTTGGTCCGGTCCTCGGTCACGTTCCATACCGGCGGTTTCTCCTCTGTCTCTGCCTTTGACGGCAGGGTCATAGTCTCAGCTTTGGGCGAGGGAATCCTGGGACGGCGCTTCTTCTCGAACTCGCGTTTTTCGCGGAAGAAGTCACCGAAGGAAGCGACGTCGACGCCCATGAGCTTCAGCTTGGTGGACAGATCGGGGTTGTTCTGGTCCATTCAAGAATGAGTAGCTATCCTAGGTTGCAGAGGTTCGCGTGGCTCACCATCTGGCGGGGTTTGAAGCCGCCGACAGCAGTTGCCAGTTGCGTAAGGTTGAAAGACAGGATGTCGGCCATTTCGACTGGACAATCTTTCGTTGGTTGGGGTGTATGCATGCGAAAACGTACAACGTACTTCCGGGGGCGATGAGGCCGTATGTGTTGTGCTGCCAGCTCGCGCACTCGCCGATAGCGTACACGTCCTTCGCGCTGGTCTCCAGGGAGTCATTCACGGTGATACCACCGCGTTCCTCGCACGCGAGCCCTGACTTCCTGGCGAGATCGTCACGAGGTGTGATGCCAATGGCGAAGATGACGAGATGCGCGTCCAGAGTTCTGCCGTCCATCAGCTCAAGGCCAGCGAATACGTTCGGGTCGTCTGGCGAGGCGATGATGGATTTGACGGAGGTGTTGGTGAGAACGTCGACGCCCATGGCTTCGATGCGGCGGAGGACGATTTCGCCGCCCCCAGCGTCAAGCTGGCGGGAGAGGGGGAATGCTTGGCGGTTGACGATTGAGACATCCTTGATCGTCTCCAGGTCGTACACGGCTTTGGCTGCCTCCAAACCGAGCAAACCACCGCCGACCACCACGGCCTGAAGAATAACGACGAATCAGGATCTTACGAAATTTGATTGGATACGCGCGAATTATCACCTTTCCACCGCGTACGTTGTCCCGGTCGGCGTATGCCATAATCTTTTCCAAATCGGCGATGTTGCGGTATACAAACACGCCCTGCATGTCGGGCTTGCAGTAGCTCGGGATCGTCGCCTCCGAGCCCGTCGCCTGCAGCGTATAGAGAACTATGAGCCGACATGTTGGCGAATGCGAATGCAAGGATACTCGCAAGGACGCAGTAGTCATATCGGATGGTTCGACCGATGCTCGTCGAGACGGTATGGGAAGCGTGATCAAGCGTGGTCACGGCCTCACCAACGTGGAACTCGAAACGATCCGGCGACTGCTTCGCATACCACTCGGGCCCGTTCAGATACAACTTCTCGATCGAACGGTGCTGGAAGTACTCGGTAAGGGCGACCCGATTGTATGCGACTGAGAACGAGACAGATTCAGCGAGGGTTCCGATCCTTTCGGTGATGCCGCTCACTGTGCGTTTCCTCGCCGCAGGTGACGATCTTGTACTTGTGGGCTTCGTCGAGGTCGAGTAGTTTCTCGATGAAGGCTGGAACGAGTTCACTCCCTGCCAGCCGATGAGAGGATGGGTATTACTGACCGATGCCTACCATTCCGAGGCCAACGACGACGACCGTCTTGCGCTCGGCAGCATCGGTCTTGGCAGTTGTGGTGCTAGCGTCCATGGGTACGGTGCTGGAGAGCCGAGCGAGGGTGCAAGAGCGCCAGTGTAAATAAGGCTCCACATCGCAAGGAACGTTATCGTCACCCGGGCCAGCCCAGCCCGTCAGAATCTCCTGGAGGTGTGCAAAACCGTCGTCGGCCCACCTGAGCGGTAGTCCCGCTGCGGCTTGGGCCAGACGAAGACCGACGGTGCCGGCATATCACCCCACTTTCTCACGCTGCGTTTCAGTTACGCCCATCCGGCCGCAGCCTGGTATCGCTTCCGCCTTGTGCGCCTACGACATACCGGTCTTTCTGCTCGGGATGCTTCATGTGGCTTACAATTGTGGATGGTGGGGCTCGACGAACCGTTTGGTCTCCTTCTTCCGATTGTGGCGTCTCTTCGACAAAAGTCATGGAACCCGCTCGTATCGGCAACGGCCGAATGCATTCAACAGCCAACTTGGCGAGTTTCTCGGGACGTAAGAAGATACTCAGGCTGTCAGCGCTATGATAGCACACGCTGTGGCATGCAGCTCCCCTGGACCGATATCAGCAAGGTCCAGGATTAGCAACTTCTCGCCGACAGACTCGCTCTTGCGTCCGCACTTACGCCCAAGTCACCCACTCCGCACCCACCGCTTCCCCGAGGTGAAAACGACGACGACGATATGACCACCGACTCCCTTTTCGACCGGTTCACCGTCCCTCGGGTGAACCACCTGAACGGCAAATGCACCACCCTCCCTATCCTCTCCCTGAAGTCCCAATATTCGCGCAATTTCCATCTGTGCGTCTCTCCCCCTCTACGTTCTCTGCTTCTATGAGACTGATGACAGCGGTTCCGACTTCAGAGCGTGGCTCGGCTTCTTCGTAGCATTGTGAGTCCCGATCCGCCCACCCCCTGGGTCTGTGGCGGGACCAATAATGCATCCGCCACGCTGATAGCTTGTCGTGGTTCGCGTTCTCGCCTCTCATACCGGACGCCATCAAGGCCGATCTAAAGCTCACGCCCGAGCAAATTGGTGGGCAGTACAGTCCAACGCCTTGATCTTTTCACCGACGTGTTCACCACGACGCCCAGGCAATTCCAACGTGATATCGCTTTGTGCAACGCTCATCGTTCGGTTGATCGTCGGTCCCCTCGTCGACAGTGAGATGCTACGAAGTTCAGCTCGGTCATCCTGCTCACAACTATGTAGCATATGGCCCGCGCAAGGTCATGGCAGCGATCCTCGCCATTGGAGCTATACCATCTGGACTAGCGGGCACGGTCACCACCGCCTCCGGTCTCTACACCATCCGATTCTTCATCGGCAAGTAACTCCTTACCGCCCCCTTGCCTCGCTCTGACACTGTCGTGAAGGCATACTCGGCGGTACATTTGTGCCGTGCCAGGCCTGGACGACCACCTTCTTCGACAAGCGCGTCGTGGGCCGCGCGAACGCCCTCGTCGCCGGCTGGGGCAACTCGGGCGGCGGCTTCACATTCATCATCATGATCGCGCTTTACAACCGGCTCTTGGCCGATGGGCTCAGCCGGCACGCCGCCTGGCGCGCCGCGTTCGCGATCGTGCCCGTGCCCATCCTCCTCTCGGTAGCGGCCCTTACCCTCCTCATCGGCACGGACCACCCGGCAGGCAAGTGGCAAGATCGCCACGATGTGCCATGGACGCACGGCGATCAAATCAACGAAAGGGCTCCTGCGGCACTTAAGCTCGACCGTGTGGACGAGAAGGCCAGCGCCGAGCAGGACTCTGCGAACGGCTCGGCAGATGTCGCCGTCTCCGCCGCCGGGAGAGCGGCGGGAGAGGAGGGGCAGGGATACGATGCGGCGGTGACTGCGGTCGACAAAGCCGTGAACGAGCCGCTGACTGTACGTTCTGCTCGCCGAGTCTTCTCCGACCCTGTGACCTGGCTTCCCGCGCTGGCTTACTTCACGACATTTGGATACGAGCTCGCCATCGATGCCAATCTTGCTAGCGTCTTGTTCGGCTTGTACAAGAAGCAAAAGATGGGCCAGACTAAGGCCGGATATGTGAGTTCTCTCTGCATTTGTAGCACGGGCACGTGGATCCAACGGTGTCTTGTTTACGCGCAGATCGCTGGTATTTATGGTTTATTGAACATCGTTACCCGTCCTCTGGGCGGGTACTTTGGGGACATCGCATTTCGCTTTCTCGGAGTGAGTTCCATGCCTCTGCACATCACATACCCTCGTAACGAAAGCCTCAACGTAGGTGCCTGGCAAAAAACATGCCACACTCGCGTGCGGCGCTCTTCAGGGTGCTCTCTCTTTGGCACTCGGACTCTACATCGATTCTCGCTCCAACCCCTCCCGCGCGTGTTTTCCTGTCAATTGGAAATCGATGGTTCCGGACTAACGCCCCGGCACAGTGGCTGTCGTGGTCGTCCTTTTCGTCTTGATGGCGTTCTTCAATGAAGCAGCGAACGGCGCAAATTTTTCGCTCGTGCCCCATTGTAACCCCAGTGCGCATCCTTCTCCCTATCTTCGAGGCTCGGGCTGGGAACTCATGATCTCGGGCCCGCAGATAACAACGGGGTCATGGTACATGCATGACGTCTAACTTCCTTTGATCCCAACTGATGCCTTCCTATTCAGAGCGGATTCGTCGGAGCCATGGGGAACCTCGGTGGGGTAGTCTTCGCACTTATCTTCCGATTCCAGCCAGCGCCAGCCGGACGCGCATTTTGGATCTGCGGTATCATCGCGATGGTACGTCACCTTTCTTTTCTCGAAGATATGGCGTCTCGATTCCAATATAGCACTTGAAGGGCTGCAACGCGCTTCTTTCTGTCGTCAGAGTCCCACGAGTATGAACATGAAATCCGACTACCTACACGCCAACACGCGAACGATATCATGTCGCTTGTACTTGTGGTGTATACTCGAACAGATCGCGTTCATAGTGCGCGGTCACTCCATGCAGTGTCCGTGGAGTTTGAGCCAAAACATTATTCGTCCGCGTCTATCGTATCTTCCTACTGTCACCGACCCTTAGGGCCCCACCCCTTGCAGGAAGCTAAGTACTCCAGGCCATGCTTCCATTCATTCCAATCTCCGCCGGCCTAACCCATGCCTATGTTCCACTGGTTCTGATCTCGGAGCGGCGCATTTCGACTTCCCGACGGCAATTGATCTACCAACGCGGGCCTGGATATGCTCTTCGCCGTCCGCGGGGCGGACGCCATCGCTGCGGATATCCTCTGACGAATGAACTGACATTGGGAGCCTCTCATTCGCTCTCCCATGATGCCGGACTCAGAATCGTTGTCGCAGTCGTCGTCCGATTCCTCATTCGGGGACGGCAGTACGACTTCTCGGTCGACGCATTTCAGCTCTGTCACTTCAGCACTCCCGGACAGCAAGCATAACTCTGATGCAGCTTACCCGAGATCCTTTCCTACGTTGCCTATAGACGAAACACCAGATGAGTCTGCAGAGCAAGACCTCCAAACTCCTGATCGTTGGGTTCATAGAGTATGTCCTTGGCGTCTTTGTGGTCGTCCTCAGTGCGCTGACTCTGCTAGAACCCAGACCTCGTACGCTTGACGGGGAAACATCCTTTCAATTGCGAAGCGCGATTGCCCAAGCTGATCGAGGCGGTAAGTAAACGATATTACAGGGTACGATCCACTTGCCATAACTCCACGCATTTGTTATTAGGGATTTCTCACCCCCGCTCATCTCCACTTTGTCCGGAATCACGGCGCCGTCCCCCGCATAGAACGGGAGCAGTTCGGAGCCTGGACCCTGTCCATCGGCGGCCTCGTCAAGAACCCGTTGACCATAACATTGCAAGAGCTGAAGGAGAGGTTCCCAGTCGTGACGATCCCCGTGACCCTCGTCTGCGCAGGTAACCGACGGAAGGAGCAGAACGTGATCCGCCAAAGTCTTGGCTTCAGCTGGGGAGCTGCCGGAGGTACGTGGAGTGCTCAGTAGACGCAGGCAAATCGCTGATGTTCTTGCTTGGCAGTCAGCACCGCACTCTGGACGGGAGTATACCTGGCAGATGTCCTAGCTCATGTGCAGCCTGTGCGGCCAAAAGCACGGCATGTCGTCTTCGAAGGCGCCGATAACCTTCCGCAAGGTCCCTACGGAACGTCGCAGCTGCTCAGTTGGGCCACAAGTAAGGAAAGGGGAATGTTAATAGGTATCCATGGGCAGGTCATGGCGATGCCGGTGTTTGATTGGTTTCTTGACCAGCTTGGGGCATGAACGGCCAACCTTTAGAGCCAGACCACGGCTTTCCTGTCAGATGTGAGCTTTCACATGTTCCACTATGACGGGTCGGCGCTCACCGTGGACGGTATCAGTGATCGTCCCTGGACAGATAGGCGGTCGTTCCGTGAAGGTATTGATTAGCGTCCGCTCAGCGACGAACGAGCGAGTTGATGTTTGCCCTTCTCCTTAGTGGTTGAGGAAAATCGAGGTTTCTGACAATGAGTCCCAACATCACGTAAGTCCGGCCAAACCAGTTCCGCGGGGAAATCCTAGCGGCTCACGGCAATATTTCGCATCCGCAGCTACATTTCTGGGTCAGTCCAATGGTGGAGGCAGGCAAGATGACGTATTGACATCTCAGGGAGCCAGGACAATAAAGTCCTCCCAAGGCAATTGTCCCCCGATAACGCTAGAGCAGAGAGGGACTGGTGGTATGATCGAAAGTCAGTGCCTTAACAAGCATGTCTGCCAAGCTGACCAGGCGATACCTGCTTCTTTTCCCTAGATATCTCATAACGTCAGCACATCTCCTAGTGCCTCACGCGCGACAACACCATATGCTGAGACTCCCTGTGCAGAGAGCTCAACATCAACAGCGTGATAGCGAAGCCGGACCACGACGAACGATTGCATGTCTCACCGCAGCACGTCAACAACACGGAACCCGCCTCTTACCCAATCCGCGGTTATGCATATTCTGGAGGAGGGAGGCGCATAACGCGAGTGGAAGTAACCCTTGATGACGGTAAGACCTGGAAACTGGCGACCATGTTCGTGACACATCTCCTATGGTGCCAAGCGGCTGATACACTTACAGAGATTACCCTGAAGATCTCTACAGGGAGCTGGCCTACGAAGATGTCGTCTTCGGCTCACTAGACTTGACCGAACGCGATACGTCCTTGTGAGATGTTGCCCCAACCTTGAAAGAACCGTCACTTACACCCGGAGACTAGTTGTTGGTGCTTCTGGTCCCTGGACGTGCCGCTCTCGGAGTTAGCGAAGGTCTCTGTCATCCAAGTGTGCGCCATGGACGAGTCGATGAACATGCAACCGCGAGACATGTACCTCAATGCCACGTCCATGCTAAACAATTGCATGTTCAGAGTCGCGGTGATCAAGAGTATTTCGGACGACGGAGATGTCGAGCTACATTTTGAGCACCCGACGTTGGCGGGGTCGGCGTCTGGTGGATGGATGGAGGTAAAGATATATGCATGTTAAAATGGCTTTACAGGATGCTGATGATGTGAACAGCGAATCAAAGCTGCGGGTGGAGACCTCCTCAATCCCCAATTCGGGATGGCGTCCGTGCAAGTCACAGACGTACCTGACTCAGGGACCACTGCAGACGCGTTGCCTTGCATGACCAAGCCGGGGGTAAACCGGCAGATCTCCATGGCCGAACTGGCGGCTCAAGACAAGGAGCGCCCGTGGTTCGTGGTCAACGGAGAGGTGTATGACGGAACCACGTTCTTGAAGGAACACCCGGGTGGCGGCGACTCCATACTGCTCGTTGCTAGCGAGGATGCGTCGGAGGACTTCATTGCCATACATTCTGTGGAGGGCAAGGCTAAGCTCGCTGAGGTAACATTGCCAGGTTCTTGGTTCGCGAAGGCGACGCTGATGACCCGGTTCGGTAGTTTCATATCGGCACTCTCGTCAAGTCAGGAGAGACCAAAGTGGTGCGGACGACCGACGACCCTAATGGGCCGTTCTTGAACCCGAAGGTTTGGAAGGCTACCAAGCTGGCGTCTGTCGAATGGGTCAACCACGACTCCTGCCTCTTCCGCTTCTTGATGCCAGATCCCCAGCAAGACCTGGGTTTGCCGATAGGTCAACACGTGTTCCTCCGGCTCAAAGACCGCCAAACAGGCGAGACGATACAACGCGCGTATACGCCCGTCTCCAAACAGACGGCGAAGGGGAGCATCGAGTTACTTGTTAAGTGCGTGTGCTGGCTGCAAAACCCGTCAGGAATCCCATACTTATCGTTGAGATCAGATTATACTTACCATCTCCCACGGTCGTCTTTGGTGGCAAGATGAGCACCGTGCTGAACAAGATGCAAATTGGAGACGAAGTCGAGTTGAAAGGACCTCTAGGTTCGTTTACTTGGAATGGTACAGGAGAAGCGACATGGAAGGGCCAGAGACGAACGGTCCGGCAAGTGGGCATGATCTGTGGTGGGAGCGGTGAGGACATCCTCCTTTTGCCGACGAGACATAACAGACTCACTCTACGCAGGCATTACGCCGATATTGCAGGTCTTGCGCGGTATATTCGAGGATGAGACCGACGACCGGACGCAGGTCTGGTTGATCTGCAGTGTAAGCGAGCTGTTTGAATCGGCGATTGTGCTGTGACTGATCGTGACGTCCAGAACAAAACCGAGCACGATATTCTGTGTTGGCAGGAGCTGGAGGATCTGCACAATCGACATGGATCAAGCAGATTCCGCATGAGACACACGCTGAATGCACCGCCATCGGGTTGGGCGCAAAGTGTGGGCAGAATCGATGAGCATATGATGCGCGAATACTTGCCTCCGCCCTCCAATGATACGCTCATACTGGCCTGCGGCCCTAATAGTATGATCACGCAGACGATCAAGCCAGGGCTGACGAGGCTGGGCTGGGACATAGAGCGGTCATTGGTTGTATTCTGACGACGGATTGCCATGAGTTGACTTCGCAGCATGTATTCACCGATGAACATAGACGAGGCTCGTCCATGTTACGGAGAGCGAATCAGAACTGATTCAGACTAAGTAGTAAGTACACCGTCGTGGAGTCAGGCAACTGGCAAGTGCTGGCAGCGGCTCATTCGGGTCACGTGAATATTAGTTCAGGGGAGGCTTGATCGCAGGTTGGGCAGGCACACTCGGTCAGTCCTTCTCCCCGTCCGACGTCCATTTTCGATTCTCCTTGCCTGCTCTGCACATTGGTCACCTTAGTCGACCCTCGGCCTTGGGATTACTACTACTATACGGTTATTCTGCGAGACTACTGTTCAACATGGCGGCGAACAAAACAAACAAGCTGGCTTTCCTGTCGATGCCAGCCCCGGCATCTTACGTCGCTGGTCTAGGTCGAGGGTGCGTACTGACCTTCTAAACAGAAGATTCTGCTTCTGAGCTGAACGATAGCGCTTCGGGCTTTACCACTCGGTCAGATATTGGTCCTGCCCGAGAAGGTCCATCAGAGGAAACTATCGCGTGAGCTTCTTTCAGTGGCCTGCGTTGCTACAGTTCTACAGTTTTAACGGGAACCGCAGTGCTGCACGCGAGAAACGCGGTGAAGAAGATGTCGATCCTGAGCAGTTTCAAGATCCCGATAATGAATACGGGCTCTTTGCCGGCACCGTATACGAGCAGGACGACGAAGAGGCCGACCGCATATATGACGCTGTTGACAAGAACATGGATGCCCGCCGGCGCGCTCGGAGGTGCGTGGTTTGGTTAGTCGGTTTCAGGCCCTCTCTCTCAACGAGTTTCATCACCTTTTGTCGTGTGTAGAGAGGCCCGCGAGGAGGCGGAGATGGTTAAGTTCCGTGCGGAGAACCCGAAGATACAACAGCAGTTTGCAGACCTCAAGCGCGGACTGTCGGCCGTCAGCGATGCAGAGTGGGAAAGCATACCCGAGGTGGGTAACTTGACCAGGCGGAAACGACAGAAGCAAGAGCGGACCTACGTCGTCCCCGACAGCATTCTCGTCGGTGACCGGTCTAAGAATGAGTATGAAAACTCACTGGACCCAATGCAACAAGAGGTGCGTTGCTTCTGTCTTTGACTTGACTTATCGGCTGACCTTTTCGAATTAAGACCGGAGGTCTTGCTACACCCGCCGACTCTGGCACGATGACGAACTTCGTGGAGATTGGGCAAGCTCGTGACAAGATATTGTCCTTGAAGCTGGACCAGGTATGTAGCATTGATCCTTGTGCTTGCGTCCGTTTATTCAGTATGACACAGGCATCTGGCACGGCCACCAATCTTACCGGCACTTCCACGTCTATCGATCCGAAGGGCTACCTTACTTCTCTGGAGAGCGTGGTAATCAAGACCGATGCTGAGATTGGCGACATCAAACGAGCACGCATGCTCTTTGAGTCGCTCATCAAGTCAAATCCCAAGCACGCTCCAGGCTGGATCGCTGCCGCCCGACTGGAAGAGCACGCTGGCCGGATGGTCGCCGCACGGAAGTTGATTAAACAAGGATGCGATCAATGTCCGAAGAGCGAAGACGTCTGGCTCGAAGCAGCGCGATTACATGTACGTGCTCAATATTTTTCGGGCACTTTGCTTTGCTCATATGGTTCCATGCAAGAACAACGATGATGCCAAGGTCATTCTTGCTAATGCCGTGCAACATGTCGGACAGAGCGTGAAGGTCTGGATAGCCGCCGCCGATCTCGAACATGATACAAAGCTGAAGAAGCGTGTTCTTCGGAAAGGTGAGTTCACCCGCCTTGAAATCGGCAAATGCTAAGCACAGCCCAGCGCTGGAACACATCCCCAATTCCGTGCGGTTATGGAAGGAAACCGTCAATCTAGAGGACTCTATCGCCGACGCTCGTATACTCCTAGCACGCGCCGTCGAAGTTATCCCCCAATCCGTCGAGCTTTGGCTTGCTCTCGCTCGTCTCGAGACGCCGGAAAAGGCCAAGGCGGTCCTCAACAAGGCTCGCAAGGCCGTGCCTACCAGCCACGACATCTGGATCGCCGCTGGGCGTCTCCTTGAGCAAGAAGCAAGCACAAAGCCGGAATCGGACCGTCAGAAGGAGCTTGACCTCGTCGATCGGACGATCGAGGCTGGTGTACGCGAGCTTAGGCGGCACCAGGTGCTCCTCACCCGCGAGCAATGGCTTAAGGAGGCCGAACGGTGTGAGGTCGAAGGGAGCCCAAGGACATGTGAGGCTATAGTGAAGGCCACCGTGGCGATGGAAGTTGAGGAGGAAGACCGGTTGGCCACGTGGGTGGGGGATGCAGAGAGCGCCGAGTCCAGGGGAAGAATGGGCACCGCTCGCGCGATTTTGGCCTATGCTCTACGTGTGTTTCCCGACAAGAAGGACCTCTGGATGCGGGCCGCCACCCTGGAGAAAGAACACGGCACAAAGTGAGCAAACATATTTTGGGCGCACTTCCAACCTTTGACCCTGAATTGCAGGGCGTCCTTGGACGCGATTCTGTCCCGCGCTGTTCACCACTGTCCGCAAGCGGAAGTCCTCTGGCTGATGTGGGCCAAGGAGAAATGGACTAGCGAGGACGTTCCCGGCGCCCGTGGCGTGCTTGAGAGGGCGTTCATCGCCAACCCCGAAAGCGAGCAAATCTGGTTGGCTGCCGTCAAGCTTGAGGCCGAAAACGGCGAGTTGGGAGTCGCCCGCGAGCTCCTTGTTCGTGCGCGAACGGTCGCTAATACTGAACGTGTGAGTGTTCCACGTCGGTCCCTAAGGCAAACGAATGCTGATTCTCCTCTTAGATTTGGATGAAGTCGGTCGTGTTTGAACGACAGCAAGGCAACATAGAGGCCGCCGTGGAGATGCTGAGGACTGCGCTGGAGAAATTCCCAAAGTTTGCAAAGCTTTATATGATCCAAGGGCAACTCCACCAAGCTCAAAAGAACTATCCCGCCGCACGCGCGTCGTATGCGGCCGGCTTGAAGGCCTGTCCTAAAGATGTGACGCTCTGGGTCTTGGCGAGCAGGCTGGAAGAGACAGACGGGAAGAGCATCAAAGCTCGAGCGCTCCTCGAGAAGGCCCGACAAGTCAACCCTGCGAATGAGGTCTCGTGGGCAGAAGCCGTCGGCGTGGAAGAGCGGTCGGGTGGCGCGACGCAGGCCAAGGCGATGCTTGCTCGAGGTGAGCCTTCGTCTGTTCACTCGACAAACCAACCATGCACTTACCATATGCCTCAGGTCTCCAAGAATGCCCCTCATCGGGCTTGCTCTGGTCCATGTCTATTTGGCAAGAGCCGCGACCAACCAGGAAGACTCGCTCCGTTGATGCCTTGAAGAAGTCGGCGGACAACCCGCTCATCATCTGCACTGTCGCACGCCTGTTCTGGGCGGAACGCAAGATCGAGAAGGCCCGCGAGTGGTTTGGTCGGGCGGTGAAAGTTGACCCGGACCAGGGCGACCTCTGGGGCTGGTGGCTCAAGTTTGAACGCCAGCATGGAACGCAGGAGCACCGGGAAGAAGTCGTTAAACGATGCGCTGTCGCAGAACCGAGGCATGGCCCAACGTGGCAATCGATAGCTAAGGACGACCGCAACCGCGGCAAGACGATCGCGCAGATCGTGGAGCTTGTTGCTGATGCTTTGAGATAGTCGACCATACTGAGGCATGCGAGTTTGCGTTGTGCATATGTATCTATACAACGCGTATGTGTATGAGTATATATCCGGAGAAAACCATCCATCTATCGAGCGTTGCTACTAATCAGCATGCTACGTACAGCTGCCTAAGTCGAAAGCATCGAATACTTTTCACTCCCAACGCAGTTATTGCACGTGAAGACACCGAAGGGGTCCACCTACTTTTTAAATGCCAACAATCGCAAACCATCGACCATGCCAATTTGCTTCGCCGTTCCGGTCCTCGAGCTCGTTGTAATAAGAGGCTGCATATCTCTCCGCCAGAGTACAGGATACCGTCGACGCCTTCCAAAATTTGCCTAAGAGTACTGTTCTGTTGCGCCGTGAGTACAGGTTGGGTAAGATCGAAGACCGGGAAATTGGCGTGCAGGAGCGCCTTCCGCCAGCCCGGATGAGAAGACGTTTGCTTGGAGTCAGGGTCGAGGGAACTGACGGCGCCACCGGCCACGGCTTGCAAGATGACAGGGGTGGTCATGTTGGTGATATAAGCTGCAAGGGCATCGACCACGGTGTCATTAGCCAGCGTGTCCCGCATCATGAGACGATCGCCCGAGATCAAGTTGATCCCTACGGCATCGCCTCCAGCTATCGTCGGTTCCACCATGAGCGTATACGCCTCCAACCAAGTCTTGAACGAAGCGCCGTAGAGATTGACCTCGACGCCGGGTATGTCACTCAAGCGCTCGAATATTGCCAATGTTTTGTTGATATTCTCGACCGGCCCCTCAGTGAAAGGTTGGGTGTAGAGGAGCACACCTGCGGGGAATGTCTATAACATAAATAAGCAGCTAGCTTGCACAAACAAACCGCGCAACATATTAATTCGGATAGGCCGGATAAGCCATCGTCTGCGAGCTCTGCTTGCGATCTATCACCTGGTTCCCTGATCCTACGAGGAGTGCACCAACTGACGTAGTCGAGTTGGGACATCCCTCTGGGACGGAAGTCGGTGTGTGCGATGCGCTCTTTAACTGGTGGGTCCAGATGGTAAACGATCCGGGTGCTGAGGACCTGCCAAGACTGGGAGTACCCCCTGTCATGTCAAGGAACGGCGTTGATAGTATGCACGCATACTAATCATGTCCTGTCTATATCGTAAAACCACTGAGTAGGGATCATAGAATACCAAAAAGAGCAACGTACGTTTTTTATCCGTGATCGTAGATTGTATTTTGCAGCGAACGCAACCGCTTCGCTTACGTCGTGAGCTTCGGTTGCAAAAACCTCATTCGCCGGAAGGGAGCCTATAAAAGGTGCTTACAGTCATCTTATGGCTAAGAACTGTACCTTTGACCCGTATCTATCGAACAATTACCCTCAAGCGGCGCATCCGGACGGCTGTATGGCTGTAGGCATCCTTCGCCATCGTTCAACTCCCAGTTGGTGAACATCATTGCATTCGGCACCTGAGCCCGAAAGGAACCCAGATTAGCGTTGTCGAATAGGGGAAGACGCGCCTCCTCGTTCCATGATGCCTCGTAGCAAACAGAGGCATAGGGAGCTAGTGCCCGTAAACGTCCAGATATCGTGTCATTCAAGCTTTGTGTAGCATCCTGCGATGGAAAGCATTCCTGATCTGGGAGACATTACGGGATTGCACCCAGAACAGCAGATGGAAGCGCAACAATGCTAGAGAGAGCCCAGAGTGAAAGAAGGCACGCGAACATGGTCGGGTTCTGGAAGCTGATTGTTCGACGGTTCCGCACTTGTCCAGTAAAAACCTTGTACGCAGGGCACCAACACACCCAAAAGAGAGTTCGCGCCATCTATTCACCGCCGAAGCAATTTTCCAATGATGCCAAGATACACCGTAGGCAGCCTTCATGCAACTCGTGTGCTAAGATTGCTACGACTGCGAGCGTGCGAGGCGGCAACGAGTGCGATCCGAAGGATCAGAGGGGTATTCACAACTGGTAAATTTCATCGTGGCGGTCAGACATCTCCGTGACCAGCGAGTAGCCCACCTGGATTCCTACAGTTGGAGCTTCAAAGATGCATGCGAAGTGCCTCGCCAGTGCACATACTGCGTTTCGCCACGCGCAAAGCACGATGTCTAGCTAGTGAAGACAAGCTCTGACGTTCGTTCGGATACTGCTCTCTCAACCCAGTAAAAGTGTATTACAGCTTGAGTCTCGCTGAGCCATGCAGTAAGGCCGGGAATCAGGATCATCCAAGCGAGAATGGGTCAGGGTGGACTGGACAGAGAGCGAACTCAAAACCCGCGATGCTCGCGCGGATCCGGTCCCAGGTTGCTCGTCACGTGCGATTCTGTCGTAACTGCGGCAGCTTTGCGAGCACTGCCTCTGATCGTAACGTGCAGTCTGATTCACCTATAGCGGAACTAGCTGGGTGGTAGTAGGTGAATTATGATTAGGTGGGCGTTCAAGCTCGGAAATGTTGCCAACGTCCTTCAAATTCGAGGTCATGAGATCAAAGCAACGCATCCCGTGGGGAGTTCAGGCTTCAGGCGCCGAATATTTCGCTGCCAACGCAGTTGGTACAAGTAAAGACGCCAAAGGGATCCACCTGTTTTTTTATAGCCAGAAGTCGTTCATAATTCTTCTTTCCGAAAGACCTAGTTTGCCAGTCCGTCTCGCCGGTCCAGTCCTCGTTGTAGTACGCAACAGGATCTTCATCGGGATATATGATTTCGTCGATGTCCTCTAGGATCTGCTTCAGTGTATTGTTCTGTTGCGACGTGAGTATGGGCTGGGTGAGGTCGAACACGGGGAAATTTGCGTGAAGGAGCGCTTTCCTCCAACCAGGATGCGACGATGTATGCCGTGAATCAGGGTCGAGGGAGCTCATCATGCCGCCGCCCACAGCTTGGAAGATAACAGGAGTAGTCATGTTGGTGATATAGGCTGCAAGAGCGCCCACGGAGCTGCTATTCGTAAATGTGTCCCGCATGAGAAGGCGATCGCCGACGATGAGATTCACCCCAACCGCGTCGCTTCCTGCGACTGTGGGCTCGACCACCTGTGTGTATGTCTCCAACCAGGTCTTAAAGGATGCGCCCTCAAGGTTGAGTTCCACTCCGGGAATATCGTTCAAGCGCTGAAAGAGCCCCAGGGTCTCGTTGATGTCCTTCACCGAACTGTTGACGAAAGGTTGGACATAGAGGAGCAAGCCTCCTGGATATGCCTAGATGCACATCTTCAGCCATTTCCAGAGATAACAGTAGGCGGTATGGCTTACCGCCTCGGATATTCCAGCTAATCCTGCGTCTGCTAGGTCCGTCTGCATGCTTAACCACGTACTCATGAACTCGGTGTATGACGATGTAGAGTTCGCCACAAATGTAGTATGCACGGCATTCACGGCGTGAAACGCTGGCCACGCCTTCAAGACCACATCGATCGCGACCTAACGTGATGAATCAAAGCACGCTCAAGAGCATGTCCTTTAATTGCTTACTCCGAATGCCCCTCCCCCTCCGCGTAAAGCCCAGAACAGCTCCTTGTTCGTACACGCGTTCGCCGTCTTAATCGCGCCGTCCGCTGTGACGACGGTATATTGCAAAACGTCTATGTCAAGCGGTGAGTGACATTGGCCAACTTTGTCGTGAACAGCGTACTATCAACGCCCAGGCCGTACAGCCTACTCAAGGGCCCAGCACCACCTCCCAGAATAAACCCTCCGGCGGCACCGACTGTCGCGGTGAAACCTCCGATTGTAGTGACGCTGTATTGATCTGCGGCGGTCCACAGATCAAGCACTTCCATTCCCGATCCCACAAGCAGAGCGTCGACTGGTTTCGTAGACCTGGAGCATCCTGCGGGTACAAAGGACGGTATATGAGCCGCGCTTTTTAGCTGATGTGTCCAGATCGTGAAGGATCCTGGTGCTGAGGAACGGCCAAGGCTAAGAATAGATATAGATCAAAGCCATGTCGTTATCGAGGGTACTCACTAATCATGCCCGGTCTGCGTTTATTGAATTATCAGTTTCGACGAAACAGGATAGTGTAGAGCAGCATACATTCTTGATCCGCAAACGTAAGTTATATTTTGCGGCAAATTTTACGGCTGCACTGACATCCACGGTACTAGTCGCAAGCACCTCGTAAGCGGGGAGCGCCCCTGTCAGGCAGGGTAAAACTTCAGACGTGGCCCGAAACCTGCTGACGCTGCTCACCTAACGAGCAGTTTCCCACGAGAGGCGTATCACGTAGGCTGTAGGGTTGAGGACAGCCCTCACCATCGTCGACCTCCCAGTTGGTGAACATCAATGCATTGGGTTTCTGAACCCGAAAGGAACCTGAGCTGGCGTTGTGGAAGAGACGATGACAGGCATCCATGTCCCAATCGTCCCCGTAGCAGACGGATGCATACGGCGCTAGCTGCCTTAGGCGCCCAGATACGGTATCATTGAAGGTTTCTAGGGAACTGCGTGAAGGGAAGCATTCCTGTTCTGGGATACAATATGGTGCTGTGCTGAAGACGCCAGCTGCAAGCAAGATAATGAAGTAGAACACCCGAGTTGGATGAGCGGACATGGTGGAGGGATGCGGATGAGACCGATTTGTGAGTACGCAGCATCGCAGTATTAAGATAGACCGCAGCTTCCGTTTCAGGGCCATAAGAGCGCCGCCGGAGTGATCTTGTAGATGGCGTCAAGGTGCCTGAAAAGGGTGCCTTCAGACAGAGCCTGCGAGCAACTGAACGTCTAGAACGACATCGCCATTTGGGTCGCTGCTCGATCGAGGAAAGACCTCGCTATATCAGGCGAATCGTCAACACAAGACGCGCAACGAGGCCGAAATGAAGGCGGGGCAAGGTACCAACATGTCCTTCGTATTGCCGCAATACAGACCATCAGAGAATCGAAAGAGCGCTCAGCATAGGAGGAAATAGACATCCGTATGGCAGCCGCCCGGAATGCTGGTGGTGATGGGAAATGCACAAGGCGCGTCTGGATTGTGTGAATCGTGCAAGAGTTATGAATAAGCCGCTGGCACGGACGCTGCAGCCTGCCGGCGGCACAACATCCACCGTTGGGTAGTAAGCGGATATCAGCGTATATGATACCAATTAAATTGACACGTCTCGGGATACGTAGTCTACTTATATTAGGATCCAGGAACTGCAAACCTACGAGCGTTCTAACTGTTCCGATTCTCAAAGCTTGCACATCGCAGGAACACGAGCGCCTGAGGCGCTGTAGATCGTCGCGGAGTCGGCGCCTTCTGATGGATACGTCTGGGTTGTTACAGCTATACGGGTGCCATAACTGAAAGTTGGAAGCGATCGAACGAAACGCTCCCAGGACGCATCGCTGAGGATAGGAACCTCGACGAACGAGTCGACGTGCATATCTTCCACGAGTTGGGAAGCATGTGGAACGATCGCGTCCAGTGCATCACACTCCATCTTCGCAAGCTGGGCGCGACTCATGGCTCCAGTCTCTGCATACCATCCGAAGTCGCCCTTGATCACTTGGGACGCATATAGGTCGATCAAAGGGCGCGCGACACCTTCTGCAATCGCCGCCTCGTACGCCATCCGGTGTGCGATGGCCTCGACACACGGGACGCAGCGGGTCAAAGCGAGGGAAGCAAACTCGGGGCTGCGATGACCATATTGTTTCGCCAGCGCCCGTCCCTCTGCCAAAAGAGAGGTTTCGTGACGAGCAAGGAGACTATCACTATCGGCAGGCGATGGCATAGCATAACGGTCGAGGAACAGCTCATTAGCAAGGCCTACATCGGAATTGTGATCGCGGCTGTCAGGACTTATCTTCTTTCAGTGATTTACTACTCACGTATGCATAACACCAAGGTGTCTCCTTCGGCGATACTTGCTCCACGGACTTCACTCTAGTCGAGTTTCATAAGCGGCATGAAACGAGACTATTATGCCGGGCAACTCACCATCAGTGACACGATTTTGTTGTAGCCGAAAAGACCTTGAGCACCACAACGCTCCGATAGAGAGTAGAGGGTGTTGTATGTATGCGACATGATTCCAGCTTTGAAGGTGGTTGCAATCCCATGCCTGACTCGAGGATCCATCGTGTTGTCCATGAAGTACCTAACTGCGTGCTTGTGGAAGGTGTCCAGGATGTAGGCTTGCGCGATAGCAAAGAAAACGGGCAGTTGCTGTGTGCGAAAGGATATAATCGGCACGGTCTCTCCCTTACGGCCACCGATATGCCTGCGAAAACTGTAGCGATACGCGATGGATGTTGCAATACGAATGGCAGGTATCATGCATGAGCTCAGGGCCAGGGTTCCGACCCCGACGCGCCAAATCGCGAGCAGGAAATCCATATGCGGGTTGGTGACGCATTCCGTATCGCCCAATAACGCGCCTTTCGGTAGCTTCACGTGATGGAAATAGGTAACCGAATGATTGACCGGAGCGGATCCATGGCGATATGGTAAAAGCCTGGCGAAAGGGTTAAGCATACATGAGTGAGATTGCCTACGACAGCGCTCACGATGCAGTTATCCCAGGACACATGCGACGCCCATCGTTGATCTGAACCAGGAAGGGGCGTATCCCTTTGTCCTCACCATGCGCCAATAATCTTGCGAATACGACGGCGACGCAAGGACGCCCAAGAACGGGTGTAGTAGGCGGCATATATCTGGCAGTGCAAAGGTCAGTAGGATGTTTAGCTTTAGCAGTGTCGAAGCATACTTAGCATTCTGCGAAGTGGGAGAGTGCAGCTCAAAACTTCCGTCCGGTAATGATGTAGCAATGGTTCCTAGATTAAAGGCATCCAATCCATGGCCAATTTCCGTCAGGCAAAATTGGCCTCTATTAGTAAGAGGAACGACGGAAGACGTCAGGATAGGACATGCGGAAGGACCATGGAAAGCTTACATGGTTTCATACTTCAGTAAGCTCTCCGCCATGGGTCGCAAATCGGACCGTGATGGAACGTAACGGGAGAGGGTACCGAGACAGAGATTATATTGGATGGTGAGCAGTATGGCCGCTGCGGGATCTATGGAGAGTATGGGATCTTTGTGCAATGGCCAAAACTTGGGTGAACTTGTAAGAATGTCCTGGATATCAAGATCTACGCGAATAAACCGTTTAACTCGATGACCTAGGCCCTGGGACAATTTGGTTACGTACCGTGGTGTTGCGCGATGGCTGCCGCGCGAAGATACGACGATGAGGGATTGAGAGAACCAAAATCAGGACCGGAAGTGGCGAAAAGCGTGCCCCCGTCTGCTGATGGTAGCAGTGACTGAGAGGACCACATTTCGGAGACCAGCGGGACATGAAGACACCAATGTCCGAAGTTCGTCGACTTTAAATGCGGAACTTGGAGGTCCGGAGATGATGAACCGATCAGAGAAATATGGGCTCCGTTGAGATGACTTGTGTCCACAACAGCCGGAAATCTGACTTCACCGTCCGTTGAATACGCACGCTTCTTGGCAGACACGTCAGGTTGACAGAAATGTCAAGGATCGGTGCGTCAAAACCGCGGAGCAGGAAAATGAAGAAGGCTGTATCTGCCCAGTTCATGCGACGTGCGACACCAACCATTCACAACCTTCCGCTACGATTGGCTTCTCCTGAGCGAGTCGTTCAACGAGATGGGGATGCGTCGTGTATCGGATCCCGCCCATGAGCGATCTTCGCGATGACCTTCTCCGAAGCCAATACTTACGGACACCCGTAAATACCGGGTCGAGCAACAGCAGCTAATTAAGATCCACGATGGATCGGCGGACTCATGCCAACACTGTCAATCAGTTGGTCATTGGCCATTGGTTGACAGGATGTGCGCTCACACAAATAGCCAGATCCTCCCTAAGAATTTGTATATGCGCATATCTGCAATGGACAGATAGCGAACGGTGACGACGTCGGATCCCTCGCTCTCCTGAATGTCATGAGCGGCCGGCATCCCACATGTGCACGACTCCGACCGATGTAAGACCGATGTAAGGAAACTGTGCGGTCCAAGCGGGTGTCGACGAGAATGAATTAAGCTGTGTGTGTCTTGTGAAAGTGAAACAGCGTCGCGGAAGCGATGTCGAATTCATGTTCGGCGGCATCCGAATGTTGAATCGAACGCGTATACTCCCCGCCTGACTCTGAGCTATTATCCGTGCACTGCGGCTGAAATAATGTGTATTATCAGGAGGATTCATATGAGGAGTCTGTCGGCGCGATGCTGTCGCCGGATCCCGAGCGTCGAGAGCTAAATTAAATCGTAATGCGCCGAGTGACATGATGAGTAAATTGTGCGTGAATCGCTCGAGGGACATCCGTTTGGATCCTTCGTGTCTGAGTAGTGAACACTGGATAAGCCAATATCATCGATGGAGCCTCTCGGTTGCTGAGATCTGAGCGGTGCAGCAACTACCAGCCAGTGCGAGGAGTCGATGAGTGAGAACACGCGCGTCAAAGCCAAAGCGTGGGGGAACGCAGGATCGGTGAAAGCCGTGTTTCGCACGCGCAATCGTTGTGGGTGTCGCGCAACTAAACTGATCAAACAGCACATCATAACAGGTTTACAGTAATGCTGGATTCGAATGTATCAGCCCGTATTTACGAACGATATAGATGCGGAACCTGATCATCATCTATCAACACAGCACGGAAGACCATGACGACCCCAAGACCATGACGACACCATGTCTATTCTACAACCTTTGCATCCACAGCAAGCACAATCATGTCCTTGTGTCGAGATCGAGAGCACGTTCTTGATTAGGTTAAGCTTAATGCCCAGGGAAGGCGACCTGCGCCCTGACATTTCACTGGTAGACTTGACATCCGTAATCTTCGTATCCTTCCCTAGTGAAAGTGACGATGTGATCTGGAAAACTTTTGTCACCATGTTTTCATATTATAAACCTCATATAATCACATACCTCCCAACGTCCTGGTCGTGAACCCAACTTCGCAATAGCAGCTAGGAGCGTACCCCACGTCAACGCTGCAATCGGATACAACAACACCAAGATATCACGCTTACTAGTAATCTTATCATCGGAGATTGTTATCAGTTGCTCCGAAGAATGTTATGAGCAGGATGACTCACAGATCCATTTCCGCTTGAACACCTCCACTTCTTCCCGCCCACGATCCCCGCTCATCACCTCCGGGTGCTCTCTCACGAGTGCAGGCACGATTGCTTCCTCGAACTTGGCAAGGAAACGACGTCGCCATTCACGGAGAGTTCGGGCGTAATGCGGTCCAATGTTCGAGACAGAATCAACGATCAACCTCCGAGTCAAATAACGTAAATTATCAAGACTTAGGAGAATGATAAAACCAAGCTTACCTCGACTGGGATCCTTTTTGTAGAGTTTCCATGAGGTAGGTCAGCGTTGGCAGGAATCCTCCGGGGAATACTATCGCTCGATCATAAGCAAGCAGTCTTCGGTTTGCCATAAACCCCACTCACTCTGTCAAACGAACATGTAGCTCAGCCAGTGTGATAGCACGCGGAACATGGGCACTCACCCATTTCCGTATGAAGTCTATTTCTACCATGTACCGTTCGAATCGCTGTCACCGGCACAATCAAACAATGTGGTGCAAGCCTCCGCACCGGTCAACTTACCGGCTCCGGAATGGTGATACACTGCACAACGCCCACCGCACCCTCCCTTTTCATCGCCCACTCGATCTTGCCCCAGTACGTCTCAAGAAACTCCTTTCCCACCGCCTCCGCCATCTCAATGCTCACAACGCGATCGAAGACGCCCTCCCACTCCGCAGGCATCGCACGATAATCCATGAGGTGTACTCTGACCCTGTCAGACAACCCGGCAGCGGCGATTCGTTGCTCCGCGAGCGTCTGCTGCGCGGAGGAGAGCGTGAGCGTGTCGACTGTCGTACCCGGCACGGTCTGCGCGATGAGGATCGCGAGTGCGCCCCAGCCCGAACCAATCTCGAGAACGCGTTGGTTCGGCATGATGCGTGCCTTGTCAATGATGTGACGTAGCTTGCGGAGCTGCGCGGCGTATAGAGTGTCGTTTTCCAGTGAGGCAGATAAAGTTTCGGATGATTGATGAGGAAGGGAAGGGAAATCTTGGGATGCCGATGATGTGAGGCGGCGGAGGCCTTGGCCGCCGCTCCACGAACTTCGGTCTGCGCTACCGTGCTTGAGATCACCATCGAGGTCGTCGAAGATGGCGCAGGAGTACGTCATGTCTTCGGAGAGGAAGCCTAGAAGCGATCCTCATGAAGATCGAAAACTGTGAGCAGAATTGTGACACGGACCTGCGAACATGTCGTTGGAGATGTCGTAGTGAGCAGAAATGTTGGAGCGCGAATTGCCGATCGTGTTGAGGAAGCGGTAGGAGGTGATCTTTTGAGGCAGGGTGAAGAGGTAGCTGAGTTTCGTGTTGAGGCTGGCGAGGTTGGAGCGATTGTACACAAACATCTACGATCTGCATTAGGACATGCGTATATGCGCGTATGGTTCAAAAACGTACAAGGAATAACGAAACAAGATCGTCGCATTCGACGTCTCCGTACATGTATGCTTCGGCGAAGCCTATGAGAAAGGCGAGTTGATAATGATAGCAACCACGCGACAGGCGGGGAACACAGACCGAGATCGCTCATAGTGCACAAGCGAAGCCAAAACACGTCGTTGACCACACGGAGCTCGGCCTTGAGATTGGGCATGTCGTTGTCCTTCTCGGCCTGCGAGCCGGGTGCAGGGAACGTGTATATATGCGAAGTAGAGAGCACTCGAAGTTGGCCGTGAGTGATGTTCTGCATCAACCTGTGTGATACGTTGGTTAGCACGCGCGCCGCATATGAGGAATGGAGTAGCGCTGACGCGACGACGGCAGACTCTGCGAGACGAGCGGCGGGGCTCCAGGCCGTGTTGAAGGCCGTTTCGCATACGGTGCTCCAGGCATTGTCGGCGAGAGACGCCCAAGAGGATTTATGCTTGGAAGGTGTGTTGAGCAACCGCGTCGACATGGAGGAGGCAAGGACGGGGGTCCTGGACAAGTTGGGTGGTATTCACGGGCTGGCACCGCAACGTCGGAGAGCGCGATGGGCTGCGAAGATGACGCGCTGGCTAGGATCTGGTGCACCGAATCAACGGCGTCGCGAACCTGGCCCCGTCGTCACATCAACGATGCGTCCCCGCAATCGCCCGTTCAGTGGCAGTCGTGGGCACGTCCAGTATAGCACACCGATCGCCAAGTTGAGCGCATCGTCCAGAGCGACGAGCGCAAGGTGAACCGTTGTCAGACCGAGGGATCCCGAGTCCGGGAAGGTGTGCTAGTGTGCGCTGGTGAGCGCTGGCGGAATGGACTCAGCTGTATGGCGTGGGAATGCGTGATACTTGGACGGAGATGGTATCCAAGTTGCTTCCGTCTCCGCTGGGGTTACGCATAATTACATCGAACACATGCGCACTCCCCAAGATCCAGAACGATCACCGTTCAGCGTAAGTAGTAGGGAAGACTCTGAGTCTCAATGCACGACTTTGGAGGATGGAACCCGGCACGGTCACGTGATCGTCCATCTCATTCAACCGCGCGCGTGCTGCAGCCCCTGTAGTGGTCGACCCAGCACCTCATACTACCAGGCCAGCACCAAACAACTCCCTCGTTCTACTGAAAGGAACGCCGTTCTGGCTCTGACTGCCAGTACCGTTGGCTATGCCTGCGCCGAAGCAAACGGTGAGAGCCTTTGATCTTCGGCTGCTAAACATCATTGATGGACATCTTTCATTACGCCTCGTAGACCCACTCGCAGCTGTACGCTAGTGACTCGGATAGCGAACTATATCGACAACAGTCCCACGCACGCCTACAGCGAAAGCCTCGTCAACGGAAGGGCCCCACAGCTCGCCGACGGTCTACCTCCAACGATGACGGGGATCTGAACGAAGAGGCAGATGTCAGCCGACTCGAGTCGGACGTTGACGAAGAGACGAGCGGGGATGAATTGGATGTCTTGGATCAGACCTCTCACTCGTCGGTCTCCATCGCTCCTGTGATGGCCTCCGAGACTTCAGTCGCCGCTCGCAATATCGCACCCTCGCGGGCCAAGGCAACGCGACCACCCTCTCCTCCGGCATCTCACTCTGAAGAAGAGTCTCCCAGTGGCTCAGACGAAGACTCGGAGATCTTTCACGACCTGTCTACATCTTCCCAGGAAGAAGATGAGCTAGCTGAAGGAGACTCCATCCTTGACGACGACGACAGCCGAGAATTCTCTGGAGACATGTACTCAGACGTCGACTCGGACTCTGCCTCTAACCCTGGCGATTCCAGCTTCCAACCTGAATCCAGCGACTCCGAGTCGGAGGAATCGGTGAAGAAGGGTCATTTGACCCTGGACAGCGACTCGGCTAGGGAAAGCGACGGCGATGATGTGGAAGCGCAGAGGGAGGAAGCTGAGGAACTAGCCCGAGCTGCGATCATTTCCCGCAAGGAGGCCCTCGCCATAGCATTCGGTGAAGATCGATGGACCTGTCACGACGTGAAGACAGTCATTGCCGTCGTTGAGGTCTTCCGCGCGATTCTCAACACAGCTGGGAAAGTGCAGGTACGCTTCCGCAGCGATTATTTTCGAGTTCAACGGCGTTGACGTTTTCACCATCTCCGTATTCCCAGGAGCGTCGGATACGCAAGACGGATCTCATAATGGAACAGTTGAGCGACAACAGGACTGCATTTCTGAAGCCCGATCGGCGGCATATCCTTGAGGATAACGATGTTCGGGACGCTGTCAAACTATACGTTGCTCTTAGCAAGCATGCTGATGCACAGATTCGAAAGAAAGCGGGTACTCTCGAGGGTACCGCTGGCTTTGTCTCCTTGAAGGACCTTCTCCAAGAGCTTGACAAATGATGATCTCCTTCCTCTGAATAAACGTTTCGATTGAATATCCTCGATGCTCTGCGAAAGCTCTGTTGTGATTATGCCGCCCATCGCTTTCCTATTTGTACTTGATATCACCCCATCAATGCTGAAACTCGGTTGCATCATCGCCCTACAATATCCCTGTGTGTACTGTGCCTTTACTTCACGCCATTGCGGACCCAGGCCTCGCATGACGTCATGACGAACTTCAGTCAGGGGATACATGACCAGTAGTGGAGCTTTGCCAATGTAGAGTTCAGCGTACTTAGTACAAGAATACCGGTCCGTCCTGTTCGCTGCTCGCACACCATCAACGTAAATCAACCATGACTCATAAACCGGAGATGCAACCAGAGAGTAATCAGCAGTCTCTTCGTCGAGGTACGCTCACTCAGGAAACTCTTCGACAATCGCGTTGACATGTTCCTAGATGACCCTGCTGCTGCGCTAGAAAATGCTGCGGCCCACAATAACACAGAAGAGCGCATACCAAGCGTATCACACGACCAGACCAATCACTCGGACGAGAATGCCCCTCGGCGTGACAACAACAAAGCCTGGGGAGGCGAGTGGAACGGCGGCCAGATGGATCCAGTCGATTGGGAACGCCGACAAATCATCCAGGAGACGGTCCAGGTGTCAGAGCCTCCTTCGAATCTGTTGAAGCCAGGGTTGACGACAAGAGTCAAGGGTATGTGCTCTGCCCGTCCCGTCCCTCGCAGCGCCTGATCCTTTGATCGTGTGCAGGCTCCGTGGAGAAGGCCGTGGGGAAGGCTGTCGGTAATGCGTCTTTAGTCCAACGCGGTGAACGGCTGAAGGTACGTTGGCTTGGTTCGCTGCGAGTCATAGGTGTCCTGACACTGCGCCTGTCAGACCGGAAGTATGAGTACAGACTCTTCGACTATAGATTGAACTAGCCATTCTGTAATAATACCTACATTGTTTCGCCTGTACCCATGGACAATGGCGTAACACTGGTATATATTGTGTAATATTGGGGATGAGCCAACGCGTCGCATACTTGTCTGAGACTCGAGAAATTCCTGACGCGGGACCTCCCGTGCTCTCGCGTGGGCCGTGTACTTCTTGCTGCTATCCTCACAATGCGCAGCCTTTGCATCACAAACTCGCGGCGCGTCCCTGAACGTCCGGCATGAAAGCGTACGCGCCGACGGACCTCGATGTCCTGGCCGCTATCGTGTTGGGATGGATGGTCTATCAGGTGCTCAGAACGGTCTGGAGACAGCATTTTAGACGAGCACTTGACCTGACAACGTGGTCGAAAGATACTATCCGGGTTCGGGGTTGTGCGCCGGCTTTTCCTTGCGCTCTGTACTGAGTTCTGGGCAGGTGGAAAGGATTTTGTGTTATCCCATCAAAAGTGCTCGAGGGATAGATCTTCAGGAGGCTGAACTCGGGGCTACTGGCTTGCAGGTGCGTAAACGAACCCTGTCCATCTTAAGTGCGGCCCGTGAACTGCTAGTAGTACGATCGACAATGGGCTATCCTGGACAAAAAGACGCTCAGAGGCGTAACCGGTGCCAACACGCCACAGGTCAGACGATCGCCCCATGTAGAGTACAAGATGACTGAACGACAAGCTTCTCCTGTAGACCGTTCTTGTTCAACCCTCTATCAACAGAACCCGCAGAACACTTGAGGTGTGCATCCCATCCCGGCCAGACCTCCCATCCTTCTCGGTCCCACTTGCACCACCTGCATCGACCAGCGCAGGTTGGGCGAAGGTCCGTGTCAACAAACCAGATAGAACGTCCGCCGGAGAGGGTTATGATGCTCTTATTCCCAGCGAAGAGGCTAACGACATCTTGAGCCAATTCTTTGAGCGCGACTGTATTCTCGTTATGAAAGGACCGGAAATGCGCCTAAGTCTTGCGGACCCAGATGGCACGGGAAGCGAGCAGCTGCAATGGCAAGACAAGCACCACTGTAGGGCTGGTTGTCCCCTTCTTACAAAGGGCGTGATCTGACGACATTTTTTCCAGTCCTGATCACATCTGTCGAATCGTGCCGTGACGTTCTCGGGCGAACATTGGCCATTGCGCGAAACGCGGATCCGACGCAAAGGCCGGGCGGGTTTGATGTTGACCGCTGGGGCACCGAACAGGACGAAAAGCTGTTTATGGAACGTTTCCGGCCGAATATCGTTGTCTCCGGAGTAACCAAGCCATTCGCGGAAGATGCGTGGGCCAAGGTCTCCGTCGGGGGTGTTACCATGACGGTGGTATCCCGCTGTATGCGACTCTGGTGTTTCATATGTCCGTGAGCTAACTCCTCAACCCAGGCGACCGGTGTATATTCACAACCGCTGATCTTGCCTCCGGAGAATATGACAAAGCGGTGCCTCTGAAGGTGTGCTTGAACTTTGGTCAATTTAGTCAGCCTTTGATGGTCGTCATACAACCAGGTCATGCAGCCGTACCGACGAGTGGACTCAGGAGTAAGTGAACCACGCAACTATCGCGGCATTTTAACGTATGTGTTCTCTAGTCGAAATACTCACCTTGCTTTGGGGTATATGCCAAGATGGACAATGACTGTATGCTCGATGGCGTTCAAGTGCATAAATCTTTGCTGACATCTCCGACCAGATCCTCGAACTATCCGCGTGCAAGATGTTGTGGAGGTGCTAAGGGAGGGTAAACACACTATCGTTGCCCCGCCATTCTATGTGGGAGGCTGACTCCAGTAGTAAACGTTCTCGGCCTCCGACTCAAAAGTTCGAGGTTCACTCAGCGTGTGGGGGCAGCTGGCATCGTCATTGCTCAGAACCATGTTCACCAGTGACTGCCAATAAATAACATCGAAGAGGCAGGTCCCTGTGGCTTCCCGGAAGCGTCAGGAACCTCTGGTGATCTGAAGGCGTCCGACTTTCCTCAACCTCGGTGACTTCAGTGGTGAAGGGGCTACCGATTCTAGCGTAGAGGCCGTTCCATCCGATCGCGCCTTTCCACAGCCATCATGCCTCGTAACAGTTACGTCCGGCTTCTTCGTGTGCTCCTGTTGTGGAGCCGTAACTACCGGTGGACTCGCGAGCTGCCCGCGCTCTGCAACATCGACAAGGCAGCGGGCGGGTTGATTCTTTTCCTCCTTCGATGATACGGAACTAGAGCTGGGGTCAAGGATGCCTCGCTTAGTGGCCGACTTTCGGCTTAGCGATTCGTTGAGGGTTAACCGTTGATAACTTTGTTCCCACCCGCACTGTCTGGAGCATGCGGTTACTCGGACGTCTTGTTCTTCAAGATGCGCGCCGCAGCTACAGCGGCCGTGTTGGCCTTTACTGGAGTTGCTGGATTTTGTAGACATCTATGAAGCGTGTTCGTCAAATGCATCGTTCGCACTGCGTTGCATGTCGTTGAAGAACTGACCGGAACGCTCGGGGTAGCAGCTGGGAGAAAAGTGACCTGAGGCAAATGCAAGACGAGTGTACCTTGATATACTAAGCTCAGACGTACAAAGCCACAGTCCAAGTTAAGGCCACCGCAATCACAGCCTCATCTTGCCTACCAGATGGTGACATCGATACATCGGAGAGGCATTATCCTTAGGAGCGGGCACATCATGAATATTCCGGTATGTCCCAGAGAAAAGGGAAAACAAAGCATCGTACTTCGTCTCAAAGCCATGGTCCATGGTCAAGGGGGAAGGGGTTCACCGGGACCTTGGTGAATTCCGCGTTAACGTGACTCACAATTCGTGTCAGCCAAGCATGAAATGCGAGGAAAGGCAGGCGAAAATCGACGTATACAGTGTTCTGGTTTCAGGGATCGTCAACGGATGCGTCGAGTTGTATTCCTGAGGTCTGTTATGTATCATTCCGGACTCATCTCGTATGCGCCTATATAGTCTCGTCATGGTCCACTCACTGTGCCACAGCAAGCGCCGGCGGTGATATATATCCATGCACTGCAATCCTGAGATGATACGGTTGACATGGCCGGTGTGAGCACTCGTGGCTATCATGAGACTGACTGGGAACATACAGAGAACGCGGGAACGTCTCATCGGAAGACTGTAAGCATACATGTGCGGGATGCATGGCAGCCATAGACGCTGGATCTCATTGCACCGTTGTGATGCAGGGCTTGATCTCGACTCTCTAAACCTCATGAGTGCCCATAGAAAACGCATCGGAAACGTCGGAGTGTTCTCCGGCGCCTCCGCGCAGATATCGTTGGCGGATTGTGACCTTGCTTCGGACATGGCCCGCAGTAATATCCTCGAGCAACGCGAATTCCTCATGTCACTTTTCATTACGATGTAGGATAAGCGCACCGATGCGACGCATATGAAGTGCCGGCGTGATGTAGAGTTCAAGGGGCACTGGTAACCTGCCCAGACGGAATCAGCGAATACAACAAGGCATTGACTGGCACCCACACACAACACGAAAAAAGTGGCTCCGGGCAGCGACCACGCTGTCCAAAAGGGACGCTATCATCGACTCTCCTCCTGGATTTGAGGGGTTAAGTGCCGTCGTGGATCAATGGTGTCGGAAGAGCGATCGTAACCGGATGGACCGGCTTTTGGTGATGAGGAGCCAGCGACTGACGCGGATATAGGTGATCGTGGGGCGGTATGAGGAGGAGTATGAGACGTGGAGAGAGCGATGGCCTAGAGATGGCAATCGTTAGCGTCCCCATACGTGAAATACCTGCCAGAATCACGCTGACCCGTTCCATGGCCTCCGCATCCTCGTCATCTTTGGCTCGACCGTGCTCGCCCGTTCCTCGTTCGATATCGCGTGTGGGTCGAGATTTCGTTCGCTGAATATCGGTGCGCATCTGGTGCTCGATGGCTGTCCACACAGAAGGCAGCTGTTTCATCCTGGATGGGGGAGCGGGAAGGCCCTCGGAGGTGAACTGAGCCGATGGCGGAGCACGGTGGCGGGTTCTCCATCCGGATATGCGGCGAGCGACCGAACGAGTGAAGAACGATATGAAGATTATGATGAATATAAGGCTGCCTAATATAGCGGGTGTCGCTATCGCTTTGATGTTGTTGGTATGACGCCTTGGGGTATGATCAGTAAGGAACCACACGAGAGGTTTGTATGATAAGATGCTTGCTTGCTTTGGATTGGCTGGACGATTTGTTGAGAGGATGACGGCACAGGAGCCGCTGATGTCCGGGTCTGTTCCGGATCCGTACTAGCTGATGTGGTCGCCGCCGAGGTGAATTCGGAGACTTGGGTTGTAGGAACGGGGACTGATGACACGCCGAAGAGGCTAGCGCTGGATAGCGATTCCAGAGCTGGCGGGCTGAAGGTGATTGAGGCCATTGTGCTCGTCTGGACCAAAGACGTAGACATGTTGAAATGAACAAGCGTTGCAATAGGCTCAATTCGCCGGCCGTCGACGTCAAGGAGCAAGTCCTAGAGTCACCGGAGTACGTGTGAGAGGCGTAGCGGACTTTGGCATTTTCGTTCCATCACTGAGATACAACCGAGATGATTCGTGCGCGTGAAGCGAGAAGAAGGAACGATATAGGCGCCCGTGCCTGACATTTCCCAGAGGTATGAGAGGTGGCTGTCGGCCTGGCGGAATTTATTGGTCTTGTATCAAACTACGGACTATAGATCAGTTGGCTGTTGGCAGAGCCAGGGTTAATGTTCCCCAAGCCATGAGAGGTGGGTCAATAATGTCCATCCAGAGCGCTCGAATGTCGAGTATTGAAGTAGTATATGCAGTCCGCCCAGACATGAGTTATTATCTGAACCGGCAGGTACGGGTGCTTGAGTCACGATTCGAACTGTGTAGTTCCATGACACTAGTGTAGGATGAAGAGAATCAAAGTGCGTCGGTCGTGTCACTGTTACTGAGAGGGGCAGTACGTCATTGACACACCGATCACGCGTACCACGACCACGACGACGAGCAAGAGTCTAACTACCGAACACACACAACTGTCCTTGCGTTCTCTGACCGCCGTCATCATCGCCAACGACGCCGCCGACGATGTCGGATCCGCCGCCGAAGAAGATCGGCTCGCTGCGCGACCGCATCGCTCAGTTTGAGAACAAGGGCCCCGCTCCCGCCCCCGCCCCCGCGCCCAAGCCCAAGCCGGCGGGCGTCGCGCATCGGACGTGGAAGCCGCGTTCTCCGTCACCGGACGCACAACAGCAGTCGACCACCTCGGCACCCCCTGCCAGTGGAGATGCCTCAGCTGAAGGTGCAACCGCTGCGGCCAAGGCGGGGATGAGCGCCGCGGACGCGAGGGAGGCTATCGGACGAGCAGGCGGCAGCCTCAAAGAACGGATGGCGGCTCTGCAAGGACGAGGTGCATTTGGCGCGCCAGCACCAGCGCCGCCCCCGAAGCCAAGCGGGGACAAGCCCAAGTGGAAGCCCCCTCCGCAGCCGGCGCAGAGCCCGGGCGAAGAGGGCGAGCCGCCGATCAAGAGCCCGCCGCTCCCGCTCGCTACTCCTAGCTTATTTGCCGAAGACGCGAATAGGGACTTGCGGCCCGGCGAACATGCGACCTCCGGAAATGAGGAAGAGAAGAAGGTAGATGAAGAAGTGGAGGGTGAGAAGGATCCCGAGGAGGAGGAACGGCAGAGGCGGGCGGCGATCGCGGCGAGGATGGCGAGGCTGGGCGGCGCTCGTGTTGGTATGGGCCCACCGATCATGGGCATGAAGCCCAGCGTCCCGGTCAAGAAGAAGACCGACGAAGAGCCCAAATCTGAGCCGATGCCCCACGAGGTGGAGCAGAAGTCTCAAGAGGAGGAGATCAACCGCCAGGAGGACGGTATGCATACTTCTATCACGATATATCTGCACGGTGTGCTCATGCAAGTTGACAGCTGTGCATACTCCGGAGGTGCCCACCGAAGTTCATCCAGGTGATTGCACCTCACTAAACACGAAGTCTGAGCTAATGCATGATCGTCAGATGAGACAGTGTCGCCCAAGCCAGTGCCGTCGCGTCAGTCATCCCTTCTATCTCCCGAAGCGGACGTCGAGCGCGAGATTGGTGCGTTCGATACCACCTAGCATACGCCCCCTTTACTGATGCAATACTTCGCGTAGCCCCTCCTCCTCCAGCCCCTATTTCCGAAACGCCCACTCCTGAGACTTCACCTCCGACCCAACATCGTGCGCCGACGTCCATGCCTGTACCTGCCGGTCCACGTCGAGCTGCGCCGCCGAGAAAGAAAGGCGCTCGATCTCCCATGCCTACGCCCAAAGACGAACCAGAGGAGCCAAAGGTAGACGTGAAGCCTGAGGAGATTGCAGAGGTTGTCGGTGCCAAGGCGCAGGAGACGGCGCAGGAGTCTGCGCCCGCCGAGATACCGCCACTGCCGCCAGTAGAAGACCCTTACCCTGCACCCACGCAAGGAGAGGAGGGCGCAAACCTCACCATTGCACCCCCTGACGCGCATGAAGTGGTGGGTTCACTTGAGGATGGATCGAGTAAAGCGACGCTCGTGGCTGAGGTGCCGGCACCAGCAGAAGATAAGGCAGAGAAAGACGGTGAGATAGCAATGCGCTCCTGATTATGGCTTCGTGCTCATCCTGGCGTTTTCGGGAATGCAGAACCTACTCATTCAACAGAGCAACTAGAGGACGATCTCGAGAAGGACATCCAGGCCATGCCTGTCGTCGAATCCGAACCGGAACCGAATGCTGAGATTGAGTCGCCTGTTCAATTCCACGACGAGCCCACCGACGGTGCTCCGTTGCGCACTCCGGTGCACTCGCCGCCAGTCAGCTCTGAAGAGAACGAAGCAAAGGACGGGACAGCCAAGGAAGCCGACGCAACGCTTGAGTATGCGACTGAGCAACACGAGACGCAAGAGCCGGCTGAACATGAGGAGCAAGATAACGAAGAAGACGAAGAGGCTGCCAGAAAGCAGCGGATCGCGGAGAAGCTAGCCAAGATGGGCGGCGTAAATCCGTTCGCCCCCAGCGGCCCCCGCTCTCCGCCTCTTCCGGTGCGGTCTCCGTCCCTTAGACAGCCCTCTGGAGGGTCGATTTCCGGTTCGCCCCAGCGCAAGGCGTCGGAATCGTCGGTGCTCAGCAGTCACGTCGAGCAAGGGACTCGAGTGCCGCCGCCGCTGGTGAGGAGGGATACGAGGCCAATTGAGGATGAGCAACAAGAGATAGTGCGATCGGTATCCGTTGAGTTGGATGGGGAAGATGACGTGGGCGAGACGGGTAATTGATTTCGTTTTCTCTATTCGTCCTCAGTGTTTATACCGTTTGCTGTGTTCAAATGGATGTTGACTGTTGTTTCCCTCTCCCTAGACTCCCATCCGCTCGCTGCCTCGACTGAGCCGGAAGAGGAGTTTCCTGACGACCACGAGAACGAAGAGCCGCAGCCTCCTCCTCCACCTAAGCGTGCATCTGCCGTAGCAGTAATCCGTGATAACGGTGCCCTTATTGCATCGCCGCCCCCGACAGTGCAGCATGATACAGCGCATTCTCCATCCGCTTTTGGCGATGGAACTACGCCTGAAGCGCCACCTGAGCTGGAAGCCACACAGGAGGAACGGGTGGCTCCGGAAAACCAAGACCTTAGCTCCGCCGAAGAGAGCGATATTGCTGAGGATGAACTCGATGTTCATGAACGCGCAAGAGAGGCAGAGCAGCAGCTCGTCCCTGTGATCGAAGAGGACGAAGAAGCGACACGGAAAAGGGCGCTGGCGGAGCGCATGGCTAAGATGGGCGGCTTCAACCCCTTCGGCCCTCGCTCCGTGCCTCCTCCGTCAGTTACACGACCTGCTCCTCCCCCTGTCTCGAGTAGTGGAGAAGAGGAAGCCGTGGACGATGAGGTCTCGAGCGTCAGACACAGGCATACTTCTCGGTTCATACGACCTACTCCATCTGCTCTACCAGAAGCCGAAGAACCGAACCAAGCACCTCCCCCGATTCCATTATCCGCTCGGCCTGCAACCTCATCACGTCCCAGCACGCATGAGGCTCGTGAGGAACCTGATGAACGGGGCGGTGTACCTGTACCACCTCCGATTCCGTCTTCTGCAAGGCCTGCTGATCCTTCGCACGCGCCTGTGCATGATAGCAGCGAATCTGAGGAGCAGGAGGAGGACGTGCGTGCAGCCTCTCCAGTGACACCGTCTGCACCACCCGTTCCTCCGGCCCGTCTACCGCTATACCACGACTCTGAAGCATCAGCGCCAGACGCAGACGAATCAGAGGAAGAGGATGAACTACCTCCGCCGGCCCCGCCTCCGCGTAGTGCCGATATGCATCGCGTCGTGTCAAATGCTGTGCCGATACCTGTTCCGCCTCCTCAATTGTCGCAGATGGCGTACGAATCCGACGCATATGAAGATGAAGAAGAGCCTCCTGCCGAAGAAGCCAAAGTGGTCGAACCCCCTCCACCCCCTCCTCGCGTAGCACATGTGCGACATTCGATCTCGAGGCCGATTCCGCCGCCGCCACCTCCGGAACCAGAGCCGGCAGCATCTGGGGAGGAAGCGGACGTGGAGGACGTTGTGCCGCTTGTACCCCAGCATGACGTTCGTGAACATAGCAGGGCTCCGTCAGGTGAAACCGCAACTGGGACGGAGCAGAGCGAGCCGGCATCGCCGGTGGAGGAATATGTGCGAGGTGTTTCAACCGGCATGGATGAACACCTTGAACCGGAGCCGGAATCGCCAAGAGAGAAGGAGGACGAAATTTTGGACGAAGAAGAGGGTGGTAAATATCAGCACTTCCGTCACCCGGCGGAAGCTCGTCGCTAATCACGGTTATGATAGATCCTATTGACCCGCATTTCCACCGTCCCTCATCGCAGCCCAGCTCAGCGCACCCTTCTCCGGGTGTAGAGAAAGCAGAGCACCATCTCGTTGCAGCACACGAAGGCACTGAGAAGCAGTCAATTTCACCTGATGAAGAAGATCCTGAGCAGACTCGGCGCCGCACTATCGCAGAACGCATGGCAAAGCTGGGAGGGATTAAATTTGGTGCCCCACCTCCCATCCCAACTGGCAGGCGTGCCGCTCCCGCTCCAGCTCCGGACCCTGAGAACACAGCGGATGTAGAGGGTGCGCGATCGGGACAGCAGGTCGAGAACAAAGGGGAAGTGCCCGAGGAAGAGGAGGACGAGCAAGCCAGAAGGGCACGAATCGCAGCTAAAATAGCTGGCATGGGCGGTATGCGGTTCGGCATATTTCCTGGAGCCTCCCCTGTCCCACGACCAGAAGCAGCTGCGGTCAAGGATGAACGGGACCTTGAGGAAGACAAGCCACCCGTACCACCGGCGAGGCCAGCACTTCCCACGATACCGACGCACCAAGTCGATCACGATGATGTGAAAACAGAACGGAAGGAGTTAGAGGATGTTGTGCCGGAGCAGGGCGATGCAGAGGAACCTCCCCCTCCGCCGGTTCCGTCCCGGACTGCCCGGAGAACGTCGGTGCAAATGGCGGCTCCGAGCGATGAACCGGCGCCGCCACCGCCACCTCCGCGCCCTTCGTCTCGGCCACCTCAACCTCACGGCCGACCACCAGTTCCGGTCGCCGCCCCGCCGAGCGCAAAAACCAAATCGTCAACAGACTCGGGATGGCCGGCTTCACCTCGCCGACAGTCTCAACATGCGTACCCTCCGGTGGCGCCTAGCGCGTCCGAATATGTGATCGTCGAATCTGAGGCGCCGCCTCCGCCTCCGGGGAGGCCGCAACGCGCACCGCCATCACGCGTAGCTCCTGAGCATCCGCCGCTTGAGTCTAAGGAGAGCCAGTGGGAATTGCCGTCCATTCCCTCTCTCGCAAGCCCATCCTTAGGATTTGATAACGAATCGACGAACGAAGGTGACCTATCTCTCGCTGCGTCTGCGACATGGTCGGAAGACTCAACCACCTACCCATCTTCCGCTGCCGCGCCCCTGGCGGCCAAACCGTCTTTGAAACCACTCTCCGACATCCAACTCTCTCCCGATGAGCTAATGGCCGTCTGGGGCAAGGTCGGTGTGTTCTTACACGAAGTCTCGGTGGCTCTGCACGAGAAGTCCAAGAAAACACTCGTCGGAGACGGATCATATGCTGGCTTTGTCAACGCAGTGCTCAGGGAAGTGCCTCAAGCTCGCGGACCGGAGCGAGATGTCTATGGGTACCTGATCTATGCTCAAACGGGTCCGTCCGTGCAGCGCAGAACGAGCGATATTCTGCCAGGGGATGTGATAACCCTATATGATGCCAAGCTCAAAGGCCATAAGGGATTGGGGATTTATCACCAGCATGTCGGAGAAGGCGAGGTCTGTGTGGGGGTGGTGAACGAATTTGAAGCCAAGAAGAGCAAGGTGAGGGTGCTGCAAGCAAATCAGCACGTCGGTCACCAGGTGTGTGCCTTTCGAGCTTGATCAGAAATTGTTCATGACTTCCTCGGTAGACGGTGGAAAACGTGAGCTATCGGTTGGACGATCTAAAAAGTGGCATGATCAAGGTAAGAATCACGCGTACATATACCGGACAACGCTTATGACTATCGTCCTTGTAGATATACAGGGTGCTGGAGGCGTGAACGGTCATAACTACTGGCGGCTTTTGTGTATTTGTATGGATCTGACGTAGGATATCACTTTCAAGATACAACGTCAATCGGAGAATGACCTGCTACTAGTACAACTACGAAAATCGTCCTTGGCCATGGAAGGTCTTACCGTCCGCGATCAAAATGCAAGGAGGGAAGACACTTGAGATTTCGTACATGGCATCACGACTGCTCAAGGGTTGAATGCATGGGTTCTGTGAACGCCGTAAACCTCTGTTATACTCGTTGCGCATTCAGTGTTTAATCGCGTTCACTTACATTTGATTCTCCGGGGTTCTACACTTCCGGCAGCTTTGACAGCTAGATTCTACTCTCTTTCGCGTCTGCGGATGTCTGAGGTGTCAGTATCGTAGTGCAAGGGCCATTTGAGCACACCTACCTGAACTACGCGTCTCTATTCTTGGTGGTCTTCCGAGTCTTCTCTAACTCCTTGTCTCTGGCCAGCATCTCCTTGAGTATCACTGCCTGACAAACGCGGCACTTGTCTCCGACGTTGAAATATTTCGCAGATATGAATCTGTTGCATCCAGAGCAAACACGTCGGTCCTGAGAAGGCATCTTGAGAATGTCGAGGGGGAGAAAGCCGTTGCTCCTGAACGAATTCCCCTGTTCTACCCGCCCTGACTGTTGGTGAAGAGAAACGTAACGCTTGCACTGGTCCAAGAGAAGGGGGAGCATGTTGTCTTTGAGCAACCCTGCCGTGGTGAAGTGCTCGTAAATCAAGGAAATCATCTTGATATCCTGCGCGGCATAATGAAGAAGCTGAGAAGAAAGAGGTCTGTCCATCCAGAAGGCTGAACCGAGATTGCGATGCATCCGAACAACAGCCTCTAACAGATGGCAGTCGATCAGACCTCATGCTGACTATGGATGTATATGGCAAAACTCACCATCCTTTGTATAGTCACTTCCGAATCCACATTGCTTCACGCACTCATTCATCCCGCAGAGGCGATGAATGTCATCATATTTCCAGCGGGTCTTTCCTCGAAAGACCTCCTTCGCGCCCAACATGCGGGCCATCCGACCTAACCGTTGGTTGTCGTCTTCGCCCGCCAGTACACGGGAGACCACCTCAACAATCTGCAAATCGAGCACACCGTTGAGGGGTATCCCGTATACGGACCATATCTCGATGAAGTCCATGCGGCCATCCCATACAAGTTTGCGCTTGCGAGGATCGCGAAGAAGATTGAATAGACGCTGTGCAGGGTGTCCCGATGCGTCTAGGGTTAATGCATCGAAGAGGAATACTTGTTCGGCGTCGGTTGTCCCTATGGCCATAAGCGAAAGAGCTCCGCCTTCATCGCCTAGATCTCGACCCTCGCAATCGAAAATCAGATAGTCTGATTGTACAAGGATATCAACGGCGCGTGCAATATCGTGATCGTTCACGCAAAGAGTGAAGACGATAGCAGGAGTGGTCATCTCGCAAGTACCTGGATTGCTTTTGCTTGAAGAGCTTTGTGTGAGCTGTTGTGAAGGGACGCCGATCGTGGTTGTGCGCGCCAGAGCGTTTTCAAGCTCGGCGTGTTCTCAGGCCTCCTCTTGCCCAAGTATGGAAATAGCAACTCAAGCTTCATTCTTCGACACTACAATCAACGAATACCACAACGGGTAGGTACAGGTGGCGAATACAACGGGAACATTAAGAGAGAATCGACGATCACAGAGCACGATACCCGTACAGGTACTTGGCAACCGTAAGCTCGATAACTTTCCAGACAAATCATTCTGTGGTCGCGAACTACCCCTGTCGAATTCACAACCCGAGCGCGGCAGCAGTCAGGTCCAAGGATAGGTCCGTGAAGATGTCGGAGGCAACAGTGAGGCTAGCTCCCGAATATGAGTGCCTTGAACTTTGCCTCCGAGGTGCGTACTCACATTGTAGCAGCGAGTGCAACGACTCCGGCAACGACTGTCTCGAGACCAGCTAGGAATTCAGCAAGGGACGTGTCAAGTCCTGGTAGAAGCTATACACTTTTCAGTCTTATGCGCTTATGCTCGCATGTTAACCAAACAGGCCTCACCGCAGCGATTCCGGGCGCTGATGCAATACCCTCCAATACACCCACAACTGCCTAAACCAGCCTGAGCAAACAAATTCGAGATGAACCCTGTATTGGGGCTCGCCTTGATGATATCGGAAACAAGAGCGGCAAGTTCCGCGTCAGATATCTGTCGTTTCGCTGCAACTTGAGAGCGTTCCTCGGTCACGGTTCCAAGCGAAGAGGTGGCCTTCTCAATCTCCGAGACGAGGTCGGCGATGAGGGGCCCGACGGTAGCAGCGGACGCGATATCATGCGCGTGCGTCGCCTCTGCATGGAAGCGCGACTGAGCGAACGGTTTTTGGCGATGACGACCGACTGACTGATGGCCGACAAGGTCGGGGCAATGTTGTTCTTGAGATTCTTCAAGGTGGTCTCGATCTCCGACGTGTCCGACCCTTTGTCGACGGCAGGGGAGGAGAGCACGAACGCGCCGAAAGTGACGACGACGAAGAATGTCGCGATGATACGAGAGAAGTGCATTTCGTAGAGATGCGTGCAAGGCTTCGAGTAGGCTCCGTATGAGTCTGCCGTCTGTCGGACAGGATGACACCCTTTTATACCCTGTTACTGGTCGATACCGACCGAAAACGACCTCCACTGGCACCCAGAGTGATGAGAGCGACGATGATGTCAGCCTACAGTCCATCACACCGCGGGTCACGTCCATGACCGATTAACCAACTGTCCAAGCAGGATGAGAGTGCGTTGTTCTCAACCCCAGTTCTGCTCCCCAGACATAGCGTCGAGATACAACTGGTCAAGAGAAGCCATAGCATCGACGGGAGGTCGGAGGTATCGTCCATCAATAAACCTGAGGCATTCAGTTCAGACATGAGAACTGAAGCTTACCCTGCGCCGACGACGCTATGAAAAGGCGCGCTCCAAGGTACGAGGAGGTCTTTGGGAAATAAAGTGTTGCACGTGGCTCAGAAGATGAAGAACGGAGAGCCAGATTGCACATGTCATGAAATCCTTAGCTGGGTGACATTGGTCCACGCAAGTAGATCCGACCCAAGCATGGAAGAGAAAGAAGCCTCAAGATTCCGAGAATATGCCCGGAGCCAGCGCATTGTCGGGACCGTTGAAGGCCGATGGCAGCCACGACAGGAGTTGAGTGCATCTCGACATTGCTGTTGGAGAAGCGGCATTAGTACGCTATCGATGTATGGAAAAGGTTATTTGTCACGTAGCCAGTCCGAACCCCTCAATCTGCTACATCTTTCCAGGATAGATAAGGCGGTGGTTCTCCGAGGAATGGTCAAGCTGGTTGCGATATCCGTGAAGAAAATAGGGAATTACCGGGTTCACGGCTTGGGCGGGCTGCGGTCCTGCAGTCGGGTGCGGTAACCACCCGGGTGAGCCACCGTAGAGGGTAGGAGAAGCCTTTGGCTTAGGCGTAGGCCGGGGGCGAGTGCTACGACTCGCCCGCTCGGCCTACTCGGCGAGCTCACTCAGGAAGTTAACCGTTCTCGACTCTAGTCGCGCCTCAGGGCGCCTGGTTACCCAGGCGCGCGTAGCTTAACTTGATTGGAAAGGAGGAATGCAATGTCGTTGTAGACACACAAGTGCCGGTATAAGGATAGTCTCATTACTAGGAGGGTGAGGTGGGTAGGACGAAAAAACGGCTCGGGGGGACTCTCCTCAGTAGCCAGCGAAGCGACCAAGAAACTGGCACCGCCGCACGTGACCTCCGCTCCGGTGCGCGCACTCGTGGCGTGATGGCGCCACGCGACTTGCTCTTTCTGTCAGTGTCAACTCTTTTTGGGGACACTGGTATCGCCTACCTTTTTTCCACAAAACGTTCTGCTGGTCGGCTCCGATCTATGTAACTCGATACCGAGAACTTCCTGCATACAATCTCAGCTCATTGCTGCAGTGTCATCCCGGGACCCCAGAGGATTCAGTCCGCGGAAGCTCGTACATACTGTCTCGGAGACCCTCAATACGAAGTTCAATTGCGTCCGCACCGTGGCCCTGGTGTCATGCGATGCCTTCTCTCCACACATATCATGAGTATCTGTTCTAGTGTACCCGAAACTATGGGCCTTTCAGGACGTCGTGGAATGCATGAACAAATTTGGGTGATGTTATCAGCGACAACTGCGTATGTGGCTTTTACACTGAATTGAACCAACGTTCCCAACCTTGATGAACATAGTTCAAGTATAGACGTGTGGATAGTATTGCTACACCACGCCATGACACGATAACCTGGATCCGGGGAGTACATTCATGCAACATGTATGCTGGTGTAGTAGAAACCCCTTGCTGAAACGCCGTATAGCACGTTCCGCCTTTTAAGGGATATGCATCGGCTCTGTATGCCTGACCAGATTTCGCAGAAACATCACGGTCTGCCCGGGATATGACGCCTACATTGATCGGCGGACCGACGCGAAGTTGCGATCTAATCGACACCTCCGACATCCAATGGCGGGGGCTCGCGAGTGCCTCCGGGGTCATCAAATCGCCGGTACTTGATTTAGTTGCATCAGAATGTTTGCCTGACGGTACTGTCTTATTTGGCACCCCGAACAACGTCCTTAAACGATGCGACATACATTCACTCTATTTCTGACCCAGGCATGATGAAGTATCACCGCGTATAGAGACGAGGGCATTGCGGTATATCCTGTGCGTACCTTGCACATCACTCATGCATCCACATTAGCTTACTGATACCATTTCAGATCTATACATCGATGGAGCCTGTCATGGGTGCTGTGTAGCCCAAGAAGTATCTCATGTGTTCCCGGCTTCACTGCGAGACAGGGACCTCGTTTTCCCGAGGTACTTGTTCCGATGCTCGCTCTCAATTCTTGCAACAATTTAAACCAATTTTGGTAAGCCACCCAGTTCTCGTCCGCTCCCAGCCGTCGCGTTTGAGTGACAAAATGATTATATTCGCTACAATGGAAAGTAGCGAAGGCAGATCTTTTCCGTGCTGCCGCGGGCGAGCAGGTAATAAGAGCCAATGATTGTCAGCTCGAACATGGTCATACTCTGGAGGACGAATTTGCGGCGGTCCAGTCCCTCCGCTCCCTCCAGGGGTATGTGCAATTAGCGACGCAGAATGCTCTCGTCCCGTGGATACAATTGCGTCGATGTGAACGATGATATCACGACAGTATGTCCACCTACCGTACGACAGTATTCCTAGAGGCCGCGAACTAACATTCTCCATTCGTCTATCAGAACCGGAACATGATGTGACCGTCAGGCCAAGTGGACGTAGGTCGGCCAGTCCGACCATTTCATGGAGCGCCGTGTGCGCGCGTTGCAAAGATGCCTAGAATCTGCACCCCCTCCGGGGTCTTGTCACATCGAACTATGCAACATGCACATACCGAGACCAATGGCGGTCAATGAGTGTACTTAGCTCGAGGCGCACAGTAATAGGCAGCAATTACGCCACTGACATTGCCGATCAAAGTTTCTTGTTTCTCGCCGGTATGCAACCGCGGACACGCGATTCAATACAGTTTCCCTACAAAATAGCTCAAAACTGATTTCCATCAGATGAGGATACGAGTTCGGGGCCGTTGCGGTCTTCTGTGGCGTAAGTATTTCGCTCCGCAAAGTACCCATCGCCGCGATGTATTCTGGATAGAGAAAGCAAATATACATCAATCGTGTTCTCCCAACGCGCTGGGGAAGATGAGTTGCAAGTCAGGCTCGCGGACAATCATCTACCCTGGACATTGATAAGGAGGGTGATTCGTGACGAACCCTTTCGATCAACTCCCACGCATATTTAGTATTACTCGCCACGTGAGTGAATTAGGGTGGGCTGGTGGCGGAAAACATGTTCAGATCCCTGACGTTGTCTCTCATTTTCGCCTCTTGAATCCAATCTTGTGGCCGAGTGACGCAGAAATCTAGATATTGTTCCTTGCCTGCATCAACTCGAACGGAGCAAAGCCTCTCGCCACGGCGACGTTGCGCAGCATCGACGCTTCGCCCCATAGCGTGCATCAAGACGACAAGCTTCGCAGGCACTCAACATGCCTCCTGGGACACCTTACAATTCCTTTGTTCTGCCGTACTCCATTCGAGTGGACGCTTTCGCCTCAAACGCAACCATCGAAACCGTCCCTGCGCTCCATCTCCTTACCCATACTCACTCCGACCATATCACCGGTCTGTCTGCCAAGTCGTTCGCAGCTACGATCATATGCTCTCCAGATGCCAAGGAAATGCTTCTTCGATATGAGGTGTACGCGGAGCGCAATTTATACGAAACGGAGATGCGTGCTGAGAAGATAAGAGCCTTCGCGCACTTGAAGGTCGAACCACGCAAGCACCTCGATGGAACGACGTTCCATCACGGATCGCGGGACCTTCTGGTGTGTCTGCATCCCCCGAATAACAGCCTCCAAACCGACGTCTATCCAGAGAGCAATCCCGTTGCACACCCCTACGGCCATAGAGCTCTACAATTCGGAATCGGTCGTCATCACCCTCATTGACGCGAACCATTGTCCTGGCGCGGTCATGTGAGTGTACTGCCAGAGCTCAGTCCGCGGTACTGACAACTTGGGCAGGTTCCTCGTTGAAGGTTCAAAAGGCGCTGTGTTACACACCGGAGACTTCCGCGCTGAACCCTACTTCCTCGAAGGGTTGAAGCGCAATCCATTCTTGCTCCGCTATATCGTACCTCAGTCGATCACCACCCCCGATGGTCATGGTGGTGTCAGGAAAACACTTGATGCGGTGTATCTGGATACGGCCTGTCTCTTCTCCAACCTCAATGTTCCCCCCAAGGTAAGCGAGTGCCCTCCTCCCGAAGCATTGTTCGAACGTAAATCGTAGGATGTTGCTACCTTCGGTCTGGTTGAGCTGGTGCAGCTCTTTCCTCCTGAGACGCTCTTCTTCCTCAACACGTGGACCTGGGGCTACGAAGACATCCTGAAGGGTATAGCTCATGCCTTCGACTCGAAGGTACGTTCAGGTTATATGCGCCTTATATGGTTCTTACCCATCGTCCTTCAGATTCACGTCGACCGATACAAGCATAGCGTATTCTCGCATATCTCAGACCCATTTATGCGCGCTATCATCACTCGTGACGCGAAATCGACGCGATTTCACGCATGCGAACGGTTTGCGCAATGCTCTCCCATCGACGATATGTTTGCCCAGGAAGCACGGGAAAACAACGGTAGAATTGTATACATAAACCCTGTCACTATGGGATCTGAGAGTTGGAATACTTACCGGCAGACCGTGAAAAAGCAGCTGAGGAATGGGAAAGTCGTGAACATCCTGGTTCGGGTTTTGCTTGCTTGTCATGTTACCATCACTAATGGTCAGGTATTGTAGCTCGTGCCGCTGTCACGGCATTCGCCGCTACCGGAACTGAAGCAGTTCGTCTCTATGTTCCGTCCTCGCCAGGTTGTTCCGAATACCCTCGTCCCGGCGCTGCACGGACTGGACTGGGCTTATGCCAATCACGCCTTCGCGCCGTGTTTATCCCCAACCGCACGATTGCCGTCGGACGAAGACGTCGTAGATTTTCCGTGGTTTGAGCGGAATGGCTTTGACATCAAGGTGGATTCCAGTGAAGGTGTCGATGCTGCCTTGAAGAATTTGGAAGGCGCGGATGCGGATGATCATGCGGCGGTTTGGGCCGAACAATCAGGTGTACGCAAGCGCTTGGAGCAAATGCGGCACACTCTCGATGGCCGTGCCAAAGTCGTTGTGGAGGAGGTGTTGGGTCGCATGCCCGAGCTAGACGTCGAGGAGACGGTCGTCGCAGGCGAGGACGGCGGAGAGAAAAAGGCGGGAAGAGGCATGGCGATCGCCGCGGATAGCGACGAGGAGACGGAGGACGATGATGAAAGAGGGAGGACGGCGCATAAGCTCTTCGCTGCACTGGCTGGCGTTGACTCCGACGATCCAATACGCTCTCCCCAGCCATCATCACAGGTGTCCAAGGCTGCAGCTGATTCTCCGCCCTCGCCGGCCATGGACGTTGACGACCACCCCCACGAGATGCAGGAGCAGTGCTTCAAGGGGATCGTGTCAGAAACAGCTTCAAATCTCAGGCATGACGGCTCACGACGGCTACCACCTACTCCACTCACCAGCCCTTTGGGCGATCCCGGTCCATCAACACTGCGACATTGTAGGTTCAACGACGACAAAACGCCGAAAACCATTCCTGCTTGTCGGTCACCCATGCGTTCCGCTCTTCCAACTAGGACCCCACAACGCGTTGCTCTTCTCAAAGACGGCACGGAACGCCGCACTTCCGTGCCCCGTCGCATACGTCACGAAACCCCTTTCGTGGACCTGAACAATATACCGAGTCAACCCCATACACCCGCTAAACGTGCCTTCAGCAGTGGTTCGCCCTCGCCTACCTGCAAGCGTCGCCGTCCATGGGACACTCGCTTCGATTCAACTCCTCGGGCCTCAGACCTACAGCCAGGACGCCTCCTGAGCGTATCACCAGAAATCCCCATGATCCGCCTTAGACCCTCGTCTGACGAGCAGAAGAGCGGATGCGCAGACGCTCCTTCTATCTCTCTACCAGCCACCTCATTACCCTCTAGTGAGGGCAACCGGGCACGAAGAGAGCGGAGACGCGCTACAGCAGAACGACGGAAAAGCCTTACGGAGAACTTGCGTCGTGCGGCCGGAAACAATCCTCTTCAGCCGCTCCGTCGGAGACTCTCGCCACAGCAACACCCGCCTTGTTACTCAGGGTCTATGAACGAAGGCGGACCGCGAGACAAGGTTCTTTTTGGCACCGCAGGCCTCGCGGCGTCGTCCAGCACGGTCGAATACCGCGGCGATCAGGCCATGGACTGGGACCGAGGCCGCGAATTGCGCGATAGCGTCCGTGCGCAGGTCTCTGTGGGCCTACGGCCCATCCTCCCCACGTTGTCTTGCCTCGATAGCCCGCATCTGGTGACCTCGGCACGTCCACGGATAGCTCGGCGGATGTAGAACGGTCGGTGCAGATGGCGTGACAGAGAATATTAGTCTTGTGCATCGAAAACTTCTGTTGGTGTGCCATGGTCTCTGGAAAGAATGTGGCGGGTATGTGGTCAACACGAGTGGCATTGATGCTGATGAACTCGGGTGGAACATCGAAGGCCTTGCACACGAATGCACTACGGCGTGTGCAGACAGGCACTGCAATGGTTGTACAGCTTGAGCGCCATCTTTGCTCTCCATTATTCTATATGGTCTATCGTTGCCGCGAATTGTCAATGAAGGGTATATAACACTACCTGCGTTAGAGTTAGTTAGCCCGTTCAACCCGTTACACAGAGAATTGGTTGGCATCTCAGCAGTCTTCGCAACGAAAGAGCGCGCACGATGAGACCGCAATCCCTAGCGGGTACGCGTGTACCGGGACTCCGGCAAGTTACTATTGTGGGATGAGGAATGAGACGAGCAACTCCATCGAAAACACTACCGCGCCACAAGGCTTTGGTGCAGCGAGCAGGCTCATCGACAGCGGATTCGAAGTCGTCGACATGAATAATCGTCTGTCCCGACGCGACAGGAGTGACAGCGACAGAGGTGCACACCGGACGCGCTGATGAGTATGCAGGAGTATATACGGGCTGATATCCGCTTCGTCAATCAATTAACATCGAACCTCCCTCCGATAAATCATGCAAATCTTCCACGGGGACTCTTGTAGTTGACTCGATCCCTACATCAGGAATTGCCCAGGTCGGTGACTGTCCAAAAAATTTGCGCCTGGCCTTCGAGCCATCGGGAACGAACAAGTCTTCAGCCTCGTACTGAGGCAGGTCAAAATACTGGTTGGTCAAGATACTCATGTGTTTCCGGTTCGCTCGTCGTGATCTGGTATCACGACGGGAGTGGCGAGAGGTATCTGAGTCGTCTGACTCCGGGTCACTAGAATCCATGGCATGCACGGCCCGAGCCGTTCCTGCGAATACACTGAGGGATAGTCCAGCCTCCGTGTAATATAAGCTTACGGGCAATTCGTTCGTCAAGCTCGTCGCGCGCATCGTCGTCCTCTTCTTTGCGTACTCCCAGGTGTTCAGCGACAGATTCTCGGGGCACGTCATGCATCGCAACGGATGGTGCGTGCTCGAGCTCCGCTAGTTGTTGCAAAGCTTTGTCCCTGTTAGGGAGGTTAAATCGAACATGTTGTAATGGCCAGACGCGACCCGCACCTTACTCTGTATAAGGATCTATCTTTGACGTTGACGTCGTCCATATTGCTCGTCGCTACCTCAAGCCGATAACGAGGGCCGAACCAGTCAAAATATTCATTCCAAGGCATCGCCGTTTGGTCAATCTCATTCTCGATCCCCAAGGCGCATGCGGTTTCATATGCCCATGTTTTCGCGACGTTCTTTACGGTGTAACCACCACCTCCGAGGAGGACTGTCGGAATGTTCTGCTTGCGCATGAACTGAACACAGTTCGCATGGCCATGCATGGACAGGTTAAAGCAACCCAGCTTGTCTCCTGATAGGGAGTCTGCCCCGCATTGCAAGACAACAACGGAAGGTCGGTAGACTTCAAGAATTCTGGTGATCACCTGAGAAGAAAACTGCATGAGTAAAGACGGCCCAACGATCTGCCTGAGCCAACTAACAGGCTCAAATATACTTTTGTATGACTCGTCGGTGATACCGTCCTTTAGTGGGATGTTGACTGTGTAATTCTTCCCTTTGCCCGTGCCTTTATCATTCTGGGTACCTGTCCCAGGAAAGAAGTCACCATACTTGTGGAAGCTGCAAGTCATGACACGGTCCGTCGTGTAGAACGCCTCTTCTACTCCGTCCCCGTGGTGGCAGTCTATGTCGATGTAGAGTACGCGAGGAAAGAAGCGGAGAAGTTCCAGAATGCAAAGGACGATGTCGTTGATGTAGCAGAAACCAGACGCTTCGCGTTTCTTCGCATGATGAAGGCCGCCAGCCCAATTGACAGCGATGTCGGCTGAATCGGAGGTTATACGTTCGGCGGCGGCTGAGAGAGGCCAACGCAGACCGTCAAGGCCCGTAACAGCAACGACATGAGAGCGCTTACCAAGAGACCCTCCCGCCGATATTGAGCAGAACTCGAATACCCCCTCGAACGCCGGATTGTCGTACCCCACAAGGACTGCCGGATAACAGTTATAACGCGTCATATCACATCGCACTGACTTCTCGCACATCTTGTTCCGTCGTACGTGAGCTCTCGTTCCTTTTCAGGGGTGACGCGGCTCAGAAAATGAATGTATTCATCGGTGTGGAATGCGGTCATCTTCTCGGGAGGACAACGAGACGGTTTCTGACGATCTTTCAGCTGAATGTGGGTGCTTGGGAGAACCATCGGCTCATACCAATATGTGCATCTTGTCCAACATGCCATAAGCCGTGACCAGTTCGTGTGCAATCCGTATCCTGTCTCGATGGTGAGCATAACCAACTTCTCTCTCCGGCACCGTGCACATGCCTGTGAGGTTTCATGCAGTGTCCCAATCCGTAGGTATACGCCCCGACATCAGCTAGTGACCAGCTCAGCAGAATCTTCAGGATAAACATAGATTTCACGCACGATCGTAGTAGTACGCCACCCTTCTCTTCGACATACTTGGTGGACAGAGAGCTTAGACAGAGTGCAGGCAGACTAGCAAACTATGGGCGCTTGAGCGCCAACTCCCGAGGGGCGAGGGCCGACGGCAAACCAAGAATCATTGAGCACGTGCCGCGTCAATGATGTAACGATCTTCGCCAACATTGAAACAAGCAATGGGCATAGAAAAGTACACGCATGGCACCCATTGTTTCACGGGTCGCGCGATCGGACAGTACCCGTGTAAGACGACCAGCAGCTGTTTCATATTATACCGAAACATGAGAGCACACATGGAAAAGTACCAGTCCAACAAAACGTAAGTCGAATCGCGGTCAAAACGTCAGGATCCGACGAAGCACAATGCCTTGACCGACTCGCCCTTACACGGAGCGCGCGCATCTTCTTTCGCACCGACACCAAGCAACCGAGTGAATCACAGTACCCACATAGATCATTGCTTCTCCGGACCTACAAGTCTGCAACACAGCCTTTCGGCCGGACAAAGAACCGACGTGCATGCGTAGCTTTTTTGTCAACGAGACGGATATCGGGGGGCGCGGCAGATCGACGTTGTCTAGGCACTACCCGTCCAGTTCGCCGTTCTCATTAACGCCTACCGTAAGGTAATGTTTGGGGAGCCAATCCGGTATGTTCCAGGTCTTCCCAAGTATGTCGCTAACAATCATATCGGCGACAACTTCCCCGCTAGTGTGGAGGTCCGAGTTTGGTATCAGTACAGAAGTTCGGAGACCGTTCGCCGAACGAGCGTACCAAGCGAACGCACGAGGCATTCCGTGCCCGTTGTACCCAGCCGACACGTATTGGCCTGAAGCATTGACGACAGGTCCGACCTAGGCCGCTATTCAGTCCCGTCCGACCAAGGACGAAGAAACAAATACTTACAAATGGATCTTTACTCTTGGTGTAGCCCATAATACCAGTCTTAAATGGCGAGTCACGACCTGCACTTGGAGGAGAACGACGATGAACTAACCCATTCCATCTCGGGCTCTCGACCTTTTTCGTAGACAAACGGGAAGACCTTGGGAAGGAACTCTCTGAGAGCGCGGCCTACATCCGCGTTTACGGTCGAATCGTCCGTCACGTACACCTCATGGCCCTCCGCGAATTCGCGCGCACCTCCAAGAATGACAATCGGATGATCGTCATTGGAGGGACGGTACGCACCGAGCGGGGCCTGTGCGTCCTTGAGAGGCACCTCCCGTTCTGTTCCGCTGACAGGCCGCGGGAACCAATATTCGTCACCATCGCCGTTTACAACCCAGCCCGACGTGCCAAGGCGGTCAAGCGTGGCCGCGGCGCGGATGGCGAAAACTTGACCACGCGTCGGGATAATTCCTTCCGGGCCCCGGAGATGCGGGAGGAGGTGGGGCGCGTAGGCGTTCGTCGCGTGGACAACGTAGGAGCACTCCACTGATCCGCGTGGGGTGCCGAGCGTCCAATTCCGGTTTGCCTTGCTGGACGAGGAGATGGTCATGACCGGGGTGCGAGTATGAAGCGTGATTGAGGTTGTGCTGAACTTGCGAGCGAGTTTGTACAGATGGCTGACAAATTTGAGGGGCCAAATATTGTATCCTCGCCAGTGAAGTCCTGGGCCATAGGGCGTGCCAAATTTCTAGCGAATGCTTATCAGTGGACGAGGATGGGAGTCATTCCCTGCTGTACGTACTTGCTTCAGCTTATCCGTCGGGACCCAACTGACTCCTTCCAGATCTACGTTATACTCCTCAGCTGTCTCGAGGTTCTCCTTGATGAGGCGAATGTCTTCCTCGTCGCGTGCTAGTACGGTCCGCCCTCCATCCCTTAGGTCGACGTCATCTGCCAAGTGCTTCCGGTTCACAATATCCACTATCGCCGCCACTGTGTGATTTTCGATCGCCATTCCTCGATGGGCCTCATCCACGCCCCATTCTTCGACGAGCCGGGGGAAGCCAAGAAACTGAGCTGCGACGAGGTGGCCGCCATTTCGTCCTTGGGATCGCCGGTCATTATCGATTACTGACGAGGCTTGCGGTCGGATAATGGGGGCTCACCTGTGGCACCTGAGCCTTCGTCATGTCAGAGCTGAGACCTTGGGGGACTGCGTTTTCGACCGACTCACAGAATTCCCTCGCTTCGAATACGACGATCTTCGTTTTATCCTTCTCTGACAACGCACCCTCTTGAAGTCCTTGTGCGATGTGATACGCCGCCGACACTCCGGTGATGCCCGAGCCAATGATACACACATCGGCGTCCTGAGTCAGGGGGCCCGTGCTTCCCGCAGAGGCCAAAGGATTCGCATCGCGTTCACCATGCGTCCAGAAAGACTTGGTCGAGTTCGACACCGGCAGGTAAGACAGGTCCTCGTAGATGGAGGGTGAAGCCGGGTGCAAAGCGTGTTCCGGTAGCCCAGTGACGTCCAATCTACTCGCAAGTTGCTTGTCCGCAAGGACGGGCGACAGAGTGAGCAAGATCGCTGCTATTTGACCCCGCGTCATGGCCTTGATGGTCAACGCGGTCAACGTTGTGGACGGCTTTGCGCGTCGTCGAGACTGGAGCCGATGCAAGAGCGGCCCGAGACTACTGCACGAGATAGGACTGGTATTGCAAATGGGATTGCTGGATCGATATGGCGTACGTACACAACGTCGATACGCGCTGCGCACACATCCAACGCAGTCTGCGACGCAGCGAGCAGGCCCTGGTCCAGCCCGCGGCTGCAATGACCGTCAATGTCAGCGCGGTCACGTGCCCGGATCATCCAGGAACCGAGCCCATCACAGCCATCCCAGCAACGAGCACTGCCCAAGAGCAACGATCAGGGAACTTTCATTCTGATCCAAAACAATCAGTGGCGGTCCATGGGAGCGGGGACCCTTTGCACGACCAACACCCAATCATTTGCGACGCCCTGGCGGCGGGGCCTGGAGGAACTGGTCGCGGAGCTTGGGACAGCGTGTGAGCCCGCGGGTACCCTGTAGGCCGTACCGCCACCGAGATCTCATCTGGCTTTGCGACCGGCAAGAAAGCCGGATTCATTCTGTTTCTTCATCAACGACTTATCTCTCTTCGTGTCGAGAACAAGTTTCCAGAAACGCCCCGTCCCATCTCATTGTAGCGTGCCACTGCAGTGGCCGTCATACCGCGGCATAGATGCAAGCAACCATCAATCAGCACTAACACTCCTGCGCTCAATAAGTAACTTCTAGCATGGACAGCGAGCCTAAAACAATCGTGTACATAACACCGCGTGAAAGGGGGCTCTATCTCAGCTGATTCAGCGCCGGTACACGTGTATCACTGAGCATCAAGATGGCCATCGGGAGACGGTACCCTCTTTCCGCCCCGTCGATTTTACGCGTTCGACAGTTGGAAGGTGGCTGATTAAACATAATTAGTGCAGACAGTGCGTGCGACCTGCAGGCATCTTACGACGACTGTGCAATTGCTATTCCGACTTCCCACTTCGTACACGTGTATTGATAACGCAGCTTTCTACGTTTGTCAATCGAGGCGTACATGAGACAAGGGTGTTAGGCAACTTGCTATCACGACCTCATGTGGCGCTGGACCGGAATAACCTCCCGAATGTGTGTGTAAGCATGAGATGACGAACAGGGATGTGAATGCCTCCAATCGTCAACGTGCACGCGAAGGCGGGCATGATGGGGTTTCCATGGAGCGCCTTGTTCGATATGCTAGAAGTACAAAGCGGGGCCTCGGGATTATACTCTGTAAACAGATCGGTAAGGGCTCGAGAACTGGAAGCCGCAGCCTTTTAAAACGTATCTCATCGAGATGACAGCCGATGAGCCTGCTATGGAACATAATACGATATAGCCCGAACCGGAGGGTTTCCCAAGTTGCGCTACGACTTTTGAAAGTGAGCAAGCGGCCACTCGGAAAGGTTCCGACCTTGTTATACGTTGGAGCGCAGGTGGTTGAGGCTCAAGTCGGCTTGAGAATAGCCGATGTTGTGATTGAGTTTTCGCTGACCCTGAGCGGTGGAGTATCCGAACCCACATTTCGGAAGCCGTTCCTGATAGCTTGTCATTCGACATTGGTCGGCGGCCATATAGAAATAGAAATTCCGTTCTGCGAACAAAGCATGTTTCAAAATAATGAACCACCAGGAATACGCCAATCATGTGCCGTACTTACGATACGCGGTTGGTAGAGGAAGCGCAGGGATACTTCGAAATGCGCCGACGCGATGATCCACTTCCTCGAAGAACTTGAAGCGTGAAGTTGTATATTGTAGTATTTTTCTCAGGTCCAACTGTGCCACCGCCACGAAGCCGGCGCCAGCATGATGTCCATGCACACATAAGCAGGGTGCTCATCGGTGTAGAACAGCACCGACGGAAGCGTACCGCGGCATTGCTAGATGCCCGACGGGTAGAGATTACGTTAGCCCCGAGAATTCGCATCAACCGACACTCTCGTGCATCTCCCATGAATCGAGGTGCATTTCGGTAGGGAAAAAAAGCTCGCCGTATATTCTAGCGTGCAATATAGCAATCGTGAATCCAAGTGGGGAGCCTCGATCTTCGGATGGTTCTTCGGCGTCCACCGCCGGTATTTTGCCTACGTCTTCTAATAATCATTTGATGACCGATGCCGCGATGGATGCTGATGATGGAGCCTGCGGTGCCATAACAGTCTCAGGCAACGTGATTGGGGTGGCCGCACCACAAGTTGCCTAAGACGTTGCATGTGCAAACATCCTCGGCACCACTCCAGCTGCTGCCGCCACGACGTTTAGGCGCATGTGAGGGGCAACTGCCCCCAGGCGGGTGTAAGAGGCGCAGATCCTGGCGTCGCCTTGCCTCCCCTGCGGTGAGGGAGCGGCGAGAAGGATGAATTGATCCTGGGGGAAAGAAGCAGTGATCAAGCTCATGCTGTGCCGTGTGGTGGCCTTCGCGCGGACCCAGGCGGACTCCCACCGAGGGACCGCGAAGCAGATGCGCCAACCTAAGCGAGTCATGGAACAGTTTCAGGAATTTCCGCGTGGGAAGAGAAGCCGCCGGAAGACGTGCCGGTCTTGCCTCCGTCCTCGACGCCCATCTGCGTACTAGTTATGGCTCGCCGACGGTCAGGCTGCATTTGCTCTAATCTCCCTCGCTGTGTCCTTGATCGGATCCCAGCTCACTCGGCCGCCCCAGCGTGTCTGCATTCCAGACAACGGCCAAGTACGGAGTCGGATCGGAACGGTTCACCTTGGAGTACCTATCGCGTTCGACACACCGCCTCGACCCCTCGGCGCACATACGAAAAGGCTCCGTATCTGCAGTGTGGGGAAATCAAGATCTGACCGCGGTGGCTGCGTCGCACCCGTGCTCGGACCTCGAACCTATTACTACCAGCACTCACCAACACATTCTTCCTGCAGTCACCATCCATCTGCTTTCCCCCGGGCCCAGTAGGTTGGCGCTTCAGCGCCATCTTCTCATCTCCAACCCTCAAGGGCACCAGTGCTTCCTATACCCAACCTGCTTTCTTGGTAACATGATCTTCTCGCTGATTGTGGAGGACCTGTGCGCTGATTCTGAGCCGTTTAGCCTATTCACAGCATCCCCGGGAAGCACCGAAGATACAAGTACCGCTGCCATGTCTACCCAGGAACGGAACCCATCCGCCGACTCAAAACCTTGTCAGGACCAGCAGCCGCTGACTTTGGATCCTGACATCGACTTTCACATCCTCATGCATGAAAACGCGCCTCAACCCGATTTCGTACTCGAGATGCCCCAAGAGCCCCAACCAAAACCATCCGCCAAACGTGTGCGCATGATTCGATCTTGCGATAAGTGAGTGGCGCCAAACCGGTTCTTTTTGCGGTCTCCCGAAGCTGAGCCCGTCGTCGTCGTCGTCTATTAGCTGCAGGGTGCGAAAAATCAAGTGCAACGGCCCCGTATCACAGCCTGCAGGTAGCGCTGGAGTCTCTTACATGCCCTGCCCGGGCTGTTTACGAGAGGGCTTCCTGTGCGAGTGGCAAGACAGGGACCACTACTTCAGGGAGCGACACCGAATATCAGCCTCCGGTTCAGGCCGTTCGAAGCGCGATCGACACGCATCGTCCTCTCCGGCCGCTGCGGCAGGCTCGTCACACGGCGAGAGGTTGCATGCCCGGAGACATCGGCCAGTCGCCGGAGGGCTGGAAGCCATTGCGTACGTGATTGCCTAATATCAGCGCCCGACGCGGGCGACTCACATGGACTCCAGGGAAACACAGAATCCTCAGGGTAACGGGCTGATTGCTCCCTTACCCACGTGGGACTACGACTACTCTCGTCGATGCTTCAATTACTCGAGCGACAGCGAGAGCTCGCTAGGCTCCGCTATCCCATCTCCCTCTCCGAGTCACAGCGCCGATTACATATCTGCTGTGGAGTGAGTAGAATGTGGCGTTCATGCCGGGAAAAGCCCCAACTTGAATAACCTCGTGCGTTGTAGGGACATACAAGCATCGTCGTTCATGCCTAACAGCGACGCCCTTTCTGGCGAAGACATCTTCGGACTTCCGCCGTCGCTCTCCCCTGGATCCATTATGTCACCGATGGGAACTGCCGCTACGGCCTCCTTCGACGCCACGCCAGCCCTCGCGGGCCTCGATGAATCTTTTGATTTCTTGACGCCGCTCGACGGGGCAGTGCGGCTACCCGATGCTAGCACCACGCCGTTGGAGGGCCTGTGGACCGACTTTGACTGGTCAACGCTCTCGTCGGCACCGATTCCGTTAGTGAGATACATGACGACCGAGTGCGAGGTGTCTAACGGTTCCCCCTCTCACTTAGATCCCAAGCCGGCGCTTTGCCTTTGAATGACTCGTACTACTACGCGGCTGATGCTGCCTGGTACATGCCTCGACACGGCTTTCCCGGCTGCGCTTGATACCAAGACCATCCTACCAGCGCGTCTGTTGCTCCAACTTCATCTCGAGTAACGCCGCTACACTGTATTACACGTTCAGGCGCTCACGGACTTTCTTCGGTTTCATACCATGTTGCATTGGGAATGCGTTCCTTCAATATACAATTTAGCCTCCGATTTAATAGGCCGTACTTGGCAGTACGTGCACTGTAGTAATAGAGGAATAGAATCCAGTTTCAGAACGGAGCCATGCATTTTACGGAATGCGGAGGAAATAGTCCGGCAACACATGTCTTATGATCGAGGGGGTTGGACGGTGCGCGGAGCTGCCAGGCCTTTTTGGACTTTGGTGACGAGGCACGACAATTGAGTGGAGCTCAGAACGACCATTTGCAGCTTGAAGAGTAGTAACGAACGGGCCGCGCAAGCGCTGTCGGTATCGTTGCCGTAAAAAAAGTAAACGGTCAGTGAGTAAAGTGCATAGAAAGGGAGAATCGACGAGGCAAGCCACTTCGTGACATCTCGGTTGTGGCAATAGATGGGACTGACCAGCGACCAGAATATTCAGGCCCGAAGCAGACCTGGGAATATCTTACGAGATAACCACATTACGTAAACAAAATGTTCACGCTGTCGCCAAAGTAAGATACTTATCGGAATCCTGTCGCCAAGGGGGCAAGGCATAGCACTAGTTATTGGCACAAGAATCTTACCTAGCTTCCGCAACGTCTCTGAGCAGGACTCTCGAGCTTTTCAAACCTCGTCTCCCCACCTCAGATATCGTTGATCGGTACCTGCCATATAAATACCGTCACTCGCACCCACGGACTCACGGATTCTGACTCGGCTGCGCATCTGTTTCTGACTCCCTCGACGATAACCGCGGCGCATGCATAAGCTCAGGTCTCGAACGAGGCGAGCAAAGACGAGCGGAAATCATGGCGACCATGGCCTCCCTTTCTCCTCCGCCGCTTGAGCTCCTGCCCGCATACAGCGCCTCCATCACCCGACCCGCACCCTCGGCTCTGCGGCCGAGACAGCCCGAGGTCGTCGAGCGCAAGTTCCCTCTCGCGCAGATCCGGAAAGAGCCGTGGGCGTATCTCATAGTGAGGAGCCGGGGCGGGTCCTCGAATGATCGGCCGCAGTATTTCCAGGGTGAGGATGTACAGGGCAGTGTCGAGATGGACGTGCCGAAAGGAGATACTGCAATTCGCTCTGTCGAAGTATCGGTACGCGCGTTTGTTATCATTCCACAATCGTGTCGTATGTTCACTCTCGGAACCCCAGGTTCGCGGACATCTTGTTAGCGGACCCAGTCCGAGATCCCCCAACGCAGCAAAGACAACGTTCCTCAACATCAGCCGGGTATTGTGGAGCGGTGACAAGCTGTCAGGTGTGAACCGCTGGGACTTCACGCTCAAGTTGCCCACCGAATGTGGTATCGATGCGGAAAATGAGGATCCGCAGCAGAAGTGGCCGCTTCCGCCCTCGTTCATGGAACAAGAGGCACGCTTTGGTATACATTATGAGATATTTTTACACGTTCGTCGCGGTCTCCTTCGAGGCGACAGCAGGCAAGTATATACCGTTGTTTGGTGGGACTATCTTGACCTCATCTACAAGGCTAAACATCACCTTCAACTACTCTCCTCTGGTATTTCCGGAGGCGCCGTCTGCTCTGAGACAACTTGCCTACAGAGAGAATATCGCTCATCTCATAGGCCCATCTGGCGATCCCCATGGATGGAAGGCGCTTCCGCTAATTAAAATGCAGGGCACGGTGTTTAGCAGCCGTCTCATCGAAGCAAATTGCATCGTAAGGATTCGCTGCTGTCCTGAATTCTTTTGGTTCCCTGACGTCTGCCTTTTACGTAGCTCTCACTCGCTACACCGGTAAGATCCTGCCGAATTGGTCGCATTGCATTGTCATTGACGTTACTCCAGCTTTGCTATACCAGATCAACCGTGATCCCGCTTCGTCTGACAATTCAGACTGATGATGCACAATCGCTCCATCTCTTGTCAACGACGAAAGCGCCGATCGTCCGCCTAATGCGACACTCGTCTAACTACACGAAGATCGCCGCGAACACGCCAGACAACTTGATCACCTCCCCCGACGACTTCAACACGGAGTCCCGCATAGTAGACACTGCAATCTGGTGGCCCGCGAACGAAGGCGATACACCGCCCAACTCACGTACTCTCAACGGGGAGCTCCGAGTGCCCGGCAACCTCAAACCCGCCTGCATATTCGGATTCGCCAAGATATCGGTACGTCTTCACCGATAGGGATGCCGAGATGTGTTTCTAATTGGCCTTCATCAGTACGCTGTCGTATTGCAGCCCTTCCGCGCTATCGCGTTCTCTCCCTCCGCCAAGCCGCGAGAGTACTTGGCCTCTCAGCCAATTGAGATCGCCACCGCATTTCCGCTTGGGCCCCGGCCTCGCTCGATGGCTCCGCCGGCATATTCTTGACGCGCTGCAGGTTGTCCTGATCGTCGCGGGTCGGTCGGTGATCCAAAACATCTCTCCATTCATATATCCTATTCAGAGCTTTCACATGCACATCTTACTGGGTATCATCGCTGGTTTGTATCCGTAGAACGTCTGTTGATCGTTGTAGCTTTGGCCAGTCCTCATCTCGCTCATCTGTTGTAAACATAATCATGGTCTCCCGCAACTCAGCTTGTTCGTGGCATACGACTACAAATTGCCTGGACGATGTCCTGATCAAACTTGCCCTTGGCTCAACTCTCACGGGGAAGCTTTGCTGGCGTCACTGTCATGCTCAGGCCACCTGTAATCGTTAAATCGAAGCGAAGGACGCTGTGGTACAGCAGGAGACTCGGATCTCTTCCGCTTGCCGTACGGCTCCTTGCTTCAGCCAGCTAGACCCGGCTGCCTCACGAACAAGAAGCGCACTAACCCTGCAAGGTGTGTATATCGACTTTGGATTCGACAGAAGAGACAATTTTAGGCAACAGATGGTGGAGCGAAATCGCTACAATTCCCGCCCGGATTCCAGTTCGGCGATGTATGAATACACAGTTCAGGAGGTCTATCCCTATCATCAAGACCCTTCGCAGTCAAGTCAGTCGTGACCCGCTCGCCTTTCGTGTTGATCTAGATGCAATGGGATTCACACATCTCAGTGATCGATCATTCGCTGAGGTTCGACTTTTGTTTGTCGAGGCATTGTGAACATAGGCGAAGTTCGGGAGGGGGGAATGATTGGTTGTGTCAATCGTTGATGTAGCCGGCGGTGGAACGAGGTCGTTCATGCAATACGTTTGAGCCTGGGCAGGATTACAGGCGACGCATGCGGCTTGGGCAGGAAGTATGGTTGGAGAGCTGTTCCGTGGCCTCCCGCAGTCGAGGCGTCCACGACTGGCTGTGCTTGACCTTGGGTCCCATGCGAGTGGCTCCCCTCGTGGGATGAAGCGCCAACGCCAGTATGATGCAAACCAGCTGTATGTAGTAGCCGTACGCACCGGCCTGATGTTTCTTCATCGCCGAAGCTTCCGAACGTGCTTCGGCTTCACGATCGTCAAATGTCGAACGCTGCGCTCCTCCACCCACTCCTCTTCCGCTCCAAACGCTCTCTCACTTGCTTCCGCGCCTGCGCCACATCGATGTCGTGTCTTGTGTTCTCCACGACCCCCTCCGTCTTCTGCACTTTGCCTACGACTTCGCTCTCTACCTGGTCAAGCACGCGCCTCGCCGGCTCGGGATCAGGCTCGTGGGCGTCGTGATCGTGAGGGCCACCCTTTCCGGGGAGTACTTGGGCGCCGATGCCTACTGCAATGGTGGTTTCCGCAGCTGACGAAGGTTGCGAGGACGACGCGCCATCCTTGGGTAAGGATTGAGTGGTATGAATGATGCCCTTCATCGTCGCAGTCGTGTAGCTCGTCGTCTGTTCTTGTGTTTCATCCTCCTCTTCGTCCTGATGCGAGGCCGACGATCCTGCATAATGGGCAGACAGAGCTCGCCAATAGTCCCAAATCCCGGGTTGTCCCTCCGACGCGCCGCTGACTGCGTCCTTCTGCACGCTGCCGCCGACACGGGCGAAAGCCTCGAGCGCGTTCTTGATCTGACTTTGGAGTACCCAGCCAACGGCGAAGCGCGCCATGGGACCGGCCAGCGGCTGCAGAATGCCCTTGTTGATGATCCAGTGCTTGCTGCGATCGATCGCAAAGTGCATCCCGGGAACATCGACCTTCACGGCGTTCACGTGGAATAGCGGGCTCGGTCCGGCTTCCTCGCTCTCATTTATCAGCTCGCTGGAGGCCCAGTCGGCGTCCATCTCGAGATCGACGGAGGCTCGGAGTCCTTCGCCAACCGCGTCCGGGCCGCTTCCCCCGATATCGATGCTCAGCAACCCTTCGTCCTCGTATCCTAGGATCGCGGGGCCTTTGTAGCGCGCATAGTACGCGATGTCCCTCGCCGACACGCGCAGGCCGTCCACGTGCAGCCTGACGCGATTCTTGGCCTTCGACACGGATTGGGCCAGGTCGAGGTCGACTTCGCTCCAGTTCTCGACTTTGACACGATCCGGGATCAACGACGCGCCGAAGCTGCGCGCGGTGACCATGACCGCGTCGACGGCCGCGTCCAACGATGGGCTAGTGAACTCGACACGAGGCATCGGGAATGTCGTGAGAAGACGAAGGAGGCGCGGCAGCACCCACACCAGCAGGTCGTGCTGAACCTGCTTGCGTATGCGAAGGGCGGCATGTGTTGCCTCCGCGGTGGGGCTGAAAGCGGCGAGGTGAACCGAGAGCGAGCCCAGGGCGCGAACCAGGCGCGCGATGGCAGCGTCAGAGGATATAGCGTGTGCGAATGCGTCCAGCTCGGACCAGAGTTCCCGCAGCGTGCGACCGAACTCCGTATCGCCCTGCAGCGAGATGGCGAGGATATCGGAGGCGCGGTCGTACAGTTCCTCAGCGGTCCTGGTGCCCACCCGAGAAGCCGCATACTGGGGATCATCGATGGCGGCGGTGACATACCGTCGCGCGGCAGCGAACCAGTCCCGGGCCTGCGAGAACGGATTCGCCACATCGTCGACTTGGATCAACTCGGCTGGCGTTGTGGCGATGCTTTTCGTCAAGCGCTCCACGAGAGAAAGGAGGCGGTCCAGGCTGCGACCAGAGGCAAGACGCTCGAGGATAATCTTTAGATCGGCCAAGGCGGCATCGAGGTGGGGGTCTGTCCAGATGATCGGGATGACGGTTACAGGCGGAGCCGAAGAGGATGGTACAGGTGGATTGGGGTCCGTATGAGACTCAGGAGCCGTCGTCGTCGGTGGATCGGCGAAAGGGTCCGTGCCTTTCAACCCCGTTTCTGCCGGGGACGGGTTTGTAGTCTGCACGTCGGCAACTACAGATGTGAGGGCGGAGATTTTCTGCGCATATTCGCTAAAGAGAGCGACGATCGTCTGTAAAGCAGCGCGATAACTCGGAACTCGCTGAACTTGGATCAGGGTCTGGACATGGGCGCTTCGGGTAAGATCGAGAAAGACGTTCGTTTGAACGTAGCGTACCTCCAGTATTCGTTGGATGACTACTTCTTTCATGCGGTCGGGTGCTTCCTGCTTCATATCCCTCCATCGCTCCTGGGTCTCAGTCTCAACATTCGCCTTCATCGTGCCCAAGTCTTCCCCTAGCCTCCTCGCATCCTCAGCAAGCTCCTCTCGAGTCCGCCGCGCCTCATCCCGCGTTCTATGCAGCACGTCATCCGCCCTCGCCTGCGCACCCCCGGCCGCTTCTTCCATTTCCTTCGCTTTCACCGGGAGATCCTCTGGCCCTGTCCCAGCCTCTCGCACTTCCTCCTCCGCGTCGTGGGCAATGTTGACCACGTCCTCGGCCACGTCTTCGACGACGGACGCGACGCGCTCCACCTTCTTGGCGACGTCATCCACGGCTTCAGCTACGCCTGCCACGTCCAGGGCCGCGTTTCCTACCGCTACGGCCGCGTCCCCAAGCCTCTCTCGGAGGAATGTTGATACGTCGGAAAAGACGGCGCGGAACGTAGACGAAGTGAGAAACATGCGAGAGAGCGTGAGTGTGGAATCGACAAGCGCTCGAGCGTCGGTGGCGATTTGAGTTGGTTCCGGCATCGCCGAGGCTGCCGATTCGGTTAGCGGCCTAGTCATTGGCATTCGTCGAACGAAGAACTGAGTTCACCTATGGCCTGAGCAGCGGCTACTGCTTCTGCGGATGCGTCTACGGCAAGATCGGCTTCAAGGGGTGGACTATCGATCCTGCGTGCTTGATAGAGCAGGTCCTGGATCTTGTCATCCGCTGCGGCCTGTATAAGCACGGCACATAGAGGTCAGATAGGATGGACAGCGTACCGTTCTTCTGCATGCCGAGTGACAGCAGCGCTTGTACGATGTCATTGGCATCATCCAGCAGCAGCTTGCCATGGGGGCTCAGTCCCCCCGCCGCACTTGCGAGGCTTCCATACGCGGTTCCGCTTGCAGCGACGGCCTTTCCAGCATGGGCGTTCAACAGGTCGGTGTTGAGGAGCGCGCGGAGCGCTTGGTCGATCTGCTCTTGGGACGGCATTTTGCCAGCGCTGAGGGCGGCGAGGACATCCCCGAGCTGCTGCAGATGGGACCGAGGAGGCGGAAGGATGTCGGACGAGGGATTGTCGGGGTTCTTGGGAAGGAGCGGTTCACGTTCGGAGCGTCGCACGCGCCGACGACAGGAAGAGAAGCAGGAGCCCATGGTATGCGTGGACCGGTAGTCTCAGGACAAGTCCGCGAGAGATGTCGTGCAGTGGTTGGGCTCTGGACATCAGACCGAGCGAGCGCGATCCACTGACGTCATTTTGCAATTCGTCGAGGGCCAAGTTCCAGCAAACGGGCGGTGCATGGACGCAAAAAGAACACCGGAGAGATGCGTTTCTGCGATGGCCTGCGAGGGGAATCGGTCCAACCACGGTCAGCGCGAACGTACTTACGAGGACAAACCATTGCGCGAAACCCACGTCCGGTTGAGCGCCGGGGCTGAGTCACGTGCGGTAAAACAGGCGCCCGGGATCCACGTCGTGCCCAACGTCGACAGCCAGCATCCAACGTGTCCTTCGCATTCTCTGCGTCTTGTGCTCAAGCAGAGATAGAAAACCAGTCTGGTCTGGCTGGGCAGGCTTTTCTCGCTGTGCAAATCGGTCTTCACTGAGCTGCATCACCACCGCAATGGCCAACTTCTACAACCAGTCCCGCTCGCCGCCTCCGCTCCAGCACCCCGTCCCGACACATCCAGCATACATCCCAGAACCTCCATCCACCCCCTCCTCTCCGACAGGCTACCAGCGCTACGTCAGCTCGCCGCCCGTACCCAACGCGCCCCTCCAGCACCAAGCGGCCTACAACCCAAATCCTGCCTACGCGCAGCCACAGCACCACTATGCCTCGCCTCCGCGCCAGCAGCCGCAAGTTCGGGGCAGCGGTCCGCAGATACCCGCGCCAGACTTTGCCGCCTGGGGGATGAACGACGCGACGGCGCAGTTCGGCATGCAGCTCGGGCACACAGCGGTGGCTGCCGGGCAGGAGTACGTGCAACGAAACGTCAGTAAGAGAACGGCATAGCTTACGTGCTGCCTGAACGTCGCTCACCTCGACTCACCTACAGTTCGGAGGCCTCGTACCGCTCACCTCCCTCAAACACCACTTCAACGTGTCTAACTCCTACGTTATGCATAAGCTCCGGCTCCTGGTCTTCCCCTGGCGGCATCGTCCCTGGACCCGAAAAGTGTACCGGACGGAGCAGGGTGCGACGGAATGGCAGCCACCCCGGGACGATCTCAACAGCCCTGACCTCTACATCCCCGGTGCGTAACTTCCACATTGTGCGGCCGCGTTATGGGCTGACCTCAAGGCAGTGATGGCCCTCGTGACCTACGTTCTCATCGCCGCATTGCAAAGCGGCCTGCAACACCGATTTCATCCCGAAGTGCTCGGCAATGCCGCCTCCCGAGGTACGAGCAATACCCTGCCGCCCAGTTCCTCCATCTCAACTCTGGCGACGTGGTATAGCACTGGGTGTGACGTTCCTGGACTTTGTGGCCGTTTATCTCGGATGTTATCTCCTCAACATCTCTGGCCCGAGCCAGATCATGGACCTCCTTTCATACGGCGGGTACAAGTTTGTCGGGTACGTGGTTTTTCTGTGCAAACCACTTCCGCCCCGCGCTAAAGTCCGCATCCCCAGCGTGATCCTTACCCTCATATCCGGCCTCCTCAACTTTGGCCGGACAATATACCTCCTGGTGTTCTTCTACACCTTCGCCGCGAACGCGTTCTTCCTCGTAAGCCCGGCAAAACTCTTGCCCCCCTGCAAGTGCTCATGCGCCGTGACCACAGCTTCGTTCTCTCCGATCGGTGGTGCTGCCAGACGCGAACGCGGGCGCGAACGTCGGCACTGTCACACACGCGGCGCGCAGCAGACGAATCACGTTCCTGTTCCTCATCGCGATGCTGCAGATCGTGTACATGGGCTTCCTTGTAAGAGTGTAGAGCGCTGGAATCCATTCTGTGCATAGAGCGGATGTCATATGTGGGACTGCACCAGTTTCGGCCTGAAGATTCGGACTTGAGGATTGAGACCGGTGCTTGATGCTACGACGGAGCCATCCTTAGGGAAACGGTTATCTGCGAAGTAACCGGGTCTCTGAGGTGGCAGTGCGCGGTGCAATATTCGCTGCAACTTTCTTCTGAGGGCCGCTTCGCGATCCTACCGTTCGCGAACCAAATATCCAGCTCGTCCGCGCCTTTTTAGAGCCCAGGACGGCACATGGCTGCTAATCTCAAACGGAAGCGCGCTCGGCATTCCGCGTCTGTGACCCAGCCCGCCTCACGAGCGAACGGTAGCACGGCGAACGTGAGTTTACCTCGGCTTCGATTATCTCGTGCTTTGTGGTTTCCTGCTTGCTCATGCATACGATCCAGTACGAGAAGAGCTCGGGAGTGAACTCGCGCACACATGTGAGGCAGAAAGAAGAGAGCGAAGAGGAAGAGAATGCCGAAGGATCGGGCTCTGACGAAAATGAGGATGATGAAGACGACGAGGAGGACCGCATGGATGTGGATGGGCAGGAAGACAAGCCACCCAGAGCAGATATGAAGGGGAAGGGGAAGGTTTACCAACCGCCCACCGGAGAAGAAGTCACGCAAATCAAGGACGCGACCAGCCTTTACCGCTCCGCCTCCTTCAAGTTGCAGGTGCGTTCGCCCATGCGCGTCGAATAAAGGGCACCCTCCCACTGAACCCCTCGTGTCCTACAGATAGACGCGCTGTTACCCACTATACGCCCTAAACCTTCGCACACCGCACCGCTCGAACGTTTCCTCTTGGCCCTTCATACCTTCCTAACATCACTTCCGCCTCTGCCAGAAACCCACCCGCGTCAGGCCGCGGACGCGCTCTCCGCGGCAACCAGCGCACCAAGCAAAAAGAAACGTCGAAAGTCGGAAGGGCCACCGCCTGCACCACCCAGCACTGTACACATCCCGTATCCTCAACCGTTACCCCCGCACGACACTAAATGGAAGGTCTCGTTTGAACCTCCTGAAGCAACCGGCGTGTTGCTCACCGGAAGCTGGGCAGACGGTCTTTCTGTCAAAGGACTAACAGACAAACATGGAGGTACCGAGGGCGCGCGCTTTTCCGTCGATGTCGCTGTGGAGATGCCGGACGTATGTTACGTCGCTATCAGAGGCCGGGATAACTCGCACTGACATCGATCTCAGAGCCTCTTCCAGGAGAAGGACTACCTAGACAACCGCTTTTTTCATAAGCGCGCATTCTTCCTTGCGAGGATTGCTGCCGCGCTCGCTCAACAGGAATCCTCCCCAGGGTTCAACGTAGACGCATACTACGCTTCTGCAGAAAACGACGTACGACGTACCATACTCGTTTTAAGACATCGGCAAGGTAAGTACTCGTAAAAATCAGCATGTGTTTTCATTAAGCTTCTTCTAGATGGTTCGGCCACAGACTTTTCCAAGCTGCACGCAGAAGTCCGGATCATCCCAACACTCGGTGTCTCCGCCCCGATCTCGCTTCACCGACTCTCCCCCTCCCACGCCAATCTCAGGATCTCCTCTTCGTCCGACTCCTCCCCACAGACTACACCTGAGCCAACACCCCTCTACAATAGCACGCTCCTCCTGTCGTACACTCCGCGGCGCTATCTCCTTGCTACACATACCCTCGTGCAGAACGCTCCAGCCTACAAAGATGCCCTTGCGCTGCTCCGTATTTGGGCGAATCAGCGTGGCTTTGCCTCAGTTTCCCCCGCAAGCCCCTCTTCATCTACCGACGCATTGTGCGTCGACGGTTTCGAAACCAAGGGTCCATGGTGGAACGCGCTCCTGGAGCTGGTCGTGAACGGTGAAGAGCCAACGTCTGCAACCGGACTCAAGCGCAAGACTATCGGGAGCAGACGCGCCTTGGGCAAGGGGCTCAGTTCCTACCAGCTGTTCCGAGCTGTGTTGGACGTTCTTTGTGAGCTTTACAGTGCTGCTTTACGAATGAATCATCTCATGGAGACTAGCGAGGCATGACTTCGTCAAGGAACCAGTGTTCGTCAAAACCCAAAATGGCCACAGGGTAACCATACTAGAACAACATGCGATTTTGCCTGCTCACCTGTCTTTCATTTTAGTACCCGCCTGAGGAGTATTCGGCTCACCATGATGCGGTCTTCGTTGACTCTAGTTCGCTAGTCAACCTGTTGGCTGGAACTCCTCTTGGCAGTCTTGATTTGGTCAGTTCTAAATGTGCCTTGCCGCACATTTGCGCTCATACTCTATCGTAGCTCCGACATGACGCGAAGATCACTCTAGATCGCATCGATAGTTCTTCCGCAACAGACGATCCTTTCCCAGACGTGTTTTTGCACGACCATCGCTCGCTGCAGACACGCTTCGACACTGTTATCCGGTACGTACTCCATCATCTTTAGGTGGATGACGGCGACGTCTCAACGACCGATTCCGCTGCAGTGTTGACTTATCGGCGTCCCCCATTCGCTCTCCCTCGGTGCATGCTACGCTCGAGCATGGTTCGGTATGGAAGGCCACGACTAGCGTTCTCGTCGCCACGCTTCGTGAAGGACTCGGCAATCGTGCCAAGGTTACGACCCTGTTGCATCCTTCCGTATCTTCTCTGCGGTCCACATCGGTTCCATCCCTTCCTCCAATCCCGCCAGTAGTTTTCATTGGACTCGTGCTCGACCCCGAGCATGCCTTCCGTCTCGTAGATCACGGACCAGCGGCAGAGGAGGGCGACACCCCGGAGCTGACCGCATTCCGCAAGCTCTGGGGGCCGAAAGCGGAGCTGCGCCGGTTCAAAGACGGACGGATCACGGAGAGCGTTGTCTGGGAGGTTCGCACAGCGGAGGAGCGCGCGCGCGTGCCGGCGCTCATCGTGGAGCACCTACTCTGGCACCACTTCGATATCCAAAAGGAGCAGCTGAAGTCTTGGATTGCAGGCTATGACGAGCTACTCCGGATGCCGAAGGAAATTGCGGCACTACATCCCGGCCAGGCCACGGGCGGCTTCAAAGCCGCAATGGCTGCATTCGACGGACTGGTCAAGACGCTGAAGAGTCTCGATGATCAGCTGCCGCTTGGTGTGACGACATTGAGCCCGGTCTCTGAGTACCTCCGATATACCAGCCCTTTCGCCCCGGTCCCGCTTCCCGCCACAGGTGCATCCGTTCTACCGGAATGTGCGCGCTACCTTCCAACCATGGACGTCGTCTTGGAGTTCGAAAAGTCCGGCCGGTGGCCCGACGATCTGCAGGCAATACAGAAGGTGAAGCTCGCATTCTTCGAGACCCTCGCGAATGCGTACATGATCGTCGAGCCCGGATCTCGGGCGCAGATCGTCTTGGACGACCACGAAACCGACATCGAAGATCACACCAGGCTGGAGATTGTCACCGCCGGCGGCTGGGCCTTCTCGCTTCGGATCTGGCATGACCGCGAGGCCACGCTGTTGGATAGGATTTTGGAGGACCGGACGTATATTACTCAAGCTGCAGCTCGAGGTGATGCTAGTCCGAAGGAGAAGAAAGAGGCAGCGGCGGCCAAGGAGCTGTACAACCGCCGGTTCATACATGCTCCGAGACATCATCGTGCTATCGCGGCTCTTTGTCACCGATTCACGGCGTTTGCGGGGTCCGTGAGGCTCGTGAAACGGTGGCTAGCCAGTCACTGGCTTGCCCACGGGCATATCAGTACGGAGGCAATCGAGCTCCTCTGTGCGGCCGTGTTTCTAAAACACGGCGCATCGGCTGCTCCCGGCAGCAAAGAATGTGGTTTTGCTAATGTCGTTGAACTACTGAGGGACTGGCGATGGGAGGAAGCTATGGTCGTTCCGCTATACGCTGCGGACAGCGACGTGCCCAAGCAGCCCGACGTGCCTCCTGCTCCCACGAGCAGTCAACATAGCGTATGGCGGATATTTACCGAGGCGGATCCTGGAGGACTGATGTGGACCGGGATGGGCCCTGGACTGGTCGTCGCTCGGAGAGTGAAGGCGCTCGCTGCCGCCACGTTCGACTTGATGAATGGCATGGTAATGGACAGCTTTGTGCCCAACGTGAGTATCGTGCCTCTTCCTGCGCGGCCCGAGCTCATGACCGCGACTAGAATCTGTTCAGGCATCCAACGGAAGACTATGACTTCGTCGTTGAGCTTGATGCGGCTGTTCTGCCACGGTATCATCAAAATGTCAGCGCGGACCCCAGGAAGTGGGCGCGGAAAGGGAAATATGCCAACATGAGCAACACCGAGTCTGACGACGGCCCGTTGCGGCCAGGTTTCGATCCTGCGCAACTGTTCTTCGACGACCTCCAGGTACGCAGGTCGCAAAGAAAGTGAATTTCACTCCATTGACGGATCTACAGCGCATATACAAAGACACGTTCCTGCTGTTTTGGGATCCACTCGGCGGCGACAAATTCGGCGGCGTGTGGGACCCGACGCTGAAAGCGCCGAGACCTTTCCGCGTGCTTGGCGGATTTTCTAGCGCCCCCGCGCAGGTGGCACAGGTGAATGTTGCTGCATCCGTCACCCACATACGAAGTGAGACTCACGTCGCTAATAGGATACCGAACAGCGGAAGGCAAAGGGGAAAGACAAAGATGCGGTCGTTCTCAACGAGCCAGGCGTGCTTGCTGAGATTGAACGCATGGGCCAAACAATTGTAAAGCGGATTGTAGTGCAGGTATAAATTAGCGGTGATCCGGCTTCTCATCTACCGACGCGCCAAGTGGAGGGTGGGCGTCGCCCAGCGTGGTTTCGATACAGGAAGTATACAACATGCATTGTGCTCGCAGCTTCCCCCGTCTACGCGGGAGATCAGCCAGAACAACGCTCCTCATGATCAATCGTTGATCTCAATCACGTTCCCATTACCCTGCGTATCACCATTAACCTCTCGTGCCTTCGAAGCACCACTTCCACTGCTTGTCGCTTCCCCATCCACTCTCTGCCTTTTCCTCGAGTCCGTCTCTTTCTCCTTCCCTTTCTCTGTAGCCTGTCCTTCCACCGCATTCTCTCCATCCTCCGTCAGATCAAGTACCTCCGCCTCACGTTTTGCCCTTCCCTTCCCGCGACTGCCGCCTCTAGTATGTCCCTCGCTATCATCCGATGTTAAGTCGATGGTGGATTCTTCGAGAAGGACGGTAGCACGAGTCCGTTGAGAACGTGTGCGAGCGGCCGACGCTGATGCGGACGAGGAGGCCGCAGAAGTGGCAGATGATCTACGGGATCCGCGCGGGCGGGGAGCGGAGTTGGCGGCAGAGGGTGTAGTTGACTGTAAAAATGGTATGAGGTGGAGTTCCAGAGGCGAAGGAGGCATATGAAGCACAAACCTCCGGTTGCGGTGCTGCTGCTGCAGGATCCGCGCGCACTGCATATAGCTGCGTCCATTGCCGCGCCGTGGCGTCATGCTGGGGACGATGCCGCGTGTACTCGTTCGCGATACTCGGGACTAATATGTTCTGTCTGAGCTACGGTTCGCATGCTATTGAGACGTTACTCACCCAGCGGGTCTCCTATATATCATCGTCAGCTTTCGATGCGCGGAGTTCATCAATGAGAAATGTAGGAAAGACGTGTTAGCTTACGCGGATTGGGGTCCGTCATTAGGCTACTAAGCGAAAGCACAACTTTGAACAGTGAGAGAGCGGGTGACCACGCGCTCTTCAGAATGTCTATGCATACTGCCCCTCGCTCGGAAATGTTCATATGATATATCCTGGAGGAATTTCTTTATCAAATTCGAAGTTCGTGTTGCTAGATCGCTACACGGTACGAACCTGGTGGTGAATGTGACTTTAGGGGCATTGAACCTATGAAAGCGAGAATCGGAGATCAGCACACAACGTTGGGAGACGGTGTTTTGACGAATGCTCACGGATAGTCAGGCGGCAAATGCACATCTACGTCGAATGTCCCTCCTTCGTACGGACTCCCTTCGGGACCTGGTATTGACGCCTGAAACCCATAATAGGGTCAGATACAACCCCGACATCGAGGGAGGTTCGTCGTGCCTCAGACACAAATTACTCGCCTTCCAATGCAATAGGTCTCCCGATGCTAGATTACAAGGTTCAAGTGTAATCCCACCCAGATTCCCTGCCTTCCGCTCCTTGTCTAAATCCGATATCTCCTTGTGTATACGCTTCATGGTCATCTGGGGAGAGCGAAGAGTCAGCAGGCACGTCGCCACACGGAAAGCACGTAACCGCCGCAACAATCGGGACGCACTGGCGAAGGCATGTCGATGTGTTGGTGCTCAGTGGAATTGTCGACGAGCTGAAGTGTCCTGATAGAGCAAGCCGCAACACGAGCGGGTCAACTTCAGGCGGTGGCTCGCGGTAACCGTGCTGTGCCAGGACGGCACCTGACTCTGAACATGAGGTCATGTGATCAGGACGCGTCTAGAATAAGTCAAGAGTCTTAGAAGGTTCCAGGAAAGGCTCCTCGTCAGCTCAGCTCATAACCGTATTGCCGACAATCGAAAGGAGCATGAATAGTGTAGTTCAATTGAATTATTCATAGCCATCTCTACATAGAAGACCAGTTCGGGTAGCATAGCATGAAACAGCAATATCATAGCGTGTTAATTGTCAATCACAGACGGTGACTGCGTGGGTAGAACAGTGTAAGTGAGATGGGGCATGTCCGCCAAAAGTTCATTCGCCGTGTACTCTGGGTTAGCCTCAGAAGTATCGGTTGGTACGCCGTAAAGCTCGGAGGTGATTGCCACCACCGACTTGATTGGGTGGGAAGTGGGTAGGTCGCTCGGGAGGGCAAGGTCGGGTATGTCGGCTAGCATTGCTCGAAGTGTGTTGTCCAAGGCGGCTTCGGGTCGGAGTGCTGAGCTGGCGGACGGCGTACCGGACCCCTCGGGTGTCACCGCGACCGGCGTCGTGATTTGCGCGGATGGGATAGCGGTTATTGAAGACGGTTCGAGGGGGGAACCCTTCGGATGAATAAGAGGGAGGAGAACGTCTAGGTCGTCAATGAGCCCTCCAAGATCCGGTTGCTTGTCGTCGTCGTCTTTGTCGTCTTTGTCGTCATCGCTTTTCGGAGCAGGTTCGTCATCGTCACCTTCCCTGTCGTCCGTCGAATCGGACGCTGATGCCGACGGCGTGGCTTGTGGGATGGATGTGTTTGGACTTTCGACTGCGGAAGTGGGTAATGTGGTGGTCACCGCCGGGACGGAGTTGGATGTGGGAAGCAGGAAATCCGTGGTGGATGAGGTCGCACTGGAGGCGACGGTTGACTGTGATACGGTAGACGTTCTAGGATGTTCGCTGGTGTATCGATCCCAGCTGTTGATTGGTATCACACCCTCTGGCTCAAGCTCTTTGCCTTCTATGAAAGCAGGGAGACCCATCTGAACACCGCCCACCGAATTGGACGACGGGCTACGCAGAGCTGTATAAAACAGATTAGGGTTTTTTCCAGACCAAAAGTGGGGGTGCGGTACTGACCAAGTCCAGAATACCGCTTCTTCCTGCTCTTTTCAGAGTGTTTGGCGGAGAGGTTAACCGAGGACGCAAGGGATGGAGTTGGAGGCACGGTTGGTAGCGCAGGTGATGCGACGACGTCCTGCGTCGACAAAACGGGCGATAGCGGCATAGCAGCAGCAGAGGAGATAGCGATGGAGGCGATGAGGATCGTCGAACCAGTCGAAGTGAAACGCATGACGGATAATAGGTGCTGGGTGTGTGGTTGAGCTCGGGGAGAGACCTTGGGCTAAGTCTCTGCCCAAAGAGACTGGCTTTTATGGACCATGGTATATAGGGGACGGAGGTTGACCGACGGGAAGCGGATGTCGAGGCGGATGTCGAAGCGGGTGAGGCGGGAGGCGGGATGACGGAGGGCGGGATGACGGCGGGCGATCAGCGGGACACAGCCACACCCGACGCACTTCGTCTCCCACGCCGACGCTATGCTTAGCGCCTCGGAGAGCTCGGAGAACGCGGGGCATGGCCAGTGGGTCCTGTGATCTGTGGCCATCGCAGCAGCTCCGACGGTCCCAGGCGGACGATTCGGCTGGTCCTCGCTATCCTCGCAGCCCTTCTGCGTCCTCGACTGACCCAGCGCGCAACACACCAGTCGGCGCGCGAGGACTTGGCAGAATATTTCTCGCTTTTGTTCCCTATATATCCCATCCCATCACGGCCACTGTTCGCTCGTTTCTGCTCTTTTGTTCTCGTGTTGTGTTTGCTCTTATCTGTTCCGGTTCTGCGGAGGTAAAGCGAGAATGGGCTCGGCATATTCGCGCTGGTTCGACATACACGATACCTTCGATCCAGCATGTCTCTACGTTACATCACCAGTGCGTACGGCCATCATTCTGCTACGCGACGAACGAATAACCCGGCGTTCATAAGTTCCTGTCGCCGGCCTGGCTGACCTTTGTACGAATCCTACTGGGACTTTACGCGCTCGCAGGAAACTGCTACAATCTAGCGTATACGACTAGCGTGCTGCATCAAGGGAGCTCGTGAGTGTCGTCACCGAATGGGGTTAAGCAACCGGACCGTCTAACATCTCTGCCACGCAAGGTACTTCTCGTATTTCACCCGCTTGTCATGGATTGGCGATGCGTCATACCTCCTAGCCGTCGGCGTACAGACGCTATTCTATACCATACGTCTCCGCCGGGGTTTCGGGACACGCGCATTACCGGCTCCGTCTAACAACGAGGTCAAGGAAGAACGAGGTTCGTGCCTTTCCGTCTCTAACAAAGCAGTCACTTACAGTGTAGCAGGTTCTTCTGGTAGTCGCACCAGTGGCACTGGGACAACGGCCGAACAGGGTATCGTAGAGCAATCGACGAAGGCAGTACGCGGCAACGCATACCCTCTGCAACAATGGCCGAAAATCCTGCAGTTCCTACACGTGCTGCTATGGGGCACGTTCACCACTTTCCGTGAGCTTCTGGGTCGAACTATCAGACTATCCTTTCGTGTGTCTCATTATGCACGTCAGCCATCATCGTCACGGTCGTATTTTGGTCTCTCCTCTCTGGCCCCACAGCATTGAGCACCGTCAATAATGGTATGTACAATGATGTGGAACACGTTCGTTGATTCTCATTTCGCGGTTCCCAGCTTGGGGCAACATTTCCGGTCATCTGCTCAACTCGGTCTTTGCACTCTTCGAGATATTCTTCACCAACGCTCCACCAGTGGTACGCACCCTCCGCCCTCCTTCCTTCATCTATTGAGACTCAACGACCAACCAGCCCTGGACCTACCTTCCCTTCCTCGTCATTCTCCTAGCACTATACATGGGCGTTGCCTACATCACGTTCGCAACACAACACTTCTACGGTACGTCTCCCATCCATCCGGTGTATATACCTCCAGATCATACGCTGCACCGACATATTCCATATCGGATCTGCAATTGACATTTTTCGTAGTATACGACTTCCTCGACCCCGGGAAACAGCACGCGCTCCTCGCAGCCTACATCATTGGCATCGCTGTCGGTTGCTGCCTCATCTTCTCCCTCGTCCGTGGCGTGATCGTCCTTCGTGAGTAAACGCCGCTCCCCGTCTCCATCTCCCGCACTGCTCGCGATGGCCTCCCACCCGGGCGCGCTGATCTCGGATATGCGAACTGACGCCATCCACCCCCGTCTCTAGGTCAGCGCCTCGCCCGCCGATTTTTCCCGCGCCGCGCGGGTGGTGCGGCGTTTGGGGATGACGCCGGTGTGCGCGCAGAAGGAATTGACGAATGGGAGACGGTGGAACACGAGGATGCGTTGCAGAAAGGTGCGGAGGCGGTGTGAGGCAGAGTGACGGGTTCGGACCTGGGTGAATGGTGTGTACATAGGCTGCGAGGCTACGGCGGTTTCTGCATCTTGAGTATCGATCCATTGAGTATGCCAGATTTGCGTGCGCCCCATCGGCGCATTCAATGGAAAGTTGGTTCAATTCAAGTATTTTAGACGACTGCAGCGCGCGACCAACGTCGAAGCATGGGGCTGTGGGTGTGTGCATGTGGAATATCGCATGCGCTGCGTCCTGGGGTGAATTTGGACTGTAAAGCCAACGGTTTAACGCGGACGTACGAGGCATTCGCGATGCTGTGACTGCGGGAACGTGGAGGACACCACCCTTGTGCTCGTGGAAGTGAAAATGGACTGTGCGATGACATGTTTGGTCGATGAGTTGGTTTGCAGCAATGAACGGATCGCCTGTACCAACTTAGGCGTACGTCAATGTGTTCAAGCGACATGGAATCAAATATTCAACTAGACGGAGAGTTCCCTAGCTACACGATGCATCCCGTAGGTCTGATCCCAGTCGTCACCTCCTGCCTTCATCTCGCTGCCGTCTCTGTGCACGTTGACGGTCTTCGTGAACGGGATGGATACGGACATTGGCGACAGGTTATTTGATAAACTGCCCTGGCCGGTGGACCGTCCAGGCGAGCGTGGCATGCGGATGCCCCGGAGTCTCTCGGATGGCACAGACGACAAGTTAGCGCGCGTCGAGTCACCCAATCCGACTCGCACGAAGATCATTGTTGGTGCGATCCCCTGGAAAAGTATCGGCGTCAGCATAGTTTGGCCCACCCAGAGATGGCTGTTCGGACGTACATATATCTGGGTCGCTATATCTGCAAGCATGATCTGGGCAGGATGGTTGATCGCGAAGAGCACCGTGAGGACGAACTGGACTACCAGGTAGACCAGACCGGACTCGATTACGACCACCGTCGCAGCTTTAAGGTATGTCGGCGGAAGCATGACCACTCCGCCCGCACGGCCTATATTTCCGTGGCTGGACCTGCCCTTCCACCAGATGCGGCCGATGATCAGGCCGGTGACGATGAAGTTGAAGCAGAGCGGGATAGCGAATGCCGATGTTCCAAGCGGAACCAATGACTTAGGCACGATGGCGGCTGACGGGGTTGATACCAGTATTCCAATCGTAGCCATGGCGCAGGCTGTATCACCGAAGCCGTTGAGTGGAGAATACTTATGAACAAAGCAGAACTATGCTCACAGACGAAGGCGAATGATATGAGTAGTGGGATGATGATGATGTAGTAATTATTGTCCCAGATGGTCCATAGTCGATAGCACTGAAGCGGTTCGTTATAATCCGACTCATTCCAGTGAGTGACGATGCTTACTAGAACAAGCTCGGCAAAGAAGTCGGTGAGGGTCACGAGGGCGTCTGCGGTTCTGAGAGAAGGTGTTCCGGCTTCGAGTGCTCCGCTAGGATTGCGACTTTGGACCTGTTATGGTCTCAGTCTCTACGGCGGAGGATAGCTCCGGAAGATTAGCGCTCACCAGATCTTTGTACATATAACGGAAATGAATCACAATATGTATGGTGCAGCACGAGAACAGAAAGCAGCAAAAAAAGAGATAAAATCGTGGTATTCTTTGGGTCTTTCGTTTCCAGGTCAAGGTCGTTACGGCCAGACAGAACAGAAGGATGTAGATACCTGGTAGGTTGAACATGAGATATATCACACTCGGACGGATTGTGTACTCACCATAGAGAATCAACTCGAAACCAAAGCCGAGAAATGTGGATTCGTTGATGCTCAACGCCATCTCCTAAGTCGAGTCGGAGGGTATTCCGTCAGGAGCCCTCTGCATGATATATTCAATTCCGCACAACGTTCATTGGACCGAGAGCCGAGATCGCCGGCGCCACTTCCGGTGAAACCAGTAAATACCGCTGTAGAGAGACATCAAGGAACCCAAGCTGCAACGTTTGATCATAACAAGAGCAACACCCCACGTAACGTATATTTGCAATAACGACATAGCGCAGAGATTCTCAGAGATCGGAGTGGTTCCGTGCAGGGCGTAGATTGTGGGCGAGGAAAGATAGAGTTTATCATGCTCACTGTGAAGCACGGGAACGATCGTGTCGCAAGCTTGATTGCGGAGATCAAAGTGTTGTTTGCGCCTCGAACATGCACTCGGAGGAGAGAATGGATGGTGCATAACTAGATGTTGGCCATGGGTCCTAGTGTGACTGCATTCGCTCTTGCGCGCGGTCTGTACCAACGCGGCACCCTAGGCCTTTCACATGGCGTACCGTTGTCTTAGATCTCAGCGACGTATTGAGTAGCGGTAGTCGGCCTATAGTTCTTACCGCCACGCCCGAAACGGAAGTCCAGGTCAACAGAGGTTGCAGAGCTATCAATCCGTGATTGCAGGATGCAAATGACTTCACGCACCTCCAGTACGGCGGTTTCGAACGGGCGGCGCAAAGATAATTATATCCTATCTACCCATGCCTGTCAACCAGAGCGAGGCAGTGCCGTGAGAAGCATGCATCCGGCGGTGATAGTACGTGAAACGTGTGAGCACATGGTACGTACTTGTCAAGAGGCTAGTGCTGAAACGAAGCACCTTGGATCAAGAGATGATACAGCACACATAGATCGTACTGGAAATGGCGACCGCAGTAAGAGGGATACTGGTAAGATCGCAAGACCAAAATCAGGGCTAACACGGCTGACAGTGAAGTTGGACACGAAGACGATATCTTCCGCGAAGTTGATGTTGTTCCAACCTAATCACGTGATGTTCATGTTCCTCTCAAAACGCGCGTCGCGCCTTGGTGACAGGCTCAACTTTAGATTGAAAATTGATCGTGCCCTACCGGCAATGCGACTGTCGCGCGATCCTCAGGGTTATATGGCTCTTATTCGGTTATTCCTCGCGCTTACTCAGTGAGGACGTGCATATAACCATCTCCAATCATGTATCGTCCAGTGAATGCGCTGCCTCCCGACTCGTCCCTAGGCCTCTGTGCGCAAAGCAGCAGCAGCTCGGCCTCGTTGCGCTGGTATTGGGACTTCTTGATGGATATGGACCCTCCTTGCTGAAGAACTCCTCGAGCTGTCTTCTGTTACTGTTCTACTCCGCGATCGTACACCAGCCCACCCTTGCCGGTGAAGACACGCGTACGAATGGGTCACCGAGCTTTCACTGGGTCCTATCAATATGTAATCATCGACCGTGTGTGTTGTGAGATTTAGCTCACGCTGTTGGGCCTGGGTCATTGCGCACTTTTTCGGCGAGAATCATGTAGCGTGGCAGCCTGTGGCTCCGTACTCCTTCGGTACATACCTTTCCCTCGGGGCCATGTTGTCGGAAGCATTTCTCGACATCGATATTCGTTGAATCTCTGTGATCGCACGGTGCGTCGACTGATTTTGTCAGGCTCGAATTGGTTTACTACATTACAAACCCCACCTAGTGTCGTGTTCACACTGATTGCCTACGAACAGTGATATCCGACGAGACGGCACGCTGGCGAACTTCCAAAACCTGATATCACGAGCATCAATGTCTGGAAGTATCGGCTGCGGTACGGCGCGATAGGGTTTGAGGGCGCAATCATAGGCACAGCAGTTATGGGACGACAGTCTCACCTTCGTGCACGCGCGATATGGCCCCCACCTTGTGACTGCTGCATACCGAATGGTATCGGCGGTAATTTGGAGCATGCCAACTACAGAACCTTGTGCGTGATACCACAAATCATGCCGTGCACTGCTGAGGTAGATCGAGATCTCTTTGCGAATTCGATCAAACAACGGCAGGCACCGAGTAGGAAAAGTATGGCTCCATTCCGTTTTTACCACTGTACGCAGTCGTCTTCACCGGACTAGCAAAGACATTCGGCTATAAAGCCTTGTGGAACCAGCGGCCGTTCAGTCAGCCGTCTTCGCTCTGACCGACGATGGCAATCACAACGAACGAATCCACTTTCCTTGGTTTCGGCTTTGAGATGACTTTGTACGGTGCGTGCTGGCGTTCGCTGACGTATACCGCTCTTAACATCCGTCGTGACAGGCATTTACCTTGTCGTCTTTTCCATGGCCATCATGTTGTTGACCTGGAAGAGAAGAACCGAGTCCATTTCCGTCTTTTATGTCTTCTTCTGCTGCCTGCTGTTTTCTTGCTGCTCGATACACGCCCTCATTCGCTTCCGCTACATGTATAAGGATCTTGTATGTACAAACCACTGTGTCCGGACGATGCGGTTGGCTAACCTCGTATACACAGGTCCAAGAGAGAAATCCCGAGGGGACCATTCAAGCTGGAACTCCTGCTCTGAGGACAGCCGATGCTTTGGTCACACTCACCGACTTTTTTGCAGAGCTGGTCCTGGTTGGTTACTGATAAATTCATCTCGTCGGATTCTAGTACTCAGACACGGTTGCAGTGCTACCGGCTATGGTCTATCTGGGATCAGAACTACTTCGTTGTAGCTCTACCCTTCTTGATGTCGCTGGCCTTTGTCTGTGCGTATACTCCACACCAGTGTTACCGTTTGCGTCGGCTCACCCATTTACATAATTTACAGCGTGCGCGATGACTACCATCGGCCTTCTTATCTCCCATCCGGCGGCCGCTATAGTTCCCAAGTCCGAGGTACACTTCGGAACGAGTGCATTTGCTATCCCGTTGGCGTTCAACTTCCTCGTCACCTCCCTGATTGTTGGTCGCATATGGTGGAAGGGCCGGCAGCACCGCGGTAATCTGCGACAATCGGGCGGCATCATTCTGTCAAACGGCTACCTAAAGGACGCAATGATGGTAGTCGTTGAATCGGGGATGCTGTACCTTGTCGTGCAGCTCGTTTTGACGGTACTGTTTGCGCTGAACCATCCTGCGCAAATCCTCCTTTCAGACATCGCCACGCAAGTATATGTACGGTTTCATCATTCCTGTATATTGCTTCGAGGCACTAATGGATTAACAGGGCATTGCGCCGACGCTCATTTTTGTTCGTGTCGGCTTGGGCGACACGACACGCACCATGCTGTCTTCAAACTATGACAACCAGCGACGACGGTTCCTCCGTAGTGGTGGATCCGGGGGATCGGAGTCAACCAAACGAACCAACAGAACTACCGGGACCGAGAAGACGCTTCCTATGATCATACCCATCCACAAGTCGGTTCATAGGTACCAAGACAACCTCGAACAGAGCAAGAGCTCAGAGATTTGGCAGCAGACTGTGGAGCTCGAGCCTGTGTCCCCTGCGCTCTCTGTGTGATCATGGGTTTAGCTATGTGAAAAAGCGGAAGTCGCGCTGGATTCAATCCACTCGACCTTGTTGTGAACGTGTACAGTAGGATATGGATTTGCTAGTGGGAAACAATATTTGTTCGCTCATCCTTGTAACATAACTATGGAGATCGTAAATCCGATCCAGGCCTATACGACAGTCAACCGGCGGTCATGCGAACTGAGGTCCATATGAATCTCTGCACAGAGTCGGTGCGGCGGACCTAGCTCGCGCTACTTCAGCTTGCTTCGTCAGATGGCGTGTAGGCCGGCATTCTTCCAGTATCCATACGCTTCCAGGAGATGGCTCTTTTCGAGAGATACAACACGAAGGCATCCTCGCTGCGTTTCCTGATCATTGTTGCGTGTTAAGCTAGAACCGAAGGCTGATGAGCGGGAGCGCACCATTGCGTGCGATCCCGAGTCCTCCTAATCAGCGACGCGTATGGTAATCGATGATACCAACACACTCATTCCGGAAAACGAGACGATTCATCAGAATCAGAACAATGGGGGTACGAAGCGATCTTGAAGGATACGACCCTGAAAGTGCTCCTGGTACTAAACAGACCTAAAAAAGGGATAGAGTGACATGAACACCTGGCGAAACGTGTACGAGCGTGTACAGCATACCGTTAATACGATTCTTGCCGACTCGGGTACCTGATGTATGAGCAGTACGGCTCAGTAATGAGAGCCCTATCATAACTGAAGAAGCACCGATTCATGACACGACAACCCCAGTTCCCGGTGCGAGAGACATGGTAGCCTGCATGGGAGTCACCGCAATCCTATCGCCGCCCGACATACGCAAGCGAGACCTGGTCTCAATTTCCTTCACATGGAACCAGGAGGAGCACGTCGGATGCGTAGGCACCGCGTACACGGCGGGTCCAGGTTTGAAGTGCCACGGGAGATCTAATCTTGCGGAGAATTGGATCTGTGCTTCTGACCGCAGGGTCCCCGAGGCATAGCTGTCAGTTCTGAGCGTTTACCTTTGCTCCCAGCCTTGCTTCGCGCATAGCCCCGCCGCTGGTGGCCGAGAAAGGGCGGTGGTACTCATGCACTTCCGGTTCCGTCCTCAGAAGCGCCCTTTGGCGTGGAAGTGGAGTTGATAGCGCTCTGCCGCAGTTGTTCCTTGCGCAGGATCAACGAACGGTAGAGGTCTGGTGTAATGCGCCGGGAAAGTTGACCCAGATGCGACGAGTCGGTCATATCAGAGGCCGCAAAGCGCGCCAGCCCGATTCGGATACATTGACCAGCACGTGACTACAAACCGAAATAATCGGCTGCAGGACAACCCCGACGGGACACCATTCCACGCCCAGAATGCTGAACTGCTCCGGGATACCATGAATAGCCCGTGAGTGCGTACGCTTGATGAAACACAGCCCGGTCCCATACTCATTGGCGTGTGCAGTCCACGAAGGATCTTTCTCAGGGAACACCTTACTCGATGCTCGGTCTGAACATGAACTCAACTCAGCAGCGCTTTGCGGCGTGTTATAACTGAGTGTGTAGTCTACTCGTGTTACTCGTGTCGCATCCCAGCGGCGCACCTACGTATCCACACAAGAGTACAAATGGCTGCCAATCTCACTGCGCTCACCGACATCATCAACAAGAATGTAACAATCATCCAACGCAGTGCTGAAAAGCAAGGACTGGCTTACCCTTCCCTCGACGACATCTACGACGCATCTCGTCCGAATGAAGCACTGACCATCGATCCGGAAGTTTTGAGTGCCGCTCTACTCGCGGCTTCGGCAGCATCGCAGCTGGTTGCAACGCTTAAGTTGCCGGGACTCGCGCTACTGGACCGTGCCAATGCGGTACGTTTCTTTTGCTCTGTTCAACGCCAAAACCGACACGCTAACGATTGTATAGTTCCATATCCCTTCAGCGCTTCGGCTTGCGTCTGAGTCATGCGTCGTAGAGATTCTGCGGGAAGCCGGACCATCAGGCTTGGACGTTGCGGATATCGCTGCGAAGACCAACGTTAACTCCACCATTCTCGGTATGCCAATCGCATCCAGCGAGACATGTTCTGTCTTGATGTTATATATAGCTCGTGCACTTCGACTCCTGGCGACGCATTACGTGTTCAAAGAAGTTAGTCTCTAGGTCAATGCGTAGAGATAGCTTGCTGACTTGCGCGAAGGTTAAACCCAACGTGTTCGCGAACAATCGTCTCAGTGCGTTGATGGATACAGGAAAGAATACGGCAACCCTTCAAAGTCTCGTGGAGTCAGTACCTACACGCGGTATTCAGACCGACCTGCTGATATCTCATTCAGGAAACGCAATGAGAAAGTATTGGGGCATGGCATCAGCAATGTCCAGGGAGAGAAGTATGTCGGAAGCAACGGAATTCCTGCGCTAGTGGAACAATGGTAAATTTCTGGATCTATGTTCGCCAATCAACCACTCATATCCAAGGAAGTACCGACGAAGTGTTCAAATCGTCCTCATATATCCCGGACGTCGTGCTGTCCAACGATTTTTCAAAGACACCCTTCCAGCGGGCGTTGAATTTCGACGGCACCATGTGGGAATTCTTCGAGAAGTATCCGGGATACTTGCAGCGCATACAAATGGCGATGGTCGGGTTCATCAGCACGCAACCTCAACAGAAGTTGTTCAAAGGTATTTGTCCACTACCTCTTTGTCTCTTCTCCACTGATCACGTTATCAGGTTTCGACTGGTCTCAGCTTCCGGCGAGTGCCGTCGTAGTGGATGTTGGCGGAGGGAATGGGTCGGAATCGTTCGAAATTGCGAAGAAAGCGCCTCACCTCAAAATCATCGTCCAAGACCGCGAGGAGACGATCAAGCAAGTTACCACACCTGTAAGCCTGATATTCCCGTCGAATCGCGGGCTGATCTGACAACTTGCTAGACATGGGAAGCGAACCCTGAACAGAAGGCCCTTCTAGACTCCGGACGCGTTTCTCTCCATGGTACGCTTTTGGCTTGCCTATTTTCAGCGTAATTCAGTTTTGCGCAGCCCAAGACTTCTTCGAGAAGCAGCCTCCGGCCGTCGTTGGCAATGCTTCCTTGTTTTTCTTGCGCTTCATCACGCACGACTGGCCGACAGCCGAATGCATCAAGATCTTAAAGCAACTCCATGATGCGGCTTCGTCCAAGACCAAACTTATGCTCGTCGATCAGCTGGTGCCGTACGCCTGCCCGACCCCGCCTTCGCTCGCATTCGAGGGCTCCAAGTTGCTCGACGCCCCCGCGCCGCTCCTCGCCAATCTGGGTGAAGCTAACTCCGACGTGTACACCACCGATTTCACCATGGCGGCGCTGCTCAACGCGCAGGAGCGCACCCTAGGCGAGTTCAAGGACATCACCGAGGCCGCTGGGTGGAAAATCGAGAAGGTGTACCAAACCGTCGGCAGCTCGCTCAGTCAGATCCTGTGCATTAAGGCGTGAGCCTCCCCTGTTTCCGTTCGTGTCTGTGCTGCCTCATCTGTATGCGTCGTTTGAAGGCGTGGTATCGCGTATCCAGAATCTAGAATGGTCGAAGGCAAACGTGACCGGGCAGACGAAGATGTGCACGGGGCCGCTTGTATACCGCGCTCGCTCAGGATAGTCTGGGGAAACATTCGGAGAAGAAGCACCAGCCCGGCTCCTACCCGGGTATCGTGACCGCACCCATGATAATGCCAATATTGTCCTTCCGAAGTCAAATTTCGGTATCATCTGGAACTTGACGAAAGAAGCCCGTAAGCTCTGGGCGTGGCTTTCCGAGTCGGTGTGGAGATTGAATCGCATCGCTATCGCCCTTCTCTGAAATTCTCACCGTTGTTCCATCTGGAAGCAGAACGTGCCTGAGCGTGCAGCGTATATGTACTGCACTGGCTCTAAATGTGATTGTGCATACTAGCCCTCTTATAGCTGATCATATAGCACCTCTGGCGTGCTTCATCCGCACCTGTCATTAGCCAATCCTTACTGTTCTCGACGGCGTATGTACAGATGGTTTCAGCACCCGTCACCGTTGTGACTGCCGTAGCGATCTGTGCAACGTACGGCATCTATCGCTATCGCAAAGTCAGATCCTGGTTGCGAAGTCTCCCCCGCCCAGCCGAGAAGCCCAGTATCATATCTGGTGGGATTCCCTCTCTCTTTCTGATCTGTGATGGTTGACCGGCTTGCGTTAGGTCATCTAGCGCAGCTCTTCGATCCCATAACAGGGTTTCGATACCACGAAGAGGTTGCTGCTTTAGGCAGCATTTCGCAAGTGGGTGGACTATTCGGGGTAAGTTCCCAAGATTTTACATACTCTTAGGCGTGACAGCAAGATGAAGTTTACCGTTCCCTTTTTACAGGACGAGCAGCTTTACGTTTACGATCCTCGGGCGCTACATTCGATTCTTGTCAAGGACCAAGAGGCATTTGCGGAGACAAGCATTTTTCTCGAGTATATGTGTTATTGTAACAAGCTGGTAGCACCCCGCATCTAACCTCCCACAGGCTCAACTCGGTGATCCTTGGAAATGGGCTGATAGCAAGCGAAGGTCCATGTGCGCATTCGTTTGACAACGCATATGCTGACATCCATTGCACAAATCTACAGGGGAGAACCATAGACGGCAGCGAAAAATGTTGAACCCGCATTTTTCGCCCACATACCTGCGTCGCTTGATGCCAGTATTCAATGCAGTCGCCAGAGAGGTGAGTAGGCCACTTCTGTCGAGTCCTTGGCTTTGAACCACACTCGCTAAATATGCATATGGAAGCTTCGAAATTCCGTCGAGACTCTGTGTATGGAGCATGAAGCTGTAACAGGGTTCGAAGTCGACATGCTCCTGCCTTTGTCTCGTGCAGCCCTGGAATATATCGGGCGCGCCGGGATCGGATACAAATTCAACTCGCTCGAGGAACCCGCGAGCAATCCGTACGCTGCGGCGATAAAGAACATTCTGTGAGTTGAGAGACGCACCTATCACATATCGATATCTCACGATACGACTTCAGGCCAGCGGTGTCGCCGTTCATTCCTTGGCTCGCGTTCTTCCCCACGTTTCGCCGTCTGACACCGCCAGCGCTGCAGAACTTCCTCGCCAACATGTTGCCGATGAAGTCGCTGCACAGGTTAAGGCGCATCACCCGCATGATGGAAGTCACAAGCAAAGAAATATATTCGCAGAAGCGAAAATGTCTCGCACCTGATGAAAGCGCCCACGCTGACATTCTGAGTACAATATGTGAGCCCATTCTTTGGCTTTCTGTTTGCTGACCTCAATAACACGCAGTAGAACACAATGCCAAACTTGACACCGACGAACGAATGCCGGAGGACGCTGTTGTGGCCCAGATAAAGTATGTGAGCCCCCGCCAACACTCGGAGCTAATGCTGAATCAGTGCCAAACGCTTAGCACCTTCCTTTTTGCTGCAACCGGTATGTCCAGTGCAACATGACTTCCCTCGGGAGTTTGGAAATCGACGATTTAATTCGCAATAGATACGACAAGTAACGCCTCGGCGCGATTACTGCATGTGCTTGCCCTGCACCCCTCGACACAGTCAGAACTGCGACAGGAGGTATCGAATCTGCTGAAGCGAGGGGAGATCTCATACGATGATATCATGTCGCTCCCGCTCTTGGATGCCGTGGTGAAGGAGACTTTGCGCCTTTACCCGCCTGTTTTCTTCTTCCAGCGTACAGCACAACAGGATACGATTCTGCCGCTTCTGTTCCCCGTCAGAGGTACCGACGGAAGTGCGATCGAGGAAGTGCCCGTGAGGCGAAACCAGAATATCATCTTGGCCATCGCAGCGGTGAACAAGGACAAACGGATCTGGGGACCGGATGCAGATGAGTGGAAGCCAGATCGATTCTTGCGACCTCTTCCGGACACTGTCGCGAATGCCAAGATACCAGGAGTGTATGCCAACCTGTGCGTGAATCCTCGGCACGTTGACGTTGTTGGTACTGAGATGTCATAGAATGACGTTCATGGGTGGACCTCGCTCTTGCATGTACGTTCGCCTTGAACATTTCTCGCGCATCGTCGCTCAGTTGTCAATTCCAGAGGGTTCAAGTTTGCAGAACTCGAGATGAGTGCGTGATAACACGGGTTGTGCAAGCATATCCGATTTAACGGGTAGCGTTGGGACAGAGATAACAGCAGCGTACCTGCTGGAGAGCTTCGTGTTCATGCCTGCGAAGGAAGACGTGATCTGGAAGCTTGGGTCGGTGCAAACGCCGCATAGTAGCTTCGACGGTACGGGAGGGCCGAGACTGCCGATGAGGGTCCAACTGGTGCAGACAGTGAGCGGCGTCGCGAGTCATCCGTCTATGTACGCCCTGACGTGCCGACAATCGGGCTCAACAGACCTGGAACGAGTCGGAAGGGCGTACGCGTACGACGCAGGTTTTAGCATGATCCTGATGTTTGCCAGCTCGTCCCCCGCTTCGCCGACCCCGGAAAGACGTTCCGTGTTGATGTCGCTGAAGGCGTGCCTCGGAATGGAGCTGGGTTTCGGCACTGCATAGTACGTCGACGAGTCGCATCGAATGAGTATGGATTCCGTATGTAAGTCGCAGTCTGGAGTCAGGGCGCGCGACGACCTCCGCGAAGGTTTGGGTGACAGTGAGCAACAGGCACGAGGGGCCTTCGCTGTTGAGCGCGTCGTGCAAGCCAAGTTTGCGAAGGCCGTTCCCCACGGGGCCGCCGTAGGTCCGTGGGCGCTGTGCAGAACGGCGAACGCTGGCTGCGACGTCCGGCAGCGATATGCACGTGCACGCTCTTGACGTCCGATGGCGCTGAAACCGGAGCTTGCATCCTCAGCGGCAGGCGCGCACGGATCTCGGACCATTGGCACGGAACGCAGCTCAGCGTTATGCATTATGGCCGATGCGGGGTGAAATAACAAGCATCCCAGCTCGGGGTTCCGCTGCGGCAGGCCGCGCTGTCTTACTTTAACCGTCGCAGCCGACAAAAGGCAGGAACGAGAGGCGGAGGAAAAGGTCATGCGTGCGTTGATGCGCCGCTACGGCACACGGTGCGGGGTCCGGGGAAGCCACTCAACGTAAGTTCCCTTCTATATTGATAAACGGCCTTCTTCCCAGCCGCCTGATGGCTTGCCTTTAAGTACCCCTCTCCTTTCGCTTCGCCTTTCCTCTCTCACCACCACATCGTTCGCGTTCAGTGGCCCAAGCTCGCGCCCCGACGACAACGAGGTACTGGTCGGTCTTTGTCGCCGAATACGTCATATCCTGCATAACACTATATCTCACTCGGTCTTGCATCCGTTCCAGCTACGAAATCCCGAACGTGTGGTGACGTTCATCCTCGACGACCAACGACACGATGGCGCCCTACTTCATGAGGAACCTCGTTCCCAAACGGCAGCGCACCGAACATGAATTGACTCTTTGGCAAGCCCTGATGTCGATAACGCCCGTCCAATGGGCACTCTTCTGGTCTGGGTGAGTGTCTTTCATCGATAGCACGTCCAGGGCCAGTCATCGGATGGATATCACCACTTCTGCGGGCCCGCGATACGCGTACCGCGTCGTGCTCCGAACCCGCCTAACGGCGTCCATACGGCTTGCTGCGCTTGCATGTTCACCCCGTTCCTGCGTTCTCACACTCATTGCCGACCCCCGCACTTCCCCACACCCAACCCACACATCCCCTCCCACGCTTTTGCTCGCTTCAACGCACTTTTGAGCTCGTACTGATCTGCATATGGCACAGATGGCTTGCCTGGACATGCGACGCGATCGATTTCTTCAGTGTATCTCTCAGCGTCACGCACCTCGAAGACCAATTTGGCAAGAGCGCGCACTCCATCGTACGTCCTCTTGCCCCCTCCCTCATCCTTGCGTTCTCATGGGACGGAAAATAGACAACCTCCATAACCCTCACCCTTCTCTTCCGTTCGGCCGGCGCCGTCATTTTCGGCATGCTATCCGACCGTTACGGCCGCAAATACCCACTCATCTTCAACCTGCTCCTTTGCGCCGCTTTCGAGCTTGGAGCCGGATTCGTCCAGACGTTCCCTCAGTTTCTCGCCCTCCGGAGTCTCTTCGGTGTAGCGATGGGTGGGATCTGGGGATTGGCTGCCGCGACGGCATTGGAGAACTTGCCCGTGGAAGTCCGTGGCCTTGCTAGCGGCGTCCTGCAGCAAGGTTACGCCGTGGGATATCTCATCGCCGCCGGTGCGTCATTCCTGTAACGCAGCGAAAGGGCATTGAAACTGACGTATATCGGGCTTCTTATTTTCCAGTCGTCAACCTACAACTCGTGCCTTCGGTACACGTCGGTTGGCGCTCGCTCTTCTGGACCTCAGCCGGCGTATCCGTCTTCGCCGCGGCGGTTCGCCTTCCTCTGCCCGAGTCCGCGGTCTTCCTACGTGCAAAGGAAGCTGCGCGTGCGAGAGGCGAGACGACTGGATCCGCCAGCCACAAGACCAAGGTGTTCATGCGCGAGTCCGGCCGCATGTTGAGGAAGCACTGGCTCCTGTGTATCTATGCCGTCTTGCTCATGACCGGTACGTTCCTTTCGTTCCCATTCTGATCAAGGTCGGAACTGTGCACTCACACCGGATGGTTCAGGATTCAACTTCCTCTCACACGGATCCCAGGACCTGTACCCGACCTATCTGCAGACTTCGAAGGGTTTCACCGCTCACGACGCGACCGTCGCGACCATCATCGGCAACTGTGGTGCCATTGCGGGTGGCGCGATCGCCGGCTGGATCTCGCAGTACATCGGGCGGCGACTCACGATCGTCATCTTCGTGCTCATGATCGGCGCCTTCATTCCGCTCTGGATCCTGCCTTCGAGTTTCTCCGCGCTCGCGGCCGGCGCGTTCTGCATCCAATTCGGCGTGCAAGGCGCATGGGGCGTCATCCCGATTCAGCTCGCGGAGATGAGCCCGCCCGCGTTCCGTGCGACCTTCCCCGGCGTGGCGTACCAGCTCGGAAACATGGTCAGCAGCGCCAGCGCGCAGATCGAGGCCACCGGAGGCGAGAATCTCCGCACGCACATCATCGTCGACGGCAAGCGGAAGGAGGTACCGGATTACGCGACCGTGCAGGGCATCCTCATCGGCGTCGTCGCGGCGTTTGTGATCATCATCACCATCATCGGCCCCGAGAACCACGGAGCGCACTTTGAAAAGGGCAAGACGGCGTTTGAGGAGGGTGCCGGCAACGATGAGCTCGTGGAAGATGACGGCGCGGAGGTCCAGGAGCACCGTATTCGGGAGAAGGGCGCCAGGGATAGCACGAGCGACGGCAGCGTCAGGGTCGATGAGGGCGCGAGCAAGGAGGCCGTCTGAGGAGGGAAGGCCATGCTGGTGGTGATATACCGGGGCGATGCGGACGGATAGATGTCGGGCTATCTTTCCGAGTGATTTGTGAGAGTGCTGCTTTGATGCCAGTTGACCGAATTATGTATTGCTAGTCTTTGACGATGTACGATCTTGACGACGCTATCCGACGCATGAAATGCATAACGCACGAGCGCACGTTCTTCTCATAATCTCAAGATTTAACAGGCTTTGTGTGATTGTAACTTCTGCGAGCTGGCGCCTGGGACCTGGGCGAGTGCTGCGGTATTGCCGCCATTGACATTGACCGGCTTTCCGTCGGCCCGAAGTACATCGGCATCACCGGCATGCTATCTTCTCTTCATACGCTCAGGACCTGGGATGGAACGGAAATGTGGATGCGCTTCCTCGCCCCCTCTGACTCGGCCCTCGCTGTGGACACGGTGGATCTCTAGGCCCACTGGTGTTGGTTTCCGACTCGGACTGGGGGAGTCTACACAAAAAGTCTGACTTAACGACCGGGGACTACCATCATGACCTCGGGCGCGACGGACGACGCGACGAATGGTCGCCACCACCTTCATGCCATTCATGAACATCAGAGGTTCGACTCGTACGCATATGCCGAGGAGCACGAAGAGGTGAACGTACCCGCTGCGATGGGGTCTGGCCTACCTCCACCGGCGGAGCTCGCTCGGATCGGTTCGCACCTGCCAGAAGAGCCCGCTTCGGTCGACGTTCAGGATGAAAAGTCGGAGAACCACCTTGCAAAGACGATCGACGTCTCCGACGCGGAAAAGGTCGACACCAAAGACATCTACGACAAATTCTCTCCGGCCAAGAAACGCTTGATCGTCATCGTCGTATCCGTCTCGGCTCTGCTAGCTCGTAAGGCAGTACTTCACGTATGAATGACCTTCTGACCTAATTACGTTTGTCCAGCATTCACGTCTTCGGCATTCCTTCCCTCGATACCGCAAATTGCGAACGATCTAAACGTTTCGCAGTCCGTCGTGAACTACACCGTCGCGATTTTCCTTGTCAGCATCGGCGTCGCCCCTCTGGTATGGGCACCTTACGCGACGATCTACGGGCGGCGTCCCATATATCTTGTGTCACTACCCATCTTCGTCGTCGCTTCTATAGGCGTTGCACTGTCTCGTTCGTTAGTGGCGTTGATCATCACGAGGATCATACAGGGTGCTGGCTCTTCGTCGGTGCTCTCCGTCGGAGCCGGGACTATCGGAGACATCTATCGACCGACGGAGCGTGGACGCGCCATGGGTGTTTTTTACGCTGGCGTGCTCGTCGGACCATCATTGGCCCCGCTGATCGCGGGGATTATGACCGAGTGCGCAAAAGCGTTAATCTCATTTCCCGACCGTTCGGCCGTTCTGACGTTGTGGCGTACTTCTGACCGTTGAAAGATATGTCCCGCCCGTCTATCCCGGTGGATCGTGGCGCGCCATGCAATGGCTGTTGGCTGGAGCGGGCCTCATAGCCTTGGGGCTTTCGTTTCTATTGCCGGAGACGATACATTCTCGGGGGATTGACAAGATCATCGAAGAGCGCGAAGTTTTGCGACGGACCGCCTCACGGGCCTCTGAAAAGCGGGCATGCGCAGACAAGAGCGGTAATGGATTTGCCCGATTTTTGCGGTGGAGACGCCGCGTTGCTTGGGTATGGGTCGATCCTCTGCGACCCGTGCGTTTGCTAAGATATCCAAACGTTCTCGCCATAGTAAGTCATCATTCACTCTACGCGCTTTTTTCCCTTGCCGCATCATCGTCCGCTCACAGCCTATTCCACAGAGTTTAAACTCGTCTTTTGTTCTTTTGACAACGTACTGTGGGTTACGAATGTTCTGGCTCCGATTCAGTGGCTCATCATCATCCCGCAGGCGTCGTCGTTCCTTTGACGTACACATTGGTACCATAAATCGTCGGCTGCTCGTGGGGCTGAATTCTAAATACGGTACTGGTTCAGGGACCACGGTATGGGATTACAAATGACGCTATCCTTGGTACTCTCTTCCTCGCCCAAGGCGGTGGCAACATGAGTAAATAACTTCCATCTGTCGGTTGGGTATCTTGTGCTGAATACCGTTTGATCGTCTTAGTCGGGTCACGTATCGCAGGGCACATTTCCGACCGTACTGTTCGCCTATGGACGGATAAACGAGGAAAGCGCATACCGGAAGATCGGCTGCGCGCCTCGCTGCTTTCGGGGGCCATCATCGTGCCCGGAAGTGTCCTTGGAGCCGGTATGTGTATATGAAATCCAGGAAGGCGGATGATTGATTTCGCAGGTCTGACGATGCAATTTTGGACAAGCGCCGGCGGCCTCGCCGTCTCGCTCATATTCCTTTTCATATCCGGTGCGTCATCCGGCTCCGAATCCGAGCTTGCGTTAACCGGAGCTCATATGCAGGTGTCGGGCTTATGGGCGTTCTATCCGTTAGCAACACATACCTGGTAGATGTCATGCAAAAGCGGAGCGCGGAGACCATAGCGATTAACAAGTACGTTCATACGTCACCCCGCTCCGCGCACTCGCTTTGGTCTCCCTTCTGACGGACACATCTTAGTTGTATTCGCTATATATTTGCCGCGGCTGCCTCTGCGGCCGTACTGCCTCTCATCAAAGCCATTGGCGTCGCTGCAGCCAACGGCATCGCAGCTGCCATTTCACTCATTGGATTTGCGTTGACGTTAGCAACCATCCGATGGGGAGAAGAGCGGAGAACGCGGGTAGATGAAGGGGAAGCCGCAGAGCAGCTGTCGGCTGCAGTGGAAAAGGGGGATGCGCATGGCGACCAGGGCATACAACCCAGTCGAAGAACATCCATCACGTTGAGGGGAAGCTAAGTCGTGCTGGTCATAGTATGCTGTATGCTGTCTCCGCGTTGTGCCTGTAAGGACTGCCCGAAACCACAGATCGACAGATAGATGAGAATTCCATAGCGCAGGTCTGCGCGCCGATCAATGATACATACTTTTAGCGACAGAAATATCCATGCTGTGACTAGAAGGTGTGTGCCCTACCAGGGTGAAGGCGCTGAACTGAACGAGCTGCACTGTGCTTCGGCCGCTGTGCCTCCGACATAGCCACTCTACTACCTTGAAGTTGCGCTACGATGACCAGGAGCATCCGCCTGAAACATCTTACCATCCTGCCAGGCGACGACTCCGAGAGCGCCGTGAGATTCTTAGGAACGCTGTCACCACTGATGTTGAATGCGCATTACGTCCGACCCGGAGGACTTCACGCCGACTCGCTCTTGATCACTCCGTGAAGGCTGTCCATGTCTCCTAACGGAGGCTGATGCACGAGCGATCCAAAGAAGGACCTCGGAGCGTTCATGTATGCTTATAAAGAGTGCGCCCGGTGTGCGTTCAGTTCCAGTCGCATCCTCTGCCATGTCGACGTCTTCGCGTCTGCTCTCGCGAGCGCTCGTGCTCGGAGCTCTGCTCGCGGGCTTGGTCGACGGAGCGGCGCCGTACTGTGTCCCTGGACAAGCATGCTTTCCTACGCTGCCAGTTCTAGACGCGTTCAACTTGACGGTTGGCGGACGTCTCAAGGCTCCTGCACCATACGCGTCCGTATGCTATCGCGAGGAGTGGGATGAAGGCGCATGCCAAACCCTCTTCCAGTCCGAGTTGTCTGGGTCATTTCGAGTAGAACAGCCTAACGCGCTGATGTTCACCAACTGGGAGCTGAACGGCGACGTCGGATGCCCCCAGCCTTATTCGCTACCTACCTCGCCACTTCCAGGCAACTGTACTCTGGGTGAAGGTCTTCTCCGATGTGACTACCGAACGGATGCTAATAATCCACCAGGCTCCCTTCCCGCCTATGAAGTATTCGCAATGAGTGCTCTTGACATCAGTCGCTCCGTGACGTTCGCCGCGAAGCATAATCTGCGTTTGAGGATTAAGAACGTGAGTGTTATCTATATGCTTGCATCTTAGTGATACTAAACAAATCTTAAACAGACAGGACATGATTAGTAAGTTATCGACCCGCTCAGCATAGTTTGGTTTACTCATGTTTCACTCTCAGCCTCGGTCGTTCCTCGGCACCTGGTTCCTTCACTATATGGACCCACCAGCTCAAGAACACGAGCTACGTTCCTCATTTTGTCCCGGATGGTTGTCAACGAACAGCAACTCCGGCCAATGCTTTGATTGCTGGCGCAGGCATTGAGGTACTAGATCTTTGGAGGGCTGCAGATCAGCACAATGTGACAACTATCGGCGGTTTTATTCCTACTGTCGGTGCTGCCGGCGGGTACATGCTGGGAGGCGGTCTTGGTCCACTGAGCCGACTATACGGGATGGGCGTGGACAGTAAGGATCACGAGCTGCGCGGGCGCATGCCTATGCACTGACTACGGTCACCTTTCCACTAGATGTCTTACAGTACAAGGTGGTTACTGCAGATGGAACGATCAAAATCGCCAATGAATGCACGAACACGGACCTGTTTTGGGCTCTGCGTGGTGGAGGCGGAACCTTTGGGGTAGGTTTTCGCTTTTCGGTCTGCAGGACTGATCTCATTGGAAATCTTTCTCGCCCATAGATCACTACGGAGGTTACCGTCAAGGCGCATCCGCCTTTACTAGGCGTCAACGGTGTCAATGCCACATTTTTGGCCAATTCAACCCAGGCATTTGCCCAGGCGATCAGCGTTTTGCTCGGGATGCAGGCGACGCTTGGCGACGCAGGTCTGAGTGGAGTATCTGAGCTCGTGAGTTATGGAGCCTGCCCTTCGTGCATTCCTGATGTATGCATATCTGTCAGCTATATCCAGGAGGTGCTATCATATATGCCAAACCCCTAGTCAACAAACCGGAGACGCCCGAGGAGACACTCGCGTTGTTCGGTTCCATGAGGAACATACCTGGCGTTCAAATCGCCTTCTCGACGTCATCGTTTTCCACTTGGCTTAACGCATACAATGGCTTCATCGAGCCCGCCATGGCAGGAAGGGACGCTGTCGGGGTGAATATTTTACTTGGGGATCGCGTGTTGATGAAGGACACCATGACAAACGAGCAAACCGTCGACGTCCTTGGCGCTTTCATCGCAAACATGTCGACTCCGATCATTCTTCAGGCCGTTGCAGGTGGAGCAGTCAGCTCCTTTGACCCGACATCCACATACACGTCCGTGCATCCAGGGTGGCGAACGGCTCTACTTCATGCGAACTTTCCCGTTTTTGACCTCACACAGCCCGCCTTGACAGCCCAACAGAACGAGACCCTCAGACGTACCCTTGATGGCATCGATCGAATCATCTATCCCGAGGGCAACCCAGTGGCATACTATAATGAGGATTGGCCCGGCGAGCCGAATTGGCAGGCACGATGGTTTGGGGGAAACTATGAGCGATTGTTGAAGATCAAGAAGACAGTAGATCCATCGGGCGTTTTCACATGCAACAATTGCGTCGGGAGTGAGGTGTTCGGAGTGTAATAGAACGCCGGATAGAATGCACTTGGTAGAGTAGATAACGCGAATACCGTTCCTGCAATTCTACCTGATAAAACCGTTCGAACATGCTGCATAGCCAGGATATATGGTATGTCCTCGAGGTGCGAACTTCGAAGCATATCTAGAGCATGTACCAGGGTAGCACTATTCCTATGAACTGCGTTGGTGTGAAGCAGGTCATGAAGACTGGCAGATGGGGTGTGAAGTCCTCGCAGACCAAGGATAGTCTATCTATCGGTATCGCTCTTAGCTTGTCTTTCGAAATTCGCTCTTCTGATCTCTTCCGCCATCCTATCCAACCTTTCTCTGTTCTCCTCCTTCCCCTCCTCGTATACTCTCCATAGGCCTCGCCTCCGTGTCCGTACCCCAACCCGCTCTTTCACCATCCCGACATATCCCACTTCGCTCACACTTCTCACCACCCTATCATTGATTCTCTGTTGCTGGCTCATTTGTTGCAGCACGTGCGCGGGGGGCATACGGCGCATGCGTTCCACAGAAAGAGGTGTATGTTCTCCAGCGCGTTCTCTAGCGCGCATGGAGGTGTAGTAAGCTATCTTCCGGGTACGAGCAGCTTTGATGGAGTCTAGAACAGATGGCGGGAATGGGGTTTGCAGACGGGCGTTTTCAAGATCGAAGGATCTCGCGATGGCCTCCTCTTGGGCATTGAGATGTTCTCCTGCTCAGGGACAGATGAGAATTCATTCATCTTCGCACCAGAAGAACTTACTCCATTCATTCCGATATTTCAGAAAGTGGCTTTCGAATGCCTCGCCTTTCTGCAAGCTCTCCAGTAATCCTCTCTCGAACGTCATCTCCCTGTTTAACTCTAGCTTCCTCTCCTTCATCGCACTCTCATTCGCGATTCTCACGTCGTGGGCTCTGCGACGCTTGTAGATCATGATTGACAGCGCATGGGGCTGGCGGAGCATCCGAGGAAGAGGAGGATTGTACAGTGACGGACGTAGGTATGCACCAGTGAGTATAGGACGTGTGGCTCGTAGGTATTCTTCGTGCTATGGTTCGTGTGAGACTGGAGAGCACACGACCGGCACGAAGTAACGTACGAACTGCTCGTGTACGGCCCTTTCAAGGCGCGCTTTCGCGCGCTTAGCAGAGATCATGGCACTGTATCGCGAAAGGAGTCGCTTCAGCCGTTCGTTCCCTCCTTCTGCTTGCAGAAAGGTGTCAAGCATCTTTGACCATCCGTCAATCAATAATATATGATTATAGAACGAGAGGGGACGGACCTTGTGACCTTTGCGTAGCTCATCCTTCGTCGTCCGAGGGCTAGTAATCGCGCGATTTTGCCGGAACATCATTCTTATCCGAAACCTGATCTTGACGGCGCATGAGCTGACTCGGACGAACCACCGCATTTGCGACCATACAAGATACGCACGTCCAGTGTGGGGGAATGTCTCAACAGACCGCGGTATAGCGTCCATAGCGTTGGAACACGATGTGCGGCGAGTTTATAGAAAGGCACCCGCGGCCGAACGCGTTTGAGCGGGGCCACGAGCTGTGCGAGCCGAGCTCGGTGCGCCAGGGACGACATAGTGGGACTCAGGGTTTGCATCGTCGGCGACAGTCACAAAGCCTAGCCGAGGAAAGGTTGAGGGTCTAGATCAAGACCAACCCAAGGGAGGAGCAAGAGAAAGGGACAAGGGACAACCCGCGGCAGTCACTGCGTTCCATTTCATTCTCTACCCACCACACCCATGTCGACTTCCAGGGGGCGTCCTGAGGATACGTACGAGGCTCAGAATGACCAACGTCTAGACGAACTACACTCTAAGATTCGGACACTGCGTGGGGTGCGCGTTCAAGACGACGAGGTTGGTCCCGGAATTCATGGTACCCGTCACAGGTTACGACCGACATACATGCCGACGTGGAAAGGCAGAACCTCATGCTGGATGATACTGTACGTCACCTGAAGCGCTGCACCGACGTCGACTAACACGTATCATTCACATACTAGGGCAACTCCTTTACTGCGTTCTCCTCTTCCCTCGCCAATTCTTCGAGACGAGCAGCACGTGCTTTTGGACTCGAAGGAGGAGTGAAGACTTACCGAATCATTATTTACTGTATATCATTCCTCATTGGGTTCTGGGTAGCATGGAAGATCCTGGGTTGGTGGTGGGGTAGCTCGGAAACGGTGCAGGCACCGTGAGCTTGGAGGTTTCTATCAGTGGTTGGATGGACTTGGATGGACTTAATGAGCCAAGGTGTGTCGAACTGATCTCTCCCTGTGTACATGTTTCTGAATATCGGGCAGGTTCTTCTGTAATTATGGCATGTGGTTTCTATTTTTTCGGAGAATGCATGGATTCGCGAATAGGAACCGTTATGTTCATTGCGCACGTTCCACCTCTGACAGGACATACAGTACCACCCTTCTATGACGTTCTACGGAACGGATACGTCGTTTATGCTACGAGCTATAATGTCGTTGGCCTAGCGGATTCACAAGAATCCGGCAGCACGGCCCACCCGGGTGAAGAAATCTCGGATTTTGACCAGCTGTCGTTGCTCGGAGACGAGTTGCTTGCGGCATTGCTGCAAGCAGGTTCGTCGCACTATGGCCCGGAAGAGGTGGAGAGATACGAAATCAGTGATTATATACCACGCGGGCCAAGTGAGAAATTGCTGGGCATAACAAAGGCGTCCGAACAAAGGACGGTCGGATTCTGATTGAGAGGCTTGCGCGAATCTATTGTCCGGATATATGATGGTCACCGCTCACGAAACCACCAGCTCGCTTGATAAGGTGGTCATCCAAACGTTACCGCAAACTTGTGTTTGCTGGCGCGAGCACAAATACGACTCCTTGCTCCACGTATGCGGCCACGCGTTTGGGCAGTCCGGCAACTCAACTGGTCGTGTCCCGGACGACCATCCAACAGTTGCAATTGCGACATCGAGTCTGACGAGATACAGGGACCTCAATCGGTCTCGCGTGCGCCTAAAGGAGCGAACAAAGGGAGGGATAGCTCGGAACGGCCCATGTGCCACACGATCTACCACGGCCAACCATCCTGAGGTATACTATGGGCGATGACGGTATCGGCGGACAGTGGCATGAGGGTATAAAAGCGCTTGGCCGTAAGCTGTCCGCAACCCGACTCCTGGAGCTCTTCGTGCATCGCGCTCACGTCTGTGAGGTCTATGCTAGTGTCACGGACAATATATCACTGACCACTGTCAGCTCTTCGTAGTTGCCGTAGGGCCTTCCAGCTAGTCGCCGTCTCACCACCCGGCGCGAGGTTCCTGGTTCCTTCCAACGCCCGCGAGTCCATAGTATGTGTCTCCAGCTGAAGTCATCCGTCCCTCGTCCTGTATGCTGATGTTGCGTACCAGGCGTCATGGCTAGGAACATCAACGTCATATCTATGTTTCCGGATGATGACACCGACAAGGAGGTTTTTCTACAAGCAGCCGGGAAGAGCTATAGCGGCAAAGAGCGACACGTCTCTCTCTATTGGATAAACCGCGATCAGGGCATGCTGTTCGTCGAGCACGTCCTCCAACTGATAGGCGCGCCCGGCAACTATCACTGGGAAAACATGGCCCGATTCCGCGACCGCGATGCGGGCTGGAAGGACACCATCTATCCTCTTGGTCGCTATACCCGCGAGCAGCGCGACCAGATCGTCAAACTTGCTGGGCTCGTCGAGTACAACCCGTCATCGACTGTGAACAGTTGTCGCGCCTGGATGCGCGACTTGCTGGAGGCGATGACGGAGGATCCAATTGTGTCGCTCGACCGCAATATATTCGAGCAGGTCGATGAGCAGGTTCCACTAGCTAAACGTCGGCCAGAGGTGGTTTGATCAGGCAACAAGGTTCTTCTAGGGACAATAGATCATTGGACTGCAGCGCATGGACCGATACAGACTGTTCCGATATGTACCCGTGCTCATACTCTATACAGCCATGATACCACCGTGAATAGTACCTCTGCTGAAGCAATTGCAGCCGTGCGTCAGTACTTGCGAAGTCCTCACAAGTTTGGCTCGCCGGTACGCTGCCGTCCAACGAAATCGGAACCAAAGGCTGCGGCCATGGTCGTACCCCTCAAACTTCCCGTAACTTACCTGAATGCAGCTTTTTGCGGTCCGTAGTTCTCTCGGTCCTGCGGCATTTGGCATATCTAATCCTGGACCACCTAGTGGGCAGAGTTGCAGGTCTATCACATAGAAAGAGGCCTTGACATTTTTCAATGCAGTCTCCCCAAGCCTGGATCCGAACGAACGGTGTGTTGGATGCGGCATGGATTATATACGACAGATCCTATCCATATGGGCCCATGAGTAACATAAAGGGAAGATAACGTCTAATTCAGAAATCAATGCTGAAATGGGAAGGCGAAGGTGGCTTGAAGGAAATAATACCCTGCTTCACGCAGCCTCGTAAAGCAGCACCTCGAGACATTTTGTCTAGAAATATCGATCCCAGAACCCCTTTGTGCCGTTGTTCGGAGCGGAGTACTTGCTGATGCCTAGAAGCTTCATGACAAGGCCGTAGATCTCGACATTTTGAAAGCCGTCCATGATGTATGTGTCGTCACTGGTTGAATGCCAGCCTTTATTCGGGTTGCCCAGTAAGCCGGATATCGATAACGAACGGCGCGCCCGAGTTTGGTGCACGGCTTTCATGGCAGCGGAGAACGGCCCATGAGCCACAAACATGGCGCGCATAGACTCTTCATCGTTGTCGTATCCATGGTTCTGTGTCATATCTTCACGTTAGCCTACCAGGCGGTTTACGCAACGCAACGTAACACTCTGACCCCCTTGGACATCCCTGTACCATTCTCGAGTCTTGTCGTGAGTGCGTAACCGAGCTTCGGCACGATATACACCGGTGCTATGCGCTTGTGATTCGAGAAGTGGTAACGCTGGGGCATGGTCTCATGCGTGTAAACGTCGAACTTGTGAGTGTTCTCCTCCGCCGCGGTGCGTAACACAGACACATAATGCGAAGCGTTCGCCTTCGGGGAGAAGCGAAGGCCCATAGATGGCCAACCTGCAACAACGCTCAAAGCTGCGACAAAACGGCACCCTGCCGAGTCATGGCTCACCGTCCTCGTGCTCGATTTGGGCGTATCCCTCGCCAAGGATGTCGTCGATATAGACAAGCTCCGGCTGGCTGGTGTCGGTCATACCATGATCACTGACGAACACGACATCCACTATGTCCGACAAGTTGCGGGAGGCGAGCTCATTTTGCAAATCGGCGGCAAATTGGTCAACTTCGCTCAAGGTTTTCTGGTCATGTCGTCCGAGTCAAATGCTTTGATGTGATACATGCCAGGGAGAACTCACGTTGACTAAAGCGGAGTTTGGCCCGGTGAGATGGCCAGCTTGATCGAGAGACGGCTCGTACGCTAAAGAGATGTCAGCGAGGCTTTCGGCACAGAGAATATATGGTCGTTACCCATGATGAGTTGTGGCCGCTCCTCGATAGGAAGATCGATCCAAGCCATAATCTGATCCAGTTTCTCGCCGAGTGGAACGCGATCCTAGCAACGCATAAGTCTGGCGTTCGGTGACACCTTCTCGGTTTATGCGCACCCTCCAAGGAATGAAGTACGTAGGTGCAGCTCCAGATCTCGTCTTAGGCGGACCGGGCCTATGAAAGAACGAGCGTGAACACTCGAGAACGATGAACGGCTGCGCTTCAACCTACCACATGAGGTTGGCAGTGATCATGCCGGCCTCTCCCGCGGTTTCCCACATCTAGGAATGAAACGTCAGAAAGGTTTCGGACTACGGGCAACTACTCACGGGTTCGCCGAACCACCATGAAGCGTTCCAGGAGTGCGCGACTGAGTTATACCGGAACTCCTTGCCGGTGTCAGGATCCCAGAAGTTCTGCAACCGAAGCTGAGTCGTGCTCCGACGAATTGCTCAACATAGGATGCATACATTTGCTACAATTCCATGAGACTCCGCAAATAAACCAGTCCTATACTATTCCTTCAGTGATAGTGTCCGGAGACGATGGCAGGTAATCTTACAGGAGAGCCCAATGATTACTTCGGCCAGATGTCAGTGGTGGCTTGTCATTAGGACGTGACACGCTTACGGGAATGTTAATGTCTGGGGGAAGTGAGTTTCGGGCAACGGCGCTAGATGAAGTGGATACGCACGGGGAATATGGGCTTCATGTACTTGGCACGAAGACCCTGCTTGCTGATATCCAGCAGATGCGGTGTTAGGCCTCGGTCGAGATAGCTTGCCCTGTGAACGAATCATGAAGACAACAAGGAGCGCACAATCCACACAGTACGCACCGTAATCCGTCAATGGACACTATCAATGCCGTCTTCTTGAAGTCGTGCGTGCCATTCGACCGAAGCAGTTCGCCGTCTGCATACAGTCCGGAGCTTCCAGCATGAGTGGTTCGGGTTAACGGAGGTATAAACGATGCGCCAAGTATGAGGAGGATGAAGCCCGCGCCGAGAGCGGCTATCCGTCTTCGGGACCAGGTCGAGCGCGGCGCGGGCTCAGGTTCCGCTTCAACACCAGTCAGAAGACCCTTCGTTTCCTCAGTCCTGTATTCAGAGAGTGAGTTCCGAGGCGACGAGATCGAAGTACGCCTGTAGTTCTGCGCCATCATGGACGTTGGGGCAAGAGATATGCATGCAACGTCGCAGTGCTGCGCCACAGGGGTCCGAAGTCGTACGCGCTTCACGAGTTCACTAGGAGACCGGACGAGGAACTGAGAGAATAAGCGCAGAAGGGCTTCATGATACGACGGATATCGTATGGTATAAGTTATGTATGATAATGCCAAAGCCAGCGAAGGATGGGAGGCCATGATCATCCGGCTCCGCCTTCGTGACCAACCCGCCCGTTCAAGTCCACCAGGGTCATCTCCATGTCCTCCTGCTTCGGCCGTATCTCTCCATCTGCCCTCCTCTCCGGCTCTGTCACCGACATGGACCACCCGTGCGCGAGGTCGCTCGCGATATCCACGCCCTCCTCCTCCGCAATCTCCGTCAGCTGCGACGCCAAGAGGGTCAACTGCGCCTGCAGCGCCGCACGAGCCTCCGGACTCGCGCCGCTGTCGTCAACGGCGGGCGCTTCTTCACGCTCCTTGCCCTTGCCCACCATAGCTGGTTCCATGTCGTCATGCATCCGCGCGGTGCACAGCGGATCCAGATTGAACGCGCTCAAGATGCGCTGCGCAGCGTCCCAAGCGTCGACGGCCGCACTCGCCGCCGGATCCACCGGTTCTGTCTTAGGGACCGTAAGCGTGTTAAGTGCGTTCAGCCCGTTCATCTCGTGCGAGATGGTGGGCGGCGACGCAGAGGCGGCGTAAGATGCTGGCGTATATGCGTTGTATTGGATTTGAGAGCCATAGGTGTAGGTTCCAGTTGACGTTGAGGAAAAGGACGCAGGAGCCGGCGTCGTGTGTTGCAGAGGCGTCCGTGTGAAGGGCGAAGGGGAAGGCTGGACCGGCGGACTCGCTGCCGCCGCTTGTGATTGCGTCTGGGGTCTCCTCGTTGTACGTCGAGACGTCTATGATGAACGTTAGAAGACAGCGATAGGCGTAGAAGATAACTCTCTTACACTCCCGCCGCCCCACGTCGGGTTCAGTCTATATTTGCCGTTCTGATTCTTCTCCAATCGGCCGCGTTTGTATGCCTTTTGTAGCGCCTGGCTGGCGCTTGGGCGGAAGTTGATCTGCAGCGGCCACCGGGCGCTCATCCAGTTGAACAGTGTCTTCGGCGCGGCGCCCTCCGGATCTGACGCGCCAAGCTCTCCGAGCCCTTCGACGATCATATCCTCGTATGAAGGCAGGTCGGCGCCTGCACTACCATTCGCGGGTGCCGCTGGCTGAGACTGTTGCCGTGAATATGGATACGTGCTGGACGTGGTGGCAGATCCGTACGATGTGGCGCCGACGGTACCTGTGCCGGTGTAGTAGGGAGTGTGGTGTGTAGGGAACCCGTACGGCACATGTTGATAGGGCACGACCGGGGGTGGTGGAGGAGGTCTTTCAGGGAAAGGGCTCGCGGACTTTGTGAGTAGCAATGGTGCGCTGCCGTTTGTCTGGGGGTGCAACAACGCATCGGCCTGTGGCTGGGTAGATGGACCGGCTAGAGGTTGTGCTGGCTCGGTCTGCGGTTCCTGCTTGAGTATGATGGTCTCAGACGACGACGAAGCCTCTCTGTTGCCGACGACGTCGACGGGCCAGATGGTCGGTTGGGCATCGGCGGAGACGTGCTTGTCGAGGAGCAGGCATATCTCGATGATCCGGTCTTTGCTCAAAGAGGTCAAGTAGGTACGCTTGAACGACTGGGCATCGGAGGCGCTATGAGATGCATCGGTGGTTGGTTGGCTGAGTGTCGGACCAGGTGGGTGATCGGATGGGGCCGACATCGAGCTGCACAGTTCTTCGGAAAAGTTGCAAGCCACCGCACAGCCATCGTCGTAGCGATATCACTGCGTCGGCGTCGCTTTCACGATCGACGGCCAGACGCTGCAGACTGAAACATGGGACAGCACATCGGACGCTCTCCTATGCCATGCCACGCATTTCTGAACCGCTGGTCTTTCTTCGCGCCGACCAACATCCGTGCTCTACACCCTGTACGACATGTCGACGCTGAGATGGATGCGTTCGCTCGGGCGCTTGCCGTGGATGGTGGGGACCTCACGGACAGAGGGGAGACACGCTTCAACATCCGCCTGCCTCAGTTAGGATACGATCGTAACCGTTGGCTTGTTGTGACTCTGTTCAGAGAACACCTGAACATAACTTACAAGAGGTCGACTCCCGACGCGTTGCTCAAACGGGGAGTCACATCGCGGGATCCGTGAGAATGGCTTACGCGACGCGACGCGCTCCCGCCCACGATGACTTCACGTCCGCCCAAGTCAGCGATGGCCGAGGCGTCGTTCTCGACCAGCAACCATTCCGTCAACCGTTCTGGGCGCAGTCGTAGCACAAGACATCACTAGTGCTCCATGTCGAGCGTCGCGGACAACAGCTCCATCGCGGGCGGCGAAAGCAGCGACGAGGGTGACTGGGAACCAGTGGACGTTGCTGGCGCGTACGACATCCAACTCGATGATGAACCTGAGGCGGGACTGTCGACTGCGCGGGGACATCTTGAGATTACGATTCAGTCTGCACAAAAGAAGGGAAAAGATGACGAGAATCGGTGAGCGTCGCAATCCGGTCTTGTATCCCGTCATGTCTGACTAGATCGTGCTAGAAAGAGGGTCATGTCGCAAGCCGAACGTGTGATGCGCATCAATTGTCATAAGATACATACCGTTGCCCTAATATCGAATGCCTCTATACGAAACAAGTGGCTAAATGATCCCTTGCTGCATGTAAGTGCGCCGAGTGGGAAGTGGCATGACGGTCTGAACGCGCCTCGCCAGGCTCGTCTCATGTCGCTCACCCCGCTCGCGCTCCAAAACTCGTTCACCATGATCACCAAGTCTCGCATCCCTGAGGCCGTCAAGCGAGGCCGTCTGTTCGAGTCCGCCGTGTCTCGCCTCGTCGAGTGGTGGGTCCAGTTCTTCGAAGTCATCCCCGAAGGACACATCCGCAGTCGCACGTTCGACGAGGTTCGCGCGGAGTCCGCGAGGCTCGAACGTGAGAAGCGAAAGAAGGCGAAGGGCAAGGGCAAGGCTCGTGCCCAATCTAGCGACGAAGACGAAGAGGAGGCTGAGTTGATTCGGAGCGCCAAGAGTCTGATGAAGCACGCGTTGATGAGAGAGGGATCGCGAGACGTCAGTGCACAACTGTTTACTGCGCTCTGCAGAGCGCTCGGAATACCCGCCCGACTGGTTGTAAGCCTTCAGAGCGTGCCCTGGCAAGCCGGAGTAGGCAAACCGAAGCCGACTACCGCAAAAAGGAAGAAGAAGAAAACAGCGGCCACTGCAAACGAAGAGTACGACGACGACATGGAGGAAGTCGATATACCGGCCAAAACTTGGGATGAGAAACAAAGGGATTTGGCCTTCCCGGGGGATGGGGGTCGGTTAGACGGAAGTAGCTCGTCATCGGCGAAGGGCAAGGGCAAGGCAGCCCCTCCTGTCATCAAACTACGGAAGAGCAAGCCCAAGGGTAACCGGCTGGACTCTACCCCGCCTACACACCAAGAGCCGGAATCCCCTGACCCGCTGGAAACGCCGCCCGTGTTTTGGACAGAAGTTTTCTCCAAGCCGGATGGACGCTGGATACCGGTTGATCCTATTCGTTGCATCGTCAACAAACGCAAAGCTTTCGATCCGACACCGGCTTCGGGTCCAGCCGCAGGTCCCACTTCGGAGCTTTTTGCGGCTGCTGGAGGTGCCGATCTGTACGGGACACCGGCGACTCCCACGACCGCTCGTCAAGGGCGTACGAAGGTCGAGAATAGAATGATGTACGTGGTCGCGTTCGAGGAGGATGGCCACGCGCGCGACGTGACTCCTCGCTATGCAAGGCAGTTCGGGGCGAAGGTGGCGAAGCTGCGCGGCGGAGGCAAGGCGCGAGAACTCTGGTGGGACAGTATCATGTCGGTCTTTACCAGGCCTTACCGTCTGGTGCGTGAATCCTGTCAGCAACCTGTACGGAGCGGCACTCACGTCCTTCTAGCAAAGAGATGATGTGGAGGACGAAGAATTGGAGATCAACCAGATGACGGAGGCCATGCCAACCTCCATGGCAGGATTCAAAGACCACCCATTGTGGGTATCTCACTTTTGACCTCGTGACTGCTCCTCAAATGCTCTGCAGATACGTCTTGGAGCGACATCTGAAGAGGGACGAAGTCATCGAACCGCGGACTGAGATCGGCAAATTCCGCGGCGAGCCCGTATTTCCGAAGTCGAACGTGATCTCTCTAAAGACCGCCGAAAATTGGATGCGTAGCGGGCGAAAGGTCAAGGAAGGCGCGCAACCCATGAAGTGGGTGAAGCAGACCGCGGTGACAGTCAATAAGCGGCGGGCCATCGAGATGGCTCTTGCCAACGCGGCAGAAAATGGTCAAGGACAAGGCAACGAGAACGTGCCCAAGCAGGGGTTATATGCGCGTAGTCAGACCGAACTCTACCGACCGGAACCAGTTATAGACGCAAGTACCTGTGCTGATCCATGTTGCTCAAGGCTGAATGCTCCTCCAGGGTATCATTCCAAAGAATGATTTCGGTAACATCGACCTTTATGTCCCATCTATGCTACCAGAAGGCGCGGTGCACGTTCCACGTGAGTATTATCCTCTCCCGCAGTATATCCATGTGCTCAATATGGAGGCAGTTAAGGGCACTGCGAAAATTGCACGACAGCTCGGTTTTGATTACGCTGAGGCTGTTGTACGTGCAGCATCAGATTCTGACCGAATAGCGCTGAATCCGTTTTAGACGGGCTTTGAGTTCAGGAAACGACGAGCAAATCCGGTGATCACGGGCATCGTTATCGCGGCGGAGAACGAGGAGGCATTGCTGGAGGTGCGGGTGTTTCCGATACGCGGGTTCCTGGACATTTGACCAAGTGCATTCAAAGGCGTATTGGGAAGCGGAAAAGGTGGCCGCCGAGAAAGCCAAAGCCAAGAAGCATGATCAAATTCTGAAGCGCTGGACCAAACTGGTTCAAGGTTTGCGTATTCGCCAGAGGATGCTGGAGCAATACTCTACAGGCGATACCGAGAAGGCGGAGAAGTCATTGGAGATCACAATCGTACGCCGGTGCTTCTGCTTCTCAACGAAAATCTAATCGACGTTCTCCACAGTCCACTGAGCAGCACGAAGCGGGAGGTTTCCTGACCGAGGCAGACGATGTCGCGCAGGCTGATCTTGTGGTTCAGCCGTATCACATGCCCAAGTACCAGTACTCAGAGACGCAGCCTCTTGCTTCGACGTCTCTCGGATTCGGAAACGCGTCGCGACGGGCTCCAGACATCCTCGATGTTCAGGACGACGCGGAGAGTCTGAAACCACTCGATGACACAGTGAATGCGGAGGAGCCGGACGAGGACGAGGACATGGAAGATGTCTTCGTCACGTCTGATACCATCGTCCAAGCGAACGGTGGGCCCCTGACCATGGAACAACTCGCCTCTACTACCGCGAAACGCGCGGTCGGCGGAACCACGGCACGGTCCAGCCGGATAGCTTCGTCTGCCGCTAGCTCTGCCCGGTCCAGTCCGCAACTCAACGGGAGGAAGACGAGGGGATCATCAGCCAGGAAACGTCGCAAAGACTCATCCAGTTCCTCGGAGAACGTCAAACCGCAACCTGCGGGGACATCCCGCGCTAAGCGTGGCAAGACCGCTGCTACAACTCCTGCGGCTCAAACCCCGACGCGCGTCTTGCGATCGCGCAAGACGAAGACCGCTGAGCAGCTCAAGGAAGAGGCGGAAGCGGAGGCAGCGTACCGGAAAGCCACTGCGGAATAACTCTCAGCCTCGCTGCATATGTCCATTATTCGTATCTTATATTCTCATTCAACGAGTAGAAAAGCAAATGACTTCGTGTCTTCCATCTGCACGCCATTATTATTGGGAGTGAACTGGTGACGTCCCGGAGTACGTGCAGGCCTGTTCAACATTCAGCATTGACGGACATGGCTCTGCTGGGACTCATACATACCGTTTCGGCGCCTGTATGTAGAGCCCCTGTTTCGGAGATCGTCGGCCCGACAACTTTCCGTTTTGTGCAGATCACCGCAAATCTTCCTCGAGGATCGCGGGACCGGTCGTTGCCGGTGACGTCGACTCGGCGTTGGCCGGGTGTCCACGAGTTGTGGAGCTTGTCCGACGGAAGATCTTGGAAAGATCGGCGCGTTTCTGTGGCGGCGCGCTTGAAGTGCTGCGCTAAAATTGTTCGTCGACGATCACTCCATCAACTGAGTCGAACCAGTGTCGAAACATCTGGCGTTTCGTCTCACATCATCTGTAGCCACATCGCAACTGCTTATCGTTACGCTTGGAGTTCTGATATCATTATCAAACGAAACGATAGGCACACTTTCATGATGGATGATTGACGCGCAAAGGACCTCCTTGTTATGCGTCTATCCTAAATTTACAATAATGCTACAGAGGGGGAATGCATGCAGGACGAGGGTATGTTCTATATCGTGGGAGGGTAATCCGGCGTCCAGACGCCTTTTGCAAAGTGCGTACGGCGTAAGAAGACTTAATGCTCGACGGTGAACTTGAGGCGCATGTCCTTGCCCTCACCGACTGGCTCGCACTTCACCTTCTCCATGTTCTCCACGATGAAGTGAGCGCCGCAGTTCTCAATCTTGCTCCTGTCGTGCGAGGTGCAGAGCGCGATGACAGTCGCGCCGGAGGCAACACCAGCCTTGATGCCCGAGGGTGAGTCCTCGAAGACGACGCACTTCTTCGGGTCGAAGCCGAGGCACTCGGCGGCGAGGAGGAATGGGTCGGGCGCGGGCTTGCCGGCCTTGAGGCGCTTGTCGTCGGCGGTGATGGTGACGGGGGGAGGGGTGATACCGACGCGAGTCATGCAGCCGTAGGCGTACGTCTTCGCACCGGAGGTGGCGACCGCATAGCGGCCCTCTGGGATCGAGTCGATCATCCTCTTGACGCCCGGCAGGATCTGCACGGAGCGGTCGACGGCGGTCGCCTCAATCTGCCACGCCTCGAGCGAGTCGCGGACGGCAGGGTCGATCTCAAACTCCTCCTCGGTGCTCTCCGGCTCCTCGAATACGGACTGCTCACGCGTCATAGTGGTCATGTTGAGCATGGTGCTGAGGCGCGAGAGGAAAGACGGGCGGCGGAGGCCACCGGCGATCATGGACGGGACGGAGAACGAGCCGGCGCGGGAAGAGGGTGTTGATGAGGAGGGAGTAAGTGCGGGGGTTCCATCGCCAGAGGAGGCAAGGCGCATGGGCGATTGTGCGCCAGAGATGGGGCTGCCAACGGTGGAGTTGCGGCGAGAACCAGGACCATGGCGGTTGTACGCGTCGGCGTAGTAGAGAATGGTCTCCTCGAAGTTGGCAACCTGAGAGAATGACACGTCAACACCGAGTTGTTTGGATACGGTACACGACTGAAGCTTACCTCGTCGTCCATCTCGTGCTCCTTGATATCGGGCTTGAAGTGAGCAAGGTTATCGACAGCACGCTTGCCGTGCGTCGCAGCAATCACGTAGGCGGGGTCGTGGCCAATGTCCTTGGCAACCTTGCCCCACGCAGCCTCGACAGCCTGTATCGAGTCGGTGAGGGTACCATCCTGTAAGACCGCGTCAGTGTGCGAGATCGAGCGAAGCATGGTTCGAGCGAACACACCATGTCGAAGAGAACGGCATCGGCGTAGAACTCGGAAGTCTTGGTCTGGGGTTGGGTAGACATGATGGATGTGATGAGGAGCGGTTAACTGAGTTGGAAGTTATGAGGGATATTTGAATGTCGCGACGAGGAGTTGGTGATTTGGATGAACAACATTAGCCTGCTTATATACTCGCCATGGCTTGTCTGACGAAAAGGGGTGGCGCTCCGGCAAGTGAGGAAGGGCCGTCAACGCCACCTCGATCGCGATTGGCCATGCCGCCTTCCGCACGACGGACCCCAAAATTTCGCGTCGGTATGTGAAAAGCGGAAGACGACAGGTGGAGCAGAAGATATCCGACCGTTCGCGTAAACACCCCCCCGACCACGCGCACCTGCCTTTTTGGGCCACTCCTGCTCCTTTTCCGGGCCCGCGCCCGCCTTGAGCGGCCGATCAACAAAACCCGGGTTTTCTCTGCACGGTCGGTCCCTACGGAAAATCCGTGTTTTGACTGCATTCTGCGAGTCGGTGGTCATTCCGCGCCGGCATGGCGCGAAACCGCCCACTTCCCGCTCTCCGACCTCGTCGTGCAGTAATCGCGCACCCTCATTCCGCGGTCGTAATCGCGCACCCACGGCCGCCCCGCAGGCAGCGGAAAGTTCATATTCGTGCGCGAACGTGTGCAGAGCATCTCGAAAGAAATGCCTCAAAGAAGCCTGTGTTAGTTTACGTTTGCGCCGGACTGCGTTAGGGTTGCTTCGACTGCCTTCACGAAGGAATTATTTGCTGCCTCTGCGCCGCTCCGGCCGCGGATGGTGGTGGCGCCCTTCCCGCGCGATAACAACACCCGTGTTGTTATCACCCCGTCGTGACCTCATGCCGCGTCGGCCGACGCGCTTTTCGTCGCGAGTCGCAGGACCGGCGCCTTGGCCATCGATGGCCGCTGCGTTGGAAAATGAATTTGCATTTGCCCACCTGCCTTTTCGGGCCACCGATGCCAATCTTCGTGAACTGTAGCTGTTTGCAGCGCAGACGAGGCAAACACCCGCCCGCGATGGGATTCACGAGAAGGCGCCCTTGATCTTGCTCCGTGGCCATCAGCGCGGACCTGCCTAATGGCTGTTCGCCCTTACGAGACGTAAGTGGAAACAGGGTGTCTCATCTCAACCGCGTATGGTCAAGTGCATGGGAGTCGCAGTGGCAAGACGCTCTCGCTGTCGGCATTCGAGGTACAAGAAATCGCCCTCGTTCTGTCGCCGTATACAAATCGCAATCACATGGACCATCCCGGCCTTCATGAAGACGATGTGAGGCCAGGAAGGGCACAACGGATGCCAGAGAGCGTGTGTAGAGGCAGCAGCTGCACACAAAGTTGGCATGCGTGCCTGAGATTGCAGGCGGCGAGATGGTACCGCGAAAGAGGGTGGACAACCTCCCTCCCCAAATCACATATGCAACCGCCGCCGTTACCGATCGTCGTACCGTGACACGGTGACGTTCCTGGTTTGCGTCTTTGCGTCCGCTTTGTTTGCCATCTGCCGTGTGGAGCCCATGGGAAGGGACTGCGCGCGAATACCCCCGACGCAACAGGTACGATACTCAACGCCGCGTATCTTGTCTGATGATGACTTCACCACGAGGAGCTTAAGTTTACATAGCGACGCTTCCTTTCATCGCGATGACGTCTTTACTCGTTCACGCGGCGAATAAGTGAGACCCGTCTGCAACGACCCATCGCCCCGACGTTGAAGTCGCCATTCTATGTTAATGCAAGCTAGAAGAAACGTCTAGAGACATCGTTCGTAAAACGGTAATAATAAGCACTCTCCGTTCACGTCTGATCCCTGACCAGCGCATACAACGCAGCCTTATCATGACTGCCCTCCACCATTTCTTTGAAGAAGCCCGTATCCTTCTGCAATAGCTCCTTCGGCGAACCGAACTCCACCAACCGCCCAGCGTCCAGTACCATCTGCGACACACACGACCAACGTCATTTTCAACGTCGATACAAGATTCACGCAGCGATGACTCACGATCTTGTCCGAATCCATGATGGTCTGAAGCCTATGCGCGATGGTCATGACCGTCACGTCGCTACCCAGGCTCTGCCTCAGCGACTTCTGAATGGCCGTGTCGGTCTCGTAATCTGTATGGACCATCCGTAATCAGCTGTAGATCCCTCGCAAAGCGAGAGCGAATCTCGCGTACCGATTGCGGCCGTGGCTGCAACAGAAGCGTCTATGTCATCAGCGACGGTCCGAGGCGGAAGTAAAAACACGTCGCGACGCGACGCGTACCTTCGTCCATAATCACGAGCTTGCTCCGGCGCACCTGAGCACGCGCGAGGGCGATCATCTGACGTTGTCCGACTGAAAAATTGGCTCCGCCCGCGTGTACCTCCCTACATCAGTAAACACCATCATACGCGTCATCACTTCACCGTCCTTCGTCCAGTAGGAAAGAGCGACTGACGAATCGAGTCCAATCGCGTTCCCCTCCTCTCCGCCGGCGAGACCGGCGTTTTCAAGAGCGTCATTGAGCACTGCGTCGTCACACTCGTCGAAGGGATCCAGGTTCTCCCTGAGAGAGCCCTGGAGCAGTTCCGGGTGCTGCGGTACGAACGTGATACTTGATCGCAGCGCGTCAAGGTTGACCGAGTGGATTTCGCGGTCCGCAAAGTAGACTTTCCCCGTCGTAGGAATGCCACGCAGCAGGGCTAATGCGACGCTGCTCTTGCCAGCCCCCGTGCGTCCGACTGAAAGGCTCAGTGTCAGGGATAGCATCGCATGTAGATAGCTCGTAACGACATACCGACGCCGACATGCTCGCCGGACTGAAGCTCAAATGTGAGGTTATGCAGCACCTCTGGAGTATCTGACGAACGGTGCATTGGCATCATGTGGATGATCTTGCCGCGATTATATTGCCCAGAACTTACCAGGCGAGTATCGCGCGCAGAGATCTTCCACTCTCAATGACCCGTTATTTGGCCAGTATGCAGGCGGTACACCTTCCGGAACTGGCACTGGTTCTTGCTCGATTTCGATGAAATCCTTGATACGCTCCAGACTTTGGCAAGTCAATTCCCGCACCACGAGAATTTAGACATGAATGCACACCTGTTACCTGCATGCCGAGTGAGCACGAGAGAACTGCCAAGCGGTAACAGGTAACACTTACATTCAATCTCCAGATCGTTCGCCGCGCGTACCCAGAAATTCATCATGAACGCAAAACTGAGCACCTGCAACAACGAGAATCCGGCATCTCCGGCAGTGATAGACTTATTGTACGTCGCAGCGGATGCCACCGCCAATGCGAACATGGCACCAAGAGTGCCCACGCGGAGCCCCACCCATCTGAGGGTGCCTCGTCAGTGCGGATCCCATGCAGGAAGATTCGAACTCACCTGTTCAGAAGATAAAAATTCTTGGTAATCAGCGAATACCGGTTGGTGCGCCGCATCAGCTCATTTCTGAACATGCTCTGAGCTCCATATGCTCGGATGGAAACTATCACAGACATGAACAGCCGGATAGCAGGGCGCCCTGACGACGTACCCAGTCCCGTCAAGGTGGCACCAAAGAGACCGATAACCGGGGACCTTGCGTTCGATTGCTCACGTTTAACGCCTGTTATTGGATGGATGAGTCGCCTTTTCGATGCAAACTCCGTCAGAGCCTACCTTGCTGCGCAGTAAGGTATAGCCTGCCTATGACTGTCGCCACCCCTGCACAGAGGAAGCCCGGTACCACGGCTTTCCATCCAATAAGCGCCAGTATCGCCACGAACTGCAGCAACAGTTGAACAGAAAGGCCCACAAAATTGGATACCAACTGGCGCAGGGTGACATCAATAGATAGCATATCCTGTCTCATATGTCAGATCAAATACACGCGCTGTAACACAAAAGAATCTAGCCTGTGTGCAGCGCGCAATTGCCCGGGCAGAGGGCACGGTATCCCACCAGCTGTGAGCCAGTCGGTCAGTGCAGGAGCAGAGGGCCGAGAATTCTCGTACCGAAGGGTCGCGCCGAAGAGTGAGTTCATGAGGCTATGGATATTCGGTCAATGAATTTATCAGAAACACGTCATATTATACACGTTACCTCGCATGTACCCTACGTGAACCACGGTCCCCGCCGGATAGCCATAGCACTGATGCGATGCTTGAAGCTGCGACGCTAGCAATCACTATGATGATGAAACCGGCCAGATAGCTGCGATTGCGATTCAGCTTTAACCCCGTGCTAGAAATTATGCACGTACTAAGGCGCCGATACTTCCGACGGGTCGTGCATCTCGTATTGATGCGACCATATACCAAGGAAGTACGAGCGGTAGAGGACCAGCGCGTAGCTGGTGATGAGGAATGACACCCAAGAGGCCCAAAAGAATACACCTCCCAAACTGAGGACATAAAGCCGGATCGCTGGCCATCCCACAGAGCCGATCGCCACCTGCTCTGCCGCGATGAGGTTGCCTGAAGGCCTGTTAAGTTGCTCGATCACGGTGTTTTCGGTGGCCTCGGAGTTTATAGCGCCCGCCTTCTCGATGTCCAGTTGTGCTTCATCGTGTGCCAGTTCCTCTTGAAGGTCCGGATCGAGTTCAAGCGCATCTGCAACCGAGTGTTCGGCGGTGACTTGCCCTGCTGCGTTGACCCTGATAACCTTGGTAGCCAAGCCTTTAGTCAACGCAAGGTTATGAGTGACCAAGATCGTGGTTCTCCCTCTGATCAAATCCCCGCGCAAGCATTTGTCGACAATCCATCGAGCAGTGTGCACATCAAGAGCCGCGAGGATGTCGTCTAGCAGTAAGATCTTCGCGGAAGAATATACCGCACGAGCCAGCGTCACGCGAGCCTATCAAAGGAACGTTAGCATTATATAACGCTCTATAAACGAAGCATTACCTTCTGTCCTCCGCTAACGGGGGATTTCACGAGAAATCAAAATGAGTTGCGCCATTGGGTTCAATATTCCGGCGTACCTTAACGTTAAACCCTACAAGGCCGTGGAATGAGTAAGGTGTCGATGGCGAATGAGGAGGAACATGCCCTTTCACCAACTTCCGTCTCGTCTCCAGCTTCGAACAATTCCAAATCTCGCAACAAAGCACATTGATACAGTACTGTTGGAGGGTTGGAGTAGCATTCAATCACAGGGTGTATGAGCAGACCTTTCTGATAACGTGCTTCGTCGTAGGGCACGCCGAAAAGAATGTTCTCCTGATCAATCATCAGAACGGCAACATGAAACTCCGGGGAAGTATCATGCCTTGATAGTGTCATTAAGAACCCACGACTCCTGCACTGCTAAGGCAACACCGTCGCGCCTTGGCAGCGAGAACCAGGAATCGGCCGTTTTTGGATAGAAGTTCAACTCCCCTACTCAAACGTATCAGTAACTCCTCGAGTGTTGTCACAAATGGTATAGACCTAGTAGCTGTCTAGCGATTCAGCTGCGTTCCGAGAGATACTTGATGCGACTTACTGCATAGAGAAGCGATGTTTTACCAGAACCCGTGGGGCCGACGACAAGGTTGACACCAGATCGTTCGAAGGTTACTGTATGCTCCACGCTCAAACGGAAGCCAGTACTTTCTGACCCATCATCTGCTCCGTCCCATGAGAAACTGCATGCGCTCATCCCTATACCACCGCTCGCTTGCACAGACTGAACCTCGGCGGTATATTCACTGTCGTTGGAAACCGCAGACCGATCAAAGAAGTCCGACTGGATCGATTTCAAAAGACGTACATAGCACAATTGGAGAGAAACCTACGTCCAAAAGAAAACCATTGATCCGATCAGCCGAGACCTTCGCTGTCACGATGGTCAACATAACACAATCTTCATTGCGATGCCAATGCTGACCTCCTATCACCATAGGGAGTAGCATGGACAGGAATGCCAAATTCCCTCTCAAGATTTCAAATACGGCCATCGAACCGAAGATTCGGGAGGCTGAGTAAAGAATGAGCGCGATTCAGGGAAGGTAGAGTTCGCACACCAGTCAGTGCTTGCTTCATCCACAGCGCCTATACACTGTTTTGAGAACAGACGAAAGCGCAACATTGTTGTAAAACGTACGTATATCGCATACGCCACGATTACGTTCAATATAGGCAATATTGACTGACGGGTGCACGGTGGTTAGCGATAGTAACAATCGTGAGTACCGCTGAATCGCACATTAAAGGCGTTGATGACAATACTGAGGAGTGCCCCACGTCGTATACACTGCAGTTCGACCTCTCGCTTTTCGTCAAGGACCTTGAGTGCATGGCGTTCCCATGCAAATAGTTTGACCATGCGGAAACCATGTATCACTGGCAATGAAATGTCGTCAATGATTCATAGACTGAGGTACAGAATATCCCCCTACTCTGAGTCACGAGTTGCACACGTCCATCACTCTGCGCAAATCATGAGTGCGAAGTGCATACAGATCGCTGCGACCAACGCACAGCTTTCATTCTTTTCTTTTGGGTTTGGGCTATGAGCCGCGCGGTTCGCCCTGTGCTCTACATTGGAATTTATGTCTGTTTGTCATGATCGCGGTACATACCTGGAATGGGCAGGCAAAGCAAACAAACGGCAGTCCCGGCTAGTGCACTGAATTTGGAAAGGCGTAGATCAGACCAGTTGCGACACGGACAAGGAGTACTCACGCCCAACCGAGCATGTTGTACAACAATGCCACACTGATGCTCACTTGGAGAAACCCCTCCACTTTGAACGCCATCAGCTCTGATATCGTCGCAAAGCCGGAAGACTCACCAATCCTCATTACCTCCTTCCCATTACCCATCTGCTTCAAGTCGCTGGTGATCAGATTACTGATTCTGCCCTGGAGGGGGTCGTTGGAAGATTTCGCCTGCCAAGGGGAAGGACTGTTTGCTCCGTTCTGAGTAGGGCTTGCTGGGCTTCAGCTATCGGCCGTATAGTGATGTATTGATGGCTCACATCGTCGTTTTCGGCTGCATCCTAATACGCAGAGTGTGCTCGAGAAGTAATTGTGTGACAATAGCCTCAACTCTAATTGAGAGCGTTCCCTGGACATGTTTGAGTAACGTTCTCGGTCATTCACTCCACCAAGAGGTAGCGCACCGCGTTCATGGCATACCACTCGGAAGATATAGCGCCCAACAGCGGGCCGGTACCTGGAATACGTGATAAATCACAAGCGCTAACAGAGGATCATCACAGCACACCAATCAACGCTACCCATACCCTGATACTAAGTCAGCCTCAACGATGCGCGCAGGGTGAATGCACATACCATGGTCGTAAAATGGCGCTTTCTCCCCCAGTTTCCAGGTAGCTAGGAGACCAATCAGACATGCCAGCGTTCCACACGTAAATCCGCATACTGCAAGAGTCCTCGAACGCTCACGGGGGCGATAAAGGTAGTCACCAGCTGGAAGCACCGTTAGCGAATGCAACTTGACTGGAGAGAAAACAGCAGGGAAACAGCGCACTTCGCCGAGCATGAATAACGTGACCACCAGCCAATCCCATTCTGAGAACATTCAACGTCAGCATGGCCTAAAGCAGCGATGGTATGGTACCGTGACGATGCTCACTGAAAGTTGTAAACACACTCCAAAGAAGGTGTCGTTTTTTGTTTCGCAAGGCTGGATCTATTTTCTACGCCAAGAACTATGAGCCTGGCGGCATATGTATGCATAACAACTACTATTGACCATCATATTCTTTGCTACGAGATAATCCACATCATCGCGCTCAAGCAGAGGATGCATCACGTCTACAGAAAGATGACGATGTCCGGAAGCATAGTGGACCAAACGATCCACGTAAGAGAACGTTGCGTAAGACCACATGGAAATATCATCCTCAGGATGTACATGCTGTGTATGCTATTGTCAGTAGGGCCGGCATAGGTAAATCACAGACACGAACCTCGGGTTGGGACGCGTCGATGGCGAACAAGCCCCATGGGAGCGCAAAAGGGATCAAGACACCAGTGAGAGCCAGTAAGGCGAGACGCAGCAGGGCCAACGCGGGAGGAGACGATTCATCTATCAGGACCAGCGGATAGAGGGTAGCACAGCCATAGATACCAAAGGTGATCATGAGGAGGACATTCAAGTGCGTGTTGAAACGAGTTCGCCAACGAGCTGATGCGACAAGAGCCAGAACTCCGAGACCAGTAGCATATGTCTAGAATACTGTCACGCGATGTCACATGAATGAGGCAAAATGCAAGACCCACATAAAATATCGGTTCAAAGAGTTCGGGGCCGAAACGCAGAGACGTAGCACACAGCAGAAGCAGCACGAAACAGCCGGCGGTTTGCAAAGCCTTCAGCGCGGCAAACCAAGCGCTTTTAGTGCCTGAAGTCGTTTCGACAGTGCCGCCAAGGGAAACCCCAGGCAAATGGGGCCGAATGCGTCCAACCCGAAAACCAGTGGTAACTAAGGATAAAGCAGACATAGCAGCCAGTGCGCATGGCGCAACGACAAGGGTTGACATTGTTTCCTGCGCGAAATCGCCGTTGCAAAGCAGTTGCAAGCAGAAAATGTTGCTGGGAAGTAGTGGGACGAGGTGATGGTTGGAGGAAAAGAGGACATTCGTTAGCAGCAAGCTCAACTGCGCAAAAGCGGCCCAAAGCCATCTGACTCGATTTTTGTACGCTACTATTTCCGGAAATAGCATGGTGCCTGACGGTAATCCATCAACAACCCATGTGCTAACGATAACGATTGATAGACTACGCCGCACGATGCGAAACGGTACTATCATGTAAGTAGTATGGGCTCTATTGATCAATATATGTTGTTGATGGCGGTCAACAGACACTGAGCCCGGCACCGGCACAGCAGATCTTTGCGGTGTTGTATGGAACACGCGTGAAAGCGTTGAGCTGTGCACAGTGTCGGCGTTCGGCTACATTACTATGTTCATTAGGTGGTAGTGTGTTCTACCTGCATTCCGATCTCTATCGTTGAATGCGCGAACAGCCCGCCCCCCTTTTATGTACCGCGACCTAATCTCACCTTCGCTTGTTCCATTGCGCGATATATATCCGCAGCAGACGTCGGTGGCAGGTCAAAGAGCTGCAATACTGAAGGAATCGCCTCGCGCGTGAGGAGTAACCCCTCCGATGCGGTGTTGCTCTGAGTAGGTGCATCTCGGTGCTGTGGGGCCACCTGGTCTGGTGTTGATGAGGCATCTGAGTCCGCATCCCGTAGTGGCTGGTGGCTTGCATATATGGACTCCAGCTCCGGATTGGGCTCCGGTGAGATGACCCCTTCCTCAATCAGGGATTGGAGGTACTCTGAGGCTTTGTAGGCTATGAATGGGCTTAGTGGATTTCTCGATGAATCGGACAAGAGCATACCGCGGTAGTGAGACCATGACCGCCACACACAGTAGAAGAAAGGAAGGTTTGGTATGACGGCTGGACAAATACACCATGACGTCAGTGCCCATTCTGCGAATCTGGCGGATACACTTGAACAGCGGAGACGCACGTATTAGAGCTGTTGCTCTAATTTAGACGGGGGAGTTGTATCGTGAACATGCGGCGTCTTCACTTACGGATGAGGGCAACTGGTGCGGTCACAGGTGCAAGTAGCATCCATGTCAAGAAACCCTTCCTATGGGTTGGCGCCCGTTTCTCGACGAGACTTTGAAGGTGTGACAATGGAGATGGAGATGCCTGAGGATAGTATAATGGTATCTAAGATGTGCCATGAGCATGAGCACCGCACGATGAATGACGGGACGCACATTAGGGCGATCCTTTTCCAACTGAACTTCCGAGTTGCCGAACTTCGATAACTTCGGAGCCAACGAGACGTCCAGGCTCTTTAATGCGAGTTCCTCAAAGTCGATTTTGTCAATGAGCCGCTCCCCGTAACGGAAGACTTTGAGCTACAGGCAGCATGTCTGATGGGTTACTCGGTTCCTGCGTAGCATAAAGCAACGAACCTTCCAGTTGCCCTCAGGAGCCTTCCCAAATCCTGCCCAGACACCCACGGCTTTATTGGACGCCCATTTGATGAGTCCGGGACTTTTGTTCGCCTCCCCAGCTGGTACTGGCGTCACGAATTGATAGTATGTCAAGGCGCCATGGGTCCGTGTGGCCCTCGTCAATGGTAGGGCAATTATACGAAGATTCCGTGTCACTTTGATAGGCAGGGACATTCCAAAGTCTGCTTGAGGTTCAGCAGGGGCTCACGGAACTTATTAGAAGAGAGGCCAGGTATATATACGGTATATGAGTCAATATGAGCCAAAGGACAACGTGGACGGTCGCAAGTCTGTACAGGTCTGTACACGCTTCTCGCGATCGTCAGTCGCGTCTCGTACTGACCTGCCGGCGGCCACGACTATGAACTCGCCATCACCCTCGCCCTCTAGCGAATCCTCCGGCTCTCCTCCGCCTGAGGAAATACAGGAGGAGAAGCCTCTCAGTCAATCCAGCGGTATCCTAGGCCACCTACGTGACGCAGGTGCAGCCGGGTCTCCATCCAAACGGCGGTTGCCTGGTGGCTCATCCTACGGCGCGTCACAAAGCTCGCGCGATCCGAAAACGCGCAGGCGTGAACGGGAAGAGGGAGGAACGAGGAGAAATGCTGGTACGACGAACGAGCGCGGTGCATCCAGTGGCGGGGCATGGACTTCGCAGGAGAAAGAACGGGGACCCAAAGAGGAATTGGCAGATGTCGCTTTATCTGAGCTGCTAAAGAAAGGTCAGAATTTTCCTTGGGGGTTGACCCGTAGTCCAATGGCTGCTCATAAAATCTGCGTAGCGGTTGGCGATCCTTTTGACGATTCGGCGATCAAGAGTAGTGCGGATTGACCGTACCGATAGCCGATTTCGCGCATATCGCCCCATTGCACTGGACACGAATTCCCTTTACACGAACATGTATGTCCTATAGCGATCAACGTATTGATCTGAATATTGTCCTCGACGCGTCTGTCAGATTTTGTCTCTCGGTTCACGCATTCAGGATTCATAACTATGTTCCGATGCATGCCATCGGCTTCCTAGGGCTGAGGGGAACCTTCGTTAACGCCCGGAACACGCTCTCGACTGAACGGCTAAATTATAATTTAGTCTATGATGGATGCGATTATCCTCAGCCATGCCGCGGATGGAACACGATGACGGATCACTAATGCCCATTGTTGCAGGTGTAGTGACAAAGGCTCTTGCGCGTGCGCAAGCATGGGACGTTCGACCGAGTCGTTTGCTCGCTGCCTCATCCCACCGAACTTGCCTGCGGTTAATGCCATTGCCATGACGCGCCCGCATGGAGGAGACGTGTGCATACGCATTTGCATCGATATACGCTTACGAAAGGCGGTCAAAGGATATACTGGCATTATCATTGCATTGTACATCGGTTGAGTATGGACAATAATGATAATACTGCTACGCAGACGTCCTAAATCTGCCCCCTAGGGCCTAAAGCATTTCGTCCCGCATGCTGTCGCCAGGGTACAGCCACAAGCACTGCGAGTTTCTGGACATTACATACCTTGCTGCCAGTGAGCGAGCTCAACGCCCAGCCCGGCGAACAACCAGTCTCTCTGTGGACAGTTCTCTGTAGACTGAACGACGGCTCGACTATTCTCTATTTACCACTTCTTCGTCATTTCTTGTGCTCGCGTCGAGATGTCTAGGGCTCGGCCATACCTATCCTTCGAGCTGCAGGAACCCGCGGGCTCGCATTCCCCGACAAGCCCTATTCCACCTCACGAAACAGTTACAAATCGTCCTTGGTATCACTACTTACCCTTGCTCTGTAAGTTCGGATACTCGCACTGTATGAGACGTTGGTTCTGAATGTCAGCAGTTACGGTCGGCCTGATCCTTTCCCCGCATCCATCCATCCTCATTGTCCTCGTACGATACCACCTTCAAATCCTGGAGTCGCCTCTCTACTTTGGACTCAATCTCATCATCACGTATACCCTGACATTCTTGGCGCTGGTCTCCCTGCTCGTATGCGTTGTCCGCGACCCAGGACCCGTAGATTATAAACCGGGCGAAGAAGACTCTAGTCTTGGGGATGAGAACGCAATGAGCTTGACAGAAGCTCTAATGGGCCCTGGGCCTACTGACGACTATTCGGAACCTGGAAAGTGGTGCAACAAATGCTGGGCACCTAAACCGGAGCGAACGTTCGTCTATTTCGGCGTCTGCCCGTTCTGCGCAGCTGTCAACTGACGCGCCATCTGCAGTCACCATTGCTCCACGTGCGGCCGTTGTGTCCTGAAGCTAGATCACCACTGTATGTGGTTGACCAAGTGCCTTGTGAGCGCTTCAGCCTTTCTTAACGCTCGACGACGTATAAAGAATGCGACGTTCGCTGTAGGGACACAGAACTTACCCGTCTTTCGTTCACTTCTTAATCTCGGTCACTCTCCTGGCCACGTACATTGCTAGCCTTGCGATCAAAAGTCTCATATTTGCCTTCACTCACTATGAATCCATTGTGGGTGAGCTCATATGCTTCAAATAATTCAAACTAAACACGTCTGCACTCCATCACAGGATGAAACCACTCCTCTGCACGAACTCTTTCTTGCCGCCGAAGGACTCATATTTGCCATGGTCGTTGGCTCCTTTGTGGCATATCATCTATATCTTGTCACGTACGCAGTTTACTTATTGGTCATAGTAGATTCCGCTGAATCCATCACTGTTCAAGAACGAACCAGACGACACTTGAGCACATATCGCCCTACCTTCTTCTGCGGTATTTACCCGCATTACCACCATCGCCCAGCGGGCAACAACTCTCAAATCCACCTCAAGAGGATGAACTAACGTACTACCAGCGGCGGCTCGTTCGACGTGCTCACGGGCGCATTCGCCTCTATGATATTGGCTGGAGACAGAATTGGGCCCAGGTATTCGGAATCGATGGACTTGGGAAGGCGGCGCGATGGAAAGTGATCCTGTATCGATTACTGTGCGGGGGTTCCAGGTGAGTGATTCCGATCCGAACACCTGACCCCTCTCGAGCGATGATCATTCGGTTTGGTTTGCAGTAAGGGGGATGGTCGGACGTACCCTCGGAATCCCCGCGCTGAGGATATGCTCGCCAATCTTGCTACGGACCTCGTCATGGAAACAAAGGATCTATGAAAGTGGCTCACACATACCATCGTTTTGACATTGGTGATTTTTACGGGACTGAGGATATCGTATATTCATCGTAGTCGTGTCTTTACCTATCAGGTCCCATATGAGACGGACAGTTATGCTTCTGTCATGTATGTATCGATATTCACACCCTGTGGTTCACAAAGTACGATGTGGGAGACGACCCGACCGCAGCGCGTCGAACGGGGTGACCTGATTTGGGACTCCGCCCTTCCGCCCCCGCTGCTTGCGACATCCCGAAACTCCGCGCGGAACTGCCCTTTTCTCCTCACCCGACGACCCGCTATGCGATATAAATGGCCAGTGATGTTCCATGCTTCGTACAACGCCTGGCTCTCAAATCGGAACGTTACATAACGATTCCAAAACAAATTATCGCCTTCTCTCGGTGAGGCCCTTTGGTCTGGTCATCTCAACCTAACAGCTGACGCGGTGAACTAGTCATGCCCTCCGCGTACCCTCAAAGCAGCCTTTCCGAAATCAAGCCCCTGCGCCATCGTTCTAAGAACGAAGCTCATCCGGCTCAACATGCTGCCAGTCATGTTACCGCCCGGTCGCACCGGCCAAACATGACTCCAAGGCGCGTTTCCTCCGGGCCATCGAGGCGCCCCAGGCATGCCGGCGATTCATTGGAAGCCGAAATGGAGAAGCTCGCCATGGATTGTAAGATGGAACTTCGACATGGGAATGGACCCAAGCGCGCGCCTGTGTATGGCGCACCCTCTTCCTCCCCGAGCGATCGTCTCACCAGACCGATGCATAGGCCGAGGAGGTCGTCTCTCAAGGTCACGCAGGGGGACAATGGGAAAACCAAAAACTCAGCTTCTCCGCCTCGCGTTCACTGGTTCTCGGACGATTGCGACCGACCAGTCGACGTCGAGTATGGCCATGACCAGGTTAGTGCGGAATTTGGTCGCCAGTGGTCAAAAACGGAGCTGGATCTGGATCAGCGGGAGCCTGGCATGGAACCCGACGACGACACCAGCTCGATTTTGGATCTATATGTGGACGCCGATGCGAACTCCCGCCCGAATTGCCCTCATACCGAAAGTCGAAGTTCCTTTCGTGAGTCATCTCCACATCGCATTCCTGCCATTGCAACTAACTGAATGTGAACTAGCAGATTCCCGCGATGAACCCATGTCATCAGCAGAATCGTCGCAAAATCCCTCGCCCCCTTTCGGCCCGGCTCCTACACCCACCGATATCCTCGACATGCAGCATGAACTAGCGCAAGCTCACGCCAGGCTCCACGAGCTGGAACCGTTCTCTTGGATCCATATTCCCGCATCTAAGTTCAATGCATTCATGAGCGACATGGACGTCACCGTTCCCCGCGCACTCAAGGCGCAGAAGAATTTGAAAGAAGCGATGGACAAGCTGAAGGAGTACGACGACTTTATCGACATCTACGAGAAGAACCACAAGGTGCTTCACCGAAGGTTGGCTAACTGCCAGCACAGGATCAGGAAGCTGGAGGAGGACCCAGTGCCCGCGTACATCATACAGGACAAGCGGACAGGCCCATCTTTCTCGACGAGGTTCTTCCAGTCGCTTGCCGACCATTTGACTGGCAGTGATAGGAAGGCCTCGTAATTGCAGTCCACGCTACGTTAACGAACGCGATTGTACTTCCATATTCATGTCAGTGATGGGTGAGTATAATCACAGCACACGCGGCAGAACGCAATGCAGTGAATGCGTGATTGCTCTCGTCGGCCTTGCGTACCGGGCGACGCACGAGCTTGACGGAGCCTACTCCAAGGGGCAGAATACTATCAGGTTCGGGCAGCCAATCGGCGCATCCAGCATGCGTGCTGCGCAGTCGAGATGGAACGAATCTGGTGCCTTACTAAGTACTGATCTCTTTACTTGGGAAAACTTCGAAGCCATCCCTGGCACGTACCTCGTACCAGACTCCAGAACAGCGGGTACGAGCATGAACATCAAAAGATCTGGATAAAATGAACGATAGTAATGTGTACATCTGATAGGGATGCCCTCAGCGGCACACCTATCATCTTGTCGTTATCTATTTTAGCCCAGGATGACTCAGTTCCATCAACGGTCAGCATGATCAAGCGGCCTTGCGAGCCTGAATCGTAGCAGTAATCTGGATCCCGCTCGAAGCGATGGTTTCACGGGCGTCCCGGCCATCGAAGTTTCCCGAGTGTTCTTGCCTGACTGTGCGTGAGCCTCCAGAAGATCGTATTGGTAAGAGGATTTCCAGTGGGGCAGCACAACCAGATACCCCGGCTGGATGCTTTCACCAAGAATGGGTATAGTCGTGGCGAGTCTGTCAGTTTCTCCGTTATCGCCCATGTGTACAGAACTTCTGTCGAGTCTGACCGATGCTGAACGTGGTGAGCGGTTCCTTGTTACCATGGTACGTCTTTTCGGCTGAGAACTCGGCCAAGCAGGACTGGGTCGAAGGTATGGCATGCGAGCGTGGTTCAAGTGACAGGTGTTTGGTCAAACACTAGGCCAGTACCGAGGCAACGGGTGTGAGATCCGAGAGCAGTCCTGAACACGCCACAAAAAAAAACCCCGTTGTCAGCAAGGATGGCTCTGAGGCCTGAGAGGGCTGAAGGCCTGCCGGGGTTGGGTAGCGAGCGCCGTTGACGTTTGGAACATGCGACAGCACGAACGTCCGGAACTCGTGTCTCAAGAAGGCGACCCGAGTCAGCAACATAACGTCCGACATTAGAAAGAAGGATACGGCGTTCGGAGTCGCAGCACTTCCCCTTGCGTGCCGGCGCGTGCCCGACGGATGGGGATTAAGCTCCCTCCACCTTCACGAGGCGGAGCCTGAAAGGAAGAATAATCATGAGGTCACTGACTGGAGGGCACTGATCGAGCTGGAATGCAACGGATCCTAGCCGCGGTGTATATATTCTCCAGCCCGAGCGAGTCAATGCCATTTACATCTCGGTGCCCAGTGCGTACAGCTCCGATACTTGATAGAAATGCCCGAGCATACGCCAATCGTCGACGTTCGCGTCAAGGACGCCACGCGCGTCTCAAGTCTTCGCCAGGACATCCTGGACGGCCTTGCGCGGCCGCCTCACCACCGCACGCTTCCTACCCTGCTCTTGTATAACGAGAGGGGCTTGCGCTTGTACGACGACATCACCACAGGCGCCCCAGAGTACTATCTCTTCGGAGCGGAGGAGCAGATCCTCAAAGAGCATGCAGACGATGTGGTACGCGCCATGGAATCCGGACATGCGGACGCGGGAGGCCAAGTGGTGCTTGAATTGGGCGCAGGGTACGTTGTGACCCCCGTCGCTGTCACCCGAATTGTATAATGATCTCGACCATCGGTCGACGCCAGTGCCCTCCGCAAGACGTCCTTGGTCCTCGATGCTCTCGCGCGTGCAGTCGCCGAGGGGGAATCGGCGAACCCAATCTCATACTACGCCCTCGACCTCGAGGAACGCGAGCTTAAGCGGACTCTCCAAGGGCTGTCAGAATCAGAGATCGGCCCTCGCCTCGCGGACAAGGTCGCCCTGGCTGGCATGCTGGGCGAGTATCAGGACGGGATCAAGTTCGTAGAGCAGGGCGGTCTGCGAGGAAGAGACAGCGTCCCGCGCATGACCCAACCATACGCGCTGGGCCGACTGGGCCGCAACCCCTCTCCTTCATCATCTGCCTCGGACCCGTCCGAGGGAAGCAGCAAAGCCACCAGTCATACGGCACCGTCCACTCCTGATCAGAATCACGGACCGCTGCACATCCTCTTCCTGGGATCGTCCCTGGGAAACTTTCTCAGAGGAGAAGACGCGGCCTTCCTGCGATCTCTCCCGCTGCGCGCGGGATCTGGCGATACGCTCTTGCTTGGCCTTGATCACGACAACGACGCGCGAAAGATCGAATTGGCCTACAACGATCCCAAGAGGTTCACTGAGAAGTTCATCATGAATGGACTTCGAACCGCGGGAGAAGCCCTGGGCGACGATAAACTCTTCGATGAAGCCCACTGGGAGTATGTAAACCGGTACGACATTGACGAGCGTGAGCACCCTACGGCACTATTCAGGGCGTCGAACTAAATCGGGCATCGCGCAGGCCAACATGAAGCTTACTTCCGCTCAAAGCAATCCCAGACCGTGATGGATCCGAAAACCCGCCAAAGCTTCCACTTCGAGGCCGGTGAGCTCTTGAAGATCGAAGTCTCGACAAAGGTCAGAGCTCACAACCTCTTTGCCTTCGGCCTCTGATTTTGGCGTCCAATCAGTTCTCGGACAAGGATGCGTATACCCTATTTGCCGAAGCGGACCTCCGTCCCATACAGCGCTGGACGGACGACTCGCGCCAATACTCCCTCTGGCTACTCGAGAGGCCTCCGTTCCTGTTTCCGCTGCTCAAATCACCGACCGTGAATGAGGTCGACTTGGTGTCGCCCTTCAACCTGCCGAGTGTGCACGACTGGCGCTGCATGTGGGCGGCTTGGGATTTCGTCACGCGCGAGATGATACCACCGTCGATGCTGTACCAGAAGCCGATCGACCTCAGGCATATATGCCTCTTCTACTGTGGACATATACCAACTTTCGTAAGCTCCGTTTGTATCCAAAAAAACTCTGATCCTACACTCATGGCCTTGCAGTTGGATATCCATCTGTCGCGGCTCTTGGGAGAGGCTCACACGGAACCGGAGGAGTACAAGGTAAGCCTTAAGAAGACGTCAGTGTGATTTCATTGACCAAACTCGCACTAGTACATCTTTGAGGTAGCTATCCGATATGCGACGAGAAAGAGGCAAAGAGATCTAAATGATACCGTAGCGCGGTATTGATCCTAATGTCGATGACCCAACGCAGTGTCATGTACGCGTCCTTGCTGAAGTTATGCAACATATTCTGACCTGTGTTTTATCAGTCCCATAGCGAAGTCCCCACGGCGGACGACGACTGGCCATCGCTCAGCGCTATTCTCGACTTCCAGGACCGAGTGCGGGATCGTCTCTTGCGCTTGTACGCCGACTTCGAGTCCGGCAAGAAAACTCTCACAAGGAAGATGGCCAGAGTGCTATTCATGACCTTCGAGCATGAAGGATTCCACGCCGAGGTGCGTTGCGTGGTGCATATTCCGAGAACCTCCATCGATTACCATCTTTCAGACCCTACTCTACATGCTAATCCAGAGGGCTGGAACCGGCACTCTGCCGCCTATCGGGTTCACCAAGCCCGAGTGGTCGTCGTTGCAGAAAACCTGGGGGAAAATGCCGCAGCCAGCGGAACGCACAGTAACGCTCGGACCCGCCGATGTCGTCCTCGGCCACGACGATATCGAAGCCGAGGACAACGACCCCAAGCTAGCGACTGACCTCAAAGGACATTCCTTTGGTTGGGACAACGAGAGCCCGCGGCGCACTGTCCACGTGAACGAGTTCCGGATCGAATGGCGGCCAATCACGAACGAGGAGTTCTATGAGTTTTATAACGGGCCCGGTAAGGGGAAGGTCAAGTACCCAGCTAGCTGGGTGAAAGTTGGCAACGAAACACAGGTGATCACCCTTGGGATCCGCGCGCGATCGAAGACATTGATCCACCTCTAATAGGTACGCACACTTTACGGCCCGGTACCCATTAAAGTCGGTTGGAACTGGCCTGTCGTCACCTCGTACGACGACCTATCCACGTACGCGATCGTCAAGGGCGGACGCATCCCGACCGAGGCCGAACTGCGGCTTTTCTACGACAAGTTCGTCTGCGGCTACGAGGGAGGCGCGAACGTCGGCTTCCGAAACTGGCACCCCGTCCCGTGCGTACATCCCGTACAAGATTCCTGTTCCTCTGAGCACTCATACATGTACGTACAGAGCCACCGCCGGCGGGGATGGGAAGGGCCAGAAGGGCCACAATGGGGGCGTTTGGGAGTGGACGTCGACGGTATTCGACGAGTATCCCGGCTTCGTCCCTTCTGTCCTCTACCCCGGTTACTCTCTGGACTTCTTCGATGGCCGTCACCAGGTCGTGGTTAGTATACATCTGACTGAGTACACCCTTCCGCACACGCTGATTGAATTCTCAGATTGGTGGATCGTATGCGACGATTCCTCGCATCGCCGATCGCAGGACGGTCAGGAACTTCTACCAACGGAACTATCCCTATGCGTGGTGCGGAGCACGCGTCGCATACAATATCTGATGCAGACAACGATGGAACGTCAAAAACATGGCTGTTGATCAGCATTCGTGTTACGTAGCCTGTGAATTATGTACGGATACATGCAATAACAAAAAAGTTACAACGTGCGTCAATAAATATCCATGTTCGTCATCGCATAATTAGGTCGTGCAGAGTTTGTGATGCTGAAATCATTTCGAAGCGCGGCTATACCTTGACCTCGCCGTCGTCCACCCGCATGTCCTTCTCCACCGCTGCCGCGGCGTTCTTGCTCTCTTCGCTCCGGAAGACGTCGATGTTGGCTTTCGCAAACTCGCGGGCGCTAACGCCCTTCTCGAAGAGAAGATCGAGCTCTGCGAACGAGCGGCCGGCGGGTTCGGGCACGCGGAAGTAGGTATAGATGATGCAGAGGAAGCAGATTCCACCCTTCGTACGCCGATTAGTACAACCGTGTTCGAAATGCCTTTCGACGTGGCAGAGACGTACCCAGAAGAAGGCGGTGAGCTTCTTCCAGTCCCATGCAGACGGGTTGACCATATAAGGCGTGAGGACAGAGCAGACGATGCCGACAACATTGCTAGAGATGATTTCGTCAGCTCCGTCGGACTGGCAGCTGAGAAGTCGGAATGCTCACTATGCGTTTCGGCCCAGCGCCACGGTCTTGATTAGCAGCCTTCGGCTGGGTATCTCTCCGACGAGGGAGTAGCACACAGTCCCAACGGTCAACTGGTAGAACGTAGCCCAACCGAGCATAAGCCCGCCCGTCGCGAAAGCGGCAGCGGTGGCATGCTTGTCCGGCACGAAGGCGAGGCATCCAATGGTGATGAGCATAACAAACAGGCCGCAAAGACCATACAGGTACAGAGTGCGACGGCCGATGCCCCTCGACATCAGGAACCAAGCCCCGAAGACGCCGATCATGTTGATACCGTACTGGCCCATCGCAAAGTCGTATGCGGACGAGGTTGGCAGGCCAGCTTGCTGGAAGAAGTAGCTAAAGATACGGTTCAGCTGCGATGACGGAACTCATGACTGCAGCAGATGCTTACGTCGAGTATCCGGTGAACGAGTTGCCTGACAGGTTCTGGATCGCCCAGACCATGCAGACGATCTCTGTCCGGCGCAGGTTAATGCCAGTGAAGCAGTCCCAGTAGCTCGCTCCCTTGGTAATTTCCCGCTCGATGGCGGTGGTGTGCTGCATCATGGCGAGCGTCTTGTCCGCGTCAAAGTCCGCCACGCGGTCGGGTGAGGTCAAGCGGAGCAGGTTGCGCTTCGCTTCCTCCATCTTGCCTTTACGGACGAGCAACCACGGGGACTCGGGCGCGAACGCAACGCCGATGAAGAGCGGGGCGATCCACATCCACTGGAGCGCCCACGGCAACCTGAATGCCCAATCGGAGTCACGTCCGAGCTGAGACTTGACGACACCTACACCGATGACCTGGCCGAGTCCCCAGCAGAAATTGACGTAGGTAGTGAGGTAGCCCCGGAGCGCTAGAGGGCACACTTCCGATGCGTAGGAAATGGTGAGGGTCTGCCAGATCCCCCAAGGGATGCCGGCGAGGAGGTAGTACGCGAGGAGCGCGTTGGGTGATTCTGCAGTGACGGGGATCGCAATCAGAGCGGCCATGAGTACCAGACAACACAGTACTGTGCGCTTGTATCCGAAGCGTTCGGAAACAATGCCGTTGATGAAGAGACCGATGATCTCGCCGCAGTTGGCGCCCTGGACGTCGCGTTAGTTCGTGTTCGTGCGGAGGTGTAGGCGAACGACTAACATTGCTGAGTCCGGCTTGCCAGGCGGCCGACACTTGATAGCTCCCGTCGGCAAGTTTGTGACCGAACTTGCGGTTGAACTGCGGGAAGGCATCTTGCGCACATCTGTTTCAGCAACTCATCGTAGCATGCAAGTCCGATAAGATCAACTCACAGAAGTTGCCGAGAAGACAGAGGTCGTAGCCCTCCATCGCGATGCATGTCGAGATGAGGATGCTCCAGAGGATGGCCTTCGGGTAGATGCGGATGCCTTGAGCGAGGGTCATGTTCTTCTCGCCCTCGGTCGCGGCGCGGGCATCGTCGACGAGGGTGGCGTCGTCATGATCGGAGGTGATTTTAGATACAGGGATCATGTCGGTGTGCGTGCGCGATTAATATTTGAGGAGGGACGCGGCGGAGTGGGAGTTGCCGCGGTGGGAGTTGTGGGAGGAGCAGAGCTGGTTCGAGTACATCCAAGGGTCGAGCGATAGCGGGGCTCGACACGGGGTTAGAGCGCCGGTCAGGACGGGATGTTTATACTCTGCGCTGTGTCGCTGCTCGAACGGGTCCGTCGGAGCAAGAGAGACTGGCAAGGTCCGGTGACCCACAAACTTTTCGGGCGCGCTTCCCACGTGATCCCACTCGTCCGCTTGATCGGACCGATGGACGATAACGCTTCTGCGCCGACGCACTTGACCACCACAGCTTCCACTTGCACCTTCCATCCCATCAGTCAGTCCTACGCACTCATATAGGAAAACACGCGCCACCCAACCTTCCTCTATGGTCCCGCTTTTCAGCTCGGATCGCTGTTGTCAGGTCCTATTTTCCAGTGGAATGTCGTCGAAGTGCAAAGAATAATGATGTGTCGGACTGCGTCATCGCCTGCACGATCAACTGATATCTTTCCGACCGGAGGTCCAGGCTGAAGGGGAAGCGCTGCGTCGCTCGGCGTCTGCGACAGCTCATACAAAAAAGGAAGTGTTGCGCCGCAAGGCATGATAAGCACCCAGTACTATGAACAGTTATCGATTTAGCCGGGCGTACAGATTTTGCTGGAATGTTTCAAGGATCCGTATGATTGCGACACCCCGACTTGCCTGACATATACGGTTGCGGAACTTGCGTAGTTGTCTGACACATGATTTCTCGGAAGTGAGCGCGAGGCACCCATGTACTGGCTCGGAGGTCATCGGACGGGAATGCGCGTCTGGAGGAGATCGATTGACCAGTCGCCGAGGTCTAACCTGATTAATGAGCGTGACGAACACGTACCGTCACGACGCGTGCGCGTGAGTCGTGTTGTCGCAGCGACTTTCACATTCCCAAGCTCCGTTACTACTTTTCCGGTGTGATCACAGAGCAACACAGCGCCGCGTATTGAAGCGCTTCTGTGCCAGTGATTTATCTACCACTTGGATACGACTTGGTAAAACCAGGCATGTCTCGCCGTGGCATGCGACTTTGCACTCTCGCGAATCATCATGGCACATGCCTCGCTTGCCAGCAAGGCGTTCGTACGCAGGACCCCACATGCCGACTCCCCGATGAAGTTCTTGACTACATCTTCGAATTGGTGGTCAGCTTGCATCTTGGTGACGAATCCGATCCTTTCCATGTCACGCACTGGAACTGGTACGAAACATGCATCGTTTCTGTCGTCGCAGTGAACCGTCGTTTGGACAGTACGTCAACATCACTCTTGTTTATCCAAGCTCCCCTGATCTTTCTTGTTCCCCTCTGTTCACCTATGATCAGACGATTGGACTGCCGCATTTATATCGGTCGATGATCTTCTGGGACGAGAACGAGGTGCGCCTGACGCTCCTGGAGCATCTACGGGGCTGGGCGACTCGGCTTCGCCATCATACCAATCTTCCCTATTGGAAAGCTTTCCGCACGGAAGTCGTGCAGATTATTCATTGGCGTCATGAAGACGTTCCAGAAGACGATACGGAGGAGGCTCGGGTTCTCCTAGCTTTTATCTTGTCGAAACTCCGCTTGTCTAGGTTCTATACCGACATTGATTCAAACACTACACCATGGCTGCCGGTCGTTCTCTCAACGAGCGCCACAAGCTTGACTCATCTGAGTATCGCACTTGATCCGAGTGCATTATTCAAAGACACCGTCCGGCAACTCAACTCCTTCGTCAACCTGGTTTGTTTATGCGTTTGGGCGAAACCCCAGCATCTAGGGCATTCTCATTTCGCCTCCCGCCCTGGCTATGGAATCGAAGACCTTCCCATCCTCTCCTTGCCCCGTCTTCGGGAACTGCGGGTCAACTGTGCCGAGGCCGATCGGGGTAGGTAGGTAGGTAGGTAGATTGCCGACGAGGTCCCGGTAGCGGAACAGTCGGTTGCTGCGCTGCACGTACGCCACTCGTGCAGTCGACAGCGTGCCAAGCAGCTCGACGGTTTTCGTGAGCTGATGAGGCCGACCGCACCGTCTCACCACCGGCACCAAAAAATCCTAGGTACCTGTGTACATACAGTGCTATGTAATGTATGCTAGGCAAGCCGTCTTCAGCTTACTGGTGGAAGTCCGGCTCCTCGTCAGTGCGTTAAAAACCCCGACCACCCCGCAAAACCGCTTGGGAAAAAAGCGGGGTGGGGGAAAAGCATCGTCGAAGGAAACACGGACCTACCACGGCAGTCAAGCGCAATGGGCAGGGTAAGGCGTTTCTAATGCACTGTCTAAATATGTGTATAGGCCGGAAGTACCGCGTAGTTGTCCCACTCTGAGTGTTTTCACGATAGTCGGTGTAGCAAGAGTTGTACACCGGCGACGAACGAGGCGACGGGCGAATCATGAAATCGTCCGTAGTGGCCATATACGGTAGTGAACACAGCGAGTCCGCCGAAGCAGAGTGAAAAGAAAAATGTAGCAAAGTATAATAGTTATTCCTCCGCTTTGGCAATGGGGTCAACCTCATCGTCACTCGACACGGCGTCGTATTCGGGGGGTCGACGTCGTTACCAAGTTGCGTGAGGCTAAGCTTGTAGAGGATACAGACGACCTTCCAGCAATTAAGCCAAAGCAACATCTCTTGCGATATCATCGACAAGAACGCAATCGGAGGCTTATCCGATAGTAGAATGGCCATTACCGCCAATCGAATGACTCTATCTCTCCACCTATTACCCTCCCCATACTTCAGCACTCCAAGTGAAGCATCTTTGTCGTCTTCGGGTACGTTCAGTGCGCGATCACGCTCGTCGACAAGCACGATATTCCGCACATGCTGTGCAATGAAGAAGAGAAGCAGGGCGGCGGCGGCGGCGGCGGCGGCGGCGATGAGGCTAGGGAATCAGGCTTGATTGTATCCTTTTGCATGTACTCAAGCTTACCATGTCAGATGCCCGGTATGTAACGCATTGGGAGACTACAAGCTTCGTTCCGGCAAATGCCGGCGGACTTGTTACCATCATCACCTGATCCTTAGTATGCTGCTATGCGCTATGCAGGATGCATTGCTAGCAGTAACTCCATTGAAGGGCGTTGACCAACAACATCATGGCGCATCTCACCAAACCAACGCAGTACAACATCGAGGACTCCAACATCGCGCTTCTGGGGTCCGATGTGAGTCGCTTTGTCTTATGCTGTCTTAACCATGACGGGTAGAGCCCCAACGCACGCAGTTAGAGAAACGCGTCAGGGAGCATAGCGGTGATGCAGAGCCTGCTTGGCAAAGTGCCGGGCTTGCGCCTGGTTTGCAGATCTGGAGGTAATCTCTGGACCGCCAATAATTCCGTTCACTGACGTTTCTAGAATTGAGAACTTCTCCGTGGCTACATGGCCCAAAGACCGCTACGGGGTCTTCTATGACGGTCAGTAACACATCACCCGCACGTCTGTACTGTGTTATGATAGAACCGGCTCTCAGGGGACTCTTATATCATACTGAATGTCGGTGACACGTTGATCCTGTTAAATGTGATCGACCAATGTCCTAACTTGCTTTATGACGAAGACGTACAAAAAACAACCGGACAGTGAAGAGCTTTCCTACGATCTACATTTTTGGCTGGGTCGGGAAACTTCTCAGGACGAGGCCGGTACCGCTGCGTATAAGACTGTCGGTGGGTTATTCGAGGCACCACTGTCTCAGATCAGTTGATATTGACCACGATTGCGAACAGAGCTCGACGATCGTGAGTCGTTCAAAACATGGTCCGCCTCTCGATTGTCGTAATTATGCGCAGATCTGCACGGCGTTCCGGTACAGTACCGCGAGGTACAAGGCCACGAGTCAGCACATTTTTTGGCGCACTTCCCTCGGTTCATCTGCCTGCATGGCGGTGTAGCGACGGGCTTCCACCACGTCACCGAAGCGCCCCCGGAGGAGTCCCACAGACTATACGAAATCCATCTCTCTGGATCTCATCTAGTTGTGCGCGAGGTTGCCGCGGAGGCCTCTAGTTTGCACCAGGGCGACGTTTACGTACTCGACAAGGGCGACAAGATCTGGCAGCTGAACACGCAGAATAGCTTGGGGAAGGAGAAGTTTAAGGCTGCCGAGTTTGTACGCAGCCTTGCCGACGCGAGGAAGGACGCATGCGACGTGACAGTATATGGTGCGTTGATACAAATCAGACTTGACTACATCCGATCTGTTCAAACCACTGTCACGCAGAAGAGGGTGGGCACGGTGCTGGCATCTTCTTCGCCGAGTTCGGAATCGAGGGCCGGCTTCACAAGAAGCCGAACGAGGGGGTCAGCGATGCGAGCCCGCGACTCTTTCGGATCTCAGATGCCTCGGGCCAGGCGACCTTCGAGGATGTCGAGCCCGTTTCGCGTTCGTCGCTCTCGTCGGTGGACGTGTTCCTTCTCGATAACTCTGCTGATCCCGCCAATCCCGGGCTATACGTGTGGATAGGGTCAGGTTCGACACTGAATGAGCGTCGACTGGTATTAGAATATGCCCAGAGATATTTACATCAGAGGAGGGAGAATCAGGGCAGTGGTTCGGTGGCTGTCAGCATCGTCAAGATGGTGCAGGGTAGAGAACCTGCAAGTTTCTTCCGAGCGCTATGCGCGTCGTGATAGAGGTCCTACGTAATGGTACAGAATTGGCTTTTACTTCACAAACTGATGATGTCCTCGTATTCTTCGTCATCCGAGTCTGTTGTGGTTCGGCGAGTGGTAAAAATGTCATATTCTTCTTGTCGAAGGATCCTACGACAAATATTGAGCGTAAACCTCAGCCAGGTGTCAAGAGGACTTCACGGACTGGTCAAATAAGGCGATGGTCGCGGTGTCATCTTCCTCCGCTAGGACGTCAGAAGATGAGTCCCCGTCCCGCAAGGTCGCATGGGTTTGCCGAAGTGCCCTCCTGTATAGATCAATCTCCTCGTTGCTTGCCGTAGCACCAATTTCGCGAACAGCCTCCGGCGTACGATCAAGCTGCGAGGCCCACGGTACGAATTCCGATGCGCTGTGGACCACCACACGTCGTTCTACGCCTGATGTCACCACAAGAGGGAAGTGTGGATGGAAGAGCGCATTGTTGACGATAGATTTATGCCCTGCCAACGTGCCCTTGCATCAGATGTGATCCAATGTTTTCTGATCAATCACTCACCTGCGAGACGAGTATGGGGCGTTGAGAGCTCCACAGGAATATATCGTTCACGGAGAAAGGACGTTGCGAACCCTGAATACACCACAGTTTCGTCGGCTGTGATTGAATCCATCTGTTATGGACGAACCGACAACATCCGGTTCTTGAGATGCCCAATGCTCCGGGTTCAATAGTATGCCTTCTTCTGCAAGCTTTGCATTGCTTGGTATATGCCAGATATACGCCCGGAAGTCATCAGAACCTGTGGCATAGTATTCATCGCCCCCGCTGGTCATACTGAATGATCCATGCTGAGAGGATGTCAGAAATGACCGGTCTTAGTTAGGATCGGCCGACCTTGAACGTTGACTGATTGCGGTACGTTCGCAAGCCCGGAGAAGCGGGAGATCCATCAGGTAGATGCCTTCCCGTGCACACCGCCAGCGGCCACTCTTCGTCTCCTCCGACAGAATATATGATGGGAAAGTACCCCTGCAACGCGAATCTGTAAGCGTATATGCGCAGCAAGGGACGAGATGGTTTACCGGGACTGTCACGGCAAGTTTCGTGCCTGCCGAAAGACCTAAGCTCGGCCACACGCAAGGTTGAATGATAGTAGTCCTGGCTTACCATCGCCATTGAATGCAATGCTGCTGATGCTGGGGCGAATCAAGAACGGTAGGCTTCTCTTGGATATTTCGGTTGCATACTGCTATGCCTTCGAGCCAGATCTAACATACCGAACTTGGCGAACCTCACCGTATGGACCACGCCCCCAGCGCGCCTCGACGAGGAGGGCCCGAAAGCCATGCGGTCGTCACGCAGCACGCATTTTCCATGGTCCTCGCCCGTGGCAAAGATGTGCTCCATGTAGGGGTGCCAGTGCACCGATGTGAATTCCGTATCGTTACGGAGTGTGCCCTGGGCGCGAGTGAGAGTGCTCCCAGCTCTCCCGTCTCGTATAACTATACTGCCGTCTTCACTTCCATTAATCAGTTGAGGTCACATTTCACGAGGCATGGATGAAAGAGTTCACCTGGCACTCAATAGGATATCCTCTTGGAGCGGGTGACTGGATAAGTCTCGTATGCTATCCTAAGAATACGTTCGAATCCTGACTGTTTCAAGGCTGCATGCGCCTTACCTCGTGTTGCTTCACCGTGTCCGAAGGCGAAGCATTGTATCCGACAGAATTCGTGATAGCACTCATATCATACTTGTATATATCTGCCGCGACGTCGCCCCTGAGAAAAGCGTTTGTGAGTTGTTTGAGTGGGATAGAAGGCCTCTCCCAATACTCACGAGTAGAGATAGCGACCAGAACTGGAGAAAGATAGTGCAAAGACGTTGGCCTTTGGTCCCGCTAGCGCATGTGTTGGTGCGGTCAAATCGTCTTGGTGGAAATCCCATAACAAAATACGTCTATCTGCCGCGAAATTCAGCCAAAGCCGAAGCCATTGATTGAGCTCGGTAGCTCACCGTCTCCGGCACTTGCCAGCCAACGCCCGTCAGGTGAAAAGCAAAGAGCATTGACACACGATTGGTGGGCTGTCAATGTTCTTAAGACGAGTGGCGAGCGAGCAGATTGGTACGTATGAGCGATCGTAACGCAATGGAAGCCAACGCTCGTTACATACCTGGAGTAACGGAAGCCTTGTCTGAGCAAACTTGCAATGACGTCTGTCCCGTCGAGGGGCGCTCTCGGAGGCCAGCCGACTGCTGCCCTCTGTCGTTTACGCATGCCAAAGTCGCTGATCAAACGAGATCCAGAGCAAGGAATGTATCACGGAAGCGGTGGTCCGCCTTGTGATTGATTCGTAGATCCAGCGCGGATGTCAGGTTAGTCAAAAGCCGAGAGCGCCGAGCCCGCTGGGATGCGTGCAGATGATGACATCATAGGTTCTTCGTGTACCAAGGTTCGCCAGCATTTGCAAGCGCACTGCTGTCCTCCTCACTATATCAAGCCAAACTCAAGCCTGCATGACCAGCTAGCAACGCGAATAATATGCGCACCAATTCAATTGTCTCGATAGGCGTTTGATGTGCGGTTACGTCCGGTTTGCATCGCGCGCTGATCACGATCCACGGCGTTCATTTCGAGCTCATTTGCCGTTTACCTTCCCAAGTCTTATCTCGCCTGGCCGTTGAAACGTGTATGGGAATATGTCGTGAACTTCTACGCCACGCGATTTTCGAGGAGGAAACGCGGTTAACCCTTCAGCTCGCGAATAAATCCCCGTGTCGACTGCTCACGTTTTTGTACCCAGCTCATCGAACACCAGCCTTCTCTGCAACGACACCATGGCGAACATCCTCGAAATACCGTTTGAAGCAGGCGCGTGCTTGCGGGCTGACCGCACGTCAGACCGCCGTGATAACATCTGACTGGGAGTACGTTCCAGTGCCCATAGAGCTTTATCCCCAAGCCATAGCCGCTCTCGAGGATGCGAGGACGAAGCTTGACAGCAATGATCAGAGGCAGCTTGACAGCATCGGATTGTCCGAGAAAACCATCCCAAGCGCCGCCGAACGCGAGAGGCTCAGGTTGCAGAACCTGGACGCGTTGAGTCCTAGGTCGTTCGGTTGTGCGAGGCGGCGAATCTCATGTCCCCGTCTGTGCTACAGGGTACACTGGAAGATCACGCAATTCAAAAAGTACTCCAAGCCGTCGCGTATCGGCGAATGCGTCACCAATTGCGAGTTCGTGGTCAATTACATGCGGGACCATGGCGAACGAGGATCGCGAGATATGATACCGCAGTACACACTCGCAGTTGCTCTTGCGAGGGCCGCCATGAAAGCCTCCGGCGGTAAGCACACCAACTTCGCTCATGGAATGAGCCGGTGATGATCGGCATGCTCGGAGAAGACGAACGGGCTGTCCTAAACGAGAGAGCAAAAAAGACCTTTGAAGACACTCTAGGAGAAGGCAAGCTGACCCCAGAGGAATATGGTCAAAATAGCGCTTTGTGGGCGAGGGCGGAGTGGACGCGGTTCCTGCGCAGGACAGGCGACATCAAGGTGGCGGAAAAGGTCGAAGAGGACCTTCGCAACGTCAGAGCGCCCTTTCAAACTTGACCGCTATGGCGGCACTAACCCCGGGTCAATTTCGCCACAGTGGTATGCGACCCATCCGTACGGTATACCACCATCCGTGTTCAAGGGGCTCATGCTCGACGAAGGCGAAGAGACGAACGTCATAATGGAGGGCATCCCCAACTTTGGCGCAGGTATGCGGCCTGATTGAGACGCCTACAACGTCGAAAAGCTGAGCTCACGGACAGGCGTTATCGAGTTCGGCGGCCTCGACGGGCCTTTCAACCACATGATGATGGTTCGTAACGGATATCCACGATGACTTCGATCCCATACTCCTATTTGACGGGTAATTTCAGAGGTCCGAAACTGCATGAAGGGTCTCAACGCATGCGCAGGCGTGGACAGTTATCTGTGGGTATCCAACACAACTGCCAGAAGCATCCTGGAGGAGGAATCGTCGAGTTCTTTGAGTGTTGTGATTCAAGGCACGCGGTATCAAGGATGGCTCGGCGGGACAAGCTTGAGTCCATGTATACTGTGTGAATACAACAACAGCAATTGTTTCTACGAAACTGGTACAGATGTGTTCTTGGGAATGTTCTCAGTTCGGTCTAGTAAGTTAGGCAATAAAGATAGGCTGGATAGAAGCATCAAACGACGCTTCCTGTAAGGTGTCGATCTATATGATCTTGCAGTATGCTGGTGATCTGGTTCGTCAATCGACTTGCCATCCTGACCTCATCCAAAGACATCGCCGACGCGTCGAGGGTGACAAGTTTGTGGTGCGCGTGGCGCAAATCGTCAACCAAGTTGGAAGCGCCAGACATAGGGCTCCGCGTGAAACGTGAAGATAATCCACCTGCATTCATCCCGACGCTAGTGGCGATTTGCAGATATGCAGTATCGGGATTGGGTGGACCACGGGCGTCTGACGAGGTTGTGGTACGTCCCGGAGAGACATTCGCGCGACCAGGGGGCTCCCAGCCTTGTGCGAGAGCGGATTGCGCCCGGAACGGACGTTTATTCGGGGATGTTGAACTGGCGATACTCTGAACTGTTATGGGTCATGTTGTCCATGGCCGGTCTGCGAGTTATTGAGGGCGTATTTCGACATCGTAAGGGCATGTACTTGCCTGAGGCGACATCGCTCGCCATCCGGCGGACCTCCGGTGATGGAATGTGAATTTCCCAGCTACCGTAATCCTCTGGCTCCTGGGAAGGCTGCATCGGGCGTGAAGCCAGAGGTGATCTTGCTGGCGTGGCTGGGACTTGCGCTTTCGCCGTTTGCTTGAGCACGATGGGAGAGCCCAGATCATTAGCAGCGGAGCGGCCTCGCTTAGAACCTCGGCGACGATCCTCGCATGGGCTCCTCTCTGGAGAAGAGCGTTTGCGGGGCACCAGCGGCGACCTAGGTGTTGCGGAGGGCGTGGGTACTGAGGCAATGGCTGCAGATTGTTGATCAGGGTCGACGGACCTGAGCGTCCGAGAGAGGGGGCTTGGATGATGAGGACGACGGCCAGGTGGTGGCGGTGGGAAAAGATCATGACGAGCGGCCGTCAAGCGCGAGTTCATCTGCGAGCTGGGGGGCTCCACCAGCGAAGGAAGCACTCGCGTGATGGAGGTAGCCTGAGAATCAGGCACTGTGTCCGTCGATGGCTGACACTTCAGTTCATCAGTACATATTCACGGCGTATGTGTCCATATCAAACTTACAGATGAGGACGAGAGCTGGGATTCGCTTATAGTGACGTCGCCACCGAATGCCTCGACGTAGGCGTGAACGCAGTCTTTCAGTTCCGGAGGAACATGGATGTTCACGATGCCGGCATAGGTCTCCTGCCAATAGGTACCGAATGCATCTGGTCCGAAAAGCGGAACAGGTAGTGGATTGCGATGGAATACGCTCCCAAGGAACGGTGCAATCGCGTCTAAATTATTTTGATGTGCTGGTAGACGTCGCAGTTGATCCAACGTATTTGCGTACAGAGGGATAATCTTAAATTGAGGTTGAGGACAGGTGAGCGTCGAAGAGTGAATGGAGCGCACATGTTCGTTGTATTCGTCGTCTGTAAACACCAAACTCTCGTCGCGGAGCCACATCCCGAGACCGTCATTCATCGCTCGCAAAGTCGCTATTAGTTGCTCTGGCGACCAACGTTGAAACATCGTTCGCAGGACTTGCCACCCCTCTAAAGCGGCAGGCACCGCTGCCCGGTCCATGGGGTACAGCTTGCGCAATAGGTGACCAATACAGTGGAGAACAGCGCAATCGGGAGCATTCAATCCGATCCAATGACCAAGTACGCGCATGATGAAGGTGGACAGCGACATCAGACTACCTGAGCATCAGCAAAGGTTCTTGTGGAGATATCGCGAGTGCTCACTGAGGTGAGGTCGAACGTTCTATTACAATCTCCGCCACACTTGCTGAATCCAATGTCGGCCTTGACATGATCCTGTTCCAGAGGCCATCCCAGGCATCCCAAGCTTCATCGGAGACAGTCCACGGCCTGGTGGACGTGGGTGTTAGTAGTCGTAGACGTTACTAGGCGCACAAGTACTCGCTGCATAAGGTGTAATAGATGCACCACGGTATCTTCCAGCCAAAACAAAACATCTGCATCTGAAAGAGTCCAGTAGCGAGCGAGAACTACCCAAAGCCTCTTCCTGGATTCTTCCGGACATCGAACGTCCAGGAAGATCGCTTCCCTGCATTTCAAGCCAGCAGATAGCGCCACTTCAACGTGGAACGCTGAACGTCCGCCGTCGACAATCCCTGGTCTACAATCCTCCACACGCAACAATGATTTGAGAAGACATCCTGCTGCGGTGAGACGCCATTCGTCTACAAAGACGTTCCCCATGGCTAACCACATGTCTCTAGCCACCGTCGTTAGCGCCAGCGATAGTGGAGATCGACCTTGTTCAGTGTCAGAGCCTGAGGTTTCATATATGCGCGCTACCAGCGCGGCGGAACGTTCAATGAAGTCTGGAGGGGGCGCCAAGTGGCCTCGTCCCTGGGACAGTTGAGTCTGAGCAAGAAGAAGGGTTTGCCATGCGGCTATGAGATGCCGTCGAATGTTCTCCTGCTCAGGGATTGAATGTACTGAAACGTGACGATGTAGAACGCGTTTGAAGATAGCGACAAGTTCGTCCCAATGCCGAACGATCTCCTCGTCGGAGAGCGTGCGTATATGCACATCGTCCTGCGGCGGTAGTTCGGCTGATAGATCCGCCAAGGAGGTCGAATCCACCGCTTCAAGGAGGGTGCCATCTGTCAAGATTGTCGGTATGATGGATACAAGTTTCTGATCTTCAGTTGGCTGTTCATGTACCAGAGGGCCCGGAGGAGTCGAGTGAGTGGTACCGGGTGTGAGCATTCGCATGTATATTCGGAAACCATCTTGATGTATGGACCAGCGGTCGCTTCCAACCATCTGCTGTGTCACTGAGAGGGCGCAATCCAGGCCATGGTGGATGTCATGCATCTCCAGGAGTTTGCTCACTAGGGCCGCACCGATACCATGTGCGACCTCCTGTTTGACCACGTTGAGGGCCGGCTCCGTCATCGCCTTCAGCCCTCCTTCCTTCGCAGCGCTCTGCGTAACCAGACACGGCTCACGGCGATACAGTCTGGCCAGAACCTCCACAAGACACTTCCATACGGCCGCGTGCAGCTTGGGCCATGGCTTACGCACACGTGCAAGGGCGGGCAGAACCAACTTCAACGTCCGTGGTCGCATGAAGAATGCGAAATCCGAGAGGAGGACGATACAGGCTAGGACAACGAATGCCCATGACGCAGGTGGCGGAGGATCGACAGGTTTTGACGTTGTATTGACCTCAGTAGCGGTCCTTAGGATTGTCGGCAGGGAATTGGGTTTGTCCCGGTACTGGCGCGATGTCTCTGTCTCTACATACGACCCGATCATCTCGCTTATCTCCTTTTGCACCTTCTGGTTATGACCTTGGTTGCGCAATGCAATGACGTAGCCACATAGCGCGTCGGCAGCTGCAGTTTTAACGTCGGATTCTGGTGCTGTTAGATGGTAGCACACTGCTGCCAGAAGGGGGACGGTATGAGGAAGGCAGAGGTGGCCGTGGCGTGAGAGTAAGGATCGCAAAGCTCCCAAACCGTCCGTAGTGATGCGAGCATCCGATGTTACACCGCGTGGAGCAAGTGTTCCACTGATACATCGCATTATACCCGAGATATGGGGAGACAAAATCGTTGCCGGGAGGTCCTGAGTGCGTAGTATCCATATCAGGATGCTGTGCGTCTTCGTGTGCTGCACAGAACAAGCGCCGTCTCTTTGGAGCTCGAGCAAGTTTCCCAGCAGCTTCGTGAGGTCGCGAGCTATTGGACGATACGTCAAAACAGAGTACCTCAACCCGCAACGTATTAACTCACCTGAAAACAGGTTGTGTAACGCGTCAAGCCTGAAGATCGCTGCGAGGACCCACAGAGCCAGGTGGCCCAGTTTTCGTGTTTTGAAACCTCCGCCGGATTGCACGAACTCCCCACCAATATCCCTCGAAAGACAGCGTGTCAGAGCGGGCGTGTGGCGCCGTAGGCATTCCAGGGACGCGAAGGGAATGCCTGGCTCAGAAACCGAAGCATCGAGAAGCCGGGAATGGAGTTGAAATCGAGAAAGTAGCGTCTGATATGCGTCACAGAGGTCAATGATGGTGATACGAGAGGATGTACCGTCCAGGGAATGGAGAAGCGTGGATAGGGGTGAACGAAAATATGTCTCGTCGTGAAGAGGAATCGACATTGCTCTTTCGAGAGGCAGAGCGGGTCGGGGGTGTGGTTCCATCAAGATCTTGTTATGAAGCTTTAGTGTGCTGTATCCGGGCTACGAGATGGCCGTCCAGAGGTCCGGAACTCAATAATATGTGCTTGGCGATTGAGCTTGAATCACAAGAGAAGGGTTGATGAGCATCGAGTCAACGCAAGATCCATAATCGAGCATGCAGATACATAGACACCTTGGGTCGGTATATGCAGATCGGGGTTGGTTGAGGAAGGCCGATGGGATGAGCGGCTTCAGGCGGTCGAGCCCAGCTTAAGCTCCACGCAAAGCCTGTTATATGCACCGCAAAGTACGCGCAGCTGTGCAAGCCAAGCTATAGGAGATACCCCAATGCGTTGACTCGGCGTGGAGTGTCGCGGAAACGCGTTGATCTTCAGTTCGACGACGAGACCGGGGAGAGCGCGGGTCAGATCGCACGTGGCTGAGACACGGTGAGTCACCACGTGACGCACAAACACATCACTGACAGTGACAGTGACAGAGCAGCCGCACACGCTCAGTGACTTTGCGTGGACTGGATGATTCCTGATGCTTAGAGATATAGAGATGCTTGCAACGCATGAGCGCCGCTGCTCAGATGCATAGTTACATGATATCGGGGTCCATGGCCTCCGTGTGCCTGCTGGCTATTGCATTGAACATTTACTCAGAAGCTCGGATTCAGGTGATGTCCATTTTGACTGCATATGAGATACGACAAGGCGGAACGTACGCCGTTCTTGCGACTGAGTAGAATTTATCGAACCTCACACTTTTCATGCTTCACGGATGCTTACGAACTGGATGGTTCAAAGAGAGACTCATCAAGCGTCGAGAGCCATCATTGCACGAGCGGATTCGTTGATTGCCGCCAAAGCAGGATTGTAGGACCTGCAGAGTAGGTAAGTGGAAATGTCCACAAGAAAAAGTGTAAATGCTGACCGGTGATCGGGACCACGCTGGAGTGTGAGGCCCATTCGAGCGCCCTCAGGTGCGTGGTAGATCTTGTCTCAACGAGGCTTCGGAGCGGCGAGCGACAGAGCAGGAGCAAGAGCTAGAATGTACGCAGTACAGTTAGCTTCACACTGCGTAGGGATAACGAGCAGGTCAATTCATGTACCTAGAATGTACGCAGTACAGTTACTGAGGTACAATGAGCAACAATTAACATAACGAGAGAATGAATCAACGTACACTTCACACTGCGTAGGGATAATGAGCAGGTGAAGCGACGGATTTGCGAACGCGATGCTTAAGTGAGCGACGGCGGGCCGGAGGCCAAGAATATGATAAGAAAGTCCATGTGGGCGCACCGGGCGCCTTCGCGATGCGAGGGGTATCATCAGTGCTTTGCACCGATTGGATCTGGAGATCCGAACCTAGACCTTCGACATCTTGTTAGGGAGTGCCTTTCCCATTCTGGTATCTGTCGTCAGAACCAAGGGCACGGAGAGCAATGTTGCAAAATGACCTGCAAAAATCACACGTGCATGGCCTACTCCCGGTGCCGTGATGGTCGCATCCGAAGTTCATGCCCGCGTCGGTGCCGCAACAAGTCCATCTGAAGGCCTCTGGACGTTTCTTGAAGAGACGCGAGAGCTTGCCGTTGCACTCCTCCCGTAAGACTTTCTTCATGTACTCTGCCCCCTCGATAACGACATTGCCCCAACCCATGCGCTCTTTGGTCGTCGGCTCGATGTACTCCCAAGTCATCAGTTCGAGTTTACCTGTGGACAATGGCAAATATGGTAGCAAGATCAATCGATCACGGAGAGACATGGGGCCAAACCTTCATGCAGAGAGCCATCGCGACATCCACGATACTTGTCCATCCAGCTCGACGATTCGCCACAAAGTTCTTTGTGGTTAGACCAATCGTTCTTCTGACAATCCGCATTCTAGCGAACCGATGCTGCGTTCACTACATGCCATGGACTGTTGTAAAAAACGCCAACACAATAAAGTGCACCGCGGCAACGGGCACAACGTTTCAGATCCTTCGTCATGGATTCCTTTCGGCAGTTAAAGCACTGGGATGTATCTGCCATCGTTCGACAACGGTGTGGGAGTGTCGGATGCGGTGATGGTTGAAGACAAACAAGTTAGAATTCGAGAGGGTCGCGACCGCGACGGATATTAATGTCACGTGGTCGTGCCTTCGATCTCAAGGTTATTACAGCCGTTTTCAAAAATCATGAGCGCGGCACCAGAAACGAGACGCGCGTCGTGAACGACCCTAAAGTGGGGTCACCGCCAGATCAGCGACGCCGGCGAGCTCAGGAGGACAGCCAGCTCAAGCATCTCGACGGGATCGTATCGCTGTTGTTGTCTGAGGAGTGCCCCGAGCATAGGAGAGCCGAAGGTTAGCCCGATCTTGAGCCCGAGATATGATGTGCAATGTCTCTGGGGGTTTCTGGTTCCCTCAACTTGATGCTCCCGGCGGATTGTCTTTCACCCATTCTGTCAACTTCCACTCGCCTATGGGATCTTCTTGATAACGGGCTACACCTTGATTTGGAGCAGTACACTTGTACAATGGTTGCCCCTCAGTGAGCCATGCTTCCCAATGACGAGTCGACGATGAGTTCCCAAACATCTCGTCGTCGAAAACATCGGTAGACTCCTAGGACACATATTTGATCATACAGAGGCTGGACTGTGTCCAGGTTTGCTGGACGTAGCGTCCATAATCACGGTTTACAATCGCTGACACTGTCCTGGCCTGCTACTGGGAAATTGCTCGTTAATCCCTTTGAATATCATGTTTACCACTCTCAAGAATCATCCTTAGAGCTCCTCACGCGTATTTTGATCGTTTCAATGCTGTCCTGGGGCGCATCATCGTAGAGTTCGTCGTCGAACACGATGTGCTGGCGGCAAACCCAGCTTTGGGGTCGTTCACGACGCGCGTCTCGTTTCTGGTGCCGCGCTCATGATTTTTGAAAACGGCTGTACGTACATGCGGCGCGGACGGCCTTGACGGCGAGCGGGGGTGTTTGGGCACCTTCGGTTCACCAAAACTTGCTTTCTACAATGTCTGAGGATGGTCGATGGTCTAGTTTCCTTTCATTGATGCGAGTGGCAGCCGCAGTTCACACTTGTCTGGATGTCGCGAATCTCGACATCCGCGTGTACATCGCAGGCTCGATCGCTTCTCAACGCGAATATTGGTTTTCTTCAGAAGAGGGAAATCTAGTCTTCCGTGGATTGCAGGGGTAGCCATTTACGTAGCCGTGAGTTGCATCGTGCACTCAAGTTCGGATCTCATCTTGGGTCGCTATTCCCAATATAACCTCCAGGAAAGTTGATCAGATGAGTACTGCAATAAGCTACGGCAACACTGACTCTGGTTGGTAGAGAACCAAGTCGATTGGCTACGCTCCCGAGGCCCTCACACGGGGGTTGGTAGAGAACCAAGTCGATCAGTTACGCTCCCGAGGCCTTCACACGGGGGCTTACGATTATCGTATCCCCTTCCGCTGTGGACGCTCGCACCATCGACTCTTCAGAGTGCTCGGGAGGCAGGGAATCGGGAGCTTTAGCGAATACGATGTGCGCAGTGTCGACGATGATGATTTATTGTGAACAAGCCGATCGCGCAAAGCCATCAGAATCGCGAGATGTCACCCATCCTGCAAGCAGTCTTGGCAGCGCTTGGTATATGGGTAGCATCCAAGTTCTTTCGTCGCTTCATTGCCTCGTCTCCCCTGGACAAGATACCCGGACCGCGCAATGTATCGTGGTTGACAGGTAATGTTGGCATGAAATGACGACTGGATTCTGATGTCGATGGTGCCACCAGGTCATTTGTACCAGCTCACTGACGTTAAACATGGCTGGCGCTTTCATCACGATGTCAGCACGCAATATGAATCCGTCGTAAAGATTTGGGGTTTTCTGCGGGTACGCACTCCGTTAGACCGCGGGTCAGTCCATCGCGCTCATGCCGTATATCTCTTCTAGGAACGGAGACTCTACGTGTTCGACCCAAGGGCGCTGTACCACGTCCTTGTCAAGGTGACCATCACTTAGACGAGCTGTAGTATCAAGAACAACTTATGGCATACATCACCAGGACCAAAACGTGTACATCAAGCCGCACACTAGGACAGGTAAGACGTATCCCATGCATATCTGTGCGTCTTAATAAGTCCATGTTATTAGAGTATGCCTTAGTGTCTCGGAATGGTTCCGTTCACTCATACATATGCGTGCACCCCTCACGTTTAGGTTGACCGCTCTGGTCTTCGGCCGCGGACTGCTCTCGACATATGGTTCGTGGGCGTAGATTAATCTTACAGTGGATATTCCCGTAATTTAAACTTCATACGGCAGGAGATCGTCACAAAAAGCAGCGCAAGATGATGAATCCCGTATTTTCGATGGGACACATGAAGTACATGGTCTCTCAGTTCTATCAAGTCTCCCACCAAGTAAGTCGGGCATGAACTACGGCAGATACATTGGTGACATTGATAATCCTCAGCTCTGCGACGCGCTGACATCCGAGCTCGCGACCGGCGACCGCGAGATTGATATCCTTACCTGGATGACCCGAACTGCCTTGGAACTCATCGGCCAGGTTAGTCCTGTACATGTGATCCCAGCAACACCATCTCATTCCTTGCAGGCTGGGCTCGGCTACTCCTTTGACCCCTTGACCCACGAGGTTGACAACGAGTTCGCCAACACGTTGAAGTCACTCGTGTGCGTATTTTGTTTGGAAATGTCATCGGCCGCGCTGACGTTCTCCTCTAGACCCGCTGTATCGCAGGTCGCCGTCGTTCGCGGTATTGTTCCGTGGTTCACCAGGCTCGGGATCCCTTCCGTGCTAGGGCGCCTGCTACCGTTCGTGCCCAGTAGAAGGGTGCAGCGCTTGCGACGCGTGTCCGAGAAGTTGGATGAAGTGTGCCGGGAGATCTACGGGTCGAAGAAGGCGGCACTCTTGCGTGGGGACGAGGCCGTCCTTGAGCAGGTCGGGCGCGGGAAGGATATCATGTCGATACTGGTACGTGCATTTCAAGAGCGAGCACATCCGAGGCTGACGCTCCTACGGGTGTCCAGCTCAAGGCCAACATGGAAGTGGCGGACGAGGAGCGTTTGCCCGAATCAGAGGTAATCGCGCAGATGGCGACGCTGGTTTTGGCCGCTACCGACAGTGAGCAGATCGTCGCTCCATGGCGCATCCTCGGTACTGAGGCATGTCGAATCAGCGACGACGACGGCACTGGCGCGCGCTCTGCACATGTTATCCCAGCGTTCAGATGTGCAGGCAAAGCTACGGGCAGAGATTGTGGAAGCTCGCGCGGGTCGGGAGGAGGACCTGAGCTATGAGGAGCTCGACACGCTACCGGTTCGTCTGCGGTCGCGCATTGTCGATGTTTGCACTCATGATGTCCATTTTTTGTTTAGTACCTGGATGCAGTAGTCCGAGAGACTCTACGATTGCAAGTTACTGTTTCCTTGTGCAGTTGACCGCTACTCACACCTTGTGTAGGTTAGCTCCGGTGACGCAGCTCTTCCGCGAGTGAGTGTCTTGTCCACGTCATGTTCATAGCCACCACTGACAGAAGATGATAGAGCCCAGAAGGACATGGTCCTGCCCCTTCACAAACCGATTACTGCGACTGACGGCACGCTGCTGCACGAAATCGCCATTCCGCGTGGGACGACCATCGTGGTCAGCCTGCGGAGCCTCAACACCTGCAAGGACTATTGGGGAGCGGACGCGGAAGAGTGGAAGCCAGAGCGCTTCCTCAAACCGCTACCAGACGAACTCGTCGAGGCCCACGTCCCGGGCATTTACTCGAATATGTGCGTCTGCTGTTGCCGCGCATGGGTGTGATCAGACTAATGCCGGCGTACAGGATGACGTTCAGCGCCGGGGCGTTTTCATGTATCGGCTTCAAGTTCTCCCTGCTTGAGATGAGTACGTGCCCGGCTTGATGAACCCATGATGTTGTGCGCAGGGCTGACGATGACATGCGTAGAGGTCGTACTGTCGATGCTGATAGAACGTTACTGGTTTTCGCTGGGGGCGAAGGAAATCAAGTGGAGCATGGGCGGTATCGCTGTACGTGTCATAAACATGCTACGTAGAGCCGTTGCGGTGGCTAATTTTGGGCTTATCTCAGTACCCGTCCGTCGAGGGCATGCAGGGATCTCATATGCCGCTCCGCATGTCGCTGACAAAGGAGTAGGTATACATACGCGCCGGCGCACGCAGATACCAGTCTCGACCTTTCTGTAGCGCCTAGGCCATCATGACTGATATTCAGAATGTAATCGCATATGCGTTCCGAGCGCGTTCAGCGCGCTTCGTTAGAATCGTCGTCGCTCGGGGGAACGAGTCCGCGCCGGGACCGTTCTGCCGTCGGGAAAAGCCAACGGCTCCGAGTACGCGCCGGAACAATGCCGGCAGATGGATGACGAAGGGCGCGACGAGGCTGTTCGCGGCTTTCGCAACCTTCATAGCAGCAGAAAAGCCGGGTTCGAGGAACTGTAACAGGGGGGTTGGGGGTCCGAGAATCGAGGCACGGATGAAGTTTGCATGACGGTGCGGTTGGGGCGAGGCTTCGCGAAGTAAGGCAAAGAACACGCGCGTTTTGCGCGGCGCGATCGCGAGGCCGTACTCGTACTTTTACTTTGGACAATGAATTGCCTTGGGCGGCGAGTCCGAGGATAGCTTAAGGGTGTCTTCCTGTTCCAGTGAGGCCGGTGCGGTCATAACTATTCTGCGAGAGCCTAGACCGGCGACTTGCCCGTCCTCTACGGTCCCCTCGCTATCTTCGCTTTGGGAAAGGATGAACCGTAAACGTCGAATGGGTTCTCCGAAGTCAAAAGGTAGTTTTAGACGCCGTGCAAGTCATGCCAACGTGCTTGTTTGCCGGATCCGACTGGACGGTGCGACCAATGCTTCGGAGCGCGTCCGAGGAAAATAGCTCTTGGTGGCCGTTCGAAAGATTTTGTCGACTTCCTCCTCCACGGATATCTTGGTCTATGACGACCGAGATAAGCTTGTCGATGGGGCTCGACTGCTCCACGAACCTTCGTCGATCTGCTGCATTACGTGCTCGGGCGCAGTAGAGCGTTATCTGCGGCAACTGCTTCTCATCGTTCTATGAACGCAGATCGAAGTCGGTGTGTGGGCAGAGGGTATTTTGTAGCATCGGAAATGACAACGCGTGTTCGCGGTAGCGCAGGAGCTTGGGTGGATATCAAGAGGAAAGCATGCGAGACTGCGAGGAGGGAAGGCATGCACACCGGGATCAGATCTGATGAGCCAACGCTTGGTCGAAAGCACCCGAATAGATGGTACATCGCTTCGAATGACGGAGGAAAGCGTGTACATTGCCATGTCTAGGCTGAAAATATGGATGGCGAACCGACGTCGCGACCCTGACGAGACTTGCATTCCAGCACGCCGATACGGGGATGAGAACAATGACCTCAAGTCCGTTGTGAGCATGGGAGAAACTGTCGTGATAAGCGACGGGTACAAAGGGAAATGCAGCCGCTGTTTCGTTCGGAGGGACGGAGGGGTGCAGGCATCCTGTATCCAGAACAGCAACGCATGCGCGTGGGTGCCTTTCGTTGGCTATTGGCGATGCGCTCCGCAGTGCCCAAGCTCATCAATGTGAACCACACCCGCAAGATGAGGCTTCTCCAAAGACATTACATATGCGATAAGCACACAAGTCCACGAGGACCAGACGTGATCGTGGCCGGGTCGAGGTGCGCACCGGAAGAGGGTACGTGCAGGATGGGAACGTGACGACCCTGGATCAGTACTCTGGAAGTGTATCGATCCACGCCATACACGACTGGTATTCAATACACAAAGATCTGGACCTCGTCTGGTTCGAGTCGTCTGCAGAACCTTCTTTCCAGACTGGAAGCCATGTCCGCGGCGTCGTCAGCGATGATGCATTGAAACGAATCCATATAGAGACCGAGCTTTAGCGTCGGTTCAGCGGACGGACAATTTGGATGTACGAGAGTCGGCGAATCGATGAACCGACGGTGGAGGGACCAGGTACGGGTTCGATAAGTCAACGCGAGCTCGTCGAACATGGTAACAGCGCGCGCCGTGAAGCCGAGGATATCCCGAGTGCGTCGCGCTGTTGTCCGCCGGCGGCAGAGATCCCCCGGTGAGCTGTGCGCGATGAGGTGTGATGAAGACGACGACGGCAGGGTCAATCAGCGATCCAACAACGGCGCTGCGATGCTTTGAGCGATGGTCGACCACGACGGCGCCGTCCGGGCCGGCGGCTAGACCTGCGGACCGCGCGGTGATGGCAGGCCTTCGCAGTGCTTTGCGGGGCAGCAGACGGGTGGGATCTTGGCTCCGGGGCACCGCGCGGGGTCATGCACACGCGCAGGCGGCTTCCTTTTCTGTGGCGGTTCCCGGTTGGGCGGTCTCCATTCCGGGGACGCATGGCGCCATCCTCGTGATTGTGCGACGGCTTCGATGACGCGATGGCGCGCGCTGCCTGCGGTTGTCATCGCCGCGCAGGAAGGGACCCCGTGGGGACAGCAGGCGGTCGGGGAGGCCGGGTGCCTGGGATCCGAGTCCTTCCGAGGGGCAGGCGCGGGGTGCGGGGTATTCGGATTAACCGGACCGGGCGTTATCAGCGTCAGCAATCAGGCCGTGCCAGCGCAATTTCTCGTCCGGCCACAACGTGGGCGCGCCCCGCCGCGCCTCCTCTGCCCCGCATCGCCCTCGACGCGACCCGCCAGCGAAGAGCGAGAGGCCCCCTTCGGGCTGCTGTGAACGACCTGCCCCATCCGGCCATCGTGCCCCATCTCCGGCCCACGCCGCCGTTTTTACGCTCGCTGCCGGCGCCCCCGCATGTCTCTTTCTTCCCCTCAATCTTCTCCTCTCCCTCTCACCATCATGCCGTCCCCGCCCCCAGAGTCGTACCCGATGGACTCGACGACCGCCGCCACCGACAAGGCCCCGACGAGGCCGTACAAGTGCCCCTATCCATTGTGCGGGCGCGCCTTCAGTCGACTCGAACACCAGGTGCGCGCATATACCCACTGTTTTCCATCCGTGTCGTGGCCATCGCTGACGTCGACCTGCCCTACCCAGACCCGCCACATACGCACCCATACCGGCGAAAAACCCTTTGCATGCACGTTCCCCTCGTGCGAGAAGCGCTTTTCTCGCTCTGACGAGCTCACCCGTCACTCGCGCATACACACCTCGGACCATGCCCACTCCTTGAAAGGCAAGGGTCGCGCGCCCGTCGCACACCCGTCCGAACGGGACAAGGACAGGTCTCACTTCGACGACAGCGATGAGACCCCGATCACGACCCGCACCAAAAAGAAGGCCAGGAGTCGCGCCAACTCTGATGATGAGGTCCGTCCGCTCCTCGGCCCCGAACCACCTCACGCTGACCCATCGCAGGACTCGTACGCTCGACCGACGGCGCTTTCCACTGAATCTATCCGCTCGTCGCCCGGACCCCGCTCTGATGACCTCCGCTCGCCTAATGCCCTTTCCGCCCTCTCCACCGCCGCCATGGACGAGCTCTTCGTTCTCGAACGCCAGGAGGCCATCCGCCGCGCCGAGTATGAGATCCGACACAACGAGGCCCTCCGTCGTTTGGAGATCGCGGAGCGCCATCGCGCCGTCGATCCTGGTTTCTATGATCCTGTCAGCAGCGCCAAGAGTCGGAGCGCCCACGTCAGCCCCGTCTCTACTCCATTCTATCGCCCAGGCATGACCGAAGGCGGCTACTTTGGTACCTCGAACGAGCGCGATACCGTCGACGAAGCCGATCACGCGCTCAAGTCACGCAGACGTCTCAGCGGTCCCGAGGCATACTACCAGGGCCCATTGCCCTCTCGTCACCATGTACACTACCACCCCCATCACGCGCATGCACACCCGTACCACCATCCTTCGCACTATCCCGTCCACGCGCACCGTTCTCGGGCGGACGACCGTGACCACGAGCCTCCCTCGCCCATCAGCACCGACAGCGACGCCCACCCGCAATCGCCCCTGCACCCTTATGCGCTCCACTCCGGCGCGGCGACCATCGTCAGTGGCGATGTGACCGACTCGCGCGCACACACGCCAAGTACATCACCCTCGCCCTTCCTCGGTCCTCTTCGTGAACTGTCCCTCCGCTCAGCGCTTCCCTCCCGCGTGCCCTCGCCCGTGCTCCTCCCGCCACCCTCCGTCCCGACCGACTACACCCACTTCGGGCACAATGCCGCCACCCGGCGCAGCACCGGCGATCTCGTTGCCTTCGGTCAACGCCACGCGCCGTCCTTCTCTGCTCACGCCGCCGCCACCGCCACGTCCGGCGGTGTGCACGTCCCGCGCTCGAGTTCGCACACGAGTCTGCCCACGCCCCAGCTTTCGAGCGGTCCGAGTAGTACAGGCTCGAGCCCAGGCAGCCTCCCAAGTAGTCTGTACGGCGGACCCGGCGCCGTCTCCGTGCACTCGCTCCACTCGACGACGAAGCCCAGCGCGGAGCGAGGCGTCGGCAGCGCCGCGAGCAGCCGCGCACCGAGTCCGCCTCATGCGTTCCACCCCTACCACCACGCGTACGGCAGCACGACGGCGAGCGGCCACACCACGCCCCATCACCACGCGCCGCCTCAACACCACCACCAACACCTCGCGCACTCTGTCCGGGTCGCGTTCGGCATGACGCCGATACACCCGACCCCCGCCCGCGGCCACTACGCGCCCGGGCTGAGCGCGTACGCTGCATCGACGTCGATGCCTGCGAGCGGCGCCGTCTCGCGCGCGGGCAGTCCGCCGATCACGCTCGCGCCGCTGAAGATGGGCGGCACGCACTCGCATGCGGTGTCTCGGCCGGACTCGCCGCCGCTGTTCGCGGCCGGAAAGGCGGCCGCGCGTTCCGCGCCGGGCTCGCCGGTGCGGATGAAGAGGGAGCCGCCTTCGGCGCCGGCAAAAGGGGAAGCGATCGGCGCGGATGGCGATGTGGCGATGCAGGACGCGGAGGAGGCGAACGGAGCTGGAGGAAGGGAGGCGGCGGACGAGAAGGTCGAGTTGCCCCATTTCAGCGAGATACAAGCCTCGGCGGGGATCGACATGGAGCGGCATATACTCCATTGAAGGATCTCAAACGGCGGACCCCTTTGACCGGTTACCCGCTTTCGCCATACGACGCCCGGAAACCTATGCCTCGACCCCAGCACGTATCGCGCGTGCTTAATCACCTCTCATACCATACGCACGATTATCTCGGGCCCCGGACACGACATTTTTCTTGTTGTTGTTAACCCCTATGATCTTACCGCGCTCATCGCATACACGCGTCTGTTAGAATTTAGAGTGACGACGATATCCCCTAGAGGAGTGTCATATTCCCCCGCTCATGACGAACATAGACCGCATTTTTGGTTACTTATTTACCTAGAGAGACGAACGCATCGTAGAGGTCCAGAACACAAACAATTATATTTATATGTCGGCTGGCTACACTACCGATTAACGCTTGCAGAACAACTATCGAGAGGCGGGATACGCTATGTGTTCGTTTGTGCGTTCTTCATTTCCGAGCCGGACCAGGGAATTGGATGTTGGTGCAGCTCATACTTCCGTCCGGACAGTGCGGGATGAACGTCTCCGTCGCCCCGCGCGGTTGAACGAGCGTCGGGAACACCTCCGTGTCGCACGTCAGCTCGAGGTCACCCGGGCCCTTCGTGTTCGGAAACGTCGCCGGCGGGACGGTGCGCGTGCTCGCGGGAGGGACGACGTCCGAACAATCCACGAGCGTTCGCGTGTTCTGTCCCAGTACTGCCAGCTTGGCCATTGCCGCTTTGAAGCTGGACGCCATGAACGCCTGCTGGTTGACAAAGCCTTGCCAGAAGCACGCCGTGCGCGGGTCGCGCGCGAGCGCCAAGTCGGACTGCAGTCGCAGTTCGCCGGTGTCGTTGCCGATGGTGATCGTGTACGGAGATTCGGCCTCGCCCGTGCGGTTACCCGTGCCGGGGAAGCCGGTTCCTTTGAGGAGGGTCTCGAGGAAAAACTGAGTGTCCATCACGAACGGCGTCTGGGTTGGGGCGTCAGTCGTCTGCGGCAACCGAGCGATCGTATAAGACGCACCGTGTCCAAGGGTGCGTCTCTGGCTGTTGGATCGAGGTTCGAATGTGCGATACTGTGCGTCGCCAGGAGGGAGACGACCTCGAATGGTGAGAAGCCCCCTGCGTCGGCAAAGCGCGCGAGGATCTTGGTCACGTTGTCCTGCGGTTGAGGGACAAGCCCGCGCACGGCGGGCACGGAAACGCGCTTCGGTCGGCCGGCGAGGAACTGCAGCTGCGGCGCGCCAGGGCAGTTGATGAGCGCGACTGCGGCAGCGAATTGGACAAGATCGCCGGCAGAAACGTCCGGGTGGAGGGAGAGGAAATGCAAGAGGTTGTTCACGCTGTCTTGGGTGCCGTTGTTTTCTGCATAATGAGGCTCGACTGTGGGGAAGAGCAGCACAGAACCGTCGGCACCACCGCCACTGGCAATCTACGTCAGTTTGGATTCTAGGTAGAAGCGCAACTAGCTCACGCTAGGGGTCCTTGGCTCTGACTGATGCCGATGGCGTCCACAAAAGCCAACCGTATGACTTCTTGGGCTATGAGAATGTAAACAGGATGATTCTGGATTTCATGTGATTGGATCGTACCGTCTTTGCTACATTCGTCCTGGAAAAGATTCTCTTGAAGATCCGCAGCAAGTGGGATGAAAGCGCAGCAGGCCGTATTGTTGACGCGAGTCCCGTCGGAGCAGACGGCGGCATCGCTCGTTGGTGCAGCAAAGGATAAAGTGAACAAGGCGACGGAGGCGATCAGCGACGCGAAAGCCATGGCTTTGCGTGGTATTGGAGGAGTTGGGTGAGCTGCAGCTATGCTTGCATCTTTTTATGCATGGTGGGTAAAGTGACGGCACGGGCACTCGAACGGAGGTAGATCCCGCGTACGCATAACCACGCGTCGCTCACAGGAACGTGAACGCCACGAACCACGAAACAACGACGTAGAAGGCGACGAGAACGGACGGCGCCAGCCCAGAGCACGCCGGCCTGAGAAGGGTAGTGTTCCCGGCTCGTCGAGCATCCGTCGGGATGAAGGGGCGTGGCTGGTGGGACACGGTAATGGAGGGCGGCATCGCACCCATAGAACCTGCTATGGCCGCCCCGGACAGCCATTGGAGGAATAACGTCGCGAAAACCCACGCCGCCACTCCGCCATCCCAGGAGAACTGACACCTAGCGCGTGCGATTCCGCCTACTTAAAGGACTAGAAGCACCTTGCTCCAGATCCCTGCGTACTCCCGAAGATGTCTGCAGGCGAAGTCGTGAGAAACGAAGAAGCTTTCTCAAACGTGTCTGAACATGTAGAAGTCGTCGAATAGCAATGCAAGCCCATGAAGAAGTGCAAAAAGCTGCAGATGCGACGAAGCACCCCGTCCATTAAGCGCTCACGCCGAGCTGTGTGGAGCTATGGTGTTTCGAGGAAGGCGCCTCGCAAGAGGTCCACTCCTTACGGGCCATGAAAGCATCGTCTTGGGGTATTTCGAGAGAGTCAAGCCGACCTTCGCCGTCGTTTGACTATGTTTAACAAATAAACTTCATTACAAGTTGGTTGACCGAGTGGCATGCGTGGGCAGGTTCACACGCACCATGGGTAGAAGATGTGATTTCAGCTGCCGGCCTCGAGCATATCCATGAGCCGAGTGTCTTTACCGATGCGAATCTGACAGAAGTCGTCGTCCGGATTGTGCACGGCAAACGCAATCGTCTACGGCTTGTGGTACACTCCCAGAGGCTGATCCCCCAGTGGACCCGCATCGTGGGCTTGAGGCACGGTTTCTCCTAAGTTATCACGGCATCGGCAAGTTGCATGCAGTATGGGGTATGGAGTCCGAACATGAAGCAGGTAGAGTCCAAGTTCCAACACGTGTTACAGTTGGTGGGGCGAGTGAATTTCATTCCACCACGCGGCGAATTTGACGCGTGCTCGTGTGCTGAACTCCGACTACATAAGTACCGATATTCGAAAGCAACGCGGGGTTTGCGACCGAGGTGCCAAGTGTCGGTGAGGATGGAGAAGGAAGGCGTTATACGAACTGATGATAAGCCACAGTCTGTCTTGAGCTCAACAGGCCCAAGGGCCAGTAACTGTCGTAAAGCAAGTCCTGGCCAAACGATGCAACTCAACGATACCATGATCGCTGCTGAATGTCGCGGCAGGCACGCCGTCTGGGCCAGCATGCGATGATGATTACGAGCTATCAATAAGCTACTTCACGCCATGATATAAAATGCAATGTTAATGTCCGTGCAGTACTTGTCTATGATCGGTGTGTCTACTCAAAACGTGCAGGAAAGCATTGAAAGCACAGCAAGGATAACCATCCAGGCGCCAGTGCGCGTTGTTCGTGTGATAGTAGCTGAGCTCGTCTGCTGGCTAGACGATGCGGTGTTCGAAGACGTTGACGATGCGCTCGCCTCAGCGCTCGCCGTGACCGCGGTGGCGGCGTCGGAAGGTGATGCCGAGGCTGACGACGCCGTAGCCTCAGCCGCATCTACCGTGTCGGTGGGATTCACAGTTGTAACCGCGGCGCTCGCAGAGGGCGCGACCTCGAGAGTACCTGCAACACGAAATGAGCCCGAGTAGGGAAAGCAAGGGTATCAACGACATACTCTCGAACAAACCGCCCTCAGTTTGCGCATCGGCAATGGCTTGACTGAGTTCCGCCGTCGTGTCGCTCGTCACGGTAGACATGAACCCGATACGAGGCGGATCGACGGAAGGGTGTGTGAGGTTACCGTAGTAGAATGCGACCAGGGTGCTCTTGAAAAACGGGTCGCCGAGAGACCAGCTGAACGTCGCGCCAACGCTTGGGGGATCAGTCGCGACGATGTTGCTGGCAGTGCAGTCATTTGGTGCGGGTGTTGAAGCCTGGCGCAGGAAGTCCAGTGGATCGATGGGGAACGTCTTGCCACCGATTTGGAACGCGAGGGTGTGAGGCGTCGAACAGGAGAACGTTGGGTCGGCGGTCGGGTTCTTAGCATATGCACGAGAAATCGTGGATAGGATGTTATCCACGACATCAGTTGGTCCACGCATGAGCGAATTACCCTGGACAGCGTGTCAGCGCATGCGCTATCATAAGGGGGTCGAGACTCACAGTATCAATCAGTGCCGACAATGAGTTCCCAGTGAGGGATCCGGTCTGGGTCGTATCCGCGAGCTGCTGCCCATCAAGGAAAACGGCATCGAGCTCCACCTCCCAACGCCTGACGGGAACGGAATGAGCCTTCGATGAGGACATGCGGTTAAACATCTTTCTCACAATGGATAAACCTCATTGGGTGCAAATGTAGGAGGTTGAATCCCCCCAACCGCGGGAGAGTAAAGCTTCACGGGGACCCACGTCAACGACGAATTGTCGACACCGTCAGGCAAGCGTCCAACGGTCAGCGCGCCGTCATTGCCACCGATCTCGATCGTATCCCTCTGGAGGCTGATGGTAAACATCGGCTGGTCAACGTCGCCGCTCATTGCTATGCGAGAGAGCAACGGCCCATTGTCGGGGATGGAATCGATGAAATCGTCGGTTGTGGAGGGATTGTTGGACTGGACATTCACGATAGCGCCTTGTACAAGGCTAGCCAGCTAATATGAGCTCATGAAAGGTTGTGAAGCGACAGAACTCACCTTTCGGAAGGGAAGCCCAAGCCAAAAATACCCGCAGCATCGACAGCACTTGAAACGATGGTGTTGTCGGTGAAGTTGACAGCGGCGAATACTTGTTGAGGTACTGAAATGCCTGCTATGGTCGCGGTATCCTTGACAATCGGTCCCGTAGCCTGAGTTCCAGTAGTGGAATCGCCGTAGCGCAAGGTGACCCCGGCGCCCGTGTTGTTGGCTGTCGCCGTCGAGTACCTGGTACCATTGGACTTCGCGCAGGTTCCTGTGATAAGGAGTGAGTGAGGAAATGCGGAGAACGCGAGTTTAATTAACCTCCTGTACAGGCGTCTGAGATGATCCAGAGATCGCTTGACCCCGTATCTTCAGTGCACGTCAGCGCCAAAAACCACATGCATGCAGCGGATGATTCGTACCTAAATGCGCGCTGGTAGAAGTACTACCCAGGGTCAAACCCACAGTGTACTGACTGAACGTGTGTTAAAATAAAATCAGATATGCTATGCATAGGTAAAGAAAGCAGGCATACAAGTCTACGAGATCCCCGAGCTCAGCTTCGCCAACAGCATCGTTGCGTCGTCGCACTCGGCCCGTCCTCTTCCTCACGATTGGGATCTCAAAGCCACGTCCAGCGCCCCTTCGAGAGACCGACTCCCGCTCTTGCACGCGACGTTGTAGTGGCAGACCACGCCCAAGAGGAGCAAGCACGAGAAGAAGCGAGAGAACAGACCAAAGCTGGGATGAAAACATAACAGCGGCCCGCGCAGACGTGAAACTGAAGAGTATAGGGAAAAGAGGGACAGGGCGCAGATGTGCTCAGCACAAGAGGATCTCCGAGTGGGCTGCCCAGGACTTATATACGACCCTGATCGCAGTCTGGAACGGAACCGGCACCGCGTTGTGTTGCGCATCAACGGCGCTTCTCTGTGGCGAGCGGTCGCTATTCTCGTTCTTGTTCTCTTGTTCAATGTGTACCTAATTGTCTGCATCCTTCTCCAGTTACCCGCATTGGTCCACACCTATGAAGCTACCTCAGGCGACCGGGTCAGTTCATATCCTGTTGTGATGCTTGAAGCTTGCGTAAAGGATCGAGACAGACCGTGCATCGCCTTCCCCCCGCCTACTCCCCATGTTTTCAATACCTTGGCATACAGTTACCCATTGATTCTAGGTGTGCACCTGTGCACCAATCATCTCTTCCCTTGATGGTCCCATGCTCCACTGATTGTCCCGCACTACTGGTCCAAACCACGCAGATCAGACCCCGTCTCACGACTCGCACAGGTTCCGGCGCTCTCGGTCGTTACACACTGATCTGGAGGGGCCCTACCTGACGACGAATAGCAGTCGATTCACCCATCAACATCTCATTGGCTGCTCACGCTCATGCCTGGATTCGCTACTTGCACGCTAGGAGATGGTACTGGGACACTGTGTAAGCTCAATTGGTCCTAGCGGATATCGTTGGCGTGTAAACGACAAACGCCATCTGACGAACCCGAGGTCCATTCAGTTCACAAGTTTCCGCCTAAAGAATGTGTTGATTGGACCCTTACCGTCCGCGGGAGTGAATATTGTTCATCTTGCGCGTCGAACCAGGGAGTCGTGCGAGCGTGCATAAGGGATCAGGCCTATGCGTTCTCTCCTTGTTCTTCCTCTGAATAAGGCGATCAAGCTAGAAATATCTCTGTGTTACATAAACGTCCAGTATAACGCCGTGCATAGGAGCTGGACGAGCAGGGTGAGGTAATCTGATCATGGACAAGCATAGACACTATTCGATGCCACTATGATGGAACCACATCGTTGATGATCTATTAACATTTGTAACAAAATCACGCCGCGATCTGACCAGACGACAATCCTTTGAACGATTAGTTGCCCGCACCGCCGCATGATCATGTCCGAGTCGGAGCACCAAGTGCCAGAGTGACTGCCTCGAGGTAGCGGAGGTCATGATTGCTTTCATCAGTGATAGCCTCGAACCCATCCTCGGTCCACTGGAGACCGTTCTCCAAGAACAGCCCAACAAGTCTCGCAACCTCGATGAGCTCTCTCTGCTCTTTCGTAACCTCCCCCATAGCATGGTAAAACGTCTCCCAGAAGAGGTCCCGAAGTTCCTGCTGGTTGGGATGATAACGCCAGCTTTCCTCCACGGTTCGAATCCCTAGCATAGCCTCGAGGCCCCCGAGCGACATACCGAAAGGACCGATAACGGCGTCCTTCCAATCGCAAATGCCCATCAGACGGCCCGTCTGCATGCTCACGTGGATGTTGTTCTCCAGCAGGTCGGCGTGGTTGGGCACCAACGGCCAGTCGTTAGCCAGCAGCCGCGGGAGCATCGGAATGAGGTAGTCCAGGGTCAGGTGAAAGCGCGTGGGCAGCCCTTGTCGAAGCTTTGATAGATCCGACGAGTACTCGTTCAGTAGCGAGGAGCGACTTGGACATTGCATTGAGCTGGGCGTGTTGTGCCAAGCCGAGGCGAAAAATCTGCGTTAAGAAAGTTACCTGCGCTGTCTGTGGCACGGGGGAACACAATGACGTACCTAGCGAAGTCGGACACCGCGTGACGAAGAAGGCTGAAATTGTTCTCGTTCAACCGATCCCGGGCAAGATACATGGCGATCCCCCCCACATTGTTCATCGTATAGACGTAGAGTTGGCCCAGGTTTCCAGCCCAACAGTGGGACGGCGTGAACCCAGTGTAAGCCTTCTCGACGCAATCGATGAGATCCATGTCCATGACCGAGTCGCTGGCACGAAACTGGACAACGCAGGTCTCATCGTCGGAGACGACGGTGTAACTGTCCGCACCTTGCACAGGTGTTGGGCGTACAGACGTGCCTGCAAGCTGTTCGGCCCGTTGGTCGCATTGCTGCTGCGTCGTAGGATTGCTCTTCTCGAAGAAGTTCGCGATCTGGAACTTGGAGAGCGCCGCGATGCTATCCTCCATGATGTTAGACATGGTGTATCGGTTGTTTATGGCGGAGAAGAAGCAAGGTCTTAATCAAAGTGACCAGAGGACGGCGGTATTCAACTCGAGCTACCGCTATGGACAGCCTACACGCGAATACGGACAGCATTCGAAATCCATCAAAAATCTCGGTCCAAACGCCAAGACATTGACACGGTCCACGTCGCCAGAATGCGCGGAAAGAACGGACAGCATAATGAGTAGCGTGTTGAGGCAGCATGCGGCCAGCATAACTATTATATAAGCCCCCTATCACGTGATACGGCGGTTGCCGACCTCATAAGGTTTGGCTCATGCACGATCCGGGAACATCACGTGATATGTGTGACATTCCAAAAAAGGCTATTCGTCGTCTGCTGGCGCCGTCTCGCCGTCGTCGCTGCTCGCTGCTCACTGTTCTGGCCTCTATGGATGACTAGCACCTAGTATATGAACTGTCCAAGTGTCTGACTCCATCAAAAATGCGCATCCGCACGAAGTCGGAGCGAATACACCGAGAAAATGTAACTGAGCCCAATACTATTACTTCGTTCGCATCGTATTCTTCCGGATTCCGTCATACAAGAGCTTGATGGGTAGATGCTATGATAGTTCGATGTAGGATTGACTCGATGCGACGCTAGCTTGCGTCCCATCCACAATTTTACCAAATCGGGACTGTGACCGTGATGTGACTGCCTTCACGTGATGTTCCCGGATCGTGCATGAGCCAAACCTTAGTATTGTAACATACAACCGCACCTGTCCGCGTCGGAGTCGGACAACCGCGTCGGAACGCGCCTTGCCTGCACCGTTGTCCACTTGCCACATTTGCTCGTCACCAGGTCCGCCTGAAGACATATCTCTGTCAGTCGGACTAGACACCAGAGTTGCTATAGAGCTCCGTATGGCTACCGGAAGCCCGTCCTTCACTCAGTCCTTGATGGTGAGTAGTCCGTCATTGGCACGGATTGGTTCCAAAGCGCTTTCTTCGGCGCAGGCAGGGGGTGCCGCAGGGACGGCTGTAGACCTTCTGTTTTTCCCAATAGATACCATAAAAACGCGCCTGCAATCTTCTCAGGGCTTCGTCCGGGCTGGAGGCTTCAAAGGGATATATAAGGGTGTCGGCAGCGTTGTAGTGGGAAGCGCGCCTGGAGGTTCGTGACCAATGAGCTGCTGTGCGACATAAGACCGACGGCTTATGTTTTACGATCTTTGATGTAGCGGCTGCGTTCTTCTCTACTTACGACACTCTCAAACGAACCCTGCCCTTCCCTGAACATTTAGCACCTGTAAAGCACATCATAGCGGCTTCAGCTGGAGAAGTTGTGAGCATTTCTTTCTGTGATAGCTAAGCTTTGCTAATCTCAGTCAAGAGGCGGCATGTTTGATACGTGTACCTACCGAAGTCATCAAAACCCGCGCTCAGACATCCACATATGGCACTCTCGCACAAGGGTCATACGCGGCTGCGCGAATGGTGCTCAAGACGGATGGGTTGAAGGGTCTATACAGGGGTTTCGGAACCACCGTGATGCGGGAGGTGCGATACTATCATCCACCGTCAGACCTGGGCTCAGTCGCTTCCTAGATCCCTTTTACTTCAATCCAATTCCCACTATACGAATTCTTCAAAGCCCGCTTGTCGGTATATGTTGGCAGAAAACCACTCTTGGCACACGAGGCGGCAGCCTGCGGAAGCATAGCTGGTGGTATAGCAGCGGCACTGACAACCCCTTTGGATGTGCTAAAGACGCGAGTAATGCTGGATATTAGAGTAAGTTCCGTGCGGCTCGTCTCTATTTTCACACTAGGGACATCGTAACATCTCTCTTACTATGCACTCGCAGGACCCTACCAAAGAGAAACTCCCGACGCTTTCAGCACGCTTCAGGCAAATCTACGTGCAGGAGGGAGTCCGGACGCTCTTTTCTGGTGTTATCCCTCGTACTCTTTGGATATCAGCTGGTGGCGCGGTTTTTCTCGGTGTTTACGAGTGGACAGTCAACGGCTTGATGTCCTACTCCTGATCTGACCCCTTTGTGCTCCGATGATATATACTTATTTCGGCGACAGCCTACACGCGAAACAAAGTCACCTCTATAAGATCCCATTACGGCGCACCGTGTTCCATTTGCGTGCTCTACTGTCTACGCCTCTTCGGGCACGACCGATATGGCTTGCCTTGTCGACATTCGCAGAGTCGCAGGAGTGGGTAACAACGTAACCGCCACCCATCGAAATCATGGCCGAGCTCCTGAAATTTCTAGTGCTACGCTATAGCCAGCGCTCTTGCACTGAATATGAGCTCACCTCTTCCTGCCCGTCCAATGTTGGAAGACAGGTGACTTCTTTTCCTCCAGAGATTCTCTGAACAATGATTAGTATGTGTATGGAAGGTTGGCAGGTCTTCTGGGGATTCCTACTCGGAAGCGCCTCCGTGACGATACGGTTGTAAGCGTGGCTTCCCCATGATGGATCTCCTTACGAATTTCTGATAACATAGTCATACAGACCACTCCGACAAGTCTCCCTTTACCGCCGTCCACCCCGGAAGCACGTCTGTTGCTCCCGACCCCTGAATCAAGACCTCCTAAACGGTTCCGGCCGGTTAGTAGTGACGTATATTTCTGAATCAGAGGCCCCTTCATTATTATTATGCATTATACAAGATGCATTATTCCGGGAGAGGCACCAAGCTCGTCAAGTCCGTCCCCCTTTGTTCAGAAGCGCCAAGCTGGTCGGTGCCTGAATGTCAACAGCCCTCGTAAAGTAAGTGCTTGCTCCGTGGGCTATCTCGCTGTCGACATGTCGAGCGATCCCCTTCACGAACTCCCAACGAAGAGGTTCCGTTCCACTGTTATGCGCCCAGATTCTTCGCATGCGACAAGGTTTGTCTATGGTTTGATGGCTATCCCCTTTCTAAGGTAATCCATTTGCAGCGACAAATCATCCTCATCGGCGAAAGAAAATGTGAAGAATATCTGTCGAGCAGCCAAGAGGAGGCAATGGAAGGTGATGCATTCAACGTCGATGTCGCGGCAGAAGCACGAAGGTACTTCGAGCGTACCGTTACTGCCCTGCATCCGTCCACGAAGGTTCGCAAGGTCCTCGGCCTTCTGAAGGACATTGCACGGGATTCCTCACGTCAAAGGCCCAACAAGACTATCATATTCTCGCAGTGGTCTGAATTTCTGACAGAAGTCGCCTTGATAATGAAAACGCGTGGCACACAGTTTGTTCACCGTAAGTTTCAGTGCCGTGGAGTCAACGCGCAACGAATGAACTCATTTCTTCGCAGTGGACGGCGAAATGTTGTTGGAGGAGCGCCAGAAATCGACCGATGATATCAAGCGATCAAAGGCATGCAATATTTGCTACAACTGGGGCAGGCGGCGCTGGTGGGTCAAGATACTTCTGTGTTCCTGCATTCTCGCCTGACAATCTGCATGTGTGACACCGGCATCGACCTCTCTTGCTGTAATTATGTCATCTTGAGCGATCTATGGTGGAACCCTGCTCGTGAAATGAGTCTCTCTTGCCCTTGCTTCGCTCGCGGACTGCTCATATATCCATAGGGACAAGCCTTTGGTCGAGCTCATCGCATCGGGCAAATGGGTCCAGTGACTATATACGCAACCTAAGATACCAGCGAGGGCGGCATGCTCGAGGAGCGTCTAGATCATTGCGTTCTGAACATGCCCCTGTACCACCATGCTCAGTTGCAAAAGAAGAAACGTGATCTGGCTCATGCAGTCTTGGCCGACTTGGAGGAAAATGACACCCTTGATGTGAAGGACATCATCGTGCTTTTAACGCATGGGCGCCGGGTGGATCAGGCCGCCGTCCCCGGCGTGGAAGTCCGGTAATACGAGCCTATGGTCATAGATGATGCGGCACCTATGGACGTTGACGGTGACCCTCAATGGCCAGCGGACGAATACACCGGTGCATCAAAGAACGAAATGCTGACATGCATATCCATTCATATCACTTATCAGACTCTTTTTGTACGGACTGTTCCATGATACCCTTGAGCAACGCGAATGGATCTGCGCGACCCTTGAATGTTTCCGATTATCAAGATGAGGTACTGAGAGAACAAGATACGCGAAAACATGCGCCAAAGAATCATTCTCTATTTACGCCTTGTAGACGCATGCCACGCCGCGGCGATGAAGCAAGCGGCGCCCACCGCAACGCACACCTAAATCATGGACATTTGAGTTCGCCCAGGGCGATCACCAGCAGGACAAGGCACGCACGCATGAGAATATGATAGCCCTCGTCCAGTGAAGGTCATTCGTGCTTCCGGTACCAAGCAGGGCACCCGCGATGGGGATGCCAACGAGCGCAGCGAAGCTGTTTGTCGAGAACGCGACGCCCACCCTCAATCTGGTAAATTACGAGGTGACAAGCGTGGTAATCAGCTCAGTGCAGATCTCGCTAAGCATAAGATCGGATGATCGAGATCAACGTACCCAATCTCGGCTGGGCTACGCGAGAGCGACGCGACAACGGCTACGATGAGCGCGAGATCTGCAGGAGAGATCATCAACGCTCATGACATATGGAGGGCTAAGATTCAGAGGTGTGGCGCACATGCTCCCGATGCAATTCCATAGACGGCGGCGACTGCGACCATAGAGCCTGTGTTTCTACCAAGTAACGGTATGCGTTACGATCATGACTGGAACAGGAAAGCCGTTCGCGTACTTGATACCAAGTAGAGAGAACATCAGTCCTGAGCAGATGATCGTGCACGGGATGACGAGCTTAAACGGGCCGATCTTGTCTGCGAAGAAGTTGGGTAAAATACGGCCGATGACGCTGCCAGCATTGAGGATCGCTACCTGGAGATACTGTCGGTCGGAGGATGTATGCGGTACCGATGGATAGCTTACGGAATAGAAGGCCAGATTGAGGTCGACGCCGTGTTCTACTGCGTAGAGTTGGATGTAGAATGCTGTGAAGAAGAGGGTGAAATCACAGCGCAATTGGCTATCGTGGATGTGATAGACGAACCAGGAAAATACACCGTGATCTGACAGAAGAAAGATCTGGATGATGTAGTGAGCGCAAGATTGGCATATCATAGGCGGGCCAGGTTCACCCCGTGATAGTGAGCACATAGGCTACATCACTGAAAAGCGTTTTGAGACTCGTGGGCATCGGTCCGCCTGCCTTCCTCGGTGGGATACGAGTCCGCATCGTCAGGTTGGCGATCACTAGGCATCCAAGGATCATATATCCACTGGCGCGCACGGCGCCGTGAAATCCGATTCTGGAGAACAGTTGACTGCGAGAAGACATGAACACGCATTATAACGGCGCCATGAAGCACTGAACACTGACTTCAAGAGAATGGGATGGATGATTGCGCCGACGGATGACCCACTCAGTGCGATACCTGAAGCCAAGGCTCTCCGCCGACGGAAGTAGTGGGTGGGTATACTAACAGAAGGCGTAAAGACGAGACCGAGGCCCAAACCCATACCGACCGCTTGAGCAAGGAACACCTACGAGAAAAACGATACTCGAGGTTAGCGCTGTGAAACCTCAAGGTGTGACGATGCTGAACCTGATAGTACTGATGCTTGTTGGCTAAAGAGAGCATGAATAAACTGGGATGGCCCATCAGCGAAGGCGACTTCGTCTCTGTGTAGCATGCCTTACGAGAACGTGAACAGCAAGGATCCTATGAGCATCATGGGTCGGAAGTAGCCGCCGTCGAACAGCCTCCCAGCCCAGAGGCCCATGATGAGAGGAACAAAGAACTGAAAGCTGCCTATCCAGCTGACGGTGCTCGCGGAGACATTATTGAGATATATGCGGGTGTAATAATCTGACCGTTGCGTTCAAGTCATGCTTAAAGAGGAGAGGTCAGGACAAACCTTGATATACTCCGAACGCGTTGATATAGCTGCGTGCCTTGAGCACCAAACCTTCATCACGATCGGACCAAGGAAGCTCACCCGAAGGTCGCGAAGAGAGCAAACCACCTGCACAACCGTGTACGAAGTCAATCATCAGAGCACAAAAAGAGCGCCGATGCAACGACACTGACGAGCCACAGACAGTGAGCCATGCCCGAAAGCCGCCGTCAGGGAAGTCAAGGGCAGGAGGTGGCGCAGGCGCTGCAGGCTCGACCGGCGATTTCTCCACGTCCGCTGCCGCCGTCTTGCTCTGCCCGGCTTCGGAGACGATGGGCGTCGAGTCGAGAGAGTTGGTGGTTTGCTCAGACATGACGTCTTTTTCGTCGCGTTCGACGCTCGTCGTCGGTGGTGGGGGACGCGAAGAGCGGGTGCCAGTCCTGGGGCTCCGTTGAACCTCCCTGGCACCTACTGTGCTCGAGGCGGCGGGCACGGCGATGGCACAGAGCGGGGCGTGGGTGCCGCGCGGCGGAATGAATTCGACAGACGCCCGGCCATCCTCAGAACCAGATCGCTGTTCACTGCTGTGTCTTAAGATAGCAAGACATGGGAGAGCGTAGCCCGGGTGTTCTGACGTAACCGGGCTTCCATTTCATCACCCGCGTGCCGGCTTATTACGTTGATCGCCGAGATGCTCCCTCGGTTCGCTCCGGTGAGCTGAGCAGCTCAGCTCATGCAGATCAGCCGGCGCAGGCTCAGCGCCCTTCACTGCATACCGGCAACGATAAGCGAGAGCTCCGTGACGGCCAGCGTCTGTCGGGGCAATTTTAGGACCGAAAACCAAGTTGGCTTCATTGGCATTGAACACACCGTTTGATGCCCAATTCGGGTTCTACCCAATCCCACCTCCAGACAGTGACATGGGAGAACCAATAAATATACTATATGGTACAGTAGCGGGTAACCCGCGGAGCTGTAGGTACAGCGATCGTCACCGCGTTAAGGAGTGACAAACTGGGACATCCGAGAATAGCATATGAGCCCCTGGCTTCAACTCGGCCGGATAAAGCGGCAAGGTGGAAACAAGTGGTTATGGTATAAGGCCGTCGATCTGTTACACTCATACCAGTCGAGAGCTCGCTGGTTGAGTAGGTATAGTAGTCGGTACAAATCACTCATGCCATTGCGACGGGGGCTGATACTGGAGAGAACGTTTAGCATGACCGTTGACAAAAAGCTCGGAGGATCTCACCTTACGGGCATCCGACAACTCGATAGCGCCCACGGTGACGGTCTCGCCTGCACTAACATCCATCGGATCCGGGTCGCTCTTGATATCAGAGCCATACATCTTTGAAGACTGAACACAACGTCAACTGACGAATAGCACGCGTAAGCACGATGTCCTACATATGGGTTGGATCGGTTAATGTATGTGCCCGTCGTGATTCCGACGCCGCTGGTGCCCGTGGTCAAGCGTGAGGGGCCGGTATGGCCCTCCCTGAAGCTTTGACGGGCATTGAGTGAAGTCAGCAGCGAGTTCGAGTACACTGACAAATTCATTGAGGCGGCGTCATCTCATCGACGGAACAAAATAAACTGACGCTTGGACACTAAGAAGTAAAGGCCCAAGAACACAAAGTTGTCGGGCATGGTGGCAAACTATACGAGGGCTCAACGTCAGTCGACGGTCAACGCCCAGTGAGTGTCAATCACTTACGCAAATGATATCAATGACGGTGACCGTCGAAGTGATTAAGCATGTCTCGATCGTGAAAGCTGCGGCGTGATGAGCTACCAATTGATGCAGGGCGCCGGGTCCACTCACTGAGCATCCGCTGGATCAAGCGCTTGGTGTTCGCGAACGCCGTCTGGTTTCGTGACAAATAGTAAACAAGAGCTGCCGCTATGCACACGTCGGCGGCAGTTGCAACGCCGAGACTGAGCCGGACGTCAGCGAGGACTATGAACGATCGATTATTCAAGACATACCCTGTACGGATACTCCAGCCGAATTTCTTCTCATAAACGGCGACGTCGCGAATGTGAAGCGAGCCGTACGTCGTGACGATGCTGAGGACCAGCCTGAGCAAACACAGGATCGCGCACACCGCCGTCACGATGTAGTTCTTGCCGAGGACCCATACCCGTACGGTGAAGAACGCCTGGCAGGTGCACGCTACAATCGCCGTGACCACGGTGCCAATGTCGAGCGACCAGACGCCGAACTCCAGGACCGCTGGGTTGAAATAGTTGGCGATGGCGTAATGGTACGCGGCATGCGCTATAATCGCACAGTGGAAGGCGTCCATGACCCAAAGACCGCCCACCTAATCGACGATGGTGAATTTGAGAAGGCACCATGCACGGGATTTGACTTACCAGCGCCTTCAATCGCATCTTGTCCGTGGGGAAGTTGACATAGTAATTGTACGTCTGCAGCGTTGCTATACCGAACAAGCTGAAAACCAAGGTGTGAACGATTGTGACTAACACAAACGGGTACATAGTATTGCATCCTCCCGTTCATTCCATCTACAACTGAAAACCATACTTACAATACGGAGACGATGACTCCGACATAAAGGGCACCGAGCGTGAGTCCCAAGCTCGGGAGCGGAGGTGCTGGAGGTGGTGGTGCGGACATGACTGGTACACCTCGCTTGCTAACAAGGGCAAGGAAAGTTCGGAGGCAGCTAGTCTGCACCAACTCCAAACAACGTAGAACTAAAAGCAAGCCTTTGGACCAATCCTTCTCAGTCGGAGGCTGTGGTACGGGTCCTGGCGAAGTTCGCGTGAGAGGGACATAAGCGTGTCTCCACGCGCGCAACGGAAGCAGTCCCCAGGTTGCAAGGCTAACTGGAGGGGTTCACATCAATTCCTAGAACCGAGTGTTTGGGGACGTGATCATCAGGACGGCTGAAATGGGCGCTGGTCGGTGCCGTAACTTGCTATCATGTCGCGAATCCGCCGGTGCGAGAATAAAACCTTGAGCAAAACTGCATGCCTTTCGCACGTCATCATCACAGAAACGGTGTGATGGTTGTCTTGTTACTGAATGCCTGGAAATAATTGAACAATGAACACGGGAGTCCCATTTGACCGTACCTCAGGCTGAACACAACCTCCACAAGAAAACCTAAGCGCGTCCGAGCACTGCTACGTTCGCAGTCGTTCCGTCTACTGAGGACGCGCGATTGCTGTACACGCGGACAAACTCAGGAAAACGAGCGATTCGCGCGTCACCTGGCCGCAATGTCCGATTCCAGCTGGAATGGGCTATTTCGGGCGCCTCCTGTCGCGTTGCTTTCCCGGGCTGGAAGGAGCCATTCCGCTCTTCTCTCATTGGATGGTGTTGACGGTAGTCTAGTCACGACCCGGTGGCCTATCATTTACGAGCGCACTGTTTGTGCAAGTGACCGGACTGCTCCATGTGCAACCAGCGAAGCTGAAGCGACAGCACCTTGCTATTATCGTCTTTCTCCCAAGGAAGTGGAGAAGGTGATCACAAGACGGACATGAGCGCCCCCGTTTACGCCACGATGCAGTGTGAGCTCGCTGCCAATCACGGATGTTAATGCGTTAGATGGTCAGGAGTGAGTCAGTGGAAGCAGTGTGGGAATGACGACCAGCACGATAAATAAGCGCCCGAGCATTGTCACGACTTTGAGCGTGTGGCCATCCAGCTTGTCAATTCACTCGCGACTGGTCGTCTCCGCTGACTGCGTATCCGCAGATTGTGCGACGTAACACCGCGGGCTCCCAGGCGCGGGTTTATCACACTTTCAAGTCCCTAGTTTGGCTTCCACCCTCCATCGCAAAGTTTGAAGGTCCGACCTGCCCGGCCTCCGTGAACGAAGACATGATGCGATAGACGATGCTGTGTATCACTGGAGGCATGGAAGCTGCTCCCCTTTCGGACCATGTTCCAACGATTATGTAGGTTTGGGTATGCAGACCGTTCCGCACTACATCTTGGCCTGATCATCAGTTTCCCTAGCTTTCCGAAGTTGGATAGCGGAGTCCCGCCTTATTTCCCTGAAATCGAGAGCAAACAATATATAGCCCTTGACATATCGTGTCATCAACTGCATGGCGACTGGGGCCAGAAGACTATCTTCAGAATCTGCTCGTGGCGGTATGTTTGCTTCACAGGCTGTGTAGTCGCCGAATTGCCTGCAAATGGAAGCACGAGCCTGTGGCCGCAAAGTAAATGATGACTGCTTACTTCCCTGAATTAACCCATCACACCTACCCAACCGAGCTAGTGTGGACGTTCAGCTCGTCACCCAAACGCTTTCGCACTGCGAAAGTCGCATCGACCGGCTTCACTCGCATGTCACTACACGGGCAACATCAGCGTGCAAACCGCGTTGGCACGAGATGAAACCAGTCATACGGTTATTCGCATGCCCGGATCTCATTCAATCGCTCAGAATTGATCCCAAGACGTGCTTATCCTGCACATGTTCTCTTCTCCGGGCATATTGTGCTGCACGGGGTGCAATGAGGCTGACACATTTGCAGCAGGTTGAAGTAGACGCTTGAGGCTCTCGATTCGCCCTCCAAGAACACCACGATGGCTACGGACCCTACCACCACACCTGCTCCGCCCGCCGAATTGCTCACCATTGCCGACAGCTGGCTAGCGCGACTGGGCAAGGCTGGCGCGAGCTCTGACCCTGCGCAGTTCGCCGCTCTTTTTCTGCCGACCGGATGGTTGCGTGGTACGTGCGTTGGACCAACATATATGATCCATACTAATGCTGTCCCAGACCTACTATGTTTTGGATGGGACTTTCACTCTCTCGAAGGGCGCGAGAAGATCGAGTCTTACCTATCGCAAGATCATGAGGGCAAGGGCGAACCTTCGACGCGTTTGAAATACGCCGCACTGAGCGATATGAAGATTGAGACGACTTCGAGCCTTGGACCACCTTCGCCTTTCCCGATCCCTGGCGCTCCTTCCGGAGTAGTCGGGATTATGGCCACGTTCGCGTTCAGATTGGCCAACCCGGACCGCGTGGGTCGAGGGCTGGTGCGACTGGTGCCTGACCCTTCGCAAGCCGGTTCTGGTGGCGGGCCTAGCTTCAGGGCCTTGACACTGTTCATGAACATTGAAGATATCGTGGGACACGAGGAGCCGAAGGAGCGACCGCTGGGCATATGGGACGAACACAAGAAGACTTGGCCTGAAGTGAAAGCGGAGATCATTTCAAACACTGAAAATGATCCCACTGTCTTGATTGGTCAGTGACCTATCGTGTCTACGGACGACTAATTCCGTAACTAATACAATACTCTACGTCAACAGTCGGAGCTGGCCAGGCGGGTATGATGTGCGCCGCAAGGATGGGTCGCATGGGACTTCGCGCCCTTGTGGTAGAGAAATCCGCCCGCGTTGGAGACGTCTGGCGGGCAAGGCGAGTGATCATTCTTGTGGTATCTCAATGAGAAGTCTCTCAAGGCACTCGTCCACAGATACCCAAATTTATCTCTACACACTTCCGCGCATCACTGTGCGAGTGAGTAACTTTATGTGACCTGTGCCCCTCGTGTATCTCAATCAACTGCTCAACAGTGCTGTACCACCCGTATCCGTGAGTGCACTTCGCCACTTTCCCATCTGTCATACTAATCTTAGCTTGGTGCATCGTAGGAAGACCTACCCCAAATTTGTACCTAAAGACATGGTGGCAGACTTCCTGGAGGCGTATGCCATAGGACAGAACCTGGTCATCTGGCAATCTTCTGAAGTCCTCTCGGAGCCGGCGCCCGCTTTCGACAAGAAAACTGGGCGATGGACTGTTGCAATTCGCAGGACCATCAAGACATCCAAAGGTCGTGAGACGTTCAGCTTTGTCCTCGCTGCGCGGCAACTCATGACGTGCCTAGGAACCGAAACACGAGTAGTGCATGCGCGTCCCAAGCATATCGTAATGGCCACCGGTAATGGGCGTAAGAATGTACCGAGATGGCCCGGAATGGACAAATTCAAGGGCGAAATCTACCACAGCGACGACCACAAGAACTTCGAACGATGGGCGGGCAAGAAAGCTGTGGTTGTCGGCGCCGTGCGAACGTCTCAACTCTCCTATGGCAATGCAGAATTGACACTTTCGTAGTGCAATGCAGCCGCGGACGTTGCGCAGTCCTTCCTGTCGCCTATGCATGGTGCCGCGGAGGTGACGATGGTTCAGCGTTCCGCTACCTGCGTAATATCCTCTAGAACGGCCGACGCCGCTATCTTCTCTACCGCATTCGCGGAGAGCCGTGCGATCGAGGATGCCGATTTTGCCAATCACAGCATGCCATACCGTCTGGCCATGAGATTCGCCGCGGGCGGCGGTACAGCACGCCTCAAGGAGATGGACAAGGACATACATAACGGCCTCCGCGAGAAGGGCTTCCGCCTGACGTGGGAGATCGAACCGGGTAAGGGCGAAGTCGGTCTCATCGGTTTCTTCTTCGAGAAAGTCAGCAGTGGCACTCGTGAGTCCCAATGTCTTGTTACGCGCTGTCGCGCAATCTTATTCTCGTGGTGTCTCTCCAGTGCTCGACTTCGGATGTGCGCAGTCGATCATTGACGGCAAGATCAAGGTCAAGAGCGGGGTCGAAATCGACCACTTTGAGAAGAACGCCGTTGTCTTTGCCGATGGCTCTCGTCTTGAAGCCGACGTCGTGGTTCTGGCGTAAGCATCGCGTTAGCCCCGTCTTCACTATTTGGTACTCAATCGAATCGAATCTTAGAACTGGAAACAAGCCCATCATCACCAGTGCTACAGACCTGTTCGGCCCCGGTGTTACTGAGAAGATCGGGAACAAGGTATGGGGACTCGACTCCGAAGGAGAATTGACCAAGTGCTACCGGCCAACTGGGCAACCCGGTTTGTGGTTCAGTCCGGGTGCCTTCCAGCATTCAAGGTTCTTCAGCAAGCATCTGGTGAGTGTATTCCCTAACACTCGAAGGAAAGTCGTACTCAGGGTCGCACTCCATTGTAAAACAGGCGCTCCAAATTCTCGCTCAGGAGCTGGGATACACGGAGTAGGTCGTGGGATGGATTCTGAACGCGGTCGCTGATGACAACGTTTTAGAACCTATGATGCACCCGGGAGCGCACATTCGTCACTCAACATGAAAGCAGCTGCGACTAACATTGAAACCGACTCTGGAGACGGTTTCGCTATCAGTTGCAACCGTTGTCACATCATGTGATGCGAGTTTACATGCGGGTTCCAGTGATTGGCTCGCGTGTTATTGGGAGTCAATACGATCCGTGATTTATTGGACTATATTCCAGCCATCGTATGCAAATCGCACATGTACAACGACGAACACTAAATATATCTTGTCCCTAAGGGAACATATGTTCAATGACTTATGATGTGAAAGTCGTGGCATGCGCTCGCCTCAGAGTTTGCATTTGAACCCGGTGTCCTTGGCTGTAGCCAGTGTGATCAGAATGTCAAGAACCATCGATTGAGGCACAAACACGAATTGTACGTACTTGGCAAGGGGAACTCGAACAGGTTGACGGTGTCACCGATGGCCTCCACGAAGGCACCGGATAGCTTCGAATCGGGCTTCAAGAAGACGTCAAAGGCCCGCATGACTGAGGAGTAACATATTAGGATGGTTCGGGGATAACATGAAGATAGAGACACGTACTGGTGTCCTTTTCCACTGCCCAGCCGCGGGAATTCATGCCTTGTAAGACCACATCAGGCATCAGGGTGGAATCAGTGCTGCCCTATTCGCAGTGTCAGACTCATGAGAAGAAACGTGAAGGAATGCATGTACAGGTCCTATGGCGCTGCGGTGAAGAGGTCAACAACACGTGTCTAAACACGGAACACGTCTCTACGTACTTGATAGTGATGTTCTTCTCGTTCTCAAGCGCGATAGCGGTCGCGCGGACGAGCCCGAGGACCCCATGCTTGGAAGCCGTGCTGCAGGGGAGGAACGGTTATGCACAGCGTCTAGCCGGGAAATAAGTATACGCACTAGATGGGCTCCCCGCCGAAGGGGTGGAGTGATGATTGAGAAGCTGTGACGATTATGCGGCCCGGCGCGCGGTGCTTGCGGAAGTGGTTGATCGCAGCTGTGTTGCTTCGTGTGAGCCCTCTTGGATCCCGCAGGAATGTCGCAGTTTGCCTCACCTTGTATGGTGTAAAGCGCGCCGATTAGGTTGACTGAGATAGATGTAATGTTCGGTTCGCCCCTTTGGAATGGGAAGCCGATCGCGGCAGCACCTGCGTTGCTGGGCACGATTGTTCGGCATGTATGAGCAGTGCGTGAAAGCGAAACGGCGTACGCAAATACGAAGCTGATGTTGGATTTGCCGGTGTGTTTTTTCAGGAGTTCTTCGGTGGCCTTGAACATGCCAACGACCGAGTCCCATTTGGTAACGTCCCCTGAGATGGCAAACGCTTTCTGGCCAGCTGCGCTCCCTTGCGCGTTCAAAGAGTCCGCAACCTTCTGCACTTCCTTCTCCCTGATATCCGCGCACACGACGGTGGCGCTAATGTATATGGTGAATTGAATGCGCGTTCGGTACGTAGCAGCGGGGCGTACCCGTTACGGTACAGGTGGTTGACCAGGTATTCGCCGATCCCCGACGCAGAGCCTGTAAGAACACGGGCCTTAGACCGGTACGACGACGTCGGACGCGACGCTACTCACCCGTTACGAGCGCGGTCTTTCCTTGGTACATCATGGCGCTCTCCAAGGTCAGGCCGGTGTCGGGACCGGCAAAGTGGAGGGCCGTTGCCGAGCATCACGGACGAACAGAACGGGGAGTTGTTCTCATCAGCGATAGAGAGCAACGTCTTCTCGCGGGCTGGCGTGGGAAGCGCGCTGGCCGTGGCAGTGGTCTGCGCACTGGTCAAGCCGGCCCAACATCTGGCGATCGCGCTCTTCGTCCAGGCAACGACGATCGCGGCACGGCTCACCCGAGCGTTCACAGCGTGACTGGGACGAGGCACCGCGCAATGATCGCGCTTCTCCGGCGGTGCAGCCTCACTCCGTCGCCGATGCTTCCAACTATATCTCTTCGTCTTCTGGAAAGAACATCCCAGTGATGGTGCGAACCCGGCTCTACCCTTGGGACATGCTGCAATGCAGTGGCCAAAGCTATCAGAATATTCGCATTTGCTCAAGAAGGCGCCTCCCGCCGGCCAAGCTCCTCGTTCTGCGCCCAGAGCCCACTGCCACGACCAGTGTGTTCTTTCTCATGCTGCAGTCCTTATAACGGTACCGTTAACGGAACTCCATTGTAGCTTACTTGATCCGACGCGAGGCCCGGAGATCATCAGCGCTCAGCCAACCGCTGCTTCCGTCGCGAATATCCATAGATTCTTGCCTGAGCAGCAAACATGACCGTTGCACCTGCCGCTCCCCGTGGACTGACCTCCTGGTTCAGATCCTATGGTAACGTTATCTCTCGAGTATTCAGCGTCGAGGAACTTCATTGACCCAAATCGTCAGCTCGGTCGTACATCCTATCCGTCCTCGCGCAAGGCATCCAGATCGGCCAGCTAGAAATTCACGACGGTGATCAATCCTATGTGTTTGGCAAACCATCAGAGACCATCCCGGTAGCGCAAATATCTGTGTGCAGTGAGAAGTTTTGGTCGCGTTTATTCCTGTCAGTATACCTCACGATTCATTCGAGCGAAGGTTTAACGTGTTTGTAGATCCAATGATCTCGGATGTACGTGAGAGTGACATGCTTCCACTCCGTTCCGAAACATGACTGATGTTTCTGACCAGTCGCCGAGTCGTATATGCTCGGAGAAATCGAGACAGAAGATTTGCGACTCATATGCGACGTGAATATTCTGGCATGCTTTGGCGTATGCAATGCTAATGTAAAGATCGCAGTTATGGATATACAATGCTCCAAATCTTGGTGGACTCGCAACGACGTTCTATAATGCCTTTGCTACTGGCTACAAGTTCTGGAGCGGACTGTTTGGCCAATCTCCTTCCCGATCAAGACTGAATGCGGTCGCTGGATATGATGGCTCCAATTCCATGTTCAAGGTGCCGTCCCATCCGCAGCTTGATAGCTATAATACACTGACTCCTCCGCTGCAGGCGTTCCTTAGCGAGGAGATGATGTCAGTCAACGCTCGTCGACGAACCGCGCCTAACTGACTTCCACGACGCAGGTATTCGTGCGCTCTATGGAGCGACGAGGAGGGTGGTATAAACGGAGACCTCACTGACGACCGCAAGTCTTCCGACCTTGAGGCCGCCCAGAGGCGGAAGATACAACATGTGATCGCCAAGGCTGGCATCAAGAAAGGCGATCGGGTGCTTGAATTCGGCTCAGGCTGGTGCGGACTCGCCATAGAGGTACGAGCGTCTTCAACCCCTAAATGTCGATGTTATCCTGACATGGCTTAGGCTGTCCGCACGACTGGATGCACGGTGGACACCTTGACACTTTCCGTGGAGCAGAAAAAGCTCGGAGAAGAGCGCATCCGGGAAGCTGGGCTGGAGGGATCCATTCGCGTCCATCTGATGGATTACCGCAAACTGCCTCCGCACTTTGAGAAGGCGTTCGACGCGTTCGTCAGCATTGAAATGATTGAGGTCAGTGGTTCCTTCCCGTCTCAGGGAGCTGAGTAATCATTCTATTTTCCCGCAGCATGTTGGCACTCGCCATTACAAAGATTACTTCTCAATGGTGGACTGGGCCCTGAAGCCGAGAAATGCGACGGCCGTAGTGACCTCCTCAACGCTGCCAGAAGCTCGCTACACAGAATTTCAGTCAGTTTTCCCCGCATCACGAAGTTGAATGTATGTGAAACCCTCTTGTCCACCAGAAACCCCGATTTCAGCCGTTATTATATGTGGCCAAACGGGGCGCTCCCTAGCGCTACCGCCCTTGTGAACGCCGCAAACTCCGCTACTTCAGGCCGCCTGCAACTTGAAGCAGTCGAAAATCACGGACCTCGTCAGTCTTTTGCATCTGCCTTTAGACTAATATCTCATCCTCATTCAACCTAGACTACGCTCGAACACTGCGGGAGTGGAACCGACGCTTCCGATTGAATGTTCCTTCTATCGAGCAAGACATAATAGATGGCCATCCCGAATTCAAAGGGCACCCGCAAGTGCTGGAAGCATTCAAACGCAAATGGCTCTATCTTTTCCCCTCCGCCGAATCCGGATTCGCCAACGGATATCTATCCTGTCACATGCTCGTGTTTGCACGCGACGTGAGTCTCAGCTATGTGGGCTGTTTCGCGCGCCGGTTTGACACCGATGCCCAGATGAACACGAGATGTTGATCGCGATTATTTCTAACTTTAACCTTGGGGATTCCCTTTAGACGACCGGCCTGTTCTGGCCCTTTGCACGCATCGTGCAGTGTACTTCTTCTTATCTTGGGTTTTGGGCATTAATCCGATCATATGGCTATGACTTGTATTATCATGTCGTCGATAATGAATGTGTCGCGATTTAGCGGAGAACACCGGACTAGCATTCCCATGCATCCCAGTGAGGTGTACAGTAGGTGTCGCTGGGTGCTTGCAGCATGCACACCGGGAGTTGTAGGAGCGTATGATGTTGCTTCCCGTAAGTATTCTATCCTGTTTCTCACAGGCATGCTGCAACCGCGAGAGCCTGAGACCGCGCGTCCCAATTGGTACGGTTTGTGTCCGGAGCATCCTCCCAACGAGACTCGAGAGTGACTGTTGTTCTGCTGCGGATTCGTTGGACATTCCAGTGATTAGTAATACATCATGTGCTTGGAACAACCTCGTAACGTCCAACGTCTTCGATTCGATCTCTCAGGAGCAAAAGCGCTTTGATACGCTTGAGGCTAAACTATGCGCCACGACATGTACTGTCATTACTCTGATGCGAACATTACTCTGACTTCGAAGCACGTTCAACATCCACAGAACGTCCAAGAAGATCGCAGCGGTATCGCAGCTCGTCATCAGAACATTCGATTGAGCCACACCCCCAAATATACGCGGGCTGGAGCTGAGGCAGTCCGTGACTCCGTCGACGAAAGGCCCAGCACTATCTTGCTGGTGCTAAAGTTTGAATCAGACACCGAGCACGGGGTCCATCAGTCACCATTACTAATATGTTTACCAGGAAGCATTCCAGTTGTGCAGCGCCTTTTGTCTGATCAGCCAAGTGTAATTTAGACATAAGTATGAAGCATCCAATCTGACGGCATACCTTTGCGCTTATATCAATGAAAGGCACAGGAACGAGGTGGGCTACCCATCTGGTGATGGAAAATGTCCAATGTTCCGATCGCCTTCAAAATTTCGGCGATATGATGCGCACGAATCCAATCGCTCTTACTTCGGATACGAGATGATCGGTGACCAAACAAGGTTACAAACCCCATGATCGGCCCTTGCGTTTCTATGAAGGTTATGATGCATCTATACCAACTCTCAGGGGTTTTGTGACGAGACTTCCAATACTGGAATCAATTTCCGCATATCAAGCAAATCGGAGCTGAGCTGAAGACGATGGCGGCTTGCTTTCACGACCGTATACGAGCATTGCTTTCCGGGTGTGTATATGTATAAGTATGTCTAAGCTCCCCGGGGCGTATGCATTACTTGTATCTATTGAATCCCGTTACAGGATCTCGGACATCCAAATGATTGGGGTCGGGGTCGCAACACGCCTTTACGTGTGCTATGCACTTCACCAGGGTTCACTTGTCGCATGGCACAGGAGCTGTCGAAAAGGCCGACAACGGAACGAGGCTGAACACGACTCGTTTCTAGTCTGCATCCTATAAAGCGTGGCGATTGCAGTTTCTCGCTTCGCAGCCGAAGAAGACTAAGGACAACTGCTATGAAACATCGTGCAGAGGCATATATTATATCGATTACGAGACGCGTGCCGAACTCCCTGCGGGCTCCTCGGTCGCAGACGTATTGTATACACAAGCAATATTTTTGCCTCAGATATGCAACTTAAATGCACTAGCGCGGATCTTTCTGTCCCTGCAAATTCGAGGGAAAGTTTCGACAAGTAACCGTGACATAGAGCTTTGAACAAACTTCTTTGGCACACAACGTTAACAATCTTAGTGTAGCCAGACGTACGAAAAGCCTTTTTTGATAGGCCCAGTGTAGATAACTCTTGACCGCCGTCTCGGCGAGGTCAAACTCAAGCACGGCTCAAGCACGTTAGCACATGAGGACATGAGATCAAGATATCCCAACTTGGTATTCAGTATCTACGACTGAGATACCATCGGTCATCGGGGTCATAAACCCGTTTTGGCGGCAGTAGAAAAAAGTCGCAGGCAACGAAGCAAAGACACAGCTAACCACTAGTAGGTAGCTTTCGGGTAGAAGTCCTCATCTCGGTGGTGAGATACTGACGCCTGCTCGGAGCAGTTCGAAGTGCATCGCATACATGAGGCTGGTCCTATCTCTCGTCGGCGTGGGACGTGATCTCAACATTCCAAAAATACTGTCGAGTGTGGGGCGCCTGATCGCCGATTTGGGTCGCGAACACGGCCGTGTACAATTGTACGCCTCTCGGGTTTCAGAACCAGAATGGAAGCCGCCTCGTGCAGTGATGAAGCGGTTTTTGCGTTATTCCCGGCATAAGCTATGTGAACGAGTATGGTCACATGTTGCGTGTGGCCGACCAGACTGGATATCGAAAAATGAGTACGTATGATACATGAAGAATATTGGAACAATGCGCGTGAAGGTTCGTCATTCGCGTAGCATGCAGAGCAGGATCATGAATTTGGCCTTATAAAACGCGTGGTTCGGGGCGTCAAGGTTGCAATTGGGTCCGACAAATCTTAAGACTCGATGAGTCGGATGGCAGCGTCTGAACGCGGGGTAATAGAGCATTGAAATTCCTCGGGATGACTAGACCACCGGCAATCATCAGTGAATACTCAGAGGAAAGCTGAGAGTGCACGACTTACGCGACAATGGCTCGAGCAAATCTGACTTCGGGCTTGATTTCCTTCCCAGAGGAGTCACAGGCTTTGAAGATGTTGAACGTCGCTAGTATAGATGTTACACCAAGAAAGATTGAGTTGTTGGCCATGTAGACGCCAGGACACGCGCGACGGCCGAAACCGAATATCATAGTCTCAGGATCAGGATTTAATGCGGAATCGGATTCCGGCTTTTCGAGGAAACGATCCGGATTGAACGTCATCGGGTCTGGGTAAATGTCTTCGTCATGTAACATCGCCCTGCAGAGATGAGGATAGGATGTGGCGGAGAGTGTCATTCTTACCAACGGTTGGTGATGATGGAAGTTCCTTTTGGTATCCAATATCCATTGTATTGGTCATCTTCGGTCGTTGCATGAGGCAGCGCTACCGGGGAATCGCACGTTAGCCATGGATCCAGCGACATAGTAGGAAGCTTGCCTATAGGACCCGCAGGAGCCCATCTGTGTATTTCCTTGATGACAGCTTCGACATACGGGAGCCTACCCCTGTCAGTAAATTCGGGCAGCCTGGTTGGTTCTCCCGGTGCTTGGGCTCCAAGGAGTGCATCCAGTTCCTCTTGTGCCCGACGTTGCACATCAGGGAACAGAGTCATCGCCAGAAAGAAGTTGGCCATGTAGCATGCGGTGGTATCCGTCCCGGCAGCATACAGACCACTCGAGACCCACATGATGAGATCTGCGCGTTCGTCGGCGGAGGCACCAGGTGTCGAACCCGACTCGATATCGGACAGTAGCTGCGAGGTGAAGGAGGGTATCGCAGTCCCCGCAGCCTGAAAAAATTACGTCAAACACGATACAATAAAGAAACCCTTTCGCGTACCATCTGGTTCTTGACCCAGGCGAATGGCACTTGGCACAGATCCTTGACCTCCTCTCTCCATTTTGCTGCCAATCGCTTGAATCTAGCACCTGGGAACCACGATGGGACATATTTCACTGGTATGTGTTTCAGCTCCCGGGATTCTTCGACATTCCGGTCAAGAACTCACAGATAGGTATCGAGTCGACCATCCACCCAGGCGCGGAGGCTTGTTCAGATATACGGATTCGATCATCGGCCAAACGCACAAAGTGGTCGTCGTCGCTGTCTACACTGTAGCCATACGTGACTTTCAGGATGACCGCACCAGCGTTCCTGTGGTGACGTCCGTGAGCTGAACTGAGGAAAGAGAGTGCGAATTGTTGGTCACCGTCGGATCAGCGCTCGAAACTTCTCCGGTGTCCGCAGCAAGCCTCGTAGAAATTTGCGCAGTTCTTCGACTTGCAGAGGCACGTAGGTGCTCGCCGCTCTCGGGTTGAGTTGAGAGTTTAGCAATCGGCGATACTGCCGGAACCGATCGCTGCCATACTTTACAAAGAAGACGGAGTTTCTACGATCCAGGAGATCGCCGAACATGGTGCTCGACGGGCGGTCGGAATAGATCGCGCCGCGACTGTCGAGTAGCTCCATTGCAACTTCGAGCGAGTTTATGACAAGCATATCCTTGCCCAACAACTTGAAGTAGACTATGGGCGAGCCGTATTGGCGGCCCCATCTCCAGTATGTTATCCACGACGGCACGTCCTTAGGGAACTTGGAGGCGATGCCGAAGAATGGTAGACCTTTCGGACCTGAGACGGCAGAGATGAGAAAACGATGAGCGCATCGGCAACGCATCAGTCCGGCAGGTATAAGCACCTGGGGGTAAAGGTGAGCGACGCCGGCGGGAAGCATGACGGACGACGTAGCCCGTCAGCGCAAGCGCGAGGACGATTGTCCAAGGATGCATCGCTGATGCACCAAGTTCCGCGCATGCTGGTACCCTCTGGGTCTTTAACGTCGAGCGTCGAGCGTCGAGAATAGTCCTTTACACGAACACGGGGGCGACCGAATCCGGCGACCCGATTTCCGCCCCCAGAGCCGAGCTCTGCCCGCGGGTCCGTAATTCTCACGGTTCGGTCTTCGTTTCCGCGTTCGCTTGGTGGAAGACGCCGGAGCCACAGCGGGGCAGCGCTCATCTCTCTTCGGGTCTGCCTCATGGCCATGACCCAACACATCAATCCGGCCATGCCTCTTCTCTGGATAGCGCTCATAGTGCTTCTTCCGTATCAATCACGAGCTATCGTTATGCCAGGATCTACTAGTTACGGGCGGCGATGGAGGTCCCGGTGAGGACGAACAACTCGAGAATGGCCCCCTTGTCGATAGCGACGAGCTCTAAGCTACGTGAGGCTCGCCCAGACGGATCTCGCGTTTACGACGCGGACGTCGATGCTCAATGGTGCTACGATAGGTGCGGCATAAGTGGGGTATACCTGACCGTAACCTAACACTTTGGTTCCCTATAGTTTTCCCCACGGAGGGTATCTTTTGGCCATTGTTGCTAAAGCCACCTACCACGCGAACGAAGGCAGAAATCAGCCTGACATCCTGCATATTTCAGCCAGCTACCTGCGCGGCGTTTCCATCGGCCCTTGCGAAATCCATACACGGCCACTTTCCGAGGGCAGTAGTTTCCGCTACGTAGAGGCCGAGCTACACCAGAGGGTATGTTCTGCCATATGTTGGCCATCAACCATAAGTCATCGCCTGCGGAACGTAGGGTCATGTCAGGATCAAATGCACGTTCATCTTCGGCTCGCTCGGCTCCGGAGCGACTGCCAATGGTCCACCAGATCAAGTACGCAGCAGGTTGAACATCACTCCGAGCTCTCCTTTAGCACGACATGTCCCGTTATCACACCATCCGTCGCGGGCGATATCCAGTCCTACCATGCCTCAGGCTCGTTTCCGTACCAGAGTCGACTGGGCGATCGACCCTGCTCCACTCAAGCGGAACAAGGCCCGATCCCGTACGTTGATCACGGGCAGCGAAAGGCATGGGCTACTTCCACCCGAGGCTGGCGGAGGCTTGGAATGGGCGGCGTGGTTCGACTTCACGGACGAAGATCTGGTTCTCGAGCAATCGCTCATCGTCTTCTTCTCCGACGTCTTTGGGCGAACGCCGGATCTGTACTCCGCCGCAGTGGGCAAGGGCATCGGGTCTGTGCTCAATACCGTCTGACGTCGTGCTGTGGCTGAAACGACCTACTTGCAGCGATGAAGTATATTATTCATATACAACCCTAGCACTCCACATCGACTTCATCTCTCCGTTCCCGAAAGACGATCCCACTACGTCCAAGCGATCCGTCGGGTTATACTCTGTGGGCAAGTTCATGCGGAACGGTCTGCACGACGGATGTGTCGAGATTTGGTCATCTCCCGGTCTTATCGGAGCCGGCACCGAGTCAGATGGGTGGCGGGAGAAAGCTGTCTGTCTTGCGACAGCATCGCAGGTGACTCTGGCGCATCCATTGGGCAATAAGCTCAAGAGGCACATTGAGAAGGGACGAGAGGAAGCCAAGCTCTGAGGAGCTGATCCTGCACATATAGACTTGGCAACAGCCGCCGTGCTACGCACTAAGTGCGTTACACGGAGCTTATACCCTAATCTAGGTTTCATGCACTCCACGGACCACGTTTTAACACTCCCATACAAGCATTCCATATCATGGACGATTTATATATGTATACTGCTGCTCGGACCGGACCGTGTACGCGATATCTTCACTTCTCAAGTCCCTTGATGTTGCCATGATAGAACAAGGGTGTGGGGGGCTATTCGTCATGCGCATCCAATATCGTCAGTGATTGTCGATGATTAGTTTGGGATCAATGTATGATGGGTTGCTCACCTTGGCGAGCAGATTCTGCGTCTTGAACTCGTTCATGATGTCTGAGGTCATATGCCTGTGGACATCTGGTCATGAGTGGCGACAGCATGGGCCACCGTATTAATGGTGGTCCACACTCACGCCTTCAACGCGTCGCCGTCTCTAAATCTCTCCCATGTAGCGAAGACATCACCGTCAGGGGCATCGCGGGCAAACGTGTACTCGAGCGTGCCAGGCTCGTTCTCCTTCGCCCAGGCCTTCATCTTCTCGATCCACGACGCGAGCGTATCACCCTGACCCGGCTTTGCGTGCAGCTGCGCGTGGCGGCCCTATGTCAACCCATGTCTGGACGGCTCCGTGGAGCGCACCTGAGCATTGATTACGATCTCGCCCTCGATGTGCTGCCAGGATGCACTCATATCGGCGGATCTCGAGTAGTAGTGTCTGGGGCGCCTCATCACCCCCTTTTATGTACGTATACGTACTGCTTCTTAGTCTGAAGATGTTCCCGGAGATTGTATAAACTTCCGACAACTGTGAGCAGGCGCATATGAATTGCTATCTTTGCCCCGATGTTTTGGCATGGAATCAAAGGTGTATCGTATCTTTCCCTTTGTTACTGCGGCGGTGCCGTTCCATATCCTTCAAGTCCATCAGAATTCGTAGAATCATTCGAATGTCATGAGTACTGAAGCCTAGTAAAGCTTAAGGATGCCTCTTCCTTACGTGGGGAAGTTAGATGGGTTCACATGTAGCAGTGAGTTTATTGCATAGCCTGACTCTAAATTTACAAGTTCGTTCTTCTGTCACGATTGCTTTCCGGTTGCCGTTGAGTATGAGCGACCGACTGAAGAGCGAATTGCATCAAATCTGCTGAAGATATCATTAGGGGCCCGCTCCTGGCAATCGGTAGCCTGGTTTTTCCAAGCGGTGTTCACCTCGGCACCGCTCGCGGTTAGTTGAAATCTCAATCATGAACTAGGGATTCACTAGCGTCGTTCCTTCACCGGGCGGTAGCCACAGAATAGATGCACAACTCCAGCTTTAGTACAGAATATAAAATAGCGATAGAGCATCCACCTTCACGTGCGGCGCCTACGCAGGATTTCTGATGGTCAACCTCCGGCGTAGAAGACCAACCATCGATTTATTTCTGATCTTTGAAGCAAGAAGGGGGTTGATCACAAGCTGGTTACCCGTCCTGTGAGACTGCGAGTGAAGGGCTCGAAGCTGATTTTAGCATTTGGGTGAGATGAGAAATGCACGTCTGGCAGGGGTCTTCGCATCTCTTCGACGTGATTGCAGTAGGCACCAAGACAGATAACCCAATGATCAATCCGCGCGATTGCGAACTGAAGAGTCTTCGCACGGTAGCATACCTGAGCTAGCTCGTGCGGCGGTCGGCACGACAGCTGAGCTGGTTGAGGTTCCCAGCCTTACGAATTCGCACGCATACCAGTTTACTCTTTGAGACTTCGCTGCATTCTCCGAGGGTACGGTTTGGGACGTGTCGCAAGCAACAAAGCCGCGGATATCGGCGATTTAGCGCCCGAACGATTCTCTATTTCGAATCCCACAAGAACTCCACCATCTAACACATGGGCCAGAAGTCGATTCAGAGGTCGTTCCCCATAATAAACAGAAGACCACTCTTCGTGCGCGGTGCAGTACGTGCATCACGATGCCGGTTCTCTGCGGCTCCTGTATGACCATGGAATGTTTCTCATGCAGTCAGAAGCTGTCCCAGTGCGAGCATCAAGCACCGTGCGCCGTTCTGAGCACTGCCTGCTCGTCCGCATCAACCCAGGGGCTCGGGAGTTGAGGTCTTGCTAATCTTGTTCCATTTTCTGTCGCTCAGCGACTTGCGGCATGCCGGCACTTCGAATCCGATAAATTCATAGGCGCAGAGTCCTTTGTGAGCCACTCAGTCCCTCAGACCTTCAGGGAAACATGGCGACCGACGCACCTGCACCTGCGACAGACATACTGGCGATTGCGACCAATTGGCTTGCACAACTTGAGAAGGCTGGTGCGAGCGCAGATCCCGATCAGCTCGCTGCATTATTTCTACCTACAGGATGGATGAGAGGCATGTCTGCATTCTTTGGCAAGCATATATCGCTGAACCTGGTCCAGATCTTCTATGTTTTGGGTGGGACTTCCACTCACTTGAAGGGCGAGAGAAGATCACCTCCTATCTCTCCCAACCACGCGAAGGCAAGGGCGAAGCAGTGACACGTTTGGCACATGCTCGCCTCAGCGATGTGAAGATTGAGACAACTTCGAGCCTTGGTCCTCCTTCGCCTTTTCCTATCCCTGGCGCCCCTGCCGGTGTGGTCGGGGTGATGTCCACCTTCACATTCAAGCTTGCGAACCCAGATCGCGTCGGGCGTGGGCTCGTGCGACTGGTGCCGGATCCGTCACAACCAGGTCCTGACGGCGGGCCAGGCTACAAGGCCCTGACTCTCTTCTTGAATGTTGAAGACTTTGTTGGGCATGAAGAGCCTAAGGAGCGTCCAACGGGCATTTTCGATGGCCACAAGATACCTTGGCCCGAAGTCAGGGCGCAGCAGATCGCAAGTACCGAACAAGATCCAACAGTTTTGATTGGTGAGTAATGGCATTGCGTCGTTCGGGTGGCCACAATGACTCGTTCTTCCGTAGTGGGTGGGGGTCAGGCAGGCATGATGTGTGCAGCTCGTATGAAACAACTGGGCATTCGTGCTCTGGTCATAGAGAAGTCGTCAAGGGTGGGCGATGTTTGGCGTGCAAGGCAAGTGCCAGAAATAATGTGCAATGCCGTCAACTTCATCTGGTTTTTATGGACAGGTACCCGAACTTGTCGCTGCATACCTCAGCACACCACTGCGCTAGTAAGTAAGGACATATCGAGCCCGTTTCTCCATCGATTGATTTTATACTGCGCAGTGTTATATCATCCATACCCGTGGGCTGCCTTCTACCGTTGCGCCTCATACGAGAGCAAGGTGACTGATGCTTCTGCGATAGGAAAACGTACCCTAAGTTCGTGCCGAAGGACATGGTGGCTGACTTCCTTGAAGCCTATGCAGTCGGCCAGAATCTCGTCCTGTGGACATCTTCTACTGTACTCTCCGATCCGGCCCCGACGTATGACGAGAAAACCGGAAGATGGACGGTGGCCATCCAGAGGACAGTCAAGACCGCAGACGGTCGTACGTTCTCCCGACCTAATTTGCGCTTCCACTATTATGACGCCGAATCCCGTTCCAGAAACAGGGTCAACAATCGTCACCATTAACCCGAAACACATCGTCATGGCTACTGGAAACGGCAGAAAACATATGCCGACATGGCCAGGCATGGAGTCGTTCAAGGGTGCACTGTATCATAGTGATGATCACAAGGATTTCGACAAATGGGCTGGGAAGAAGGCAGTAGTAGTCGGCGCTGTGAGTACTATACCATCCTTATCGATCACGAATTGCGGGCTCAAACGGTGTTATTAGTGCAATGCTGCAGGCGATGTTGCGCAGTCCTTCCTCTCCCCGAACCATAGTGCCGCCGAGGTTACGATGGTACAACGCTCAGCGACATGCGTAATCTCCTCGCGCACCGCAGACGCTGCCATCTTTTCCGTCGCTTTCGCCGAAAGCCGTGCTATAGAGGACGCCGATTTTGCGAATCACAGCATGCCTTACCGGCTGGCGATGAAGTTCGCTGCAGGAGGCGGAACAGCCCGCCTTAAGGCAATGGACCAGGATATTCACGACGGTCTTAGAGAGAAAGGCTTCCGGTTAACATGGGAAGTCGAACCGGGTAAGGGTGAAGTGGGTCTCATTGGCTTCTTCTTCGAGAAAGTCAGCAGTGGCACCTGTAAGTATCGGCGTTGCGTATCGACAGCTCCCAAGCTAATGCTCGGATTCCGCAGTGCTTGACTTCGGTTGTGCGCAATCCATCATCGACGGGAAGATCAAGGTCAAGAGCGGCGTTGACATCGATCATTTCGAGGACAACCATGTTGTTTTCGCAGACGACTCACGCATTGAAGCCGACGTCGTCGTTCTTGCGTATGTACTCTCAGGGATCCTTCTAGCGCCAGTCGCTGATGTCAAACTTTAGGACTGGGAACAAGCCCATCATCACCAACGCGATAGACCTGTTTGGACCTGGTATCACCGAGAAAATTGGAAACAAGGTCTGGGGCCTCGATGCCGAGGGCGAGCTCACTAGGTGTTACCGCCCGACAGGACAACCTGGATTGTGGTTCGCGCCAGGTGCATTCCAACACTCCAGATTTTTCAGCAAGCACTTGGCACTGCAAATACTCGCTCGCGAGCTCGGTTTCGTCGACGAGTAAACGCCAACCTGATTCCTGGATCACTGTGTTATTTGTAGACCGGTTCATATTGTTGCATGTCTGTAGCCGTGGGGCTGTCAATGCTGCTGATTGTGGTGGAGCGCGAAACCGAACGCGAATGGAGATCAATTGCCGGCGCAAGTGCTGTGCTAGACAATATTGCGAAGTTCGGAGAAGGTCCCAAGAGATGCCTGTCATATCTGAGGAGTCCACGGCGGGATCTTTCGAAATGCCCATTTCATGAACTTTTATGGGTTGATCTGAGGTGTGACGGGTGGACGTTCATAGTACTGCCTGGGAGAAAGAATAGAGTTCATCCCATTCGAAATGGAATAAGGCAGCTTAAAGCATGGGCCATTCTTCAAATGCACCCATACCTAAGCGGAAGAATCCGACCGTCCCCGCATCCACGACGGCGATCACAATGTTCTTCTTGCCTTGCTTGAGGGCTACAAACGGATTTGGCCTTGGGGCGGGTGTGGGTACTTCAACGACGCGTGAAGGCGCAAACATCTTAAGGAAGATACGGCGCAGGACAGATGAGAATAAAGGCAATCGGTCGACGGATGGAGGCGGGTCCTTTTTATTATCCTGCTTGGGTGCAGTCTGTGTGTTCAAGATATTCCTCTTACGAGGCATGGGCGGTGGTAGCTCTGGAAGGACGTCAAATAGCGCACGGAGCTCACGAAGCGTCGGCATCGGCGTCGTCCTCGCACTGTAAGGGGCCCATTGAGTTAGGTTTCGCATGATATGAGCACGTAACGAACATACTCTATCACAACAACGGAGAAGTCTGGCTGAGGCGGCGCAGTCTTACGGAACGGGGTGGATGGCTTGTAGAGGTTGTAAAATATCTCGTAGGACTGGCTGATCGCGCTTTTTTCGTTCTCGGCCTTATCCTGGTTGGGGTTGTGACAGAACAGCGGGATATTATGCCCCGCGGGTATGAGCCTCAGTGACTTCAGCAAGGAATGATACGTCAACTGTGGACGAAGAGGTTGCCACCAGTCTAGCGCCACGTTGCGAGCGAACACGTCCAGGAACATTCCTAAGGTTAAGGAGATAGCCTTGCGAAAGCGCTGCATGATCGAGCCATTCAGGTCTGGGAGGTGCTCTTTGCCGAGAGCCATTAAGGAGTAAGGAGGGGGAGCTGGATACGCGGGCGACGGTGGTCGCGCTCGAGTCACGACGTATCCAAGTCGCTTGAGGTAAGCGTATACCTGAGAGACTTAAGTTCAAGCACAATTGACAAGAGGAGGTAACTACTGACTTGGTACTTTTCCAATGTGAGGTCCTCTCTTCCAATCATCTCGGCGAAAGTCTGTTGAACACTCATTGGAGCGCCAAGCAAAGCATCTTCCGAGTCGCATTGAACGTGAATCTTCTGGTCGAGATGCTCCTGATACTTCCAGCAAAATAGAGCACCTCTTTCCACTAGATAGATCGTTTCCTCAGGTAGCAGTTCGATCCGCTTTCTGGCCTTGTCCTCCCCATACCCTCTGGCAACGGAATGCCCCATAGACACAAAATGAATTCCCCTGGACACCGTTACGTGTGCACGAGCCAGCTTTGGGTACCACACCGCGTAGCTGAGGTTTTTATTCGCGGTCGTGCGCGTTGCGCGAAGAGCGGTGAACATGGCATCGCGAGCGCGTTCGAGCACGAACGCCTGTCGACGTGTCTCTCCGCCTTCTGCTGGTTCATGATCCTTCTCTCCGCGTTTCGGGATTATTGGCCGATCTATAGATGCATATAAACCTTTTCTGCAAAGATGAATGCGAGGTCAATGGTGGGCAAAAGTGGATATGGCGTGAGGCTCAACGGAAGCTTGGTCCAATCTGGACCGCCGTCTTCGTCTCCTGATGACTCGACATCCTCAGCGTCCTGAATGTCTTTCCGTAGTATTGTCTCGGTGCTAGGCTCCAGATTATCGTCCATTTCGCCAGATCGCCAACCTGCAGACCCATATGGTGGCTGTGTTGTGCATTCAATTGCCGTTGCTCGTATACGTGACTGACCACGTCCGGTCCTCGCGAAACTAATATAATGACTTGAGGTAAAACGTGCCTGATACTCAGGAATTGCAAAGCGCCATAGTATTGATAACGGTTCACAAGCAAAATTAAACTCTCGCAGGCATTAGCGTACAGTGAAGTATAGTCTATCAACCCTCGAACGTGATACTTGCTCCAACCTGCGACCAACATAAGATTGATCAGGACAACGCGTGGAGTATAATAACTCACCTTGTGCGCGGGGCCGGTAGGGGTGACGTCGTTGAGCTTTTGAGTGTCAAGAGCTAATCCGAAGGTAGCACGGACACCGGGGCGGAGGGCTTGGGTGTAGCCAAGGGCAAGGATACCGTGGTTGTTGATCTTTGCCTTAACGAAGGCGGCGGCATCAAGGTATCTGCGACAAGGTATGTGAGCACCTCTCCCTCTGCAGAAGCACTGAACTTACGCCTTAGCACCGACCTCGAGGCTGACGGCACCTGCAGCCTTGGTGTCGTAGACCGCCTTCGCACCAGCCTCAACGTCAGGCGAGACACGGTGGTAGTACGAGGCCGCGAACGTGCTGAGATTGCCGAGACCGTGAAGGGCAACGGCGTATTCAGGTGCGCTGTAGCCAATGGCGGTCGCGTACTTCGTGACGCGGCCCTCAGTGACGTTGTACGAAGCCTCAGCACCGACGAGGAATCCGTCGCGGCCGAGCACGGTGTCGGCAATGAAGGTCGGGCCCTGGATTTTGGAAGAAAGACGTGAGCGTGAGCATCTGTGCGCGAGCAAATTCGAGCTTCGGATGCGAAATGCAACGGATCGCCGCTGCCGACCATCAAAATCGATCGTGACGGCATCCAAACGACCGCGCCGTACGCGCATCACAACTTTGAACGATTTCGACGGGCAAAGCAGAGTGAGCATCAGGCCAGACTCGCACTGGAGCGAACCGCTGAGCACGCAGTCGAGCACACTGCTCCGCATCACCCATCGCATCAAGACACGAAAGGCTCACTAACCTTGAAAAGATCAAGCGAGGCGCGCGAGTGCAGGCCGGGCTGCTTGTAAGTCGCGTTGATAAGCGCGGACTTCTGGCCACTGTCAGGGAGAAGAGCAGTCGCAAGGTCGAGTTTCAGACCCTTGGTGATGTAGTCCGAGAGTTCAACCTGAGACCGGAGCACGTTGGCGGTGGTCCAGGCCTGAGTGAACACAAGTCCGTTCTTCTTGTCGGTGTACTTGGCCTCGATATCACCGTTGATGCCGCCGGACTTGTTGTCACGGAGACCGGCGACCTTAAAAGTGGTGTTGGAAGGGGTCGCGGTCTTCACCTCGAGCTGGACACCGCTGGTGGGGAAGTCTTTGCCCAAGAGGTCGTTGGACGACTTGCCGAGGTCCTACGCGTCGTCGCTGATGAGATCGCGAGCACACCGCCGACCACGGGGAGCTCACCTTCCAGGACGGGGGAACAGGCTGAGGCAAGGACATGGTCGTTGGCGTTGGGAAAGGTGAGTTGGGATGGAGAAAACCGGAGGGAGGATGGCGAACGTGCAACGTCAACGCGTCGTAGGAGTTTCGCACGTAGCGTCAGGGGCATGCCCTATTATGAGAGCTTATTCTCGCGCCATCGTTTGCATCCTCAGCCACCCTTTGGCGCCGGCAGTCTTGCTTGACCAACACGCGTTTGTTTCCTTCGCCACCTTCACCTTCTGTTCTGTCTTGCTCTGTGTCGCGTCTGCCCCCATCTTTGCTTCGTCTCGATTGGACACCTACACCAAGACTCACACGGCGCTGTACGCGGCACGATGAGCGTCAGTCTCGCTTCGCGTCCTTAAATGAGTACGCGCTTATATATTGCTTGACAAATTCAGACCTCAATGGATGAGGACCAACTAAGTGATGTGGTCCCAAGCAACGTGATATCACGCGATGTACGTTCACTTCAACCTGGATTCCTGTTCACCAGCTCAATCAGCCCTGCGTCCATAGATTAGCGAAGGAGTCGGCGCCGAGAGCGAATACAGCGAGCATGCAGGCGCTGAGAGCGAACAGGACGAGCTCCAGACGGGGGACGACGCGCCCGAGGTCAGTTTCGGTTCCCCCGTTTTCTAGACAGGCCTGATGATCGCGTCGCAGGCTCCTGTGTCCCCGTCCAAGGCCGCACGGATGCAAAAGGCAGCAGAACGACAGGAGAAGAGGCACAAACGGAAGGCGGATGAGGGTACTCTGCAACTCAAGCGACAGGAGATGGATAAAGCGAAGGTTTGCGCGCTGCCTTGCACATTGTGGACGCGTATTGTCTAACGACCCGGAAGATCGCAGACGCTGTCAAACGCTACTCCTTCCTACTCGGACAGACAGATTTATTCAAGCACTTCGTTGACCTGAAGGTGTGGGCGTAGTCGATGGATCTACACTGCAATGTCTCAGAACTACTTTCAGCGAGCCCGTGATCCTGAGTATGCTGCCATGATGGATGCGCAGCCACAGCAGAAGAAACGTGGCCGTAAGAAGGCGGATGAGAAGAATGCAAGACGGAGGAAATCTGAGAAGGAAGAAGATGAGGAGATGCTCAAGGACGGGGAGCGCGCTGTTGATGGCGATGACCAGCCTTTCGTATTCGAAGAATCCCCTAGCTGTAAGAGCTTTGACTTTCTACCAAGTCACATGTCTGACTGTACGACAGTTATTCACGGGACCATGCGTCCGTACCAGCTACAAGGCCTCAATTGGATGATCTCACTTCATCACAATGGCCTGAACGGGATTCTTGCGGACGAGATGGTGGGCATGCTGGTAATTCTGTTGGTGTATCTGCGCTCATCTGGTATGCAGGGTCTTGGCAAGACGTTGCAAACAATATCGTTCCTCTCCTACCTGAAACACAATCTGGGCAGCAACGGCCCGCATATCGTCGTCGTTCCCAAATCCACTCTCCAAAACTGGGCTCGCGAATTTGAGAAATGGACTCCCGACTTCAACATCGTGGTACTCGCAGGGTCCAAAGACGAGCGTGCTGAAATCATCGCCAATCGCATACTTCCGCAGAATTTCGAGATCTGCATCACGACCTATGAACTGTGCTTGATCGAGAAATCGGCGTTGAAGAAGCTCTCTTTCGAATACATTGTTATCGATGAGGCGCATCGCATCAAGAATGTGGATTCAATCCTGGCCCAGATCGTCCGGAGTTTCTCATCCCGAGGACGGCTTCTTATTACTGGCACTCCTCTGCAAAACAATCTCAAAGAGCTTTTTGCTCTACTGAACTTCATCTGTCCGGAGATTTTCTCGGACTATGCCGATCTGGAAAGCTTCTTGCACAAGGACGACGAAACAGCAGAGGGTGACGAGGATAAGAGCAAGAAGGTTGTCGAAGCCCTGCACAAGATCCTGAGGCCCTTCCTATTGCGTCGCGTGAAGGCGGACGTGGAGAAGAATCTTCTTCCAAGTACCCTGTCTTTTCCCAGCGTCGTTGAGAAATACTAACACGATTCGTCGTACAGAGAAGGAGATCAACATCTATGTCGGTCTGACCGATATGCAGAGGAAATGGTACCGTTCCGTTCTGGAAAAAGATATCGATGCGGTTAACAGTGAGCGCAATCTCTCACTATTACGCGAGCGTCTTACTCAACATATCGGTACGATAATCCAAGGTCTCACGGGCAAGAAAGAAGGCAAAACACGGCTGATGAATATGGTCATGCAGGTAGCTGCCACTCGTATACCGGATTAAGTCTTTTCTAAACTATTGCACAAAAGCTTCGTAAAGTCACCTGCCACCCATATCTTTTCGACGGAGCAGTAAGTCATCCCGACGCTTCAGTACGTAGGCGTTACTGAAGACCGTCAGGAACCCGGTCCGCCGTATACCACCGACGAGCATCTCATCGAGAACTGCGGCAAGATGGTCATCCTCGACAAGTTGTTGAAGAGTATGAAGGAGAAGGGGTCGAGGGTCCTGATCTTCAGCCAGATGAGCCGCATGCTTGATATCCTGGAGGATTACTGCTTGTTCCGGCAATACAGTACGTTCGCGCGTCATACCATTGTAGGGTGGCTGTAAGACTGAACATCGTTATTTTAGAGTACTGCCGAATTGACGGCAGTACCGCGCACGAAGACCGGATAACATCCATCGACGAGTACAACAAGCCCGGCAGCGACAAGTTCATATTCTTGCTTACAACACGGGCCGGTGGTCTTGGTATCAACCTCGTTACTGCGGATATCGTTGTGTTGTATGATAGTGATTGGTAAGCATGGCCTCTAACTCTGATAAGACTCAATTTGTGACGCACTCCCAGGAATCCGCAAGCCGATCTGCAGGCCATGGATCGAGCACATCGCATCGGCCAAACCAAGCAAGTCTATGTCTTTCGATTCATCACGGAGGAGAGTGTAGAAGAGCGTATGCTAGAGAGGGCCGCGCAGAAACTGCGCCTGGATCAGCTCGTCATACAACAAGGAAGACAGCAGCAGGCAAACAAAGGTAAGCCCGACATGTTTTTGTATTAGACTAATTTTAACGATTTCCGGCGGTCGTTAAGCGGCTAGCAAAGAAGAGTTGCTGGAGATGATTACTCATGGCGCCGAGAAGATAGTCAACTCGAACGATAAGTGCGTCACCCTCTCCGTGTCTTCAAGTCGCGGTACTCATAATCTGTCTCAGCTTGATGGTCAACGACGATATCGAGACTATCATTCAGCGCGGCGAACAACGAACAGCGGAGATCAACAGCAAGTACGAGACACTTAACCTTGAAGACCTGAGCAACTTCAAATCCGAGGCGTCTGTACAACAATGGGATGGCGAGGATTTCCGTGGTGGAGTGAGTCCCTATGCATCTTATTCATTAGCCCTCCTGACACGAAAAACCATCATAGAAAAAATCATTAACCTTGAACATGTTATCGTTGTCGAAGCGAGAGCGCAAGACAAACTACTCCGTTGATAGCTACTTCAAGGATACTCTACGTGCCGGTCCCTCAAAGCAAGAAAAGCCCGCGAAGATCCCACGAGCGCCAAAGCAGATCGCTATGTCAGTAAATCCTCCAATTTAGTGTATGCTATGTTGAAACTCCCTACAGACAAGACTTCCAGTTTTTCCCCCCAAGACTGGCGGAGTTGCAAGAGAAGGAGCTCGCCGCGCATAAGGTCAGAAATCCCTTGCCAGACGCTCTTTCTAACCCTGACAGCATACATAGCGAGCTAATGACATTCCGGCTACGGCACGAGAACCACAAGGTCCTGAGGACACCCCGGAGAAACTGGAAGCGGAACGGCAAGCTGCTCAAGAGTTCATAGACCATGGTAATATCAAGCACCCCCATATGGATCAGCGCAAGCTGATGTGATCCTTCACTAGCCGAACCCCTAACTGAAGAGGAGCAGGTGGAGAAAGAACGGTTGATTGCAGAAGGCTTCGAGGACTGGAGTCGTCGTGATTTCCAGCAATTTGTTCGGGCCTTGGAAACCTACGGCTGGTACGGATCGGATCTGCTCGCTTCCCGGAAACGGCTTGGCTGACCGTATGACACAGGACGGACGATTACGAGCTACTCGCGACAGAAATTCAGGATAAGAACGCTGATGATGTTGCAGAGTATTATCCAGTCTTCCGAGAGAAGTGGATGGATCTCCCTGGTATGTGCCCTCGAGCTAATACCTAGTGGACATTCTCACCGCCACCCAGAGTATCCTCGGATAGAAGCGCGGATCAAGGAAGGTGAAGCGAAGCGTAATAAACGTGACAATTTAGAGAATCTCCTTGCCAAAAAAGTCAACTCGGTGCAATATCCGATGCAGGAGTTGGAGCTCAACTATCCGACGACAAAGGGCAAAGTTTATAGTGAGGAAGAGGATCGGTACTTGCTTTGCCGCCTGCATTACTATGGTATGCGGACGGAGGATGTCTACGAGCGCATAAAGAAGGACATCTCCGAATTCCCCGTCTTCCGGTTCGACTGGTTCTTTAAAAGCCGCAGTCCGACGGAGTTGCAAAGACGCTGCAACACCTTACTCGGTATGATCGAGAAGGAAGCAGAGCAGGAAGCCAAGCAGATGGCCGAGGCTAAGAGCAAATCGACCGCCTCGAGGGGCAAGGTTCGTTTGTGTTGTATATTCCCAAGGCCCATCATGATTGGATTGATTTTGCTCACAGAAGCGGGCCATCGAAGAGATTAAAAAGGAGGAGAAGGCGTCACGATCATCTACGCCGACTGGACGAGCATCGAAGAAGAAGAGGACATGAACGTCGAGGCATCTCGCTTTACCTTTGTACCCCTTAGACCCTTACACGCTTGAACACATCATATGTCATTCATCTTATTTCCAGATACCATGACCTAATTAGACAATGACATCCCATTGCATATGTAACCTCGTTTCGAACATCTCCGTTACACGCTGCTGGCCGCTCCCGAGCGTGCAAGACCGAAGCTTGCAACATCATCTCGTATATCATGGGGGTAATGTGATGTGATAACGGCCCCAGTCGGCACGGAGCGTTGCATTGCCGCTCGCACACGAAGAGTATATTTGTAACGCGTGTATGGATCCCAGTAAGGCTACCGCTTCACCTTTTTGGATCTCCTGTTGGGCTTTTTCTCTTTGCTTTTCTCATCGTCCTCCTGACGGCTGCGCTTTTGCCCCGCCCCATCACTCTTGATGCTCACGATATTCGTACGGTTTTTCTGGCCGAGACTATTCGCGATTTGCGACTTCGCAGCATCCCAATTGGTGGAGTCGGCAATCGCATACCTTTAATTCAACGAAGCCTGATAAGCTGCGGACCAGTATTTCACGGAATGCGGAAAGACTGACTTGCTTAGGTCCAGGGAATCGATCATGGCGCGCTGCTTCTCACGTAGCGCCGATGTAACTTCTCTCCCCGCTTCCTCGAGTTCCTCCTGCAGCTTGCTCTCTACGGGCTCCGCAGCGCCATTGCTCTGGATACGAGGTCCGTTCGAAACTGCGGCAGGCAACTCGGCGCTGATTGCAGCTTTTTGAATATCTTGTAATCGCTTGCTTATCTTGCGGACTATCTTCACAAAGAGCGCCAGCGTCTGTGAGACCGGAAGCTGAAGCTCTGACTAGAGACACCAGAGGGATCAGTCAGCAAGACCATTCACGGAGGAAATCATTCACGCACTTCTACTTCCTCTACTGTCTTCCGTTGCAAGCCTAGAGCGAGCAATATGGAGCTTTGCACTGCACTAAGTAAAACCTGGTCACCTAGTCGCTTCTCGAAAAAGAGAGATGCGACCGTCGGCAGCAAATCAAGAATGACATGATAATCCAGCATGTTATTTGCATAGGATTCCAGGCGCTTCAAATCGAACGGCGTCACGAAGATTGATAGCTCCGGGGCCGTGAGGTCTGATAAGTATGGAATTGTCAAATCAACGCGTGGAGAATGAAGGCGGTTCAGCACCTTTGATCCCTTCGTTCTCCAGTAGTTTGACGCCTGCATTGGCGGCCTCCAAGACGCTGAGCGCTGTCACGCTACCGAACTCCCGGAACTTGAAAGACAGGAGGCTGAGGAATCGATGGCGGAAATCTACATTCTATCAGGAATCAGCTTTGGGAATAATGGTCAAGCTACTCACCCTTTGCGAACTCCCCAAGCCATTCTAGCTCGGTTTTCACGGAGCTGTTGAGGCCGCGTACCATGACACATGTATGCTCGCCCGTTAATTCGCTCGTCGTTTGGCGTATATATAGTGGCACATAACCTGCCCGTTTCCAGAACCTGTTTGGGTCAGTCCAAAGAAGGGTTCGTGAAGACGCGCGCGGGTCACCTGAGTAATGGAGATGTGAGTCCATAGGAAACACCGAGGTAGTCAAGATTTTCGGGTTTTCTTTCAGGGAGGCGCTGAAGCAGCGGGGGCATGGCTGTCGGGGCTCGGATGGATGGGACGTCCGTCAACAAATTGGTGGACTACGATGGAAACGGTCAATTGGAATCGTGCTGGTGACGGACGCGTGAACCTACCTCATCGACGTCTGCTGGGTTTGGGTAGGACTCCTCTGCCCGTGATGATTCAGCCAAGTCAAAGTACTCCCCGCTATAATACGAGTTCAGAGCTTGCATCGCGCGAGCTCCGTATCCCATCTGAGTACAACATCAATGGGAGGAGAGATGCAGGGCACAGGAGGGCTCACGTTGACATAGTCTGGGTGGGTAGCGATACGTACGACACGTGCACCTGACAGGAGAGCGAACTTGTTCTCCTGGAATTGTTGTGATATTATCCAAGGTATCATATCTCCACCTGCCCTGTATCCGCGACCGAGACTATCCATAATAGCCTGTTTGCTAATGTTTCCTTCGAGAGCAACTTGAAGCACCACCAATGGTTCCGGTAAGTGCGTCTCATCGTCCGCGATGGGGGGTAAAAGAACGAAGAGGTGGTGCGCAGGCGCATCAGACATGAGCTGCAAATCGTTGGGCTGATTCTTGTAGTGACTGGCCACATACAACGCCATCATTCGTTGTAGGAAGGTCTCTGACACAGGGTGGAAACTGAACAAGGTATCCCTGGAAACGTAGAAGAGCTCGCAAGACGACGGGTGCGGGCACCCTTGAGCCCTGTTTGCGGATGTGACGGTGGCGTCTAGACAGAGCAAGGTGTTCAACCACTTCTCTACTTTGTCACCAGGCGCATATCGTATTGGTGTTTCGAGCTTGATTTCGCGAAGCGTTCGGACTTTCGCTGGCGCTTTGCTCAGAGCCTTCTTGGAAGACGAGGACGTCGTAGCAGCCTCGGCACCCTCGGTGTTGTTAACATCCTTGCTCAGAGATGGTCGAGTAGACTCGCGAAGTTGTTGTATGAGTTTCAGGGACAGGGAACGGCCAGTGCCTTCGTATCCGTTGATAGTCGAAGCCATGAACACCAGGTAAGGGCCGATGAGATTGCGCACGAGAGGCAGAGGTATTGCTGCGGCTTCGTCGATAATGACCAGTTCAGCTTGCCCTAGTACATGTGCGTCTTGAGGTTGTATATACTGCATCGCAGGTCAGGAGAAAGCACTGCATATTCGCGGTGTCCTGCGTACCTGTATAGTCTGCCTATGTTGTCGGAAGATATTAACACGCACGATAGCCTTGTTGAAGTCGGGATTGGTGCTTTGGAGAATATCATAGTCGAGGTGCTCCTCGTAACCCAACGCATCCATCCCCTTGAAGACAAAGTCGAAGAGGCTCTTCAGGTTCTCCGGACTTGGACTCGTCACAAATATATTCGAGTATCCGTGAGCAAGCGCGGCCGCGATTGCTAGACCTAACGCAGCCGACTTTCCTCGTCCACGTCCAGCTGTCAGCGTCACAGTCGAGGACAGCGTCTTCTCCGCAATGGCATCAACGAACGTGAGGACAGCTTGTGCCTGATCGATCGTCCTCGCCAACTTCACCAGCTCTCCAATAGGCTTTGTATCTGCGAGGCTGTCCTTGAGTTGACCGAGTTCCACCTCTAACTTGGATTTCTGTTTTCCTTTGCCTGTATCTTCGATGGGACGGATATTCTTGCCACGAGAAATCGGAAGGACGTTGAGCTCGTCGTCAAGGAAAAGGCAATCATCGCATGAACCAAGGGACAAGATAAATCGTTCGTTGAAGCGGGCGACAACTGTATCGTGAGCGGATGTGCGGTATCGAGAGTGGACGTCCTGAACACAGTGAGACGCCACGGGTTTACAGGGTATTCGTATAACATACCATAGTCATGGTATACAGTTGCCTGAGAGAGGTCATGGTTTTGAGGAGGAGTACAACCAACCCACCACCTTCGACGGTTTCGACGGTACGAGCGAGGAGATTGGGGGTGATGGCTTCGAAATCCTGCAGGACGCACATTCCAAACGTTTGACCGATAATTTTATGCGATTCTTTGTAATAGCTGATCACATATTGAGCACATTAATCAACGACTGGGATATCCCACGACTCACGTATAGCGGATGTCGGTGACAGTCACGAAAATCTCAAATGGATTCTGTTCATTTGCTTCCCGAATACCTCGCTTCACATCCCGCTTGATCTTTGCCTCCCGTTTCTTACGATGACTTCAAGATGGTAAGGACTGTAATCCCATCGGATGTTGTCAGTGGTAGCAGGACTGACCTCGTAAAGCCTAGCTCCTTCTTGTAACACCACAGGACCGACGGCCTCGCAGATATTCGAGCTTGTGAGAGAAGAAAATGAAGATTGACGATCTACGCACATGAGCATTGCTCATGGTACGAACGTGAAAAGGGCCGACCTGATCTCTGCTCTTGTCTCCGACCAGGACTATGAACGATCTGTGGTTCTTCTTGACGCCATTGTCGACCAAGTCCTTGATTCGGGGGTCCAGTTGTTTCCTCATAGTTGTATCGCTTGTCGCAGACCCAATTTATGGAGAGTCAACGACGTGTTGCCTGAGTGCAGGCGAGGTACGCGGATTGCCTGAGTGCAGGCGAGGTACGCGGATTGCCTGAGTGCAGGCGAGGTACGCGGATTGCGGAGGAGGAGCACAGAAAAATCTGCTGCGCCACCGGCATCTGGATAGCATCGCCACCGGCATACTTTACTGACCTTGCTTGACTCTCTGGCTCACGCCCACTTGAAGTTGATACTTCTATGGACTGATCCTGATTGAGAATAGACGAAAATGCTCGAACGTTCAACCAACGAATTTTCCTGACATCGGACCGCACTGACGCACCAGAGTGTTTTCATACCCGTTTTTGTGACTGGATACGGCCGGATGCATGTGATTCTGGATCCAGCACGTCCTAACTACCAACACCAGTCTTTCTTTCGGAGACGCTACGAGGAACCCGCGACAATACTGAGTCTACGACCGCCAAATATCCGCTGCGGCTATTGCGCTTTTGCCTATTTTTGCCCGCCTGTGTTTCACTGCGTCAGTGCCTATGAGCATCACTCCGACCGAGCGGACGGTCATATGTGCACTGCCGCTTTCTTCTGCCCATTGCACATGGCCGGTCGAGCTGCAGGCGCAAATCGTCAGACCATCCGACGACCATCAACGTTGGTCGCCCCGCCCCCGCTCTATCCACCCCGAAATAGATACCATTCCTGGTCATGCGGGCCGGTGACAACTCGATGACACGCCCGGCACCCTCACGTCACCGAGCGTCGAGGATATATAATGTCTTAGAGCCAGCGTGATTGTAGAATTGTGATTCTTAACACGTTCCTTAAGATGTTGTCGTCGCTAATCGTCAGCGGCCTCCTGGCCAGTGGTGTTTGCGCTTCGAGCAAATCGGTTTCTGCATACATCAGCTCGGAAAGCCCAATCGCTCACAGCAAGCTCCTCGACAATATCGGTCCAGATGGTGCGAAGGCGCCCGGCGCGTTCCCCGGCGTTGTCGTCGCTAGGTGTGTTTCGTCCCTTCGCACATTCCAGGACGTGAGCTTATGATTCGTACAGCCCCTCCACGGACAACCCGAACTACTACTACAGCTGGATACGAGACTCGTCTCTGGTGTTTAAGACGCTCATCGATGACTACGTCAACGGCAAGAACACGTCCAAATCTCTGCGAAGCCTCATCGACGACTTCGTGACCGCGAGCAGTGTGTTCCAACAGACGCCGAATCCGAGTGGAAATGTTAGCACGGGAGGATTGGGCGAACCGAAGTTTTATGTCAACGAGACTGCGTTCCTCGACTCCTGGGGTCGACCTCAGCGCGGTATGCATGACCTTCATTTTTCCGGTTGTCAAACTTAGGCCGAGTTCCAGATGGGCCGGCTTTGCGTTCCACGGCTCTCATCACTTATGCCAATTATCTGCTTGACAATGACAATACGACTTGGGTGAAGGACACACTGTGGCCTATCATTGAACTCGATGTCAATTACGTTTCGTAAGTGTTTCCATGCCCCCTTCGCGAACACAGACTAATCGTGATTGCTCTAGGGACTTTTGGAATTACACCACGTGAGTTTTCCCTGTGATGTTGTGAACAGGAAGCAGACTGATCCTCGCAAAGTTTCGATCTCTGGGAGGAAGTCGCTTCTTCCTCGTTCTTCACGACGGCGGTGCAGCATAGGGCACTGCGCCAGGCATCAAAGTTGGCAAAAACCTTGGACAAGACCGACAACATCGACAGCTGGAACACGCAGGCCGACAACGTACTGTGCTTCTTGCAGGTAAATGCCCCGGCTCCCCTGCGCCGCTCACACCTGGACCGACCTTTTTTTCTCCTAGTCCTACTGGAATGGCTCTGCTATCATTGCCAACACGGGTGGAGGCCGTTCAGGCATTGACGCGAACACAGTCCTCGCATCAATCCACACGTTCGATTCGTCCGCCGGATGTGATGCTACAACTTTCCAGCCATGTTCCGACAAGGCACTCTCCAACCTGAAGGTATACGTGGACGCTTTCCGCTCCATTTATGAAATCAACTCCGGTATAGACCCCAATGCCGCGGTCGCAACCGGGAGGTATCCTGAGGGTAAACAATCTTGACATAGGATGAGCATGGACAACCGCTAACACCCATTGCAGACGTGTTCTACGACGGCAACCCGTGGTACCTTGCCACAGCTGCCGTTGCTGAACAGCTGTACGATGCCCTCTATGTGTGGAATACTACGGGCTCGCTCGAGATCACGGACATCTCGTTGCCCTTCTTCCAGCAATTCGACTCCGACGTGAAAACCGGCACATATTCGGACGATGACACATTTGACTCCCTAATCAGCTCGATCCAATCGTTCGCCGACGGTTTCTTGGAGATACACGCGAAATACACACCGGACGACGGTGCTCTCTCCGAGGAGTTTTCCAAAACAGACGGTTCGCAGACGAGCGCCGCCGATCTAACGTGGAGCTACGCGGCGGCTTTGACTGCCTTCGACGCGCGCTCGCGCGACGCGGCGGTGAAATGGGGGGCGAAAGGATTGCAAGTGCCCGATGGGACGTGCAAAACGAACGAAGGAGGAGATGACGGCCTCGGTGTTCCAGTAACATTTCTCGTGAAAGACGCGGAGACAGTTGAAGGCCAATCCGTATACATCACAGGTTCAATCGCTACCCTCAAAAGCTGGTCACCGGACGATGCGCTCTTGATGTCACCTAGCGACTATCCGACTTGGACCCGTAAGTGTGGTTCGTCGACCTGAGTTCGTGTCGCTAATTCTGTGCCTTCTATAGTCACCGTAAACTTGTCCGCGAGCGAAAGTGTTCAGTACAAGTACATCAAGAAGGATACCGCGGGCACGGTAATTTGGGAAAGCGACCCGAACAACTCGCTCCTTGTACCCTCGGGTGGATCCGTCACCACAGATGATACTTGGCGATAGCGGACGAAGCAATCGTCAGTGCGCTGGTTATTGCGTAGGCGCAACCATTTCCCTCGGTGATGAGGATCTATGACTTGTATATCGGTCGGACTATATCAGCCAAGCTTGAGACCACGCGGCCCATAGTCGAATGTTACCACACAGTTCAACCATAGAATAGGATATACCCCATGCCATTTGCCATCTAGCGCTGTCGGTAATGCTATCGTATACAGGCGGTCTACTTCGTACGAGCAATGCGAAGTTTGTGTGGTTTGTAGACGTACTGTATCAAGGGGTTAGCATCGTCATGCACGATGTGGAAGTATGGGGGGCAGGGAACATACGTTCTCGGCGTAGTTCTTGGGAGGAATCTTGGTCACGGGAGGTGCTTGACTGTACAGGTATCGTCAGGTTAAGCCGAAATGCACATATCCATGGATGAACTGACACGTAGTAATCCCAACCTTGCTTTTCCGCGAAGTGTATAGCATCCTCCTTCGTACGGAACGACAGCCTCGTCCCCTGCATGTAATCGGCCCTGTGGCACAATTCAAGCAAGGGCTACGATGACGAACATCAAGAGCTTACGAGCTTGCCCATCCCATCAATGGATTCTCCCATCGTCCGCCACCCTGTAGGATATCCCAGTCAACCCTCCAGCGGGTGCCCTTGGACTCGCCGCTTTGCATGGTATTCCTGGTCGGCTGGTAAATGCGGACGCAGCGGTGTCGAAGTTGGGCTGTGCGTAAGCATGAGTGATGAGACACTATGAACCTGTGTATCAACGACTTGCTCGGTGCGCCGCTAGCTACGTCAGCTGTTACGATTTCACGGTTGGGCACCGGAACGATTTCTTCCGTAGCGGCGTCCTTGCCTTCCCGTGACTCTGTTGGGGCGGGGGTTGCGCTAGTACTGGCCATCCTACGGTAGATAGGGGCCACACGACCAGCGTTCCTTGCGTTGCGCAGCAGCGGATGGAGGAGGGACATGGTGGCGAGAGTGAAGACGCTGGAGGCGGTCTCCGAACGGACTGCCCCGCTACCCACGCGGGCTCTTCACGTCATCTTGTCGCTACTTCGCTCTCTTGTCTTCACGAGTAGGGGGAGTACTACTACTGGGCCTACTGGGCCTTACACTGTTTCCGCCCCCGAAATATTGTACTCAGGAAATTGGGCGCGGCATCGACCCGGCCATGGAGAGCCGCACGAACGGACTCGCCGTACACCGGCCGACGCATAGCGCGCAGGTGGGCGGTTCGTATCCGGTCAGCACGGTCGCGGTCATTGGCAAACGTGTGGATCTAATCATGCAATAGTCCATGGGATCGTCGATGACCCTCGTCAACGGCAATACACAGGATGGATTGAATCGCGCAGTTCATGAGGAAACTGAGGTTCGTGTGATCGTTATCATAGACGTTCGGCGTGTGGGGGCTAACAATGTTCCAGCTTGACAAGCTGGTCGAGCGTCTCGGAATAGAAATGCGGATCATGGAGGGTGCGGAGAACATGCTTCAAACTGGGAGGTACGAGTTGTTGAAGGTGAGGAATTGAATATCTCGGCCGAAGCGTTACTGATCCCACGCAGGGAAATATGCGCGGAGCTGTAGAGGCGGAATACGACGAAAGTCGGAAGCGAGTAGCCGAAATCAAGGCGAAGATAGACAAATGTTGGGGTCTGCTTGTCTATCGAAACTCGTAGCTCTGATCGTCCGTCCAGTAACCAGACCAGCAGCTCGGGGAAAACCCGAGTCCGGAAGCCACCAGCAACAAGGTCCTACCCAGCCTACCCAGTCACGGCCCAAGGAGGAGAATACGAAAGAGCGAGGTACATTTCAGATGAATCATGTATTCCCCGGCTCACATTGCACAGAGGACTTCAGAACCGCTTTGAATCAAACCAAATCGTGGTTGAAGGTGCTCACGACATGGGATCGCCAACCGCAGTCCCCTACTGCATTTGCTGCGTCGTCGTCATCGCGCCAAGCCCCAGTCAAAACGGAGGACCCACAAACGGACGGAACGCGAATTAGCTACATGAACAAGCTTACTGCGATCCTACAAAGGAACCTCCGTGTGCGATATGAGCTGGACATCGCTGAGGTTGTCCGTGCGTATGTGGTCCTGTTGTCAGGCATGATCTCGTACTGATCCTGGAAGTGAAGCATCACTCCTTGTCTCGCGGACTCTGCCTCCAAGGAATGCCGTTCATGTGCTTACAGACTCGTGCGACATGCCCTCGTCGATCGCGGGTCTATTGAGCGTCTTCAAGACCGGCCCCTTGACTGGTATATAGTCAAGTGAGCGGTTGTGTTATTCTACGCAGTTGTGGTGCTTGACATCGGCGTAGGTCACTAGCGCGGGATGGCAAGCACGCCGTGGAGAAAGAGCAGGTTGTCAAGCTCATTCGGACCATCGTGGAGATTGGCTCGGACCGCGACGTCGGACATTCCGGTTCTGGCAAAGGAAACGTACCGCTCTCAGACTCCGTGATGCGTGCCTTCATCGCAGTCGCAGAACAACCCGAAGATCCTTTCAGACCGATATGTCTTGAGACTTTGCTCGAGATCCGTGCGTTGATGTTCCTGCCATTCATAATGACTGTCGTTGAAGCGCGAGTCTGAATAGTCTTGATTGATATCGACCTGATGGCGAGGACGGGTGGGTTATTACTCCTCTTGCATGCCATGGCCGAAGGTCCTCCGGATATATCTCCCCTGCTTGCGTCGGCTTTCCTGAACATCGTGAACTCGCCACGTACAAGGAAATATCTTTTCCCCGGCACAGACCTCGAGGTGGGTACCATCAACTCCCTATCCTCATAGTAAGGAAAGCACATAACGTCCTATAGATCGCTCTGCAAGGTATCACGGACGCGTACGGTAAAGGTCCGGATTACTCGGAACAAATGCGAAGACACTCAAAGGTCGTTGCCATGATGTTCCGGACCTGGAGCGGTGAGCCCGTGATGATATCTGATACTTGAAAGCCTTCGCCTGAACACCCCACGTAGGCCTCATGTATTTTTGTATGAATAACATGCTGGCTATCCGGGCAATTGTTAACACTCTGCGGATACCTTCCTTGGAGACACGGGTACGCTTCCCATTATTTTGGTTCGTAATCATCATTCACCTCCATGGTCAGGAAATTGTATTGGATATGTTCTTCGATCTTCTGGATATCAAAGCCCACGGTTGGACGCAGCAGTTTATCGACGGTCGGCGATTGACAAGTAAGCCAGATATTTCCTTTCGCGATTTCTCACTCATAAGTGTAGTATATCGAAGGCAGCACAAGAATGATTCCGAGGCGACGGATTCTGCTGAACGCGAACCAGAAGCTCTCAAACTGACCGACCAGTATATTGCACTGTTTGTTCTGGTTTTTACGAAAGCGGGCCTTCTGGACGTAAGTCCTAGGCCGAGTTCATAGTCGTGGCTTCAACAATCTAATTTATTGGCAGGCTCTGACGTCAATGTTAGAGGAAACGCCAGCCGGTTCAAACCTAACAAGGAAAGCTACGTTACTCATGGCGGAGGTTCTGCAGCTGGCGAATCGACTATTACCCCTCTCCATGGCAGCGGAGATTCAGGTATGTGGGGAAATCAGTGATTTGATGCTTGACATGTCTGAGTGATCATAGTCTGTCCCTCGAGTCTTCAACCTGGCTTCGGATTACCACTTGAATGAGCATCGGATAATCGGCACGTCAACACTCAATGCTATCGACAGCTTCAATCGTAATACTTCCAGGATACAGCCGACTGCCGTCAAAAACACTACGCGACCCAGGTTCGTTATTTATCCGCGCACACAAATGCTTGGCGGTCCAAAAGATCTTATCTCAATATGTTACAGAGCAAACTCGGTGGAGGATGCTGTTCGTCGAGGACAGCGATCTGTGGAGCAGTCTAAGATCAAATCTGGAATGCAAATTGACGATCGAACTTTCTCTCAGGCTCTGCTAGAAACTGGGGTAGGCTTGACTAAGGTAGTAACTCCATCGCGATGTTGAACGCTGGAACGTTTTCTGCAGGTCACGCTCACCAAAGACTACACGAAGTGGAATTTCGACGTCCTGCAAGATCTTATCGAAGGCGCCTTCCTCAACCCTAAACGTTTGGAAGAGGCTATCAAGGTTTCGAAATACATGCGACGATTGATGTCGTTCTTCCATCCCTTCAGCCATCGATTCTCCGATATTCCACGAAAGGTATGTCCCTAACTCTCGGTTTCCCTTCACATGGGACTAAACATCGACGGCGAGGCGTAGGATAATCGCTGGGTGAAGCTGGGCTGCAGTCTTTTGACTACTTTGATGGCAAGTCCGGATGGACAGCGCTTCCTTTCGACGGAGGACCCCTTCCTTCGAGATATTGTCAAAGCATTCGCCCAGCTGGATCCCGTCAGTGCTACAGAGCTCTATCTGCATTCGCGATGGCTCACCGCCGACATCCTAGTTCAATGGAACCCCAGAGATCGATCCGATCTTCTCAAAGACAAGAGTTCAGACCACCCTGACATATGGATACTTCGAAATGCTGGGAACCTTGAGCAAACAAAAAGAAGGCATTGAGTTGGTATCGATCCACACATCCGCGCGTCTCTCTCATTTCCGAATGTACCAGGTTGTTGGAAAAGTTCAAGGTCTTCACTGCTTTCTACCATTTGCTGGATCTGCGGAGTCGTGAAGACTTGATAAAAGGAATTATCGACAATTTGGACTATTCCTTGCACGTCCTCCCTTGTCGATGAGTTGACTTTCAGCTGAAACCATTCGCTAGTGATGGTCATTCCCGCATAGTCCTGTCAAAGGCGTTAACATCAAGCTACAAGGTGAATATGATGTAGTTCACACTGCAAGCTGAAGACGATGTGGTTCACCCTCTATAGCCTATACGCTTATACGCAACTGAGCACCTCGGCGAACTGATCAGGAAAAGCAAGCCGAATACATGGACGTTACGCTTGCTATTGACGCAATTGTACGATCCCGCTATGGAAGTGTGCGACATGGCGGTCCGCTTCCTAGACGAGGCCTGCGAAGATCTGGAATGCCTGCGGTTAGTGGTGGACATGCAGCCGAACCTGGATCACCTCGGCGAGCTGGGACATCCGCTGCTCTTGAAGTAAGGAAGGGAATGATTGCCCTGGGTACTTGTACTGACCAATGTTAGGTTCATGTCCACGCCCGTAGGCTTCAGATATCTTCACGATGCTGGATATATTGACCGCGAGATGGATATCTGGTTCCACGTGGGTCTTTTGCACTTGTGACTCATATAACAATCATCGAAGGGTATCTAGGAGCGTAATCTACATTACGCCGTACAAGTGGAAGTCATCTTAGCCAAATTTTTCAAGTTATGTCCTTCGGAGGAGGATGAGGATTTGCTGTGCGTAATGATGATAGATCATCACACAGGAATGCGTTCTGATGACCACGGCTCAGCGCATTCGACGGGTTTTCTCCTCCGCACTTCTACGGCGAAATGGTGAAGACAGACTTGGGTTGTCAGGTTTTACAGGAGAAAGGGCATTTCAATGACTTCGTTGATTTCATTCGTCAACAAGCGTCGGAGAATGCTGACCCGGATGTGATTTTGAAGTTGAAGAGTACCCTGTGGGCTGTCGTGAGTCTTGCTGTGTATTGTTCATTCCACCAGAGTGCACACGCGTTGCGCAGGGCCATATCGGTGCTACGGAAGGCGGCTTACCTTTCCTGGAGGAAACGGACATCATTCCGGTAATTTTGGAGATAGCAGAACAATCATTGACGCTTTCGGTCCGCGGGTATGTATTCTCTCATTGATGCGTGCATGTTACGCCGTCACTGACATAGGTCCCCAGCACATGTTTCTACGTCTTGGGCCTCATATCTTCGACTCCTTTGGGAGCGGAAATCCTGACAGATTATCAGTGGGAGGCAACTCTGTCACCATTGGGTATTCCAACAGGTATTTGTGTACCCATGGACGTTCGGAAATTTGCCTCCGTATGTGACTTCTCGTTGCACTGGAATACAATAAACTGACGGTAAAAGATTCCGCCCTGGGCGCCTGCTGAGGTGCCGAAAGAAACGCGTTTGGCTCCTCCCGCGACGGAGGCGGAACAGGAGGTGATAGCTGCCATTCACAACCTCGCGAACGCTGTCGTCGCAAACGCCGCATCTCGCACATTGGCGAAGTGAGTTACTACTGTAAACGGGATGTGTACGCGCTTACGTCGAGCCCTCCCAGGATGAAAGCACGCCCTGAACACCGGCATATATTCTCTTCACCCACAATGATATACCGGGCCTTTCATATTCTGTCTACTCAGCATTACCGCCTGCCTGTCCGAAGATACATCATGGATCTCTTCGAGTTCAAACTCGACGCCGACATGGTCAAGTCGCTGCAAGAGGCTGCGGAATCCGTCAGACTGCAACCTTCTCCCAAGGATGCTAATGGAAAAACTTCTCAAAGAGTCATGAGCATTTTTGGCCGCCCCCGACCAGCTCACAGGGTTGAAGAAAGTGATGAAGAAGATGAGAGCGACGAAGAGAACAAAACGGCCAACGTCATTCGCGACCGGCCGGTGATGAGCTTGCGGCCAGTGAGTAGGATAGTAGGCTTTGACCACTAAACCGGGACTTCGCTCGTGATTCGGCATTCGCTTGGGTTTTTGTGTGTATTGCTACGTTTTCGCGTGTAAGTAGTGTACAAGGATATCATAAAGACGACCTCGGTGAACGCCGGGTCTGGATCCCTGCGATGTGTACACAGCCACTCTCTACTCCTCATGCTGGCTCTTCGCTTGGTGTCGGTCGCGAGGCTGGTGACTTCAAGGACATCCTCGCAATTATTCTCGACGTCGGCGACATTGGGTGCAGGGTACAAGCTCAAGTCGCATTCTGGCGCGAAAAAGCGGTTCAAGTCGATTGCCAATGGACTGTTCAAACGCGTGAGCTGGAATGTCTGCTCTGTTTGCCTAGAGCTCTGACACTCGGATGATCCCTCCCTTGTTCTTTCCGACAGGCGCACGCCGGGCATAGCCATCTGAACGTTCACAAGCGTCCGTCCCGGAAAAACAAGCTAGGCGAGACCGTGTACTCACATGGAGCACAAACGCCGAAACTACACAAGCTCTTGCCCTACGGTGCATGAGTCGTCCGATGACCGTAATCATGCGAGGGCACATTACGTGAGGCAGTGATGTTTGAGCAGTGCGTACGACACCTCCTAGCGCACAACATGCTGTCTGATGGGCATCCGGTTCTTAGTCACCTAATACGACCCATGATCTCGTTCGTCGCGGACTATCACGACCGCCCGTACGCGTGGTCAACATCGTGGTTCACCCTTTCTTATATTTACATTGCGAATGCAACGAAGAATTGAGGAAGAACGTTGCTGATGGTAGCAAAAACAAGGCCTATGCTTTGCTAGGAAGACCCGCACCCCCAAAAAACGCTCGAATGTCCCTTTGCTTGGGATCATACGCGGAAGAGCCGATGCCTGCTTTCTGTCGCTTCTGTCAAGGATGACCGATCAGCGACGATGCCTTAACAGAGTGACCAGCAGTTGCGTGGTGCGGATGAGCACGTAAGGTCACACTCACCACTTGGTCTAGATGATCATGTTGGTTGATGTGTGTTACACGCACTATCAGTGGGGGCAACCTCGCGCTTGGGAGGAAAGGAGCTTGTCGTTCGGCCGTATCCCGCAGTTCTACGGATATACGATGCCAAGCGGTGTTCATCATGCCGCGGTAGCGTCCACCCATATCGTTGCCTGATCCACTGTCTCGTCGCATAAAGGCAGCCATTAGCTCACTGCAATGGATCGGCATCAATGGCCCAGGTTATTGCTGTGGAGTGGTTCCAGCTCACGAGATGCATAGGCCATGGCTAACGACGGCGATCATGATTCCCCTCTCGCCAGACTGCACGGCTTTGTGTACCTCGGGCAGAAGAAGCTCATCCAGTACGCGATCCGCTCTTTGCGCCAATTCATCCAAACTTTCACCTTGAGGAAATTTACCAGAACGTTCCGTGATCGCGGGGTAGACGCCGCGCATATAATGCTCCTCCGTGCTGAGTTGAGGGTCTGGAGACCAGCTCCATTGACGTCCCTCTGCAAGGCCGAAGTTTTGTTCCCGGAGAAGAGGACTGATTACAAAAGGCGGTGGGTCGGCAGAAGTGGCAGCATCGGACATCGTTGGTGACACGGGGGTAGCTAGGCGTCGGTAGGCGGGCTGAGAATCGCGCAATGTTTCTGCCGTCGTACGCGCTCGCAGGAGGTCGGATGCATATACGGCACTGAAGTGTGTCTCAGAGAAGTATTCCGCGAGCGCTCGAGCCTGGTTCATGCCGTGATTCGAAAGAGGAGCATCCGACCATCCTTCGAGAGCGACTCATCAGCAGCGGACGCAACGCAACCGTACGGGCGCACCTGCCCACACAGAACGCTGCGAGGAAGGTCCGGAAGGGACAAGATGAACGGGAGGCTCGATGACGAGCCACAAATGACATGCTCACCAGGTTATCGGTAGATTCGCCATGCCTAATCTGAGAGTTCCGGCTTTGAACGGAAATTCCGTTGTGGGATGAGATAAACCATGCGCACGAAGGTGAAGGTAATCATAGGGGTGCCTGTCGACATGCTGCAGCTGCAAGGCTATGCGTCCACGGTGTCGGTCCGAATGAATAAAGAGAAGGCTACGGGGTTTCTCTGGTCTGGTGGCCGCTCAACGGCGTCAACAGAGGTCGAAGATACTGTCCGTTAGGTAGGTAGGTAGGTAGGCAGGTAGGTAGGTGTCGCGTGTCATGGGTGTTGTATGTAGGTGTTTGTTCGAATCTCGTCTGTCTGTTCGCATACTTGCAGTGTCATCCTGGAACTCGGCATCGTTCCTGCAGGACGTTGTTTGGCCAGCGGTCAATAATAGTCTCCATCTCTGCGCGCACTCTCTTCAACAAGCGGGGATAACCATTACGTCAAGGCGGCTTCTCGTCCGGTGGTCCGGTGATAACCAGTGCTTTCCGCACAACCTTGCATGCTCCATATGGATCTTGACATGACCCGGTACCCCATCCAACCAACTCGAGAGCCATAATGCATTCTCATCGATTCCGCATCCGACGGCGTGAGACACAGCGCTGCCCCGTATAACTTCTAGATTGCACACTCTGGAGGTACATATAAGACGAGGAGCGTCTGCGCAGTCGGATAAGACCTGTGGGATACGTCTATTCTTGGGACATGGCAGCTTTCCAGCAGACATCACTTGTTCTTGAAACCAAACGCGGCCCACTCGTGCTGCAGGACAGACCCGTGCCGGCTCCTGGTCATGGAGAACTACTCGTTAAAGTACTGTCTGCCGGCCTCAACAACGTTGACTGGAAGATCCAGACTCGCGGTCTCGATTACATCGAATATCCAGGGGTGCTAGGGTCCGATGGCTCTGGTACGGTCGAGACACTTGGGGATGGCGTCGCTCGCTTTCAGAAGGGAGACAAAGTGTAAGGGTGCACCTTTAGCCCATGCCTTGACTGATGCTAAACCGGTATCCATAGATTGTGGGAGCCCGCGTGGGCGTTCGTGAGCGGAGCGTATCAGCAATATGCTATTGTCAAAGCCGACCTGGCTGCGAAAGTCCCAGAAAACCTCACCCTCGATGAAGCGGCATCTGTACCCATGAGCCTTTGTACCGCCTTTCTTGGGCTCTACAACCGGAGGTCTGCCGTCTGGGGAGGTGGAGCGGGGCTGATTCCGTTCTGGGAAACACCCTCCGCATATTCCGCGATGCCATTCATGGTCCTGGGTGGTTCCAGCTCAGTCGGAGAGTACGGTTAGTCATTGAGATCAAGCTGTGTCTGATGATTGGCATTGTCTGACGAATGGCTTACTAGCCATCCAGTTTGCCAGGCTTTCTGGATTCTCTCCCATTATCGCGACAGCTTCCGACCGTCATGTCGAACATCTGAAGTCCATCGGAGCAACGCATGTCCTGTCGCGTTCGGCATCCGTTGAATCATTGCTAGCTGAAGTTCACAGTATCACCGATGAACCACTTCAGGTGGTATACGATAGCATCAGCACGCCCGAGACGCAGCAGGCGGGATGGAAATTACTTGCGCCGGGTGGTCAACTCGTCGTGACACTCGCTCCAGTTGCAGGCCTACCCAATGACGAGAGCAAAGGCTTTGCCTGGGTGAAAGGGAATGTCAATTTTCCCGATCAAATCGATATCGGGCGACAATTGTTCGCCAGACTTACGGGGCTTTTGGCCGATGGATCAATCAAGGTGAGTGAGGGCCATCGAGCGTACGTGAACACCGGAAATGATTCCACTTTGCCCCAGCCTCATCGCATTCGTGTCATCTCGGGAGGGCTCTCCGGCATTGAAGGTGGTCTGAAACTTCTGCAGGATGGTAAAGTCAGTGGCGCGAAGCTCATCGTGCATCCGCAAGAGGGGTTGTGATTATGATGTTCGACGCAGCGCTGTAACTACGTAGTATCGTCTTCGGCATGACAATGTCCCAACCACTGTTGTTGTGCACAACACTGCTCGCATTCAGGTCATCACAATCGTGGTGACATCCTTCTAGTAGATTAGAGCTGATTTGCAGCTGATGGATATGCAACGAGGTCAATTCGCGGCCTCTCATCGATGGAGAAGCAAGTTGACCGAGGTTTCCGTAGAGAAATATTGGCAGCAAATCAGCTCTATTGAGTGAGAGCGTATGCTAATGCATCTTAATGCTGATTGCTTTGGATTGCTTGTGCAACCGTTCGATTGCAGGAATTATTGTAACACGACAGTGCCAGCGATTACGATAGACCTCTCGCGCCAGCTTTGCTCACGATTGCAACTTCTTCCGCTTCAGGGGAAGAGTCTTTCCGGGCAGGAGGCCCCGCTCGGCTGGCCGGCATTTGGGGCATTCGTAGGTACGATACACCGCATTCACCCAAATCCAGCATGGTCTTATACATATTGGAGAAGCCCCTGGCGGGTAGCAAAGAAAACCCGAAAGCAGAGCTGGCGCAAAACGGTCTATCGTAATGAATTTAGCTGTAACTCATACATGATCCTGCTCGGGCATTGGCACAAATCTCCGCGCCTTGTATAACATTCGTTCAGATCGTGCCACGCGCTTCGTGGTAGTTCTTCAAGAACCATTCCACGGTTTCCTGTAGCCCTACGTGAAAGCAGATCAGCTATTCATGCTACACATCCGGCCTGGATCCCATATCCACCTGTTTCGAAGGGCGTGAAGTAGAACTCGCCGATAAGTCCCAACAATTTCGCGTTAGAGGCGGGCTTCCGGAATTGCCCATCCGCTTTCGAAGTATCAAACTGTAACAAGCTTGAGACCTGCGCAAACTACAGTATTTGCAACCTTACTCTACACTCGCCCTCGAATTTCATAGCTTGAACAATGGCTGTTGCGATTTCTCTGACGCTGATTTCCTCTTTTTCACTCACTATCGATGACCGTGAGAGAAGATAGCTGGACGACGTCGCGAGGAGCCTACCAGACAAGATAACAGGTTCGACCTCGTCGTATTCTCGAAGTTGCCAGATGAACAACTTCGCCAAGTCTCTAGAAAAGATGAACTGGCGCAGGGGTTTTCCGGATCCTCCTACGATGAACGGAGAACCGTTTTCTATGCAACCGAGACGAATCAGTACACTGCGAATCTGCCTACGGAGGATAATATAAGAAAAGGTTTCACTCTGGGCGAGATAGCATCGATGGATAAGCGCAGGTATGACATGGCCATCTTCGATATCGCTATGGCGTGATTAGTGTTTATGCGAGTTATGCGATTCAATAATGAGCATGGACTGACAAGTTGTCGTGCGGCCCGTACACACTAGTCGGAATGGCGGACGTAAAGGTACAGCCGAATTCCTCACGATAGGCTCTGTTGGAGGCGGCCTGTCGATGATGGGCATCAACGGACCAGTAGGATCAGACCCACCTGTTCTGTATATCCACAAGTCTCTTCGCATGTGCGTATCCTGGAAGGCCCGTTGGGCTGAGTGGAGTAAAACAATTGTATGCAACGAGTTCTACGCACCGAAATTGCTTTCGTGCGGCAAGCCTAGATGGACTTTGGTCTCGTCTAGAGGATACTCGACCTGCATGCATACTTAGCTGGATTACGACTAAGTACACATCGGTCGTGTACCGACCTTATCGGGGTATATGCATGTGGATAGGCAGGAAATGACCTTCTCGGTTTTGCATATGTGCGCTGCATGCAACACGTTGTCATTCATGAGGGTATTGTCGCGCAAGAATGTCGCCTGTGCAGCATAGTGCACCCATCAATGATGAGTGAATCAAACACTGATCAATCGATACGGAACCTTCATCCTCATGTTGCGATATACACCTCCAACTTGCATACACCGAACGCTAATCAGAAAGCAAAAAGGAACGTCAGAGTAGTACATACCCAGGGCGGCGAGATGGATGACATGTGTGGGCCTATGCTTTTCAAACACTTTCATAGTTTGGTCGACATCCCTGCGATAATATCAGCGATCGTGACGTCTGGGCAACGACGGTGCTCCTACCGCAAGTCAGCATCAGCAGATCCAACGAAGATCCAACGCTCGCCAGGTTGTCTGCCGAAGCGTGAGCCCTGAAGTTCTGTATTCAGAACCTCCTGAATGCCGCTCCCAATCAGGCCGTTCCCTCCTGTAACTAGAATGACGTTGGGCATATTGAAGGTGATCAAGGAGAGCAATGGCGAGCTGGATAGTCTCGCGTTGATAAGTGTGAAGTAATCGTGCGATCACAGGAACGTGTTTCCACATAACTCGGCACGGTATGCGCAGTTCATTTCGCACGCGGACAGTGCCCCGTCGAGAACGGGTGAGCACTGAGCAGCTCATACGATAGTTTATATGCATGAGCAATCGATTGCAGGTATGCATAGCATAAACCATACACATGTATCAGCGTGTCCTCCGTCGTGACCAACGTCCAACACCCTTAATCCCGGGCAGCCTCAATGCGCCTCCGGGCGACTTGCCTCCTGTTGAGACCGGTGAGCGACGCGCGGGCAACGGGTGCCTTGTCGGTGGCCTTCTCGACCTCGGCATCGGTGGCGGAGAGGATGACCTCTACGTGGCAGGGGTGGCCCTGGTAGGGGTTGATGCGACCGTGCGCACGGTAAGTACGGCGGCGGGTTTTCTGAGGAAGAATGTAATCGCGTGATAGATGGTGAGCACTCGTGATGCCCATGACTGCTGAATCAACTCACGGGAGCCTGCTGCACAACGATGTTCTTGATGTAGAGGTCCTCGAGTTCGAGGCTTTTCGCATCGGCGTTCGCCTCAGCGTTCTTGAGGAGGCGGAGGATGAACTTCACGCTCTTCTCAGGCCAGCGACCTGTACACAGCAATCAGACTCCATGCTGTTTTAAACTACTGGACCTGAAGTGGCGCAGCGCACCCTGAGTCGCCTTGAACTGCTTCGCCTGGCTAGCCCGCCCAACACCACCCGCAAATCGCCTGAAAGGAATGACCTGCTTATGCTCGGCGACATCGCCAAGGTAGGAGTACGCTTTCGTGAGCTTCAGGCCTGCCAAGGTAGAGACATCAGTCTTCAGTGTTTCTGCAACATTGCAAACACGCACCGGAGAGTGCGGCAGCCACCTCGCGCATGTTCTTGAAGTGCGTGCGGAGGTACTCCCCGCGGGCCCGCGACGCTACAGTTCTGGTCGGCGAAGTTGTACGGTAATTCAACCAGAGATCAACTCACTCTTTTCGGGGTTTGGGTAAAGCGGGCCTGATGCGTAACGAACTGTGATACGGTCAGCACGTCAATTCCGAAAGGACCAGCAGCGAGCACGAACCCATCTTGAAGTCTTGCGGGGGCGTGAATCAAGTCGACACAACGCGGAAAGATGGATTTTGGGAGGCGTGGGAACGGCTGTACAGCTGCGCGCGTTCGACCTCCCGATTCGGCATGCCTGTTTTCCCTGGTCCATGCCCTTTGTATTGTCTGGTATACTTACGACTCTCCGCCTCGTGGTGCTCAAAAGCCTTGTGAAGGACTGCGTGCCCGGATAGACCAATGAAACTTCGGAAGGATGGAGCCTCGCAACTGTGACCGTGTTTCCCCCATGTACTCTACACGCAGGGTTACAGGACACCGAGTATCCCTACATCGGTCATAAACTCAATAAATGTCTCTCGTTGTTCACCTGTGTACTATGTCTATCTGTCTCACAGACTGGGGGAGTGTTAATTGGTCAGTTTCATGGGATGCCTACTTGTGTTGCCTGTTGTTATTCTGTTGTTCTCTTGAGCTTGTGATCCTTGTTTTTCAGACGTCCCGCGAGACATGATATCCGCTCCGGACAAGCGCTGCGTGCTTATTATAGTTCAGATATAGCAGCACCCGCCTTTCACTCAAGAGTTATCAATGCTACTGATCGATGCTCGGCTATGAGTATACGTGATCCACGTATTGATATAATCGTCCATTGCGATGAGTATTCTAAAGGTAAGACCGTACATGAGTCGTAAGCTCCGTCAGTTGTATTTTGGCGTCTCTGGGGGACTCAAAATTGCCGTGTGACCGCCTGAGAGTAGCCGCCCGGGATGGAAAAAGTTCAAGCTGTGAGTTATGTTAGAAGTGGCGCGAACCTTGCAGAGCAATTGTACGAACGTAAACATAGCAATCGTGATCATGGCGCCGTCCAAAACATCTGAAGCTGGTGTTAGATTTCAAACTCAAAACACAGCGATACACTTACTGAAGTATACTTGAGTGTGGATAACACGTCCGTTCCAACCGTCTGAGAGCTCTATCGTGCGGTATATAGATCTGCGGCGTGGCTATATCAGTGATGGCGTAGAAGCTGCAATGTCGCTACCACACACCGGATGTAGATAACCACAGTACTGATGCACAGGCCAATTACCATCAAACGCAGCTTTCCATAAAGCTTCGGCTGCTGTACGGTCGGCAGGAACCCTCGAACACTGCTATCCGAAGGCAACTTTTCGAGCACGACGGGTACGGGCGGGGCTGCCCGAATCGGCCTATCCCTCAGGACTCTCAATAGGAACTCGGCGGCAAGGAGGGTGTAGATCGTGATGGCGACTAGCTGGAAAACAATGCCTCCGAGCCTACCATATCAATAGTTAGCTTGCATAGATATGAGCGTATCTGTTATGCGACGTACATGATATTGCCTCCGAGGACGGGATGAGTGCCAGTGGCAGTTCCACCACCATACGCTTGTACGACGAGAGCCACGATGTCCTATTGGAACTACGTTAGGCGCCTCTTTTGCGAGACCTGATCGAGTGTCTTACGCAAGTAAGGAACACAGTCGTGTCTGAACGGAAATCAGACGAGTTAGTGTCAGGCTCAAGCACACTAGTGCATGTACGTACACCACCTGGGTGTTAAGCGACTGTATTGCGGGCCCAAGAGGGCAATAACCTTGCCAAGGATGATAAAGTTCGCAGCGACTAGAGGCGTTGGGCTGATAATAGTTGTCGATATCCTGCAGAGAGACCGTGAGCATATAGCACGAAGCACGCAAAAGATATGGACTAACTGTATCAAGAAGGGATTAGCGGCATCCACATTCTTGCTACTCCATAGCCTGGCAGACCATCCTAGGATCTGACTCGACACGATTCAGAGCTGGAACTTGCGGCTGCAACGACAATGATGGCGTACCTCGCCAAGACCAGCAAGCACCGCAGTCGGGAAAAGCCACCATAGCCGGTAATAGATAGCTTGTCCGGTATGAATCACTAGGGCAATGTTTAACCGTCATATCCCTGAGATGCGCGAAGTTGATCTTACGAGTAGATAGTCCGTATAATGAAACAAAAAGAGCACAAATCCAGAGAGTAGGGATATAACCATACGCGTTGTTCTCGTTGGATTCAGTAGCTCGTGAAAAGACGAATGATGGTATGACTGTGCGCAACGTCAGAATGGTGAATCGAGATTTTGGAGATGGTTACTTACCCGGCATATCAAAGCTGGACGCAAGAAGCAAAAACGAAGTGGTGGATGGATGAGAAGTGGATATCGACGACATTCCGTTTGTCGCATGCCATTTATACCGGCAAAGTTACCACGCATGTTCCAAGATAACCCGCAGTACTCCACAATCAGATAGCACAGAACCGCATGCCGCCAACTGCGGAAAACGAGGTGCGACGGCAGCGGTAGCGAGTCGCGCCCTTCCCGCCAGCTCAAGCATCAACTGCGGATGGAGGACAGTCACTACGGGTGGTCATTGCGTCTTGGCAACGTTATTGCGGAGTACAGCCTTCGAGTAACGAGGAACAACGTTCATCAGAGTTCTGGTCAGTATATCAAACTCGAGTGGATAGGCGGGAACTGCGATCAATCTTGCAGGCAGCGCCGAGATCGGATGTCCGGCATTCCGCAGAAAATGCAGAAAAGTCTGCAGGCGGCTCGTTAGCACTACCGATGCCGTAGCGTATGTTTGCTTGCTCAGGAGTACTACTGTACTTTTACCACCATAAGTTTAAGCGGACCCCTTGGGGACAGAGGACACGCTGTAAGTTCAGACCCGTGGGAAGCTTGTGAACTGATATCAATCAGATTGCTTTGTTCTCACAGTAGGTGCTTACAACTCCCACGGTCCGTAAACTTCGGCCGAAATGGGAGGGGACAGGGGACAAAACCCTGATTTAGGTTCAGTTCAAGGGTAAGGAGGGACTGGGAACGAACTTATGGTCGTAAAAGTACAGTGTAGTACCGTCGACGTCGGCAGATGCCGCGTTCCGGACGTGCCTGTGAGCGTTTGGGCGCTTCTAACCGAAGCCGATTAAGCCACCGCCTACAGGCGCTTATGTCAATTACTGGTACCTGGTACGCGTCTACACCATGAGTCAACCGCCTACCAATCCTCAAGATGATGCCGACCGAGTAGATTCTACTTTACCGCTCTGAACGAGATGGGTTGACTGATATAATCTTAGATCAGGTTGAAGCGCCTCGCGAAACTCCAGTCATCTGCCGCGAGTTCGCCATCTCCCTCTCCCGGTCCTGAATCTTCATCAGCCTCCTCGGGTATCCAGCCCAAGCCGACTCCGAAGCCCGTATCTAGTACGACTCCTAAGCGTGTACAGGACCCAGCTCCATCATCAGCCGTGCCTTTGAAGAAAAAGCCACCGCAGACCTACCTGAAGCTGGACGTGCCAGCATGGGAACATGACACGATCGGTGCCGTTTTGAAAGTCACCTTGGATGTGAGTGAGACCCTTCATCGCATTGTTCTAACTGACCATAGCTCCGTAGAAAGGCGTCGCGGAGAAGAGCGGCTGGGAGACAGTGTGGCTCAAGCATCTTGCCAACGAATTGGAATCCGAAGGGCTTGGTGCGTAATTGCCATTTCGACCCTAGCACCATATTCATAATCCATCATACAGCTCCGCCATTCCATTTGAACACAGATTTGATAGATCGCCTGCTCATCGCCAGACTGGATATTGATCCTCAGGCGATGTCGTGAGTATTCCGTCTCACCTCGCCCATTCACGTTGCATTGAGCACCTCTTCAGAGATGACATGGAATACTTGTCGGTTCTTGCGTCTCTTCCCGCACAACAAACCGTGTTCGAGTATCTTGTTGGATGTTGGAAGCGGTTGAATGCTGCCAGTGATGCTCTGAAGAAGAAGGTTGTGATATTTACACTCTCCTCCTCTTTTAAAGACGTACTCATACGATGCAGGGGTACTCTGCATCCGAAGTGCAGCAAGTGCTCCCCACCCTGGACAAACTGCGAGACCTCCTTGTGAGCTACGCGGGCTTGACATTGCAGGAGCCAAACATGTTCCCGCAACCGGAAGGGTACGTTCTATGATCCGATACCCGCATTGTCTTATTCATTTTAATGATCTACAGGAAACAGCTGGGTCCCCACGAACTCACCGCGTCACTGGTATCGATGTCAGCGCTCTCGGCCCCTCTGCTATCGACATCAACGTCTCCCGAAGTGCTAGGTCCGGGTGAAGTGGTTCATTTCTTACAAGATATGGCGAATCGCTTCGATGATCCCAGCGAACTGGCGGATGTGTTGGGACCCGTCGTGCGGACGATGCTCCTGACACACCCTTCGCTCTGGCGTCCGGAAGGTCTAGCCGGGGCGGACAACGCCTGGCGCGGGATCCTGGCCGGTTTGGAGGCCCTTGTTGCCATCAAGCCGATCGCGACCATGATCACACAGTTGCCCGAATGGAATCCTCCCCATGCGAATGCCCACAATTTCGAGCATCTCAGCCTCATGGGTCCTCTCCTGCGCTTGGGTGTCTTTGGCCGAGAATGGGTGAGCTACGTGCGTCACTCACTTGACTTAGCAATTCTGAAGGCATCTGCCAGCCTTACGTTGGAGCTACTTACTTTGCCAATCCTGAGAAGCGCCTGAAGAGCGAGATAGATTCGTTCTTCGCCAGCTTGCGAGGAACGTTGAAGACTCTTCAGGTTTGTAGGGCTTGCCTATCGGGCTGCATCGCTCAGCTCATGATGCATTGCCAGTCCACTCTTTTCCAAGTGTTCAATCAGGTCGTTCGAGCTTCGCCACAGGCAAGGGAGGCGGTTTTGCAGTACTTTGCTCGTGCTGTTTCTTTGAATGTGAAACGCACAGGTTTACAGGTAAGTCGTTCGGACGCGATTTCGGCGACCTGCTCAGGTGGACCTTCGTTTGTCACCAGGTCGACCCTGCTACAGTCGCGACCGATTCCTTCATGGTTAATCTGCAAGATATACTGTTCCGCTTCGCTGAGCCGTTCATGGATGCGAACTACACGAAGGTAAGTTTTCACCAATTCGCCGACGGTGCCGGCCTATCTGAGGATTATGTGCCATAGGTGGACAAGATTGATCCTCAATATTTCGCCCACTCTTCCAGAGTAGACCTGAAAGAGACAACTCGCATCAAGGCAACTAGTGAAGAAGCTAATCGATGGGCGGAAGATAATCGAGACCCTTCGGGTGCGATAGCTTCATACCTCTGACTTCCGTCTCTGAACCAGGTGATTGATAACCTGAACAGCCACTGCGCCGAACTTCATATCGGACATCTTCTACCTTTGTGCTGCGCTTTTCAACTGCGGATACCTACCAACCATCAATGTGTTCGAAGACATGGGAAAACATTACGATGACCTGCGGAGACACATTGAGACACTGCAAGGCGACGGGTCATGGATGGGCGTACGTCCTATCTGGCCGTTTCGTATTGAATTGAATGCCAATTGCGCGCCCAGTCATCCCTGCAAGCTCGCGTCGAGGCTGCCATCAACACTGTGAAGGTAAGGCACCCGCCCATACACAGAGTCAATTCATTCACACCGCGGGGCAGGCTCAACAATCCAAGCTACACACGCAAATGTTGACCTTGCAAATACAATTGGAGGATCCGGAGTTTATGCTCCGTTCCTTGACCTTCGTCAATTTCGTTTCAACATGGATCATACGATTTGTCGATCCGAAGCACCGTCATCCGACACCCCTTGTTGAGTGCGATTGTCTCATCGACGAGGTCTGAATATGATTCTGAAACTCCACGTAGGCTACCGCTACCAAAGGATGTGCCGCTGGCATTCAGAGTGTTGCCCGAGTACATGATTGAAGATGTTATCGAATATATGGTCTTCGTCACACGGTAATCCGTCGTTCTCTCCGTACTGTGAGGATCCAGACTAACGACGTGGCAGTCATTCTGCGGGGACTGTCGAACTCACGGGGAAAACAGAACTGACGATATTCTGCTTGACTTTCCTTACGTCGACATGGTATATCCAAAATCCGTTCCTGAAAGCTAAGCTCGTCGAGGTACTGTATTTTTTTCCTTCGGGGAAGCGGTATTCCCTGACAGACACCTGTAGGTCTTGTTCATGGGTGTCTATGGCCAAGGACCGGATCGCAAAGGGCCACTGACCGCAACCCTCAACTCGCACCCAGTGGCCCTGAAACATCTTATGTCTGCCTTGACCCACTTCTATTGCGGTATGCGATACCTTCGTTGTGGTCGTCCGTGTCTTATGATTCGCAGAGGTCGAGCAGACCGGCGCGAGTTCGCAATTCTATGATAAATTCAGTCAGTGTGACCATTCGTATTCATACGTGGCATACTCTGAATATGGTGGTAGATTCCAGACGCAATATCGCGTACATCCTGAAGGTCGTGTGGAATAACCCTGATCACCGGAAAGCTTTACAAACCGAGGCACGGTACGTGAACATCTTTCCTGTATAGTTTCGGCCAAGTTTGAGCGCATGAATATCTGTTAGGAACGTTGAAAAGTTCGTGCGATTCGTGAATCTGATGATTAACGATGTCACGTACTTGATGGACGAATCGCTCGCGGATTTGGCGAAGATCCATAATATCCAAACTGAGATGGAGAACAGGGCTGTCTGGGAGTCCCAATCAATGCAGTATCGGAAGGAGAAAGAGCAAGAGTTGCGTACGCTCGAGCGCATGGCCTCCGGCTATTGTTCGTTGGGGAAGAGCACGGTGAATCTGCTGAAGATTTTCACTGCGGAGACCAAGGCACCGTTCATGCTTCCAGAAATTGTCGACAGGCTGGCAGCTATGCTCGACTACAACCTTGACGCGCTCGTTGGTCCCAAGTGCACTGAGTTGAAGGTCAAGGATGCAGAGAAGTACAGCTTCGACCCGCGAGTGTTGTTATCGGATATTCTGCAGGTGTACTTGAACCTATCGGACCAGGGCGAGTTCGCTAGGGCAGTGGCCAACGACGGGAGGAGTTACAAGAAGGAGCTCTTCGAGAGAGCGGCGGCGATTGCAAGAAAACGAGCGCTGAAAACGGATCCGGAAATCGAACAACTGAGGTTGTTTGTCGTTAAGGTCGAGGAGACTAAGGCCACACTAGAGGCCGAAGATGACCTAGGAGAAATCCCTGATGAGTACCTGGGTACGTGTTTTACCTGGAGAGGGGCCTGTGCCAGGAGCTCACAAGCCGTAGACCCACTCATGTTCACTCTGATGCGAGATCCCGTCACATTGCCTTCTTCGCGTGTTGTGATCGACCGGTCTACGATCAAGTCACATTTGCTCTCAGACACTAAGGACCCATTCAACCGACAACCGTTGAAGATTGAGGAAGTGATTCCAAGTACGTTCTTCCTTGGGCAGGTGTGTGACTCGCTGGCGTCTGATGCACACATTCTCCTCGGCAGATGTTGAACTGAAGGCCAAGATCGACGCGTTCCTGCACGAACGCAAGAACAAGAACACCGCTTTGGATATTCCAGAGGGCGACGTTGTGAACATGGACATCACCATTGACTGAGGGAAGTTCGTTATGACCAATGTAGCATCAGTATCATACAGTGCACGATTAGACCCACGACCGCTATCGCTTGCGCTTCTTTATACCTTTCCCTCCCCTTGTCGACGTCCGGGCAACCATTTTCCTGGGCCTCCCGCGCTTGCCCCTTGTCGGGGCTGTGTGTCTTCAGTATAAGGACACGCAGAGCGTCGCCGGTAGCTTACCCGGAGATTGGCCTTCCGCTTCCTCATCCTCCTCATCGAGATCTTCGGTTCCAGCGTCAGTGCCTGTTACAGTAGGCGCGATGCTCGCATCGTCATCCTCTCCGCTTTCTTGCGTCAACGCGCTGCTGTCGCTGTCCCCACCCACCAGTCCCGCCAAGCTCGCTTTCCTTCCCTTACCCTTAACGCCCCTGCCGAGCGAACGACGCCCTTTTAGCGGAGGCGGAGGGGTAGCTACGGGCGACGAGGGAAGCGACGTTGAGTTCCGCATACGCCTGCGTGCGATTTCAGCCTCTAGGTGTTCGTCCGCCGGTAAGACGAATTCGTAGCGAAAGAACGGATGCGATGCAAGATTGTCGGTCGGTGAAGGCGATTCGACTTGACGGGGCGAACTTGGTTCACCCGAGGGATCATAACCTTCCGGTTCCTGGACAGTTCGTATGGATGGGGTGGCATATTGGAGAATGAAGGTATCGGATGCATACAAGAGCTTCAAGATTATCAAGGTCATAGCAAGTTCTGAGCTTCTTCCATATATCTTCCACGGAGACATCCTCGCCAGTGTCCTTGTGCACGCCATTGCGAATTGTAAGGACGTGGAAGTGGCGATGAATGCCAACTGGGCGTGCTCGCATCAAGTTGCGAAAGAATGAAACCTCGCCATTGACGCTGTCCAGGATAGCTGCATATTGAGCAGAGGAATCATCTACAGTCATTCAGGATGGTGAAACAATGCGAGTAGATGCACCGCTCGCCACACAAGTTGAACACAAGCCGCGGCCCTACGCGTTTCGCGTTGATCAAGCGACGGCACAGCCAAAGCTTCGTGAGGTCTAATTATAACAACAACTACAGATTCCTCGCAATGTGTACATGTAGCGCTAAGGACAATCTTCCTAGAAGATCTCGCGGAAGATGTATTGTAAGACAACCTCAATTGTCATCATGGAAAGCCCCGACATCATTCTGTCTCTTGCGGAAGCAAACCTTGGCCGTTGGATTGGCTAGGCAGTTGGCGGCGAAATAGACGTTGGGTGGGCGTATGTGAGAACTGTTCTCGAGTTGCACGTCGTAGTTGACCACAAGGTGCGCGAGCATCAGCTTGAGCTCATTCGCGGCGAAGAATCGACCGGGACTGCGGTGACATTAAGGCTTGCGCATCACACGTTTTCAGGCTGGGGACATACCATGCGTGCTTGCCGTGTCCGAAGGTAAGGAACTGGGAGTACGACGATCAGGTCTGATCTGGGGAAGCTGCCTGAGGCTTACCCCTGGATTTGTGTTGACGAACTGGTGCTTGGCAATTTCACCCTCGCTCCCCCTTACGTCCGAAAAGCGCCATGGGTTGAAGCTCAAAGGATCGTCGTAGTTGGCTTCATCCTCGTGTGTGGCTATGGCGGGCGCCGCCAAAGAAGTTCCTTTGGGAATGAGAGTGCCGTCCGAGAATGTATGATCCTTCAGTGCTAGACGCATGAGGCTGACTGTCGTGACGATATCATCAGTTGGACGAAGTAGGAACTGTGAGTCACATACTTCCGCTCAAGGAGTTTATCCGGCTTGACTCTGATTTGGATCAATGAGAATGGTGTTCGCTTACCCCCCTTGTGTCTCACCTTTGATGAAGCTGTCGACCTTGTGCATCTTGGTCATGGCAACCTGCGCGCCAGGAGGGTAAGCATAATAATCTCATCTCTGCCTTCGATATTCTATCACCTTCGTCCACCCATCTTCAGCGACCACGCGCTCGACCTCTTCGCGAAGAGGCTGCAGCCATAGCTCCGGATTTGCTGCCAATGAATATAGTGCGTGCGTCATCGTCTATGCGTCCAAAACATATGTCATCCTATGGTGCGGTCGGAGCAACCCTTGCTCACCAATGTGGAGGTGTGTATCGCTGCAGACGAAACGGTTCAGGCTACATTGAAGTAGGAGAAGGAGGAGGAGAAGGAGATATACGAGCCTGCAAAGTTCAGATTCAGGACTCTGGTTACGAGATCTTCAACCTGACGATTCGGACCCTCGGCCACGTCCATCATCCACGTCACGAAGTCATTCTGCGCTCGCGACGTCAGAACCCTTCAGCCGCCGAGCGAACACGCGACTCACCGGTTTATCGGGGTAATCAATGCCGTACTGATCATATTGACGTCTTCGCTCCTCTACGATGGGGCCTAGATCGCGGGAGGCATCCTTCACGGCCTTATTAACGTTGAGCAGTAAGGGGGCAAGGATTCTTCAGAGCATTACGTCAGCACTGCTGTCGATATCATCCATGCTGGATAGGCGTACGGCTTAAGGAAGTTCGGAATCAATATCGCCCGTTGTTGGGCTACTTGATTCTCCATGGCGAACTGCATATTAAGATTTTGCCACTCGATATCCCTGCCTGAGCGAACCGTTAGGAGAGCAAGGACAGACGATCGCATGAGTGCTTACACAACGGATGTCCGACAAATATCCTGTTGCTGGCGCGGCACTGTATCCTGCGCATGAGCCTGCAGTGGTATGGCGATACATGAGCACGAAATTGCCCACCACAATTGTTCTGATGGTTTCCATTGCGGGAAGTACTGCCCATTCTGCGAGGGAGGGATCATGATTGTCATTGAGCATGGCATATATGCGCGATCTTACCGTCGCCTTTATCCGGCACGAGTTGTTGGAAGCCCAGTAGCACCTCTTCGCGGACATCGCTGAATAAAGCTGCCAGATTCTTTGTCAGCTTCACCGGGATCTGCATTTTCCCTTTAGTCTAACCCTGTCAACAGAACTCTCATATCAACACGCACAAGGTGGAGGTGGTACTGGTTCTCCGTAATCTCCTTGGCGAAGATGTACTTGGTGGCAAGGAACTGGTGTAAACGTAAACACGCCTCCAAGCTAAATTGCACGCCTGTCGCTTCCACTTACATCGGTGATAAAGTCCATGAAGGACATAGTATCGTCCGGCAAGCGGCGCATCTCTTCCGCCGCCGAACCGCTGGCCAACACCAGCCACCTATCCCATAGTGCGATCTTGAAGAAGCCGCCTTTGTGCTGTGTATCAAACTCAGATACGGAGTGGCAGCAGCGACGTCGTCCAAACGAGTGGTACCTTTGCATATCCCTCGGCAAGACGGTCCTTATCCTTGCGCAAGAATCGAACGGCGTCGATGTAGGATAGGATTGGATTGCTATATCCGATCGTCGGGATAGCCGCGAGCTGGGTAGGAGGACGTAATCAGATTAGCCGCCTCCGGTTCGCAAGGTCACAGCGCCGGGAGGAGAGCGCTTACTTGCGAAGATGCGCGGAAGACGATCTTGTACAGCAGATATGCCACCGCGGCACTCCCAACGATTGTCACGAGCCTGTCGTTCATGGCTGTATGCAGGTATCACCAAGCAGCAACTAAGCAAGTGTGTGTCAGACCACTCGTCGAGGTCTTCCTTCTGATCTTCGTTATAACGACGCCCGGGGGGCCGCTGACGTGAAGCCATTTGTCGCTTTCGGCCCTAGAGTGTCCTGTTTCGGTACCCAAGTCACGTCGGAGTACGTCCCATGCGCGTCGGGAAGCGCATGGGAAGCAGCAAAAGTCTATGGGTGTGGGCGAATGGTGGACTCCGCTGCCCAGGGTAGTTGTTCCGACCCCACGCAGGACGTCGCCGCTGGTGGAAGAAGCGCACAATGCGAGGTCTCCTTGGCCGAATCCCGTCTAACCGAGGGAGAAGAAGGATGAATGACCGATTTAAGGCCATCTTCGAAGATCAATGAAAACGGTTAGGGTACTGGGCCGTGAGTAGTACGTTTCGTGATACTGCCCAGGTGATGGAAGGATCCTTTTTCTCAGGCATTAAGGCGCTCAAAGGACCGATGGCTTTTCTTCGTGCTGGTATCACATAACTGCGCATCACCCGTGGGAGAACCTGGGGGCTAAACGCCGAGACGGCACATGAAGACTATTTCTCTCGTACCGGGGCAATGTCGGGGAGGGTTGATAGAGGACTTGAGTATTGCACTACGACAAGTGGAATTCTTGGCAGAATACGTCAAGGTGTCTCGAATGCGCAAGGGCGGTAGTTAACACACGCCGATGTCAGATCCAATACGGTTCTAATTCAATGGTATCATATACAGATGGTTATCATTATATCCATGAACCACTTACTCCTCCTCCCTTCTTACATCACCACGCAATCCCCATCCTTCCCGTCCTTGCCTCCTCCATCCTTTGCCCTTTCGGCCTCCTCCGTCGCAAGGGCCAGCTTCTCCTCCTCGGTCAAGAGCCCCTTCTTCGCGCGCTCCTGAAGTGCCTTCCTGCGAGATTCCCGCTCGGCCTTTGCGCGGCTTCTCGCCCAGAGAGCGGGGTCGATGTATGAGTATAATTGAATCATTAAGGGTATTACGTCCGTGGTCGGGTGTATGCGCATCCACGGAGCATTGATAGTTTATGGTCGAACATTCGGGTCGATCGTCATGGATACAGCAATGGCGGAGATATCGATACAGATTCAACGTGCAGATCAAGCGGCGGCGAAGAGAGGCGGAGGAGCCCATGACATGGGGTCAATAACAGGAGCCGGTTTCGACGGTCCGTCGGGTTCGGATTCGGTGGTGGAAGGCGTCGCGGGTGAAGACGGAGCGGATGGGGATTTGGATGGGATGGCAGAGACGGACGAAATGGCGTTGACGATTGAAACAGGTGGCAGACTGAGTCGTCATGAGTATATCCTCTACATCACAGGTAAAAAGGTGCTCACCGGTCAGTGGCGCTGAATGGGTTCAACTTCTTCTGCGCCGCGCTGGATGTGGACGTAGTTGTAGTGGTGACGCCGGCAGCCGGTTTAGGCGGAGCAGGCGACCGTGAAGCAGAGGCGGAGGCGGAGGAGACGGGAGCATTCGCGAGGGATCGCTTGATAGCAGCCATTGCCGCTGCACCTCGTGCACCAACCTGGTTGATCTCCTGCCTCATCTGTTGCGCCGACACCCCCGAGCTGGCCTTGGCCGCAGTCGGGCGCGCGTTAACGCCGGCGGAGCAGTTGTGCGCGTTCGGGAAGCGGTGCGAGGGGCAGAACTGTTGGCGACACTTGTCGCATCCGATCGGCGCATACAGCACCTTCCCGCACTTGGCACGGGCGCAGTGCGGGAGGTTGCTCTTCGGCGCGCCCTGCCTCCCGGTGGTGACCGCGCACTCCTGCTGAATATGGCGGTCCATGCGCACGTTCGGGTCCTCGCCAGGCGGGACGGCAACAGGGGTGGAGCATAGCGGGCAGCTCGGCGCAATACGGTTCACGCGCGATTCGTCGTAGTGGGCACAAGCATGGCCGGTGCCGGAGCCCGCGGGCGCATCCACGGCACGCGCCTTGAAGTGGTCCTGGCAGAAGAGATGCGCGCAGTGCTGACACTTGAAAGGGAGGAAGTCGACGAGGTGGCAGGTCGGGTCGTAGCATTGGGCGCCGATGGAGAGCAGCGCGGTGTCGCGCTCGGCGTTGGGCGTGGACGATCCGGACATGGCGGGGATGTTGGTGGTGGTCAAGTCAAGTCAAGGAGATGGTTCGAGGTTTATATGGCGGCGCTGGGCGGGACGCGCGTCCAGGGCCACCGGGAGTTGCGTAAGCTCAGCGTATATGCTGGCCAGTGGCAATGTGCCAAGAAGAGGATGTCGTAGTCAGCCTCGACAACGCGCAAGTCGCGAGTCGCGAGCGCCTGAGAACGTTCGAGCAACGCGCAAACCCCTATTCCCGCCGTCGTCTGCCACGATGAGCACTCGCACGAGACCGTCGCCGCTCTCCCCGCGCAAGGCAAGTACACCGAACGCTGGCCGAATCACACCGCCAGCAGCGCCACCGTCGCCGTCACCGTCCCCGCGCACCGCGACGCTGCCCGACACGCAAGCTCGACGAGCGTCGGGTGTACCCGAGCCCATATCTCGGCGCCTCTCCGGAGCGCCCACCGTACCTGGTATGGGTGTTCATCCCTTAGCCCAACGATGGCAGAGAGCTCATGGAGGCCAGGAAGTCCACCTGCCAAGTCTCGCGCTAGGGACCTGCTGAGGAAACACTATGGGTTAGGCATCGGCCCGCCTGCCCCTTCTGGTCGACCTTCCGATCCGATGGACCTTGGTACGAAGCTGTTCAGGCAAAGCGACGGAGCTCGAGTCGCTCAAGTTTTGCAGATTCGCCGGCGTTTGACGCGAAAGCGTACTACGAACAGCTGATCACCACGGCATCCCTCTCGACGCTCCTCAAGCGGGAGAACGAACTGCTTTCCGGTAAACAGTGGTCGATACCCGCCTTGCCGTCTCTGACACTATTCGCGTAGAAATACGTGAGCTTGATGGCGAGCGCCAGTCTCTCGTGTACAACCATCATCATGAACTCATCGCTGCCTCGGACACAATCGCTGCTGTACGTTATTGTCTAGTTCTGCCTGTGTCCTTCAGATCTTTTACCCCCCCCCATGTAGATGAAAACTCGCGCAGAGTCGCTCGACGCCGATCTTGACGCGCTTAGAGCCGCTTTCTCCGAAATATCACGTCTCGTGCCCGAGGTTGCGGCTACTGTCGACGCCGACACGCACCCGGATTCGCGATCGAAAGAGAACGACGCGCAACGATAACCATGTGCTTCGCAATATTTGGCGCACGTAGGGGACAGTGCTGCGGACGAGATCCTGAGCCCCAGCCGTCTTGGGACAGCCAGGGTGGAAACGCTCAGCAGTACGTGGGATCGTGAATACCCATGACGCATATGCTATCGTGTATAATACATGTCCATGCACCCGAAATCAGTGCAGTTCTTCACCCGACCACCCGACCATCGACAATCTGTGCGGACTCCAGAATTTTGATAGCCTCTTTGGCGGCCTTGACGCCGCTGGCCATCATCGCGCCGAAGGTAGGGCCCATGCGGTTCGAGCCATCGTGTTCAGACAGCTCCATACCTGCAGAGGTCAGTAAATCATTATTAGTTCTGACGCGATTTCACCGACGCATGTATGGCAACCCACCGGTCATGATCAAACCAGGCGTCACCTCGCGCGTGCCATTGACAATGGCGGGCTCGGCGCGGTTCATGTCCAAACCACGCATGTTGCCGAGTTCCTTGAGCAGTCCGGCGCTGACGAGGCGCTTGGCAGAAAAGGCGCCCATGGGGCCATCGTGGCCCGTAGCTGAGATGATGACCGGGGCCGTGATAGTGTTCGGGTCCTGGAAAGCGAGGTCAATCTTGGGACGCGGGACGCGGGACGAGGGCCGCATGGCCACTCACCATGCATGACTGTGTATCGTGGTTGAGGGCGACGAGCGTCCAGTTAGTGACCACGCCGGCAACCCGCTGCTGACCCCGGAAGTCCGTCCTGACGATCAAATCCTCGACCGCGGTGGCGTTCATCATCACCACGTTCGGAAGAGCGAGGACCTTGGAGAGGATGGTGGAGGTGAAGAGCGCTGCGTGTTTGACGACGACGAAGGCACCTTCGTCTTCGAAGGGTACGCCAAGCTCTTGCAGGAAGCGGTCCGCCGGCTTACGGACGACCATGGGCGTCATCAGTTGACCTCCCAGCCTGGATCGTGGACAGATCAGAACAGTTTGATGAGCATGGGCATGGGACTACCCACCAGGCGCCTCCGCCGGGAGCGACGTTGGCCTCGAGGATAGTCACCTTGAGGTCAGGCCGGGTCGTCGCGAGGTGGTACGCGCAAGAGAGTCCCGCGCTGCCGGCGCCGATGATGACTACGTCCGAAATCGAGCGCTCGTACATCATGTTGAAGTACCGCTTGATCATCGCGCGGGACACCTCCGCCTCGTGTATCGGGGCGAACTGGTAATTGCCCTCCCAGTCTTCGCGCACCTGGACATCGCCGTTGGCCTTGGTGCCATTGCCCAGCGAGTCCACCTTCTTGCTGAGGAGCGGAGAGTCGTCCAGGAAGGACTGCGCGGGAGAGTTAACAGCGACGGGGGCCATAATTCAAAAGAGATACAGAGATAGCGAACGTCGGTGCAGAGCGCAACCCACGCAAACCATCTGTCCCGAGTAGATTTGATTTATATAGCCCATTCTGACGCAGTTCGGAGTATGTACGTGCCCTGTCCAAGCAGTGAGTTTACGACGCTCCAAGCGAAGCACGCCGAGCGGCATGTGCACTGGCCCCAAGACATCGGACACAGCCAATGAGAAACGTCGACGTGAGTTGCGCCGAGTGAACGAGATCCCGACCTCGGATGGTTCAGGGAAGAAAGGCTCTCCGATGGAGGTCGAGAAGCTTCGGCTCCGGTTCGGGGTTTAAGTCGCTTTGAGGAATGAAGGGGCTTCATATTATTCCGGTAGCCCCTGAACATTTGGGAGATATGCCATTTACACGAATATTTGTGCTCTATGATCCACCACCCGAATTGAGGCCGGCGTTCAGGTTACGTGTCATGGTACACCGATGTCAAACGTAGGCCTTGGAGGATCTACTGCAGGCGGCGCCACTGTAGCGGAATCTGGAGACTTGACCACGCTGATCTTCTCGGATCCCGGCCCCAGTCCAGATATACCAGTAACACATCAGCTGCGGATATGGCGAAGAGGGCAGAGGCACAAGGTGGTCCCGGGATATCTTCGTCCTATGGGAGTGCAGCAGAGGAAGGTTCGGGATTGCGAGCACATTTGCGTCAGTCTATGTACCATAAGCACTCCTGTGAGGTAAGCGGGCCTTGCAGAGCCCCTGTTCTGTGTTCACGAGATACCCCGGGCGTCGCATAGGCACATCCGGTTCCTCGCAGGAGGATCTGCAAGAGGATAGGGTTGTGGCGTGCCACCAAACGTGCCTCGGAAGTTGCCGTGCAGATCAAGCGCAGATGACATTGACGCGACCGTGATTGACCGCGCATCCGGGCGTCGCTAGGGCTGTCGCCGTCACTGTCAGGTACCGGACCGGTCGCCACGTGAGCCCCTCCGGCCGTCTCTCTCTCCCACTTCAGTTCCCGGGCCATTGTGGCAACATAAACATATTCCTGTGGCCTTCACACGTCTACTTACGCTCCTTTTCCTTTCGTTTTTGGCTTTCTTCTTTTGTTTCAGTCTTGGTCGCATCGTAAGGGAGTAGAACGTCATGTTCTCTATTCGCCGCAAGTCGAAGAAGCCCGAAGACACCGGCGCGCCTGTCATACGGCCGACGCTGTCACTGCCAGAGCTCTCGCAGAACGCGCCGCCGCTGCAATGGCCCGAGGAGCTCGTCAGCATCTCCGAAGTCAACGAGCCCACGGCGGCGAAGGCGGAGCTGCCTGTCGATCACGGCCCCATCCCCTTCCACAAGCCGTTCAGGTCGCTCAACGGAAATGGACAGGCGCCGCCCCCACCGTCTGCGTTCGACACGTTCAAGACGCGCCCTCCGCCTCGCCGAGCCACCCAGAGAAAGACGCGCGTACCCCCGACTTTCAATCTTATGGTACGTCACAAGATATTCCTCGATGGTTGCGAACGCGACTCAGACGGGTTTGGACAGGTTGTGGGGGCCCAAGGTTGCGGCAAGACGTCGTTGCTACGTCTCCTTCTCGAGACAGCGGACCTGTCTCCGACAGCCACAGTTGATCAGCGTGCCGTCATGGAGCGCTTCTTACGCGGTGACCCCAAACGTACCCAGTCCATCCAGACTGCATGCGTCGAAATATACGAGTCCAAGACGGACCGCATCCTGTTCTCTGTCGTTGACACGCCTGGATTGGATTTTAGGGAGACACGGGAGCTGAAGCTGGAGCGGCAAGTGTCGGGCATCATGAAATACGTCGATTCTCTGTATGCCGACACTATGGCGGAGGAGTCAAAAGTCGCAAGGCAAAGCAAAGGCGACCAACACATCCACTTGTAAGTGGACGGGCTCTTTAGATCAGGTCTGTGCTCAAGTGCAGTAGGTGCATATACATGATCGACCCTTCTTCCATCATGTCCGCATCCGCGCGTCGGGCGCTCTCATCGCTTCCTTCGAAGACACATTCGGAATCCACTCTCAGATACTCTGCTATCAACGCCTCGATGTCGTCTGACGGCCACGGAGACGAGGACGAAGACGAGGAGAGCAAGCGCCTTACCATGTCACCCGCCGAGATACGGGTCATCCGTCGCCTCTCGGAACGCGTCAACGTCCTACCCGTTATTGCGAGGTCCGACTCACTCACGGACGAATCCCTCGCCGAACTGAAAGACGCGATTCGGCGCGACCTGCGCGGAGCGCGCATCGACCTCGGGATCTTCGAGCCTGCGGGCCATCGCGACGTCAGCGCCCAAGAGTCGATCCCATCTTCACCCGTGTCGCCCGCAAAGAAATCCGCCATCTCCTTCGCGATTGTGACCACGCCCAATGGCACCAGCCCAGTGGTCGCGAACGGCGACGATGCATCGAAAGCGGAAGACGACAAAGAGGCGGACGCGGATGACGGCCGTCAGTCTCGGCCGGTCATCAAGTTACGCCGGCCCAGACACGCGCCGTCTCTCAGGCGCTCCCGTTCTCGGGGGAGGCTGCTAGCTACCGAGGAACTGGTCGAGGACCCGGAGGACGAGCTGGACACGGAGAGCGTCGCGAACGTGCGCTTCTCCGCCGCCGTCGTTTCGAAGGCCAACCTGGCCGAATCGCTACCCTTCGCGCTGATGGTTCCGGAGCGCTCGTCCCGCCGTCGCCGCCCGTCTATGGGTGCGCCCCTCCCGACCGCCTCGCTAGCCCAGTCTCTGTCTCGTTCGATTTCCTTGCACAGTGCCGACACGGGATCGGCCAGCGGAGACGCTACGCCAACACCTCTGACCGTCGTTACTCCCTCGGAGAATGGCGATGCACACCCAGCAGGCGAAGAGAAGGAGGAACCTTTGTCTCCCTCATCTGAGTATACCCATTCGACGCATGCGAGGAGTCGGCCTGCGTCCTACGTCATGGGCCCCCCTGAAGATTTGCGGGGCGTCTTCCTGCGCAAATTCCGATGGGGTACGATTGACGTCCTTGACCCTAATCATTGCGATTTCGCGGCGATGAGGACCGCCGTGCTGTCCACGCATATGAAGGTATCTTGAACAGTTCTGTGCTCTGATAACATATTCTATATGCTGATTATATGTCCTCCAGTCCCTCAAAAACAGGACAAGAGAGGTTTTGTACGAAAAGTACAGAACCGAAAAACTGCTTGCCAGACGCGCTACCAGGACCATCAGTGAAGACGAGACCTTGCGGTTGCTGGAAGGTATAGGATGCTTGCATCAGACATGTCGCTTCAAGTTGCTGATTCTCCCCATAGATCTTGGTCTGTGAATACTTTTACCCCATCTACAACTTCGGAAGACGCGCAGGATGTGATCGCCGTGTGGAGTATCATTTATGCTTATTTTTGTGTTGCTTCCATCGTAATATGGTTGTGAGACGTGGATTATTGCTGCATTCTGGAATCCCTGTACATCCTATCTTCGTTATTGCTCATATCTTTTGCTCGTTATCTCATGCGGACTTGGCGTCCAGTATAGTTTCTTCCGACATTTCCAAGAGACAGTAGTACATGTGTGTAGCGATATTTATTTCTTGGATAGTTCCTCGATCTCGGCCTCCGATAGGCCCTCGAGTCTCACGAGAAGGTAGTCTACCTGTGATTATACCTGTCAGTCCCGGATCTACGCCTGCCAATCATTCATCATGTCACGACCGACCTCGACCTCCTTCGTGAGAGGAATGATGTAGTTCTCGTACAGCTCGACGACGCCGTCCACGTCGATCTTGAGAGCGCCACTCTGGCCGAGCGGCTCGCCGTCGGGCGCGAAATCCTGCGCATACAGGGCGGCCTTCTTCCTCAGGCGCTGCAGCAACCGAGCCTCGACCTCGGGCTTGGTGATGAGCGCCTCCAACTTCTCGCGATCCCTGGTCTTGATGTGCGGGATGAAGGCGGAGGGATGGTCGGAGAACTTGGATTCCGATACGAATTTGCCTGATCGCCCCGGGCGCGTTCCAGAATGTCCCCCCACCCCCACTGTCAGCCGACGCGATTCTGGGGTTATATGTCGTTGCGCACGCACCGTAGTGCACCCGCTTGCTGATCGCGGCGAGGACTTCGACGTCGATGGTCGCCGCGCTGCCGTAATTCCCGTCGTCTTCGTACTCGGCGTCGCCCCTTATGCCGTTGGCGCGCTTGATCGCGGCTAGTGCGAGCGTCGCCTGCTTGGTGATCCGGGGGACGATGGAGCGCGTGTAAAAGGAGAGGATGGACGGGTTCACGTTCACGTTGTTTGGATGCAGGATCTGGGGGAACGGCAGCGGGCCGAGGACGGGCTCTGGGAGGCCCTCGGTGAACGGGTACTCGTCCGGGCTGCCGTTCAAGCGAGACGATCAGCGCTGGCGGTCAGATATGGTCACGGTCGCTGCCTCGCCTTGTGTACCTCCGGGCCTTGGCTGGGGGAGGCCTGGTATCAGCCGCGCAGCACGAAGCGAGTAAGGGACTTCAGGGAGGTGTACCATGGAACGTCTCGGTCTCCTTCAGGAACCAGTCGAGCCAGCTGCCGTCGAACCCCTGGGCGGCGAGCTCGGGGAAGGCGCCGCGCTGGTAGATCTTCGGGTTGTGCGCGAACTGGGCGCGTTCGATGAGGAGGAAGATGATCGTATCTTCGAGGCGTGTCAGGATGGAGCGTATCGAATCCAGCGAGAGCGGGTCGCGCGATAGGAAGTAGTTGCTCTGCATGGTCGGTCCGCGTCTATGGAAGGGCTCGTGGGCAGGCCGATACCGACCTGGGGGGGGCATCCTGCAACCACCGGTGATCAGCCCCTGCCTCCCACACGTACGCATCCCCCTCGTTTCCTATCTCAGAGGAGCGAAGCCCCGGCCAATATCAATCCACGGACATGCCGGCCTTATCCGCGCCACAAGACCGTGTATATCAGCTACGAGAACAATCTATATGGACAGGTGCGACCCAGAACATAAATACATGAAGAATTGTTACGTGTTACGCGAGCGATCTGGAATGCGGCACGGACCAAGGGAAGAAAACAGGGGTGGTGATGGTACAACTACATCTTTCGGGTCGGTCAGAATACAGATAGCGAGCGCTACGGTCCCACGGAAACCCACAACGGCACAGAGAAAAGAAAAGAAAGGCAAAACAGATACTGGAGCGGGTGCGATAGTCCTGTGATAGTATCCGGCGACGCGCCCGTATCGGCAGGGCGTCCTCTATGTTTTTAGCAGTGTGGCAACGGCGATGGGGCTGTCGTTCATCCCCTCTAGGCGCATCTTCTTAAGCGGACCGATGTCGCTCCCATCGGTGTACTCGTCTTCGTGCGGGTACCTGTCCGCGGAGGAGATACGGTTCAAGGAGACACGGTCAGCCGAAGGCGGAGGCGAGGGCGAGGGCGAAGAAGGGTTGGATTCCTCCTTCGCTCTAGACTCGCTGGACCCCGCGCTTCTGCCGGAGGCGCCGTTTATGTAGCTGCAGGGCAACTGCCTGCGGGCACAGCTCGCGCACGTTGGATGGACAGAGTCACACTTGGTCTTGCGTGCTAAGGAGGGGAGCAAAATTGAATATATGAGAAAATAGGCACCGAGATGACGGAAAGACGGGAGAAAGGTCCAGCCCACCTCTGCAGAAGTTGCAAGCGACGACCTTGGAACCGTGTGACTGTCGGTGTCCCCGCACGAAGACGGAGCCGCGCTTTTTCGCGGTCGGGGGCGGATCCATCCCGGACCTGTTCGCCGAGTATGATCCATTGTCACGTTGGACAGGTGACGGCGGAGAGGAGAACGGCATTTGAGGCAGATGCCGCTCGTTGAAGGGGGGTTCTGCGTGACCTGACGATGTTGACGAGCCGCCGAGGGTATTGGACCGCGGCCTGCCGTCCGTACGATGACGATGCACAGAGAGCGAGTCTTCGGGCGGACCGTAAACGCTCATTGCCGCTGGATGCGCGGATTCGGCTGACAAGAGCATGTCCACGGTCGATCCGTTGCGCGGCGGATGCATTTGCACCTCCGGGGACCGCGAGGGGGTGTCGTAAGGGGATCGGCCGATGCTGCTCTCCGCTTCGCTCCCGCTGTCCCCGAATTGGTTCGGCGGCCGGCCTGGGCCTCGGCGCTTGACGTTGTGAATGTAATCGCAGGTGTTGCCACGCTTGAGGCACTGGCTACACGCGGGCCGTCCTCCGTCGCATTTCAGCTTGCGGGCTGGCGAAGCATGAGTACGTGAAATCAAGATGCTGATGGCCACACAATGCCTTACATCGGCAGAAGTTGCAGGCCACGGGGATCTTCTTGGCCCGCTGCTTGTAAAGACCTGCAGGAAGGACGTCAGCTTGCTTACTCTCGTTCCATGCGTAGGAATGCACACATGAGAGCGGGCGGCGAGGGCGAGGAGGTGGGGAAGGGAGGACATTGACTTACTCGGATCGGGATAGGGAGCTTTATCGGTCGGAGGATGGACGGCGACCTCTGGACCGAGAATGCCAGATCCCGCTACCCGTGGGTCGGCCCTGAGAGTGAGCGGGGTACCAAGGGAGGAATGCCGGTCCACTGCCGCGGCTGGATGTGGTGCTTCCAATGCGGGGAGGCTTCTCGAGACCTCGGAGAGCGGAGGGAGGCGTCGACTGTGTTGGGATACCGGGTGATGGACGGGCGCCTGCATCCGGTGTGCCGGAACCTCTGTCTTGTATCGCTTGAAGAGGTAGCCCTTGGTATATGTATGCAACGTCTGGGCAAAACGTTAGCGAGCGGGACGACGAACAGCCAGGCGGTCGCTCACCTCCATATGATGGAATATGGCGGCGCGAAGGTAGAGGAAATCGCAATGTTTGCGGTCAAGGACGTCTAGCGAGCCCCAGCGATACGTGCGGGTGTATTTTCCGAGGACGAGGTTAGAGGGGCGGTTATGGGAAGGAGTGTACTGTTCTATCAGCTCGTGACGCGACAGAGGGACTTGGGCGGCTCCGTCGCTGTGAGCATAGAGGTCGGGGGAAATCAGCGCGTACGGGACGCGCGGAGGAGAAGGCGGCGAGATGCGAGAAGCATGTCCATTTCCATTCGAGTAGGCAGGCCGAGACATGAGCGGCGAGACGTCCTCCTCGGACTGGTCGAAGATGCCAAAGCCGATACCCGCGCGGGCGAGGTCGTTGCGCACGGCCATCTTGACGGCCGCGAGCCGGTCGTTCGTGAGCGTGTCGGCGCGTGCAATCACGGGGAGCACGTTCACGCGGGCGGAGAGCCGGCGTATGGTCTCGATCTCCGCAGCGGGGACGACGGGTGTGTAAAGCAGCGGGTTGGTCGTGACCGGCGCTTCGAGGATGAAGGGTTCGCCGTCTGTATGGGAAGAAGTCCGCGCCCTAGGAACCATGGGCGGAGGCGCGCTCGGGACCTGTGGCGGCACGATAACGTCTGGGTCCAGGAAGTACAGGCAGCTGGGGTCACAAGGTCAGGAAGCGCGATAAGACGGAAAAGGCGAACGTGACGGGGGGGTACTCACAGGTGGACGTGGTGGTCGCCGGTCCTGGCCTTGTAGTCCTGTGGTAAATACGTTAGAATGCAGGACGAACGCGGTGCTTTGCGGTGCGCTTGAGTGGGTGAACACGCACATCGTCGCAGCTCTCGGCAAACTTGGCGTCGACGAACTGGAGAATGTCCTGGGTCTGCCGCTCGAGGGCGCCCTCGTCACTAAAGTCGAGCGACGGGGTGTCGATAACGGCGAGGGTGACGAGACGACGTGTGTGGTCGTCCATATCGGGCACGAGCACGTCCACGGCGGCCTGGCGGAGATGGGTGGTGTGGCTGCTGCACCCCTGGACGAACTTGGCGACGGCGGCGACCTGGTCGTGGCTGGCCGAGGGCGCGACGTCGCTGGTGTCGAGGAGGAGGCGGAGGAAGGAGGTCTTGCCGGAGCGCTGGCCGGCGACCATGAGCGTCCAGCCGGCGGAGGACGGACCCTCGCTGGCGGCGGGCGGTGCGGCGGGCGGGGGGTGGTGGTGCATGTCGCGGCGCGGCGGGGCGGGGGCGGGGACGCGGGTGACGACGTTGACGGCGGCGGGGGCTGGCCAGGCGTCGGGGCGGTCGTCGTCGGTGCGCCTGGCGGCCATGGGCGTGGTCAAGCAGCCCGCTGCCCCGCGCGGACTTGACCCGAGTCGAGAACGCGGTGCTTCCGCCCTCCCATCTTCCACCAGAAATTCGGCCGGGCCCAGTCCCCTCGCCCCGGGCGGAGCCGCAATTTAATATTTAACGTGGTTCCGGCCAATCATGCGGCGCTCGGGCGCGTGGGGGGGTGGGGTTCGGGCAGGATTACAACTGACGATGCTACGCTCGATTATCGCATGCGTACAGGGCGCTCTACGGTGATTAATAGGCCTGGTGGGGGATTAGGGATTATGGCAAGGCGCAGGATAGGGGTGGGGAGAGGGGGGGAAGAGGGGGCGCGGCCAGGGGCTCGCTCGGTTGCCGTAATGATACGGATCAAATGGAAAAATCACATCTCCGGGTGCAAGGCGTCCGCATATCGCCGCTGCGGTGCCTCCGCGCCGAGCACCCAATGACGAAGCCGCCCTGGCCTCACGCCCCCTCCGCCCGCTGGGGGGGCCTCGTGTTCCCGGCGGGCGTCCCGCCCCGACTTCTGTTCGGGCTCCCACCCGCTGGTGGCGCCGCGTGTCGACCAGGCGACCCCGCACCCTCGCCGCCCCCGCCCCAGTGGCGGTCCCCGTCCCCGTACGCACCCGCCCCCCGTCTGACCGACAGCCCCGCGTCCGAGCGCCCCGCCGTCGACGCGTAGCTGAACGTGAACTCCCCCGTGGGCACGCCCGCAGCACCGGACGGGCCCTCCCCCAGCGCGTTCTGATGCCCGTGCGGAGCTACGGAGGAGGGAACCGAGCCGTGGGCTCCGTGGTACAAAGCAGGCCCTCCCGCTCGGCTAGGCCCAGAGCCCGCGACCGGCGCGCCCACGGGCTCCATCCGGCGGCGGGTGGCGGCGCGCCGGGATGCGCTCATCCCAGGCTGCTCGGCGATGAACTGATAGTCCCGTTCGGGCGCGCGGAGCGCCGTGCCGCCGGGCGAGATCGATGGTGGCGCCGAGTCCGGTGCGGCGTGCGCGGGCAGGTGCGAGGGCCCCGCGACCGGCGAGAACGAGAACGGGGCGCCCTGCGCGCCCCCGCCGGCCGAGGGCAGGGACATCATCGAGAGCGCGGGGGAGGAGAGCGTGCGCTGGTCCGGGGACGACTGCGCAGACGAGTCCGGTCTGGGATCTGCGACCGGTCTCCTTCGACTGCCGCGCGGCGCCTTGCCTGGCCCGCGGCGCCTCTGCTTCTCGACGTAGACGCACTCCCAAAGCTTGCCCAAGCAGGACGAGCACGGGTGCGGCTTGATTCCGTCGCAGGCTATTTTTCGTTCTGTAGACGCCATTTATGTAATTAGCCAGGAAACCCTCGTGAGAGCAGAACCCCCCGCTCACTCCTGCATCTGTTGCACGCAATAGCCGCCTTCCTCGCCCGGCTGCCCTTCCCTCTCTTCCGGGACGGCTCTTCGTCCCTGTCCGACTCGCTCTGCACCGAGCGCACCCCCGACGCCGTCGCCGCGGGACTCGCCGAGCTCTCCTGCCGCCCGTGCAGCGGCGACGCCGACCACGTCTGAGGCGACACGTCCGTCTCCTCGTCCCCGCTGTCCAGCTCCCGGTAGCCCGCGCCGTGGGGGAGCGGATCGAAGCCCGCTCGCCGGGGAAGCGGGCGCTGGGGCCGCGGCGATTCGATCTGGCCCGGCTGGGGTGGCGTGAACGAACGCAGCGTCAGGTTTGCCAGGGGCGCTGTCGGCGTCACGTTCGTTCGGGGAGGATGGCGCGGCATGTCTTCGCCCGTCAGGATCGGCGGCAGCTGCATTCGCTGCGCGTGGCGGTCGGGGGTAGCGTACTCCGCCCCTGGCGACGCTGCAGTCGGCCCGTCAGACGGCTCCAGCAATTCAGGCAAATATGGCGCGGATGTACCTGACCACCGGAGGCTGCCTTCGGGCCGCACGCTGCGACTCCTCGAACGTCCCTCCGCCTCGGACGAAGAGTCTCGAAGGATATCTTGCAGGCGGCGCTTTCGACGTGGACTTCTCCCACGCTCGTACTGTTCGGCGTCGTTGACACCGCGTTGCCCGCCCGCTCGGTCACGCCAGGAATGGGGCGCAAAGTTCAAAAGGGCGTCTGGTGGATTCGTCCCGCCGCCGCGACCCCATGGTTCGTTGGGTTCCCGCCAGCGAGCGTAGGCTCCGCCGCCACCGCCGCCGCGCGAGGACGACCCAGCGTCGGCGGCTTGCGGACGCCCTTCTGGCGGATACGCGGCATAGGACGGCGGCACCGGCGGGAGCGGCGGCCACCTATAGGGGATATCTTGGGCGGCGTCGCCGGCAGGATACGTACCGTACCTGCCAAAGAGCGGACGATCCGCTGGACCATGGGGAATGGAAGAGCTGGCCAGGCGCGGTTCGGGCAGGTATCTGCTCTCTGCGGTCTCTGACCAGGAACGATCGGTGGGACGCCTGAAATCGCATTATCGCTGAATAATCGCCGCCTATTCCGATGAAAGCGAACAAAGGCTGACCTTGACGACGACGGCTGTTGGTTAACTTGGGCTGGATCTCGAGCTGGATCGTAGGAATAGGGCGATGGCCTTGCGCTTTGACCTTCGCCAAACGGTCCGCCGGCGGCGGCGGGAGGGGGTGCGTTGTCACTGTTACCTTCCCGAGGGCCAAGTAATATGTGCTGCAATAAGGGCGTCGGGAGAGAGGACCTCTCCCGTGGAGGTTGGCGATCCTGTTCACTCATGATCGATTTGATAGAAGAGCAAGCTTTGTGCGCGAAGATGGGTGTGGGGTAGGTGAGATGTCTGGATCCGTGCAGGTGAAAGAAGAGAAATAGGCCATCCGCGATCGGGACGGTCGACTTGGCTGCACGACGACGGTCGCAAATTTTGCACCCGTGTAAAGGGGCTAACTTGCTCTCGTCCCTGGACCCGCAAGCTTTTCCGAGACTGAATAGGAGCTCCCTAACGGCGATCGGCTAGTGGGCTCCTGGCAATCCGCATCGGCAGCGGCTGCTGCGCCTCCTCTTCGGGATGTTAATGGATCCGCAGGGCCCCGTCGCAAGGCCAGACGGCAGCGATGTGGTGGTCTAGATGAAAGAGCTGCTGAGAGATGTGGCTGGCGACAACGACACTGCCAAAGGCGCCCCCCTCTTTGCGTTGTCCGCCACGCTCCTTTCAGACGGGGCAGCTCCGGCCGACGCCGGTGTCGGTGAATATCTTCCGCACCGCGAGCCCGGTAGATAAGAGGAAGTGCGGCGGGCCTCGTGGAATAATACCTACCGTGCTGTGAGTATGAAGACGAGCGCGATAATTCAAGGCAGCGGGCCACGGGGCGTAACGTGTTTCCTGGATAACATTGACTGGATCGCCATCAGATCTTTTCCAGCCAATCTGACTAGCCCCTGTTCCTTCTTGGCCGCTTTAGTCAACACCGTGCCGATAGTCCGGTACGACCTCGGTTTCGTCGCGTTTTCTGAGCTTGAACTCTCCACCTACTAGATTATCGCCCTGCGACTTCTCGCATTGGACCCCAGGATGACCCTCAGGAACGCCGTTTGCGTACGGACTCTCTGCATTCTATGCTAACAGCGTCTAAGAGCACGCTACCTCTATCTCGGTGAGACAACCTCGAGCCCCTCGATCATCACGTCCCTCGAAAGATCGCGGTCCCGCTGACCCGGGCAACGCACCCATATGCATATGCATGCTTAGTAACATCATCGCACTAGGAATTTATACCGGGCCGCCGGTAATTCCTGGATGACGATATCGGGTGGTTCGTACGTCGATCCTCGCGGCGGACCTGCCAGGCCGACGGCGTTTTTGAGTTGTGTCTCACCCGGTACCGCCTCTATTCTAGTCCCGAGGCGGTGAGTATAGGAGTCGCGCGACGAGCACGATCTGACGGCAGTAGCAATCAGCAGGAGAGTAGTGCCTGGATGTATGCATCGATCTCTTCCATGCCATTCTGTGGACGCCGTTGTGAAATCGTAATTTGCCTGATGTTCGCCCCCCGTGTACATGCACCGAACCATCTCAGCTGGAGCATCATTGAAAGGGCACGTGGAGCAGGGCTGTGGGAGCGTTTCCACGTGGGCGACCGAAAGGCTCCTCGTTCGGAGTCACGTCCGAAGCAAATGCCTTGCAAGATGAGTGCTCGTCTGCCGTTGTGTCGCGGCCAGTCTACGCGCCATGGCGCTCGGTGCTTCAGCGCGGCGGCTGCGCGCCGTAGCGAGAAACCCATCATGAACCGCTATAGCAGAAACATCACCCAACCAAAGGCACAAGGCGCGAGCCAGGTACCGCGACTAATACGACCGCATCTATTGGTGGAGACTGAGACCCTGCGATGATAGGCCATGTTGTACGCGACGGAGGGCATCAAAACGGATGACGACTTCAACAAGGCGATGGTCGGCGTGGCTAGCGTATGGTGAGTTATTCCCGTCACGCTCCAGACCGACTCTCTCTCATCGCACACCACTCCAGGTATGAAGGCAATCCGTAGGCCCCGACCCGCTGCACCTCTCCTGCTTTCAAGCTCACTTTGACCTCTCAGATGCAACCGGCATCTGCTTGCCATGGGCCAGCGTGTCAAGAAGTCCGTCGTAGACGCGGACCTGATTGGCTACCAGTTCGGCACTGTCGGAGTTAGCGACGGGATTAGCATGGGCACCCGCGGGATGTCCTACTCGCTGCAGTCGAGAGATCTTATCGCGGACTCGGTCGAGACCGCGGCCGGAGGACACTGGCTGGATGGCATGGTCGTGATTCCGGGGTGCGACAAGAATATGCCCGGTGTGCTCATGGCGCGTGAGTAGCAGCAGCCTAGTCTCCAGAGAAACCCCATCTAACGCACATGCAGTTGGCAGGCTGAACCGGCCAGGGCTGATGGTCTACGGTGGAACCATCAGACCCGGTTCATGTGGTGGAGGTCCTCCTTTGGACATCGTCTCAGCATTCCAGTCCTACGGCAAGTACCTTCAAGAGGGCAAGACCCCTGATGCCGAGCAGGAGCGGTACAACACCATCAGACACGCCTGTCCAGGCCCGGGTGCTTGCGGAGGAGGTACGAGACCCTCAGTTTGAGTGATGAAGTATTCCTGACCTTACTCGCAGTGAGTTGATCGGCTAACTTCATGCGCTGTGATACCGACAAGTTCTGTAGATGTACACCGCAAATACGATGGCCAGCGCTGCCGAAGCGATCGGCATGACGCTGCCCGGTTCTTCCTCTTTCCCTGCGGAATACGAGGAGAAGCAAATCGAGTGCGACCAAGTTGGACCTGCTATGCGTAACCTGCTGGAAAAGAACATCTTGCCCCGGGACATCATGACACGTACCGCGTTTGAAAATGCGATGGTACGAATTGGAGTTCTCCAGACGGTCGTTGGTTTGACTTGAGCTCGCATACATGCAGGTCTTGACGATGATCCTCGGTGGATCCACCAACGCCGTCCTTCACTTGCTCGCCATCGCACATTCTGTGGGCGTCAAGCTTACCATTGACGACTTTCAAAGCGTCTCCGATCGCATACCCTTCATTGCGGATTTGAAACCTAGTGGCAAATACGTTATGGAAGATCTGCACAAGATTGGCGGTATCCCGAGTAAGTGGTGTCCAACTTAGTACGTCGCTCGTACTAAGGGATTCGCCAGCGATTCTCCATTATTTGATGAAGAACGGTCTCATTGACGGAAACGGCATGACGGTCACTGGACGCACACTCGGTGAAAACCTCGAGCGCTGGGTTCACGAACATGGCGAACTCTCATTCACCCAGGACGTCATTCGTCCTTTGGACAAACCCATCAAGCCCACCGGTCATCTTAGGTACATCATCTCTATGGCCTTGTTATCCTGGCTGCACATTGACGCAACGTTGGCAGGATCTTGAAGGGTAACCTTGCACCGGGCGGTGCCGTAGCGAAGATTACGGGCAAGGAAGGACTAAGCTTCACCGGAAAGGCCCGCGCATTTGACTCCGAGGATGACTTTGTCACGGCCGTCGAGAGCGGATCGATCAAGAAGGGCAAGAAGACAGTCGTTGTCCTCCGATACCTCGGACCCAAGGGTGGCCCAGGCATGCCGGAGATGCTGAAACCGACCAGTCTTATCATGGGCGCCGGACTCGGATACGATGTTGCATCGCTCACCGATGGCCGTTTCAGCGGCGGGTGCGTCGCTTCCTCTCTTACTCGTGTATCGGTGGCTGACGGCAATTTATCCATAATAGATCTCATGGATTCTGCATCGGTCATGTGGTGCCCGAGGCCCAAGTCGGCGGACCTATTGCGCTTGTCCAGGACGGCGATACGATATCCATCGATGCGGTGAAAAACACCATCGAACTCCACGTTTCGGATGAGGAATTGTCGCGGAGGCGGGCAGCATGGAAGGCACCGCCGCTGAAGGCAACGCAGGGCACGTTGTACAAGTACATCAAGAACGTGGAGGATGCGAGCCACGGCTGCATCACGGACGCATGAGAGCACGTGGCAGTTGACCGCCGCCGCTCATTCGCTTTGCAACGCACCTACCAAAAGTATATACATAAATGAACATAACGCTGTCTAATAGGAAATGGATTGTTATCCTCTCGACGTCGTCTTGATGCGGCGTTTCTTTTCCGCCTTGGGCATTTTGTTTTTGCGTTTCTCCCGGGCTTCCTCTTTCGTCGCTTTCTTCCTCTCCTACAGCATGTGGTCAGCGTGCATCGGGCGGGACATCGAAGGTGCCACCTTTTTGGCCTCGCGGTCCTCGTGTCGGTGACCGCGTGGACGGCGATCCTCGGACGGCTTCTCTTCGCTATCCCCGCTCTCTTCCTCGCCTTCCTCTTCCTCGTCTTCGTCTTCGCTCCCTGACTGATCTTCAAACCTAACTTGACCCTTCTCTCCCTTCCCCTCGACCCTTTTCTCCTTCGCAGGGTCCACCAACCCGATGCTGTCAGCGTAAATGAGCTTGTCGCCCTCGCCCTCCTTCACGAGCGCGACATCTCGCTCCGGATCGTATAACTCATTGAGCCGCCGAGGAATATACGACTTTCTGAAAACCTCCTCGTCGTTTTCGTTGATCTCATCCTCTTTCACCTCTTCTGCCAGCCACTGGTGCAAAACCTCCACCTCTTCCGTCTCTGCACCATCCGCCAGCTGATCCCGCGTCACAAAATCGAAGGATCTCCGCAGCCCAAGCGTCTTCACGCCAGCGCGTCCAAAATATTCTTCGACGTTTTTCAGGTCGTTTCGTAGGAAGTCGAACGCGTGCGGATGATCGTGCTCGACGCTCTGAGAAACGTCGATGATGTAGAGATGCGATTTGTGATAGATAATGTTGTATTCAGATAGATCAGCGTGCACCAGTTTGCATTTATGGAAGAGCGTGCGGACGGCCAAAACGATCTCCGAGTAGAGGGCCGGATAATCCGCCGATGGTATAGATGCATCTTTCAGCCGCGGAGATGCCCTGCGATCGTGAGGGGCGACCATCGTATGAGGTGGAGCAGGCACTTACCATCCTTCCTCGTCCCCCAAGAACGACATGACTAGGACGTTCTCCCTGACTTCAACGGCTCGTGGGCACGGTAGTCCTGCCGCTGCCAACCGCTTGAGGTTTCGCATTTCCTTCTCGGCCCACACCCTCACCATCTTGCGCGGGTTGTGCCGCGAGTACCCGCGTCGAAATCGGTACTCGCCAGAGACATACTTGTCTCGGTCTTTGAAGACCAGGATGGACGTCTTATAAATCTTGAGCGCCAGGTGTTCCCCTGTAGGTGATACGGCGTGGTAAACATTCGCCTATGAATCACAAGATCAGAGCGAAATCTGAAAACACGCGTCATTGGGGAGGTGGTAGAGACCAACCTCTTTACCTGTGCTGACACAGCCGTTGACCTCCTGGATCAGGCCACGGCCGATCATCTTGTACAAAATGACCCTCGTCCGCGGGTCCAGTACCTGTTCGGTCGTTGCACGGTCCGATTTGTCCTTCATGTTGGCGGTGGCACTTGGACCTTTCCTGTTCACCCCGACACCCAATTGATAGGGCAAGTCGATGTTTGAGATGCGCGACGAATATTTCGAGAGCGCAGCGAGCTGGTCAGCGGTCTTGTCTCGCTGTTTGGTGACATCCACATTCCTCGGCCGGTTCACTGCGGGGAGAGAGGCTACATGAACGCTGCCTGAAGAAGATGTGGCCGTAGTGACAGAGGTTGACGGAGCATTTGATACGATCCCCTGCACGTTACCAGTGCGAACTGCGACATGTTGTCTCAGCCGATTGTATTGTTTCGTAAAATCTATTGTGCAAGTCAGCGACGCCACACTAGCATATAAATGGAACTCGCGCAAATACTGCACCTCTTTCTGCCATCTCCCAGTCTTCGTCCTCAACCCGCAGATCGTCAAAGTCGCGTTCGTCGAGCTCGCTCTCCTCTTCCTCTGGATCGGACCACTCCAGTGCCTGGGACTCATCATCGATATAACTGTAACCCTGCCTCGGAGCTCCTGTTATTGTTTCGTTGCTCGACCGCCTTGGATCGCCACTCGTAACGTCCGTGTCTGCCATCTCTGCGCTGCTCCTAGCTGCTTGACGAAGAGGATAAATAAGGCACAGCCACAAGCGGGACGATGCCATCGGCGACTTCTTTTCTCACGCCGGCCATCCTCTGTGACGACGACCTTGTCCTCTCTGAGGCCAAAAGCGATGGTATGCTGTACATGTCCGTCCGCAACTGATGGGTCCTCCGTGTGCGATATGGGTCTTGTGTTCTTCCCGGTGCTCCCCTCCTTGTCCTCTTCTTCAACCGAAAAAACGTGCATATATTCAACGACTCAAATCTTGGTGCTTACGATGACCTGGCAACCTTCAGCTTCACCGGGACTTCATCATTCATACCGTTCGTTCACTTGTTATAAACTCTGGAGGTCCTCCCACGTGTCAACGTTGTTTTCTGGCTGTGCCTAAAGCATGTGTAAAGACATACCCACTAGTCACGCTGCGTGTTCGTCCACCTCCCTGCCAAAGTGCACAACAACTCAATACTTGTCCCCACTTTCCCCTGGCCATCATTACCATTCTAGTCTCCATCAACCCTCAGCCCTCAGAGCGCAGGCCACGCTGCCTCGTGTTCTGTGCTAGCGTTGCCGGCGTGTCGGGATACCCCCCAAGATGATCATTTCAGGCCGACCACTACAGACTCCTTGTGGACAACTGACAGCCGTGGGCTCAGAATACGGCAGATTTTCACAGCTCGACCTTCTTATACCTTCTGCCACGGTCTAAGACTCGAGGCTGCTCTATCCGGTGTCTATCCGGCTAACACAGCATCCAGTTCTGCCCATATTCCTGGACATTGCCGGCTAATTGTGTCTTGTCTGGTCACGGGATGGAATCATTACAGCTCGACGCGACGCGTCCAAGGCGCTCTGGCGTCATCCGCTTCTTCACCGCAACTATCCTCCTGCCATATATCTGCTTTGCAGCGTTCCTCACTCTCATAGACTATCCTTGCCGCAAGTTTCGCCATGAATCAGAACGGTGGTGGGCAGCAGGTCGTCCTGAGAAGCGTTGAGGATTTGCGAGGAGTAGCGAACCCTGTGAGTCCTGCGTGGCTTGCGATCTTTCGGCAGCCACGGCGTCTGACCTTCGTCCCAGGCTTCGCTCAGGTCTATTCGCATCGAGGCCGACTTGGATGCAACGCTAGAGATCGTAGCCTCCACGACGAACGCCATGGCCGATCTGTACCTGGAGGTCCCCGCCCTCAACTCTACCGACCAACTTGATCATGCGTTGCAAGCGATTGCAACCCAGTTCCCCATTCTCACTCGCATCGTCGTAGATATCATCTCCGCGCCGCCAGAACAATCTTGGTTGAAGGTCTCGGCTCTCGGACTGTTTGATCACCTCGAGCATCTCGTCGTTCGTTGCCCCATGCCCCTCCTCCTGACGAACGAAGACCTCCAGGGAATGATTCGCGGTTGGCCTCTGATCCGCCACCTGGAGCTCAACCCGATGGGCAATACTGCGTTCTATGGAATCCAGGATCGACTACCTTCCCTGGGCGGCGTTATAGCAGCCGCGGAATGCGGGACCTACTTGGAATATCTCGGGCTGTGCATCAAGCCCGAGCTGCAGATCCCTCAAGTGTTCCTTAGCTGGAAGAAGCTAAAGTACATGGACTTTGGCAGGTCCTCCGGGTCTGATGCAGATGCCAACAAGGTCGCGAGGATTCTGCACCAGGCATTCCCTCCTGCTGAATACCCGGACCTCAAGATGGTCACGTATATCGGACAGTCAGCCTGGGTTCAGCTTCTCGCTGCAAGGTTTGAGCAGCTCCGTGGCAACTTGTCCTAAAGTCCTCCCCTCCATTCCTTCCTTAGGAACGCCTTCAAGTTCGCTGGCCTCCTCTCCTCCGGCATTTCATTTCCCAGATGCAGCCGAGGCCTACTGCACCCCAATACCCCATACCCCGGACTGATCCATCTCGTTGATATCTGTAGTGTGCCCCCGTCCACGATGCTCTTTGCTCTGCTTTGTTGTGCATATGTTTATTCGTTCTGCCACGCATTGCGCTAAAGGCGCCCCTGACGAGCTCCCGGTGTGCATTCGCGTTTCATCGCTGCGATGTCTCCTTACGCACTTTCATACATCCACGCATTCCCACTGTATCGATAGCGTTCCATGATCCCTGTTCTAGTTGGTGTAGACTCCGTACTTACCAGAGTTGTACATGAGCAGGGGAATAAACATTCGTAGATCCATCTCAGCATTCGCCCCCAACAAACACTTAATAAGTTATGGATGAGCCTTGATGAGCCCTACTTACCTTAGGCCGCATGCGCGCCGGGTCGCCGGGCTCGTAACGCGCAGCACGTGACGTTACGCGTCGATGGCTCGCCGGTCCTGTCAGCCAACCTTGCTTGAACGTTTGAACAGCGAACATGGCGCATTATCATCATACTGATCCGGGATATGCTCCGCCTCTTGTGAACCCCCCGTCTCCTGCACCGTCCGTGACATCTGTGTATGGGGAAGACGAGACGGACCCTGCCGACGCGCTCCTTTCTCCCGAGGAATTCGATAAGAAAGTGCGTGAGCAGATCGGACTTGGCCAACCCAGCGACCAGGAGATGCACGCAAACCGACTGGTAATGCTACCAAAGCCTAACAATCCTCAGGAAGAGCAGAGTGCGTGCTGTCGTAATCCAGATATGGAGCGTTGGGTGACTGATGAACGCCTCTCTTCAGTGCTATTCGAACATGTGATGAACAACCTTCGTCGACAAGTCCGCCTACTGGAGGAGAACGAGCTCTTCGAACGAACGTTGTCGAGACCCAGCCAAGTGGCCCAAACTCCGCTCCCATCTACGAACGACATCGACGCGTTAATGCGGAGCATGATGGGTTACTCCGACGCGTCGAATCGGTCTCAATCAGGGTCAAATACCTATCCAGTAGCTCAGGGTCAAACCGTTACATCTGGAGCAGGTGGCCAACTAGCTTCAGGAACTATTCTCAGCGGCCTGGACGTGTTCAACGCGCCGGTCATGCCTGTGGGTGGAGCCTACTGGGGCAACGCGCCGGACTTGAACGACGTCCTTCCGAATGGACACGGTGGCGGACAATCGACATCACGATCCGCTCGTCCCTCCCAGCCCTATGGTGCATGAAGCATTTCTCTGTTCTCCGGAGTCAATTCTGGACTGCAGTCGAAGATGCTATGGATCGGTTTCGTGTGTCCACTCAGTGGACAATGCGGCGATAAGGGTTTCACCTTCTCGTGCTCGAAGCGACCTACAGGGATCAACAACCTCCTATCACATCCTTGTTCATGAGCACTATGACGCTCTTGCGGTGATGCAACTCCATCCTCCCTCGAAGGCATCCAAGCATGTGCATGCAAATCCCATCGAAGATACGCGCAGCACCCAACACAGTCCAAGCACCATGCAGACTTCGGACCGTCTTATGGCCCCTTGCTTCTACGTCTGCCCAACCTGGCGAAGCTCTTCCTGTGTTTCTGGTGTTTTCATGTCGAAGATCTAGGATATTTCCCTATTAGACAACCGCAAGGGGGAATGACATCTCGAGGTCGTAACCCGATGTGTCACGAACCGGCCCGTACTAAACATCGGATTGTGGGTATATCTAGTGATTATTCTAGTAGCACTATAGTAGGTTTTATGATAGGTCTTCCCCGGGGTCTTCCCCTCGACGTCTCGCCAACCATACTCGTCCGCTATCATAGACAGCCAGGTATAATGCGCTTCCCAGCGTGGACCATACGGTGCGTAGTGTGCCTCCCCGCCATAGACCGCGTACGCCTTCTTCTGCCAGGATATCACGGCCGATTGCCCAGCCGGAGTACTGCGAACGCGCTTTTGGCTGGTGGCCGAGTGCATCCACTACGCCATTGTTAGGCTTTGCTTCGGATTCTCCGGCGGCGAGCATGATACGAGTCTTGATCACGTCGATTGGGGTGGTGATCGTAGCAGCAATCCCGCCCGCGATGCCTGCACTAATGGCCGTGATGACAGCACTCTCTGCGATGGTGTGTGTCCTCGCTCCATGTTGATCGCGATAGCTCCTCAAGACTTCCTTCGTCTGCTCGAAGATCGGGAACTGCATCGCGGTGAAGGGGAGGTTACGCCCCGCTAAAGCCGTATATCCCCGCCAGAGCCCGAATGGATTGGAGCGGAATTTGCGAAGCGTTTGTGCCGTGGCGCTGGTTCCACCATCTCGCGCAGAGTCGTACATTTGCGCATTTTGTTTGATGACCTCGGACGGGGTGAGGATGGCGCAGGCGACGAGTTCGCTGACGGACGAGGCGATTGCATGGTTCAAGGGTTGCCACGGGAGGAAGGGGCCGTTGTTGGGGCCAGCGGTATCAAGGAATGACTTCAAGCCCTCGTACGTTGTGAAGAAGGCTCCTGCTGGAAGGCCAAAGCGGAACGTGTGAGAACGGAGGCGAAGTGAAGGCGGAGAAGACCAGTACTGAACAAGAAGGTAACGTGGCAATCACGACGCTGCCAACGCCCTGATACAGTCCCCGGAAGAGTGCAGGCCGATTGATGGCTTGTGTCGCGGCATCTAGGTAGAGTCTAGAGTAGTTCGGAGCTTGTATGCGCGTCTTGAGCGTGTCTAGAGGATAAATGAGAAAATCGACGGTAAACGCGGCCGCTGCACCTGCCTGGATCGAGCGCTTGTAAGCATGCTAGCCGGTACGAATATGCTGTGGGTAAGTACTCACAATCAAAATGTCGGTGTTGGTGTTGGTGCTGAAGGACATCGGTAAAGTCGCAGCACGGCGAAGGCTGGATTCCGAAGAGCATGACGTGCAAGTCAGCACAGCCACAGGCGCTCGTTGCGATCAGCAAGGCGCTCGTCTCGTCCATCGTTCGGCGCGGACGTGATGTCGAACACACCAAAGTCGCGTAGCCGGACGCCGTCGCGCGCAGGGACACCCGCCCCACGTCTACAACTACCGCCGTTACGCCCGACGCAGTCTTTCTCCAACTTTCAGGTCTATCGCACCCCTTCCATATCCTCCTCCTCCTCCTCCTCATCCACCCGTACCGGAGCCAAGGGCAAGGAACGGGAAAGAAACGCCACGAATCCGGCTCCTTCTATGGTACCAAGCTCTGCGTCATCCGCCCTCAACGTCGAGATCAACTCGAATGCTGGCGAAGGGATCCTGATCCAGGATGTGCCTGAAGCAGACGTGGAGACTGTTGATGGCGAGGCGAGGGGCCGCATTGAGGGTCCCGTAGTAGATGAAGAGTCGAAGCTGGCACTTAGACAGCACCTAAGGCAGACGTTACGGTCGAGGGAGCCCAGTTTCGGTCGGTACCGTCGTGCCTGACTAGAGCTGACTTCGCCTAACATGCGAAACCTTAGTCAACGAGGAACGGCCGCGATTGCAGAAGAAGTCAACCCAAGATTCTCTGACTCTGGACGTGGAGGAGGTGTCTCGAAGGATATCTCAGGGTGAGTGATGGGGATCTATACGTAATTCAGCCCCATTTCACAAGTCTTCCAGTCGACTTGTTCCCTCCTCGACAATACTTCGTTCTCACAGAAGCAGGAAAACCCGTCTTCGTCAGGTGTGCCTTGTCTTCTGTTCGTTGGGGCCCTATATCTCCATACTGATATCTATTCCCCGTTTGCCCAGTGGCACAGACGATAGCCCGGAACTGACGGCAACCATGGGCATCATGCAAGCGCTCATCTCCATATTCGCTGACGACAATGACAAGCTACGATGCATTAATTGTGGAAAGTTACGCATCACATTCCTCTTGAGACCCCCGCTATACTATGTATGCGCATCGAGTTGGGGGGAGCCTGAGTCTATTGTACGTCGTATGTGCGCTAGCTTTGCATAGGATACTGAAATTTGAGAAGGAAGACGCGCTCGCACCTTGAGTACCTCCACTTGCAGATCCTGAGCGTTGTGAGCCTGGCACAGCTTCGGAGGATATTCGAGCGACGGAACAACTTCGACCTTCGACGATTACTCGACGGTATGACCACTACCGAGCGATAACATCTCTCTGAACATTACTAAATTCTATCCACAGGCGCCGAGAATCTTCTTCACTCACTACTGGCCCGCGTCGACGAAGACTTCGCGATGACGATGTCGGCCTTGCACGTGCTCAAAGTCGATGATAGGCTTCGGAAACGTGCTGGCGAAAGTTTACAACCGCCCTCGAAGCTAAAAGTGCGCATCACCGTGTAGATTCTCGCTAACCACGGACCCTAATAGCCGATAAAAATTAGCGAGATATACTGTATATCATCGTCATAGCTAACGGACGCGTCGTGACTGTCGCAAGACCTAAGAAACATTCGATTCATCCCTCCGGTGATCGACTTTGCTCAGGCTGACTGGTATGCATTTCTGATGCTGCGTGTGCCATGCAGATCTCCATATCCTCCTCAACACTCTGCATTCCCCGTCAATTCTCAACTCTTCAGCATCGGCCAGCTGGCTCCCCGTTTGCTTGCCGAAGTTCAATCCTTCCGGGTTTGCCAACGTATACGTGTCGTTCTTCCCCGATTCTATAGAGCAAGCGCAATCTCCCGAGACACCGAAGGCTCCGAATCCACCGCCTATATCCAGACATGCTTCCTCGAGGGACGGTTCTGGCGTAACAAGCGCACCCCAAGCGACAAAACCACCATTACCCTCTCCAGCTGGCTCTGCTTCACCTGCGCCGCAAAGCATCGGGCCGACCCTCAGTAGTTCTAATTCGGCACCTTCTGAACCTGAGCCAACGGGTCGACAGGGTGGCGAGGACAGACGTCAACGTGGTGACTTCGAGACGGGTACCGGTGTAGCGCTGGTCTGTGTCAGCGCCGGTGGCGATTTTGAGGCGATCCGGGGGTGGTGTGATCTCATCGCCAAGGTAAGCTTACCATCTTCGCTCCTAAACTTCCATTGATGAGCGCTCGTACCTGTAGAAATTGACCGACGACAACGTTGTCGCTGGGATCAGCAAGTCCATACAAACCGGGACCGTGCGGTACTCCGTAGCCGAGCTCAGTATCCCTGGCTTGCGTCATTTTGTGTACAAGAGCCGCTTGCATGTGCAGGTCACGGTCCCGATGTACGAAGATCCGTATGATGTGGTTGAGAATCGCAGACGGTGAGTCGATCGGCGTTCACCTCATCTCAGGCAGCTCACGGACAATCGACGTTAGTCTGGTGACGTTGTATCAGGCCGTACATGATAACATCCACGCGAAATCTGGTCAAAAGGGGCAGCTGAAGTTGCAATACTTGCTAACAGAGAAGGAAAGCATCATGGGATGGGTAAGACCCCGAGACTTGTCAGCTTCGAGGAGAATGACGCCGACCGTTCCCTGATGCAGATTACTCAGCCGTTCGAGCTGTATATCGCCATGTCACCGCTCGTACCCAAGAGCGCGGTGATCAATGCAGCGAACGCCGTTGCGCGCTGGGTGAAGCGAGAGGAAGGCAAGCTGTTCTTGAGGAATGCCCCAGTATTCTGACCGCGCAGGTGCCACGTGCGGAGATGTTGCTATCCTTTGTTCCGCCGATCCTTTACACCCCTGCAGTGGCTACTCTAGGCGAAGGATGGGCCACGGTGTCTGTTCCTCCTCTACGGACGATCTGCATCCATGTGTATTATCTTATCGCGCGGTTCGCGTAGATGGGAACATCGAAGGCAGGGATAATGGTCTCGTCATAGCCGACGGACGCTAGTCCATATATGGTACCCTACATGCATCTGTCGGCTCGTTCGTACGCAGGTACATGCACGTTATGGTCCCTACTGTATCGATAATCGCATAAATACACCTATCCAACTCGATCGGAACTGTGGCCCGCGGGCCATCGGTGCCTTCCCGGCAGTGGGTGGCTGCGTTCGTGTACTGTGACCGCCGGGAAGTTATTAGCTCTTTCACCGACGTTTCCGTCCGAGAACCCCTTGACCTCAGACCCTGACCATCACCCGCCTTAGTCCCGAGAGTTGCAGCCCGCTACCATGTCCGCGCATAGTTCCGCGGACGGATACCTCACCAGTGCCTCTATTCCGGTGATCGGTGCCGAGGCGGGCGAGGCGGTCGCCTCGCTGAAACGGCGAGCCTCACCATCGTTCGAAGAGGCGAGCACGAGCTACAAGAAGCTCCGCGAGCACTCAGTCGACCGAGACGAGAGCGTTCGGCCGTATGGAGCCCCGGTCGACGATCCAAGGATGCCCCGTGACGATCAGGTCGCGGAGTCACCCAAGGTGGACGGCCGAGCGCTCGCAGACGACATGGAGAGCGAGTTGGAGTGCGGCATATGCTCCGCATTGGCGTACAAGCCCGTCGTCGTGAATCCTTGTCAACATTTCTTCTGCGGAAGGTGAATCCTCGGTTGATGTATCATGCTGCACCGATGTTGATACCTCTACGTCCTTCATCTAGCTGCTGCCACCTTTGGATAAAGGTGACTGATGCGTCCCGTGTGGCGTCATGTGGAATTGCACCTGATCATAATCCTCACAGAACGGCGGCACAAATTGCCCTGCATGTAGGGGAGTATCTACGACTGCCGTGCCCTCTCGGGCGCTACAGACTATGATCGATGTTTTGCTTCGCAACTGCCCCTCGAAGCGCCGATCTGAACGCGAACGCGAGCAAGCCGACGAAGTGTACAAAGCCGGCACGACTTTACGGGTTTGCCTTTCTCCCACCACGCGCGGGATGCATGGGACTGAAACCAGACCGGTTTGCATAGATACCGATGCCGGCGCCCAGTTCGCCTCCTCCGCAGATTCCTACCAACGACTCGCTGGCGCGTCCGTGTCCGCACTGTCATCCTGATAACCCGTATGGGTACCGATGCCTGCAACCCATACCCGATCCAGACGCTCACCCCAACCAGGCCTGGAACCTAGACAACGGGCCTCCCCCTGGGCACGCATTCTGTGGCAACTGGTTGGTATCTCTCGTAAACCGCTTTACCCGCGTGGCTGACGATAGCGTCTCTGCAGTGAGGACCTGCTCGCTCTTCGAGCCCCTGCAACGACGAACTGCGATTTTTGCGAGGTTTCATTCTGCGGCATTGGTGTACAAGGCCGGTGCATCGCCGCCCGCATCGAGAATGCTCAGCCGCAGGGCTTCGCGGATGTCAGTGACCTTATCCAGAGCATTGAACTCTACGAGTGCTTTGACTCCAACTCCGTCGAAGTGGAGATCCTCCTGGATTACCTAGTAACAAAGAGGCTGCGACCACAGGCGATATATCGTGATGTGCGCTATGCGAACCAACCGTCACGGCGAAATGCTGAACACATCTTCCGTTTACCAGATCGTACTGTACATACAGTCACAGCCGCGTGGCTTTTCGTCACTGATCGAGCTGGGTCTGTTCAGCGAGAACGGACATGGAGAGGCAACTGGCGTTAACAACGACCCATCCCATCCGCGCACCCGGATCTGCCGCGTCTGCGCTGCTGAGGTGTTGATGTGGGGTATCAGGTCGGTCGGAAGCTTGCGCCATCAGCATCAAATGTGCTCAATCAACAATCGCAGGGACTGGTGGATCAGGGAACGCCGCAAAGGACACGTCGACCCTGGCGTGCTGAGCCGCAGGGACTGCCCGGAAGGTAGCGCCTGCGAACGGCAGAAGGACACCGTTCACGCCAAAGAGTGTGAGTCTCGATATGTGCTGTTCTTTGGACAAGCGATGAACGGTTAAATCACAGATAACCATATATTCGCCCACCCTATTGCCGACCCTGAACAGCAACTCCCGGTAATCCCGGCCCACCCGCCTCACATGGACGATCTCCGAGACTTCACTTTGCCACCTGCCGTCGCCGCAGCGAGCTCTGGCGGCGCCGCCATATTTGCGAACTTGTCAAGGGACTGGCACGGGAGGGCTCCAAGGGGGTCTTCTCCTCCTTTCCCCGATGGTGTAGGTTTGCCCTCACAATGGTAGCTTTCTCAACGCAATCCGGCGCCACTCTCCGTCATTTTCTAGGAAGGATCACTTGTTTACCCCTTCACTGCCCCCTTTTTTCTGCTCTGCGCTATACCTTCCGTATTCCGGAACACTTCACCACACGATTCCCCGCGTGCTCTCTTATGATTATACCAGTTCTCGCAGTGTACCATCAGTTTCCGCAGTCTCATTCTCTCTACAGATGTGGATTCTACCAATGGCCGAGGAGTGTATGAGTGATAGGATATCAACAGCCATGAACAGTCGGGAGTCGTACATGCCGGTTTTTGAAACATAGAAATAAAGTAGGTGGGAACACGACAAGCAGATACAGCAGGAGCACATACAACAAGAGTCGACGGAAACATAAAGCAGGTGAACGAAACGAAGGGGGGGGATTCGGTCGCGGTTACAGCATCAACGTCAGACCGCCGAACATGGATGCCTCGGCATCGTGCACATTTCTTTTCTTAGATCCAGATGACTGCGACGACATAGTCGAGACGCGGGAGCCTTTGACGGGAGTCCTGAAACCCGAACTTGTCGGGGTGACCGGCGACTTGACCTTGGTCGGCGGCTTGACTGGTTTCGCCGCCTTTCTGTTCCTTTCTTCCGTGTTTCTACTCTCTGAGGAAGCGCGAATGGTATGGTTTGGATCGGGCTTGGAGTTCTTTCGGAACCTTGCAAAGAGCTTACTGGACCCCGATCGCGGAGTGTCGGGCATCAGTGAAAGTGGGTTGGGGTCAGCGATCTCGACGGTGTCCAGGCCATTCTTCCGAGGGTGGTTGGCAGAGGTAGGTGAAGATACACGAGGAGGTGCCGCGACGGTGGGAACTGCGGGGAAAGCGGGCGTAGTCAGCTTGAGCTGATGCATTTCATCCACTGGAGTTAAAAAGGAGCCGGTCTCCCATTGTGCTGAACGAATGTGCCGCAGACGGCTCCTTTCTTCCGGGAACACAGACGAACGTGGAGAAAGAGCCGTGTTGGGGGTGATCGCAAAACCGTGGTTCGAAGGGGTAGAGGGCGGCGCTGTCGAGAATGAGCTCCCGGATATGGAAGTAGCGAGCGACGGAGAACAGCTGTTGACGCTGCCTTGCCCTGACGAGCGCTTGGCGCGAGTTCGAGAGCCAGCAGTCAGTGCATATGGATAGTCGGTGCGGAGATCAAGGAAGTCCAGATCGGGGTCGGATTCCAGATCGGGAGTAGAAACAGCAAGAGACGCGGGGGATGTCTGGCTGTATGACGATATCAAGAGGGGAGGAGGATGTCCTGCACGACGTAACGTCGGAGGGGGCAAACGAACGGTCTCGAACGAAACCTTTGGAGAGTAGTACTCGTCTTCCGCATCTGGCACAGTTCTCGTGATGGTCGGCACGATATCTTCATCGTCATTCCATGAGCTCTCGTCCGAAGAGCTGGGCTCGGGATCGCCACTAGTTACAGACGGCCCGAGCAGCTCCACGAAACTGGTGATCTCGCGCTCGGTGTTCGTGGACATAATGCTCCTTGTCCGTTCATGAGAACCCTGAAGGCGAGCAAGCTGCGCGATGAATTCCGGTTCCGCAGGAACCTCTTTGGGTGGCTCGGGTATCGCCAACAGATGCCACGACGGCGAGTTGGGCAGCACAGATTCCTCTGGAAAGGCATCTGCACTACCGTTGAGCATTTACCCAACAGGAAGAACATCATCAATCACTTACCAGCCGACGATAATTCCTGAATGGGCTGTGGCCGAGGCGCAGTGACAATAATGGTTCCAGAACCGCCAACGGCAAATGGACCGCGCCACGGAACCTCGTACGCCGGCTCGCTTCCAGCCGATTCCGGAGACGACCAATCTTCCTCCCTCACGTAACGGTCGTGATAACCTGCAAAATGCATCCAAGAAAGGTGATCCATCCATAAGAAATCCCGAGAAAATATATTACAACATCCAAGTAGAAGACTGACCCGCAGGCGAAACACTGGCCATGGTGCCGATAGGGCGGCTGCTCCCACCGCCGCCCACCGATGTCCCTGTATACGCCGTGCCGCGCATGTACGCGTCCGACATCCCCCGAGGACGCGCCGCGCTCGACGTGTCCCTCCCACCTCCGCCCCCGCCGTACCCGTTCCGGTCACGGTCTTCCCGGTCGGCGCGTCTCCCGGAGCCGGAGCCTGGACCGGAGCCTGGACCGCCGCCGGCCCCGTCAGCGTCTCGGCGAGAGCGGCCGGTCGGCCGGCGCTGGTTGTACGCCATGACCGTCTTGAGCGCACGAATTTGGAGGCTGCGACACGAGCAGAGCGTCGCGACTTCGTACACGCCAACGCTCGTCGAGTTGCTAAGCGCGCGGTGCATGGCATGCACAACGAGGTCTTGCAGGTGCGGCAGGTCGTAGGTGCTCGCGAGCACGAGCAATTGGCTGAGCACGGCCGGCGCGTGCTGGAGTGGCGTGATAAGCGCGCGGGTGTAGAAGTATTGCAGAAACGCGAGGCTGATCGGGTATGGTTCTGAAAGCTGGAAGCTGCGCGGCGTCAGGCGGGGGTCGTGCCGTGGTTCAGACGAGGGTGAGGAGCCGGGTAATGTTGGTAGCGGCGGGATACCTCCCGAAGATGAGGCAGAAAGACGCGCGGCCTCTTGCATAAAGGTGATGAGCTGTGCCTTGAACCATGGCCAGCGCTCCTCGAGAACTTGACGTGAGCAACGAATCTTGCGCCCGTCGTCGCAGATGATCTCGAAGTCAGCGAGGACCTCCTCCTCGAGCGCGGCAAGCCCAAGCTCCTGCATCGGCACCTCGAGTGCAAGCTTGGGCGGTTGATACATCCCGAACGCCTCCAGATCGACGGTCGCGACGTGGTCCCAGCTGAGCAAGCGTCTGTTGTAGTCCTCAACGAGGTTGCCCTTCCTATTCCCGAATATCATGAACTTGTTCGCTTCCGCCCAAAGGCAGGAGCGGAACCACGAGCCGCTGGAGAGAGTCGAACCCGGGTCTATGCGCGCCCAGGTGTTGGTGATGAGATCGAGGGCCCATATGGAAAAGGATTGGTACGTATGCGCGAGGTAGGTTCCAGCAATGATGAGATGCGTGCCGAGGATGGCACCGGCGGGGAAACGGAGGCCTGGCGGAAGCGCAGAGCCGGTCATGGATGAGGACCGATCGGTGATGGCAAAGTCTGCCTCAGAGGGAAGTGGGGTGAAGACCTCAAGCTCGCGCTTGACGTCGGTGAAGTTGTAGTTGGAGTAGAGGTAGATGTCGTTCGGGTAATCGTCCGTCGGCTTGGTGGAGTAAGGAAGGTGTACGAGCGACTCTGACGGCGTGAACTCCTTATTGAGTTTTTGGTCCTCTTTGGTGAAGCGCGTCCCAGGAGGACCGAGTGTGGAGGGTTGGCCGCGGAGCTCGTCCTGAGGCATCCTCACCCGCAGGTCCGCCGCCACAGCAACACTGCGGTATGTACCACAATGGCGCTGGTAGTCTCGACGGTGAATCCATTGCCTCGTCTTGAGGTCGTAAATGTAGACGTCATCAAGCCAGACGTTATTTATGTCCTGGCCGCCGATGACGAAGAGGCGGTCGCCGGTGACGGACGAAAGGTGGGCGTAGCGGGCTTTGGGTTGTATGGCAGAGGGAAGCTCAGGACCCGAGATGGACACCCAGTGTCCTGAGGCTAGGTCGAATAGGCGAACGTCATTGAGGACGATGAGGTCTTCAGGGTTGATCGCGTCAGGCTTGTTACCCATGCCGCCGAAGATGACGAGATGGTTATTCCCTGTATAATGCTTCAGCTACATGGATGGGATAGAAAACGGCGGAAAGACTTGCAGGCATCTGCACTGTGGAAATACCGCGCCGCCGGGACGTCATCTTCTGGTGCTGCCGGCATGCGCTCCCAGTTCAACGTGCGAAGGTCGAAGGCGTACAAGTCCGCTACCATCCGGCGCTCTGCTACAAGACGACCTCCCTTTACGAGGGTCAGTGCAGTCCCTGCAGATGGGGCATCGCGCTCACGAAGAGGTACATCTTGTTGCCCACCACCGTCGTAGAGGCGCCCTAGAGGATCGTACACGAGGTCATTAGGGCGCACACACGGACGTTGTTCACCGACATACAACGAGTTTAGGCGGGACATCGCCGGTGGTCTTTCGACAAAAGGTGGTCAGGTCAGAAATGGAGTGCATCGTGGCATAAGAGAGAAGAGCGACCTCGGGGCTGGTGTGTGTGCCCCGGGCTAAGAGCGAAGACGCCGTCCAGGGGCTGTGCGGCGACGAGCGACCAGTCGATCGAATCACCGACCCTGGGCGCTCTTCTCCCACCCACTTTCTTTCGCCTCATGGCGCCGACGCCACCGCTTCCTCGTTAGCACTTGCATACCCAAGCCTACCCAAGCCTGCCAATGATGCCGACCCGGGGCCAGTTCAATTTTATTCGTTTCCCTGCATCGCTCGTTCGCATGGAACGTCGGCCACGACCGCCATATGCTCATGTTCGGCATTATCCGTATAGTGTGAAGATCCAGCGCGATTACTTCTCAAGCTGTACCGTTGCCTAGCGTCCCAAATACTAATATGCACTGCGTTCTCTATTCGACGGATGGACTGTCACATAGGCAAATTATAGCTCATATTTTTAACTCGCGACGCGGCTGCACTCCTGGAATCATGCGCTAGATGACCGTGATCACGGCCAACCTTTCTTTACGCAAACACCTTCTAGAGGTATGCAATGGTAATCGAGGGCGAAAACGCAATCATCTGTCATCCAAACGCTCCGGCCTCCGAGGCAACTCGGGTCCGCGCACATGCATTCCTGCCGATCCTTGAGGGTGATAATAGCAATCCCACCGGGGAAAATCAAATCCCATTTTCCATATCCAGATCCCCCGTCTATCATGCCACGACGTCAATCTCGTATAAGTTACTTATTCACGGTGCCCAACGCACTGCTGTTGTGTCGATGCCTCTTACCTATCCCCGCTCCTACCCCTCTGAATTGGCAGAAGACCGCGCACAAGCCACGCGATTATCAGATTAGCGTGGAAGACGGCTTGGGCTCTGCCGATAACTCTCGATCGGAGGTGGCCGCCTTCGTGCCGGCAGGTACCTTTTAAGCCCTCTCTGTCTCCATCCCTCTGTTGGGTCCAGTGCCCAGGCACGATATGGTCAAACTTTGAGGTACCATCAAAGAGGGGAGGCGACCACAGTCCAGTGGCCGCTCGTCAGTATGAACTGCGCAGAAAGCAGTTGCATCTCATTCGGCCGAGCCACTGTCCCCCGCGCATGCGATTCGCCAGCAACAACGATTTGGCCCATATCTCGTGACCTATACCACTCAAGAAATCGAATATAAACGATACGGATAATACGATGCTGTCAGTCGCCGACGATGATTTCTAGTAGCGAGTCGTCCGCGATTGGCGGCAGGTATAACGCGTCACATCCTGCCTGGTCTTCGTAAGTGTTCACTAGATAGTGAACGCATGGGACGGTTCAGCCGCAACGTCTGTTCAGTTGCCCATACTCCGCAGCTGGACACTGTATCGGCCGTGGCCTGATCCGGAAGCCGACTTCGTACTGCTCCCCGCCTTCTCGTATTCTTATTGTTCGATGCTGAGGCTGACGAGGCGACGGATATGAGACCAGACAAGTCCTGGTCGTGCACTGAAGCAGAGGCTTTCGTTGCGGTCACGAAATGTGTGAATGTCTGGATTGCACATGGCAGGTTGCGTTCGTCCCCTCGTCGTCAGGCCATGGTCACATTATTGCGCCCGCGATTTCTTGCAACTGTCTGTCAAAGAAGAACTCAGGAAGAAACCGAGTTCTAGGGAGAATTGCCCCCAGGCTCCCCCAGGTCGCGTCCGGTAGCTTCCGTGTCGAGTACACAGAATGGGACGGCAAATGAACGGATGGCTTGCGAATGAAGGCTGCGTTCTCATGTTCATCCAGGCTCAACCTTGGGGAGACACGGTCAGAAGACTTCTGTGACGTTTTTGACAGCGCGGACCCGCGTTCGGTCTTCGGGTTGCTGTGAGCCAACGATCATCTCTTGGCCGAGCTTGAGCCGGACCGCCGTCGTGAGGGCTTCATGTGCTGCGAAGGATTCGGTGGCCGTCCGTTTTGAGCACAAAGGTGGGGAATCCTGTAAGACGCGGATATGTCTGACGTACTTCTTCTTGGATAGTCCTGCTCGGTGCGTGAAAGGCCTCCGGGGACATGTGAATGCAGTGGGAAGTCGTTCATCCGCGTGCAAAAATATCAGCAACGAGGGAACCTCTTGTGATCGACTATCACAACGCTATCTGACCGCGCGTCATCGAAAATCTCGCGGCGTATACAGCGTTTCTCAACGCTCCGTGCACAGTGTTATGTTGTGCAAAATGCGCGAGAGACCGAACAGCAAGCAAGTCGGAGTGGAGTTTCTCCAAGGATCGACGCAGGAGGAGGCCAGCGCTGAGGACGTGTGACACACGCCAGGGAGAGCGTCACAGCAGTGTTTGCCGACGTCACACGGCCCTGCTTCTGCGCGCTTCTTTGATGATGCCATTCATTCAGCCAACGCCTTTTCTTGTGTTCTGGAAATGCTGAAAGCCATCCGTAGCTCGCTCGCTGGCCTCTCAATGACCACGGCGTGCATCTGAAGGCCTCCTTTCTCGCTGCTTCGTCTCTCCGAGCCCGCGCCTTCGCCCCGCGCACCCACCTTCATTTTACCCCACATTCTTTTAACCACGGCAGACTTGTCTATGCGGAAGCGCCACGCGCGCGTTGGGCTTGCTCTTGAGGAGCGCGAGCCCGCGTTGATAACGCTCTCGGAGCCCTTGCCTACCATCCCGGTGCTTGGGCCACTGCTCACGCCGATACTGGATCCTATCCTGGGTGAGTTGTATTTATCACCCTAAGCGAGAGGATCATTACGATGACATGTCGCTGTGCAGATCCCTTACTTACACCTCTTATCGCGGGCTTGCATGCTACATCTTCGTCGGCCACCGTCGCGCCGACCACTACGCTTGCTGCAACGACCCAGACTTCTGTGGCAGGAGCAACTACCACCAGTCCGTCGGCACCTGCTACGAGTTCTGGCAACTCCGGTTCTAATGGCAGCTCGGGGTCGAACTCGGATGGCAGTGGCGGATCCAGTGCCGACGCCGGTTCGAGCAACGCAAATAGCGCGACCCCTGGCCCTGGTTAGTCCCTTAAAGATGTGACGTATATCATTCTGACCCGTCGCTCTTCAGAGCCGTCCTCGCAAGGAGCATCCGCTTCTTCGGGCGCGTTATCCGTGACTGGGAGCGCGACTATTGCCAGTGGAGCATCCGCTATCAGCACGAGTGCCTCCAGCAGTGGTTTGGAAGCCGGTTCACAAAGCGCAAGCGACGCCCCTGGGTCAGGCGTTGTCAGTCCCTCTGGCAGCACGTCGTTTCAGCTTGCAGCGGCAGTCGGTGAAGCCACGGGCACCGACTCGAATGGCCAGCCTCTCTTTACCTACTCCGACCCTGTTTCCGGAACCAAAACTAGCATCAGTGCTGCCGCTACCGCCAAGTCTGGTTCGAAATCCGGCTCTGGTTCGTCCTCGGGCGTGGGGTCGGGCGTGGCTGGGAATGGAGGTGATAGGACCGATGGAAACGGCGGGTCCGTCGGCGGCGGCGGCTCCGGTTCTGTCTCCAAACACCATGGGTTGTCCGTCGGCGCCATCGTTGGCATAGTGGTTGCGGTGACATTATTGGCAGCCGCATTGGCGGTCTTCTTGATGCGCCGTAGGTTGATCAAGAAGCGGTCGACCCGCAGGAAGAACTGGTGGCGAGGCGGCCCCATCACCCCGGACGATGCCGCTGTCGCAAGAGCGAGCATCCGTAGCTCGACTAGCAGCTTCGGGACGCCTTTCGACGGCCAGGGACCGTTGGTTCCTATCGCACAATACACGCCTCCTTATACACCCACATCTGCAAGCCCGTTCCGTCTCGATCTCAACCCGGGCGATTCCAGTAACTTCACGCGCAGCTTGGAAGGCAGCCTGACCGTCTTCGATAGTCGACGAACCTCCCAGACCGATATGACGCAGAACATGGAGCAGCTTAACTCCCAGGGGGTTACTTTCAACGCAGCTTTGCCGGCTCGTCCACCCCAGCTGCAGCTTGCCTCCGCTCTCCGCACGACCTCTATTAACGTCATACCTGATCCGGTCGACGTAATTCACCACGAGGCGCAACTCTCGCCGCGTCGCTCGGAGTCCGAGTCCAGCGCGAGTGCGGATGAGAAATCGACCCAATATCACACTGCTAAAGAGGACGCCAATTATCTGCTTGTCCCGATCACTCCCTTGACCCCGGTCTTCTCTCCGACGGCATCGTCCCAGTTCCATGGCCGGTCGGAGTCGTCCTTCTCACGCAACAGCACGGAAGAGGCCGAGATGGACGCTCGCTGGGCAGAGGAGCGCAGACGGCTCAGCTGGATCTCACAGGTCTCCGTGCGCCCATTCACTCCCTCCGAATCCTTCGCCTTCCCAAAACCGCCTGGATCTGAAAAGACCAAGGGTGTGCAGACTGCCACCCACTCTCCTCAAGCTAGCATCGCTAGCGTTCCAGAAACCTCCGAGACCAACGACACGTACCATACTGCTGTGGCCGTCTCCTCGGAAAGTCCTTTCGCAGATCCGACGGAGCTTAAGAACCCATTCCTGGACGTTGTTCACCTCAAGCCGATCAAGCGATCCTACATTCCCTACCGGGGTGATGAACTTGGGGTTCAGCGTGGAGAGGACGTTTCCGTGTTGAAGTACTTTGGCGATGGCTGGGCATTGGTCGAGCGCAGCTTAAACGGGGTGGTTGAGACTGGTCTAATCCCGCAAGCCTGCTTCCAGGATGCGTGATTCTTTCATGTAAGCCTTCACATACCACTTTGCGATGGTAGTGAGCTCATGACATCTTATATAAGGCGACGAACCATGTTTCGTACCACACCAGACCGTAGGTCTCTGACTTTCAGCATGTACATAACACTGCAGGTTCCAAGATACCATACTTTCCACTATTCGTCATACTCGCCTTGTTTCCCCCCCCCTGATGCTGTATTATCCGACGCAAGCTCTTTGGTGTGCTCATGTGTCGTTCACCTTCTTGGCTCGCTGGAGGTGCCCCTCGTTGCATTTCTACGTTGTTGTCGTAATCATGATTGTAGAGGGAAATATGGATGTGGATTTTCTCAGTGCGTCAGAACTATTTGTTGGTGCTTAGACTGTCGAGGCACAGACGAAGCTGTGAAGCTCTTCAAGAAACATTATAAAATTAAGCTATACTACGTCGAGGGCACATAGCAAGGCTCGATAGTGTCCGATAACAAAAGCGAAATGTACGATAAATGAGATGATGCTCCGAGTCTGGTAAACCTCCGATTACTATCTTCTTAATAACATTCAGTTCTTGATGAACGTAGTCATGCCCTGCAAATTGAAGGGGTTCACCGTGAGCCCTGCATTCTTTGACGGGCCGGCGATATCAAGAGTCTGAATGCCTCGTGCTTGACCGGGGGCGTCAAGAGAAAGGACGTTGATCTGCGTCGCGTTGGCACCGAGGACGTAGAGGAAACTGTATGGCAATTAATTATATTCCGTTGGGCGGCCATGACAGACGTACTCTTTTCCGTTCACGGTGGCGATGGCGTTATCGATAGTACCGGAGCTCGCCTTCTGCGCGTATTGCTGATGAAAAGGCCGTCATTACCTTGTCCTGATGCTCTCGCTACACCGGGCGGGTACATACCTTGACGATGGTGCTGTTCAGGTTGGAATCAACGTTGACCTCAGTAACCATCGCGGTCCCAATGTCGGTGAGGTAGAAGTTGCCCGTCTTGGTGCTGAAGCTGCTCCAGCACGTCGCGCTCTGACCAGAGATTGGGTTCGCGCTGCTCGCGCCGGTGGCGTTGATCGCGCTCTGCGAGTTACCGCCTGACTGGACGTTGGACAGATCGAACACGTCGAAGCCGAGACCGGGGTCGGTCACGAGCAGTGCGTTCTTTCCCGGGATCGGAGTCATCGAGAACGGGAGCAGGCCGCCGGCGGCGGGCGCGACCTTGGTGAAGTCGGGCGAGAGCGAGTCGTCACCGTTGACGGACCAGACGGCGAGGAAACCTGGTTGCGGTGGCACGCCCTTGACTGAGGCTATGAGCGACTTCTCGTCCGAGCTGAAGAGGAGTTGCGAGGTGGTGCCAGCGGGACCAGTGGCTGGCGTGGTTTGGTTCAAACCGAGCGAGCGCAGTGTGCCGCCAATCGCCTGAAGCCCATTCTTGGGGTCGACCTTGTAGCAGCTAATCCAGCAAACATCAGCGTCGTTGGTGAACAGGAGAGGTTGCAAACTCACTTCACTCCGTTCACTTGGCCTCCGTTGAGGACTAGAGGTAAAAATTAGCAAATGTTTCGTTGAGAACGTCCCGCTGAACTGACCGCAGAGTTTGTTGCCAGCCTCGTTGAGAGCAAGGGACATGGGGAACTCTCCCTCAGTCGATACGGGCTTGCCTGAGGACACATCTTATGAGCTCTGAATCCAAACAAGTCATAGAGATGCGTACCAATCATGTTAATGATAGATGGGTTCTTGGCGTTGATAGCGAAAATCGCAACTGTGTTGGAACCAGGCTAACAGGAGAAAGTGAGAAGAGGTAGGGACCAACGGAGATATGGAATTTTACGTTGACGGTCGCCAGGACCTTGCCGTTTTGGGACGCCTTGACGGAGGCTTGCGAGAAGAGTCCATCGGGACCCGTGGCAGCGGGGGCATCATTGCCGTGCTCTCCGCGGCCGTCTGCGCTTACGGCCCTGGCGAGGGTCTATCCGCTTTCCGTCAGTCTCGATTATCCTCAGCGGCTAGCTGTCCGTACCAGAGTGCCGTCAGAGTGGATGTCTGCAGACACGACAAAGTTGCCGCTGGGCTCGTTGGTGATGACTAGGAGGGAAATGCTGAGTTGAATATCAACGGAGCAATACAGCGTCTGCTGCTTACAGTAGGCGGCTCCGGCTGAGTTTCCTTTCAGGCCCACGCTGTTGTTCATGACCATCGTTTTCTTGTTAATGACCGGGGCTGCAGAGACACAAGCGGCCGCGACGAGCAGAGTGAGAGAGGCGAAAGACTTGGAGAACATCATTATCGTAGGAGAAATAAAACGGGGAGTTGAGGTGAACGACAAAGGATGTGCAAGTTGAAAGGGGTTTATATGCGAGCGCTGCTCAGAGAGAAGTCGGATGCGTGATCTGATCTGAATGGGGTTGACTCCAGGTGAAGAATTCTCGAGTTCGTGCCCGTGACTTTATACGCGCGGACTAATGACCGCATCCGCACAATGCGCTTGGTGCAGTAGCCAGGCGGTACTACCGTGCAGAAGCACACATTAACTTGTCGCTTTCATTTGTCTCCGAGCCTCCGCCTTCCTAGTTTGATCCAAGAAGCACGATCCGAGTGCGGCCATACGTTTGGCCTGCGAAGGATGAGTAACGACCGGGCGTGCAGCATAGCATGCATTGTCAGCAATTACCCGACGTACAGAATTTACTGATCTATCAGGAAGTTGGTATGCCATGAACTGATGTGGTGAACGCACAGCTGCCAGAGTACAGTCAAGCCGCCTTTAATGAGTTTCCATGCGCTTAACGAGATCTCTGAGCAACAGGCTAGCACAGCCACGGGCAAAGTTTATTTGTTGCGATGCGCTGTCGTGGTCAAGGTGTTTGTTTGATAGGCGCAATTACTCCTTCCGCCAGCTTGCCGCTCGTCCATGTATGCGACAAGAAGCCAGAGAGAGCTATGCAGTCAAGGAGCTGTATATAGGCGCACAGGAGCGACGTCCGCGCGTTCGCGACAAAGCTAGCGTGGTATGGTTATTTTACCTGGATGCACGCTCGGAACAGTGAGCGTTGTATCCACTGGTGCTTCAGGAAGGGGGTCCGAGGGAAAATCCAGCAGTGGGCGTGTATGTGAGACGGCATCTGGCCCGGCGCGACGCCGGTGGTTATTCCCGGCCACGCGCTGATACGGTGGTTCGACTCGAATGCTCATGCAGCGGCGATGTGTCGGATACGTCGCAAGCTAGTCGGAGCAGATAGAGTAATCCCGGCCAAGCAGAACGAACCAAGAGGTGAGTGAGACGTGGGGGTAGGACACAACAGATGAAGCGAATACGGATTCGAATGCCACCTTCCTTTCCGGGCGTTTCGCTACGCCTCGGCAAAGCTTCCCAGTTCATACGGCAGGCACGATGTTGCAGTGGTGCGCCGCGCCCGGGTACGCCGCCACCCTCGCCAACGGCAGATGCAGAGGCAGAAAATGTCGGGCGAGCGTCAGAACAACAATGAGTGGCTCTATGTTGTACGCCAGGGCTGTCCTCCTGATGGCGCGTCCTGTGTTGGACGAGTCGCCAGAGGCTGATCGGACCAAATTGGGTGGGACGGCTAAAGGAAGGAGGCCGTGTGTTACGTCGCGTCTCCTCTCTCCCTCCCTGCCAGCCCCGCTCCTCCCCCTCAACGACCCCGCCCAAGTACCCCGTCAATGCACCACCGAACTTCGCCACGGCCCACGATGAGCACGCGTCGCAATGCGTCTGCGGGCGGTGCATCCAGCTCGAAAGACGTGGTCATGGGCCCGCCTCCGGTGCCCCAGGCGCCCCCGCCCACGACCGATCCTCATCAAGCCAAGGAAGAGGCCCTCGTTGCCGAAAAGTACAGGAGACTGAAGCGGAAGTATTCTATACTCGAAGAGGTGAGACCGCTCGGGCTGCACTCGCTCTGCAGCTCGCGATGGACTCATATCTCGTTGTAGAAATACAAGGAAATGCACAGTGAACTCGTCCGCTCGGGCGAGCGCAACGTGAAGATACGACAAGAACGCGAGTGAGTCCATCGCCGAACGATCCACCCTTTCGCGTCGAGCTGACCTCGCACCCGCCCAGCGCCCTCCTCGACCGCGTGGTGGAACTCGAAAAACTGGAAACGCCTGGCATCCGGCGCCCGTCTCTGGGCCCTGACCAGCCTCCGACGTCCGCCTTCCCGCGCTCGCTACTCTCCGACCGGGCCAAGACCGCCTTCGTTGCGAACATGCATCGCGCCCGCGAAGAGGTTGAGCGCGAAAACCACGAGCTCGACCCCATCTTCTCATCGAGACACATTGGACCCCACGCTCGCAAGCTCCAGGAACAGCAGCGCCAACGCGAGCGCATGCAAGAAGAGGCCGCCGCCGCCCAGGCGGCGCGCGACGCCAAACCGAGCCGTCGCGCCAAGATGACCAAGGGCAAGGACAAGGATGCGCCTCCGCCCTCGTCGTCATCGTATAGCGCCGGGCAGGCACAGGGATCTGGCAGTGGGATCAAGCTACGCATCAAGCCACCGACCGCGCCGGCGTCTGAACCGCCCGAGCCCGCCTCACCGCCGCCTGATTCACATGAATATTCGCGCATGTCACGGAACATGTCAAGCTCGCCCGTGACATCCTACCATCCCTCGCCGCCCCATCGTCACAACGGCAACGCGTCCGACGCGAATGATCCGTACTTGTCTCCGGTCGAGCAGCGATCCATCGGCGCCGAGGAACCTAAAACACGCACAAAACCCAAGCGACTGAAAGCGCACACGGTTACGTCCAAGACGCATACCATCCCGACGATTCCCAGGGACTCGGACGGCAAGCCACTCCTGCCCCTCAACGTGGGCATCATGACCGTGCTCTCGCTCGGGGAGGTCTGCATGCGGGAACACTTCCACACAGAGAGGTACATCTTCCCTGTGGGATATTCGGTCACGAGGTGCGTTGCAGACTGTATATAGTCGACAATGTTATGGCTCAACGAACATCAGGAAGTACCTGTCTACCATCGACCCCAATATCGAGGTCACTTATACCTGCACCATTCTCGATGGCGGAGATGGTCCCAAATTCTCGGTCGTTGCCAGCGACGTGCCCGACAAACCGATCGTTGCCGGTGCGTCTACTCTGTCCGCGCCTAACTCTTCGACTTGACTGAGCATTAATCAGGCACCGCTACCGGTGCTTGGGCCGTCATCGTTCGGGCCGCCAACCATGTGCGCAAACGCTTGCACTCCAACTCGGTCTCGGGACCGGACTTCTTCGGCCTGGGCCAAAACACGATCCGGAGCCTCATCCAAGAGCTTCCTAATGCCGATCGGCTGAAGGACTATGTTTGGCAAAACTTCACCGAAGGATCGTGAGTACATTTCCACCGTGCTAGTGACCTGGTACGAACCGGCTTAGTTGATGCAGCAAACGCAACCATGTCGGCTCCTCTTCTACGTCCTCCTACGCGAACAATGAAGTCACCTCGGAGGACGACATGCCGCAGTGACGCCTGCGCTGCCCGAGGACCGGGACGAGATTGCGGCAAGCCAGAACCTACCGCCCGTGTTCGCGTCAGAAAGGGAGCGCGAGCGCGAGCAGGAGCTAGCGCTCGCTCGGGAGAGGGAGAGACAGATGGACCGCGAGCAGACAGACGAGGATGCCGACCGTGCGCCGGCTCGTCGAACCAACGAGCGTCGATCCCGAAAACATGTCGAGGAGATCCCTGGCTCTTCGCCGAGCCTGGGCAACTACTATCGCCCGTCGGACGCGCATATACCCACGCCGTCGAACACTCCAGCCGCGGATCCCTCCTCCGCAAATGGTCGACGATATTACAAGCAAGACTCGACGTCTCCCCCGATCTCGGCGTGACCCCGCATGACTGCATTCACCGCGCAATATATGGTGCGGTGGTTCTCTGAAGACGTGTTAATCATCTATGGTCCTTTTTCTTTCCTTAAGCTGTACAGGTTCCGACCCGCTATCGTCGCTGTTGTCCCCATGTACCACGAACCCACTGTCACATCAAGAACTTTCGCGAGCCCTGTTATCTGATTTCTCTGTGTACCTGTTAAGGACCGTCAGGAACGTTCATTTCCTCGCTATATATCCTCTTGCCTCCGCACCCCTTTCGCTCAGGTGCTGTCCTTCGGGACGTCTTTCACCCTGATGCGGAAGTGGGCAGCCGCTGCGGGTCGGGGCCCACTTCATTGGGGGCTCGCTCGCGGTGCGCTCCATACTCGGGCGTCGCAGGCTACATTGATTTCGTCCGAGTGGTATCATGGACGAGCCTCATCGTGGGACTCCTGCTGTTGCGAGGATCGTGCCGGAATTGGGGTAGTATGTGAGGCTCACATTCACGATGGAAGGAGCTGCATGCGGGGTGCTGTTAGCGAGAAGTACTGCGTCCTTTGTCTGCTGATAATAATACTAACCGCTAATGTACCGGGCAATGTTCCCCGCGTACCGAATCGATGGCATGTTTGCATTTACTTGACAAAGGAAGTGGCCTGAGTGGGTTGCGAGTGGGTCAACCCCGCACGGGCAACTGAATTCACGTATTGAACTACTACTATTACCGAGCGAGCGATCGCGTTTTTGAAGAGTGGATTATTCGCGGGCAAAGGGGACGTCGACCTAGGAGATCGTCCGCAGAACCTGCAGGTGACCATTCGACTCCTTCGGAAGGAGTCGAATGGTCCGCTTTTTTTGCCGTAAGCAGTGACTCTCTCTCCGTCGACAGTCATCAGGCCTTGGACTCGACCCCCGCTTCCTGTGCGATCTGCTGGTCATTCGTGCTTTCATCAAAACTTGGAATGTTTGTTTACGCGACGATCACTCGAGCAGCACGATTGTTTACTACGTCCAGAGTCATCCACATGAGCGGAGAAGATTCCATGATCATAACTTCCGCTGTCAGCGGTTTGCCGCCGTAAAAAGTTATTGAAGTAAGCATTCCGAGTTTCCGAATGCCGCCGTTCCGAGTCTTCTTGACCCACACACTACTTGCACTCACGTTCAAGGTGCGATGCGTATTGGAGAGTTTCTCGCCGTGTCAAGGTGCAGCTATACATGTGCCGTTTCGTCCAGTCATTTATCTTCTCCAAGCTTCCCGGCTCCAGTGTTCCAAGGTGGGTGGGTGTGTTACTCATTGCTTCACGTAAGGGATGTGCATTCCCAAGAACGGCCCCGGATCAAATGCAGAAATCACTCGCTTCGGGTATCCTGCGAAAGGGCGCCTGAGGATGAATCACTCCACCGAGTCTCGTGCTGGCTGGGCTGTGCCAACTATTGGACTTCATGCGTATATATAGAGGAACTGAAACGATAACAAGGCGCGTCGAACTTTGAAAGGATGGTATTCGCTCAAGACAGGACTAGCACCAGCATCGCGATCGTCGGTGGTGGCATTGGAGGTCTATGCACGGCTATCGGCCTCGGCCGCGCTGGCTATCAGGTGCATGTCTTCGAACAAGCTCACCAGTAAGCTGTTCGCTCGTAACAGCTCGTAGTGAACGCTGACCGGATTATACACCAGATTCTCCGAGATAGGGGCTGGTATAGGTTGTGGATCAAACGCGATCGCCGCCCTCGAGTTCCTGGGTGTTGGGAAGATGTTCGGAGAGATTGCCGACTTCCAGGAGCCTGGCTCTGTTTGGCTGACATGCCGGGATTACTCGAATAATTCGCCCATAGGGGAGGTGTGTCTAGCGTGGTCTGCTTGTACCAATCTGCTGATGGTTGTTCAGGTCCTTGTCAAGGGTTGTTATGCTTCAGTGCACAGGTGCGTGCTCGGAATAATGACATCTCATCAATGCGGATATTGAATAGTTTCTTGTATAGGGCCAGATTGCTGGAGGGACTGGTCGCTTACCTTCCCAACAATGTAACCACGCATTTCTCTTCTCGCGTGTGCGACGTGGAAAGCGTGGCCGGAGCTGGAATCGATTCAAATTACGCCCGGTTGACGGTCGAAAGACGCACTTCCGACGAAGCCGAGGTGACAAGAGAGGTCTTCGAGGTATCTGCTATCATCGGCTGCGACGGCGTCCGGAGTAAGGTCAGGATATTTTCCCCGTCGTAAGAAGTTGAGTACTGATGCGCTGTATGACAGGTACGGGAACACATAAAGCCCAATACAGGCGGCTACCATAGATACAGCGGCGTCTACGGATATCGTGCACTCTTGAAGGCAGAACAAGTTATTTCCAAGGTCGGGCAGGACATCATGTCGTCCACTACGATCTGGGCAGGACCTATGAAGGTATGTTCTATCTCCCTCCATTACCGAGTCTCCGCTCAGGTGGGCAAAAACACAGCATATCATCGCTTACCCAATCGAAGGCGGAAAAATACTGAATTTCGTTGGCTTTGTGTCTGATCCTAATGAGGAAGCGGTATGGCCTGGGCCGTGGCAAAAGCCTGTCACCCGAGAGCAGATGCTTGCAGAGTTTAAGGAACCGCATGAGACGCCTAGGCGACTCCTAGAGGTGAGTTAGCGGGACGAATTTCAATATTCAGCGATTGACTCGCTATTTTGAGCTCATCGAAAATCCTGTACAATGGGCGATGTTCGATGTGGAGCCGCTCGACCATTGGACGATGGGCCGCATCACATTGCTGGGAGACTCTGTGAGTACCTGGCACCCTATCTCCGTACACCCAGACTCTCTGACACAGTATCAAAGGCACATGCGAGCCTGCCTCATAATGGGCAAGGGGCAGCTCAAGCCCTAGAGGATATGGTCGTGCTTGTGTCTCTCTTGTCGGACCCGGCATGCGACGCTGCGAACCTACCAGCTTTTCTTCAGGCGTACGAAGGTGTACGTAGGCCGCGCGCCAGCGCGCAGCAACTACACGCTCGTGCGACCGGTGATGTGAGTTATTGGGCCATCTTCTGCACGAATTGTTTAGGGCTTATGAATTTTCCAGCTATATGAATATCGTGGTCCATGTGGCTCCGATCGTGCTGGTTTAGCGAAGGAGCTTGCTGATCGTTGGGACTGGCTCTGGCTTCATGATATCCAAGCGGATGTAGAAGCTGCCAGGAGCAGCCTCATCGACTCCAGCGTGATTCCTGGAAAGCCTGTCACAACCGAACGGTAGCCAGTAGAACTATTTGAGCGCATGAATACAGCGCGTGAATGTATTTTTCTCCACGCGATTAGACAAACATGTTCTATATGGATTCAATATGACTGCATCGAGCTTCAATTTCTCGCAGCACTCGGAGAAATGTGAACCCAAGCGATTGACGATGACGATCCACTGTCAACGTCACAGCCCCTGTCCGCGGCAGGTACGATTAGATGATGTCCTTACGATGATACGATCCTGCGCTCGACGGTTTGTGACTCGCGCTTCAACTGTCCCTCTCTTGTTTCAACACCAGCGAATGTTCAAAATGGATGTTGTAATATCCACCGCACCACCGCAGGCGGCGGCGAACACCATCCAGATCACATCTCATCACCAATACCTCGCGTCCGTTCCGCTCTCGCCTGTATCGGTGGCACCGTCTCCTCTAGACCAGTTTCACTCGTGGTTCATCGATGCCCAACCGTTAGTATCCGAGCCCGAGGCGATGGCGCTCACGACCTGCACGAGCGATGGAATCCCTTCAACTCGTTTCGTCTTGTTCAAGCAACTCGACGCTCGGGGTTTCGTGTTCTACACCAACTACACGTCTCGAAAGTCGAAGGAACTAGACTCCAACCCTCATGCTGCGTTAGCGTTCTATTGGAGGGAAGTCCATAGACAAGTTCGGATAGTAGGCCGGGCAGAGAAAGTGAGCAGGGAAGAGAGCGAAGCGTATTTTAAATCCCGGCCGATCGGCAGTCGTCTTGGTGCCTGGGCGAGTCAACAAAGCAAGGTGGTCGGAGAGGGAGAGGTGTCATCACGTTTGGACAAGGTTAAAACGCGTTTTGGAGCAGAGAGTGAAGAAAACGTCGAGGTGCCAACGCCCGAATTCTGGGGAGGATGGCGGATTGTACCAGAGTGCGTACCTCCAGCAGTCATGACGCTGTCGACGATGCTAACATTTTCCTGGATCTAGCGAAATCGAATTTTGGGCAGGGAGGCCTTCACGATTGCACGATCGCGTGCGGTATACGCGCGTTGAAGGATCATCGGACGATGCACCGCAGTGGAAGATTGAGAGGCTTGCGCCGTAAACGTGTCGACCTCACGCACCTAGCAAGGGGAAGTTCGAGCTATGGCAACCAGATCACAACATCAATATGTATCATTAACAAAATAATATTATAGCTAAGCCGATACAGCGTTAGCCATGCGCGACATACATGCCGACGGAAATAATATAATGTTCACGACTACGAATGTTCAAGGAAGGTTATACGTTAGCAGCATATCGCCACGGAAGAACGCCCGAATAAAAAGTCAAACGAATGAGTGAACGCTTGTAGCACATACGCTCAAGATGACGAGCCCGTGGCCGGACCGTCGAACTGCACGGAGGGGCAGAACTGGCCACCGTCCGGGCAATGAGGGATGAGCGTCTCAGTGGGGCCAGGGTCGGTGCCTAAGGCAGGGAAGGGCTTGTTACAGGTCAACTTGTCGAGATCATTCCTGGTCTTCGTGGCAGGGAACGTCGCGGGCTTCTTTACGGCGGGCTTGGGGACGGGAACGACCTCGGAGCAGTCGATGAGGTCGTTGCGGTTGTGACCGAGGACGGCGAGCTTAGCCATGGCCGCTCTGAAAGAGCTGCTCATGAAGTCTTGCTCGTTCACGAAGCCTTGCCAGAAGCAGGCAGTGCGCGGGTCACGCGCAAGCAAGAAGTCGGACTGAAGGCGCAGCTCCCCTGTATCGTTGCCCGAGTGCTTGGAGAGAGGGGAGGAGACTTCGCCCGTGTTATTGTTTGTCCCGGGGAAGTCTACGCCCTTCAAGAGCACCTCGAGGAAGATCTGGGTGTCGAAGGTGAAGGGCGTGGAATCAAACGGAGCTGCGTCGATCGTGGTGTCCACCTTGTCCGCGCGGGCGACGGAATGCGAAGAGAGGAGTGAGACGACCTCGAATGGCGAGAAATTGCCGGCGTCCTCAAAGCGTGCGAGTATTTTGTCGACGCTGTCCTGTGGTTCGGGAATGAGGCCATCAACCGCAGGAATGGTGTGGTTCGGTCGACCGGCCAAGAACTCGAGGCGCGGGGCACCGGGGCAGTTGCTGAGCGCGACCGCGCCGGCGAATTGAACGAGGTCACCAGCGCTGACCGGGTGCTTGGCGAGGAAAGGGATAAGGTTGTTGACGGAGTCGTCAATACCGTCGTTGGCGTGGAACTCAGGCTCAACGCGAGGGAAAAGCAACATTGAACCGTCCGCGCCTCCACCACTACGAGATGAGCCCGGTGAGCAGGACAAAAGCGGATATAAAGACGATAACTCACGCCTTAGGACCTTGCCTCTGGGAAATGGCAATCGCATCGTGGAAAGTCAAGCGGATGACCTCGTGAGCATCTTCGCCACACTCATTCTGGAAGACGGTTTGCTGAAGATCTTGCGCGAGCTATGAGGGGAATAATTATTCATGCGCAAACAGTACTGAAGTATGTCTGCTTACAGGAATGAAAGCGCAACACGCCTTGTTCGATACGTGGGTGCCGTCGGGGCATACGCCAGCTTGGTTGGCAGGAGCAGCGGAGGCGACCGCGGCGAGTATGACGAAAGCAAAGAAAGATGTGAACGCCATTGGAAAGTCTGAGAGAAAAGACTTGGCAAGGCGAATGCTGAACTAGAGAACCTGGGTGTTCTGAGGCTCCCAACTACTTGCATCCCCACGTTTTATACCTCCTCAAACCGCCGTCATCGCGAGGGATGGGAGCGACTCAGGGGACTGCGAGCATAGTTCCACCAATAACGAACGTCCGAATTTGCTGTTCCATATTGCCTGGAGCACGGCGGGAAGCATTGCCTCGTCAAGTTGCGCCGCCCAGAGATCCGTTCTCTGGAGGCGGACCGGGGATCACAGAAGTATGCCCGGTCCCGACGTCGGGATGAAGAAGCGTGGAGAAGAAGCACCGCCAGAGTGGTATCTCCCGACGCAACCAGATGTCAAAGGTGATGAGGCGCCGCCACCACTGTGCAGCAGAGGGGCGGGTACGACGAAACCTCCCACATTCGTCGACTTGCCCCGGAGTACTAGGCAGTGCTTGTAACAGCGTGAAGGCACATCACTGCGCTATTCCGTTCAGGACGCGGGAGTATGCGAGCAATGCCTCCTTCCGCTTTTACCTCCCAAAACCCGTTCGGAAAGGAGCATAAATGGCGGAAGGCAACAATGACACGATTGTCGCCGCCTGGAAATTCGTTGAATTTTCGACCAGGGAGCGTGAGTTGCATTTCCGCATTTCCATAGGTCGACGTAGGCAGAATCGGCGCGTCACCTCTGAGGGATCGTGTACGCAGTCGGGATCTCTGACATATTCTGGTCGTGCGTCGGAGAGGTACAGCAACGCATCAATGTCGGGTGGTTACATGCAGGATCTGCCGTTCGCCGGTTCGACCAGTCTGGGGTCCGCGCCGTCGTTGGGTTGCTATGCGCTTGTGCGGGTTGAAGCGCCCGTCTGTACAGTTCTCATAGGAGTCGTGTCACGGTGACGCAGAGACGATTCCAATTTGCCCCGTTTCGGTATCCGGAGGGTGGAATGCGGCATACAGGCTCGACCTGAATCCGAGTGTCGAAATGCAGCCGGCATTGGGAGCTTGAAGAATGCTGTGGTTAGCAGCAGCACGTCCGAGGGCCAATACTGTGAAGCATGTTGGCATCGCTAGCGCGGAAGTGGAAGGCCGGGGGCAGCTCGAATCCTGCGCGTCGATGTCGGACGAAACGAACGCCGAACACAAGTGACGATGTCAGTGAGAAGCTTGCTCGGGCCGGGCCGCTGACCGGCTCAGCCTGGGAGCGCGCGTCGGATGCGGAGCTTGGTCGTTACCACCACGAGCTGACCGTGGCATGCCCTACGGACGTGCTGCAGCTTCATTCTGTATCCTACAAATGATTTCGAGCGCCAATTCCCGACGAAAGAAGCAGAAATTCGGAGACGCTCGATACATCTCCGCTGTCGCTATGTGCCTGGCTTGGCTGTTCTCCGTAGTGATTCACGAACGTCTCATACGGGCTCGTAGGCTGTTCTCTCATAGATCACTTTTATCCGTATCCGCCAGCATCGGCCCAAGGATTGCTCGGGTGTCAAGACAAACGATTCAGTCCATGCGCACCGAAGCGATGTCATGCCATTTTGTCTGGGTATTAGTGCGCCAGTATCCAGCGGTTGCTCACGGCTACGCAGAATCCGCTCTCGAGGCGGGAACGAGCAGTGTCTGAGGGGCCGCAGCTGCGGCCTTCGGACCTCGTCATGGTGGTCGCCGGTTCGGACGCTGGCGATAACAACAATACGAACCTCGGGTTCTTGCATGTTTCGCAACCTTTTTTCTCCCCCCATGCCAGTTCAGAAGTTTACATACGTGGTTGCCCTCAATATTCTCGAAGACTTGGCGTCTTCAACATGCGAAGGAAACGTCGATTCTGCACTTATCGCATTTACCAACACTAGCCGCGAGGGGTCCATCGCTATCACAATGTCTGTTGGGAGCGTCCTGGCGTGCGCGGTCCACCGCACCATAGCACGACCCCATTTGACGACCCGATCATGGACGACTTCTGCGTAACCAGCTCGTACACCTCGCCGGCATCCCCGTCAAGACCAGTGCAACTGCGCGTGATCGGTTCAATAGCCTCTGGCGACCCTCCGCCTGGATTCGACGAAGACACGCCGGACAACGTGAGCTAACGAGATCATGACCGGCGCTCTGTTTCCTGTGCCCGCTTCGACGGTCCCAGGTCATTGCATGGCTTGCTTGGACGCGTGCGTCCGCAGCGAATACGCCTCTTTCGTGGACGAAGACGGTTCCGGGCCAAGCATCGTGGTCTTGACGTCGCAAGTAGCACCTTGGGCCGAACGCAGACTTGCTGGGGAAGATTACGGCGAGGTGATCTCATGTTGAACGCAGGAACTCTTTCTCATTCCCATCATCTCCTATCTCTGATTAGTGTGGGCGCAACGCAGATTGTTGTCAGTGGTTGAATACGCGTGGGCATCATCACAACAGGAAAAGATTTGGCGATACTAGGTCAACTTGATGATCCGGCACACGACGCTCGACATAGCTCATCATCGATACCAAATAGCCATGACCCCTACCTGTTTTCTGCCTGTACTGGATGGGCTGCATGACGTTGTCTCCCTCACGGATGCAGAATACGAGCCTGGAGGCTTCCGCGCCGCTTCTTCGGCAAGATACCCAAGTGGATACACGACTACCTTCAAGGAGTACTAGAATAGTCGGGTGCAGAGATGAAGACTAGTGGCGTACAGGCAGTGATGGCAGAGTTGGCCGTGCCTTCGGCCGTCGACACTGGGAACACAGCTGCACCACATGTCCATCGGTCGGTCACAATCTTCAGCTTACCGGGGAATCCAGCGGTCTGTGCGTGTCCTCGTTGATCTTGTACGTTCACAAGTGGCTTCGTCGACCATCGGAGCAGCCCTGGCGGGTTGACCTCGTCTCCTGCCAGAGGCGCATGAAACATCATCCTCCATGGTATGCTCGGCTCATCATTCTCCACGGCGAAATCCGAAGCCCATGTAGGATACGAACAGGATGACCGGTTCTTGTGCGTGCGGGCCATGCCTCTCCGCCTATTTGTTCCTGCTGCGCCTCACTTCACACGATCCGGAGGTCTACATGTTCAGGAGCGGCAGCGGTATCGTCGGCGGGCTCGCCTCGGCAAACATCTCGATGATGATCAAAGAGGGAGTTGTTCACGCCGGCGACTGGATGGTATGTCTTCCGGTGCAGAATGATGTGTCCTTCGCTCACAGAAATATCTGGTCGTTTTCATTGGAGGACAAGAAGCCGGCATCCACTGGAAGAATCTCACAATCGGGTCCGAGCCGTGGCGAGCCGTGTACGGTAATGGGGACGGGCCGGTACTTGCCATGCATAAGCACGTCATTCCTGAACGAAGGGCGCGAGGCACCCGCAGCCGTCTTTCATGCGCGACCTGAGGAAGCCCGCGGTTCGGTGGTCGATGGAAAGCCTCGAGAACCAGGCACACCTCGCACACCTCTGGTTCTTACGTTCTCCGTGTTCACAACGCAATCCAGAACGTTGAGTTGTTGTTGTTGGGAGAGTCTGCGCCTGCGTTTACTCAATAAACCCTACATATAGTTGGGGCGAGAAAGTCTACGATGACACGAGGTTGGCGCGCGTCGATGAATATTATTTCGTCTAAATGACCGTCGCCAGGGTGCAAGTTGCCTAGGCCTAGTCGATCACTCTGCTTATTGTTTTCATGCATGTGCGTCGTGTCCTCGCCACAAATCGTCGCCACGACGAGGCGATGTTAATGGTAATTCGATGAGTGCCAAAATACATGAAGTCGTACGATGTCTTCGTCAGGACAGGTTCCGGGTCCTCCGGGTATCTCTCTAGCGTATGTCCGACAAGCTCGAGGATCGAAGTCGAGGAGAACTCCAGAGGCGATGCCCAAGATCCAAACCCGGGTGACATTCACGAGGAGATCGAGCGCATAAAGAGCGACTGCCCGAAGGCGTTTGGCCGTCGTTGCGAGCGCTATCCGGTGCTTGCGATCTTCCGGTTGGAGACGAGTGATGTCAGCTTCCTTCTTACATAGCCCAGTAGTAACTACTGGACACTCACGATAATCGAAGTACGGTATACCAACAGTTCCGTGTGTCTTTTGTATAGGTCATATGAGCGGGAATCTGCTGATGCGCATGATTTACCGCCAAAGAAGCAGCAAGCGCATACCTAAAACTGGTCGGGGTTGCACTCCGTGACTTCGATAACTGGTCGCATCGGTTTGTGCCGTAGGGATCTAGGAAATTCTACTCTTGGTTGTTACGCAACCCCTTTACGCGACGGTCGAAGCTGCCTAGCTCGCGGTTGGATCGAAACCGAGAGCGCATAAAATGGCGCTTCGATGGTCGACGCGATCCTCGATGTCACATAACGAAGTGGTGTTCATGATTGAAAGTGATGTCGGTACGAGTAAGTAGATCCTGACTGAGCCAGATTCGAATTTGAATTCAGAAGCGTTGAGCGGTGCAATTGGCAACGTTGCGTGAACTTGCAATCGGGGATCCAGCACGGGCGGTCCTGCGACGTCCAGCCAGACGAGGTTCGACTATGCATTGTCATCAAGACGTTCAGGCATGTTACGTTGACTTGACGATATCGCCAGAAATGCTTATGGCGATGGCCCCCTCAGGTTCGACGTCAAGCGCTGGCGGTCTTCCAGGGCTAAGCTCGAAAAGGACACTTCCATGCAAGAACGCAGGAGAAAGCTTCGATTGGTTGCCAGCAGGCAGGCCTGGCCGAAGATAACAGCAGAAAGGGGGGCGGCATTGTGCTAACGAGGTCGCACGCACGTATGACGCCGCTGCACTTAAACCGCGTAGCCACGCCGCCACGGCCACTGAACCATGTCCCAATTGCACCCGTACCCGCACGCGCGTCATCCCCAGCCCCAGTCCTACGCCTCGTCCGCCGTCGTCGCTGCCCAGCAAGGCGAGCTCGACACCAGCTGGTTCGTCCCCGAACACCACCATCCGGCCACCTCGCTCGGTCCCGCAGGATACGTCCCACCCGCAGCGGATGCTTCGCAGAGCTATGGCAGGCAGCAGGCGCCCAGCAAACCTCGCAAGAAGAAGATAAGGGAGCGCATCGCCTTGGACGACAGTCAGCCACCGACGACGCAAGGGAAACCTCGCCAACGAGTGTTCCTAGCGTGCGTGCAATGGTGAGTCACCGTGGGGATGGTTGACCGAGGGGTGTGCGCTCATCGACACCCTGCCAGCCGCAACCGCAAGGTTCGCTGCGACGGTGCTCGACCGAATTGCTATAACTGCTCAAAGCGCGCTGCGGAGAGGGAGAAAGCACACGAGGAGCCCGAGCCCGAGTGCTCGTACGACGCCGTCCCGAAACGTCGTGGACCGGATCGAGACCCCGGAGCGAGGCAGCGCGTAAGCAGAAGCGAGGGCGAACCTGGTCCAGTGCGCAGAAGACGACGCAAGCCGGAGGACAAGACACCGTACCAGAAAGACGGACAGTCATTATCCCCACCAGTCGGTGAACCCGCGCCCATCATCCGACCTCCATCGCCGCCTCGGCTGCATGTCACGATCCCATCTCCCCCAGCGCCGAGGTCGGCGTACGCTGCGCCACTGTCGGCGTTATCCTCGTCGACATCTCCTCCGTCTACGCTCGCCACCTTATCCTCGTCAACCCTGTCGATGGCTTCGGCTACATCAACAACAACGTCGTACGGGCGAACCCCGAACACGCAGACTTTGCCATCGGTCCTGACAAGTGACCGCGGACCTATACAGGCTACCGGGCATGTGTACTATCCTCCTTTCGTCGTCGGTTACGGCCTTCCTGGGGTGCCTGGTGCGAAGCTGTACGACGAGGAAGACGACGCAAGCCAGGATAGCTATACAGGCTATGTTACCCAGCCGGCCGATATATCTGGCATAGCATTCGACCCGTCGCTCAACTTCGCACGGAAGACGTGGTGGGACGCCCTCGTCGAGCTCTACTACGCGCCAGAACAGTTCCGTCGTGTCCCTGGTCTGCCGATGATGACGGCCTCTCAACGTAATGCCGCAGCGACGGAGATCACGATGGATCTGCGATTCATATTCAGATCCTCCAATTACTGGTTCTCGTTCCTGCATGTTCCGCGCTTCTTCGCTGCCTATTTCGATTCGAGCTCCCGAGCCTTCATGCAGCCGAGCTTGATACTGAGTTTACTCGCGGTTTCTACCCTCATCCAAAGCTCGGAGATCCGCAAAGGACGGCAAGGTCGAGAGAAAGCGTTGCGCCTGAGGGAAGAAGCCCAGGGTGCACTAGAGGCAAGCATCAATGCTGGATGGCTGGACGTATCGCTCGTCCAGGCCGCCTGGGTATGCAAACCCGTCCATTCTTTGGACTTCTGCTCATGTTCTTCCTAGCTGATAGCCATGTTTGAATCGTGCCCGCACCCGTGGGGGACGAAAGAGCGTGCCGCTTCGGCTATGAAGGTGCTGGACGGCCTGATTCGGACACTTGCACTCACCTCCGTGGATATCGACGCTGTACAGCAACAGACCCAACAGCGGCAACACATCGCTTCTCCCATTGCATCGCAAAGGAATATTCAACACCAATTGTCACCTCACGCGCGGTCCCTAGCGACGCCGTTGCGTCCTGTAACGGTAGCAGCTACGCGTGGGTGCAGATGCGCCGTTCTGACTCTCGGCGCGAATTGGGAAGGCGCACGAGAGCATACTCCTTTGTGGCTTAACACGCCGGCGTGGGATTCGCGTTGGTCCGAGTCCGAGATACGTCGCGAGGAGTGCAGACGGATTTGTTGGACGTCGGCGACGCTCACTGCATCCCATGCTAGCTTCGAGCACGCGAGTCGTTTCAGGAGCTCGGACCTCTTCATGGCGGACCCAGCCAATGTGCGTATTATACGCATATTCATTACTCGATTGTCCGTTGACACTTACGTAATTGTGAATACAGTTTGCCGTGATGTTCTCGGGAGAGTCGTTGCAACCCTACGGCGATCAAGGGCCGGACACAATATGGGCGCTATCAGATCGTGCTAGTCTGCTCTGGAGCCAATGCGTACGTCGAAGGGGTGACACGTCTATGTCGGACACAGAGAAGGCGCAATACGCTATGAGCACCTGGTTGGAGACCGAAGCCATCGAGGAGGCGCTGAATAGACACACCTGTGAAATTGAGAAGTCATCCATGTATCACGCTCGCGAAATCCTGTTCAAGTAAGGGCGCACAGCCTCACCCCCACTGCGCTTACCCACTGATTCATTACCTTCAGCACTCGGATGTGCATATCATACGATTATCAACGTTTCATCCCGCAAGTGTTCAGGTATGTATCTTATCTTTACTGCACACAGTTGCTGATTTCGCGAACGTTCAGTGGTTTTGCTCCACGCGCGAAAGCACAAGAATGGCGTAAGTCTTCGTTCTCGAAGCTCGCGTGTTCCTTGTTTGCTGATCAGCTCCCTAGTCTCACGCCAGGTCGTCGTGTCGAAGAACGTCGTGTTCAATCTACATCAAGTGACGGGATTCGCGTCTTCTGCCCTCGCCCTCCGCCCTTTCTTCGTGTACTGGTTTATAGGCCAGGTTTCTCGGTAAGCCCCTCGGTGGCCACATAGTACGCATTTCATTAACAATATCGCAGCGCATTGACGCTATGGTCGTACGATCACTCCCTCTTGGTTGCGCTAGAGGTCTGCAAAGGTATGCTGGAGCCTATCGAGTATCTGTATGCTCTATTCCCCTCTCCAAGTAAGTCGGTCTCTGCACTTCGGCGTCGCACGATTGACGAGTTGCAGTCCTTCGCAGACGGATGGAGACTATCAAACAGCAAACCATCAACGCTTGCGTAGCCGCGGGCGTGACTCCACCTTCACCCGTGGATCTTAGCAAGCTGATTCCTGGTTATCGCGTTCCAGGTCCGTGAAGGATGCGTGGATCGATCTCCTATCACGCGTACCTCCGTTCTCTGTCGTGCCATACCTCATCACCTCGTCGGCAACTTTTTTGTCGTACGTTGATGGTTACTCCGCCCAGCCTATCTACCGATATCTTTCCCCCATCCCCTCGTTCATCATCGGCTTCTCATACACGCATTTCAACATTTATTTCTTCACCTCAATAGAGTCATGTGACCTCATCGATGTATATGTGTACGCGCATTCCTTTTGGACAATCATTCTATCATACCTCATGCAGCCTCATGCAACGGCAATCGACAATATTCCCTCCGTGATAAATTTGACCGATTCTCGGGATCCGGATGAAAGGAATTCGCAGAGGATATCCTAGGACCCGCAGACTTGAGCCACGAAACGTCAATGTGTTGCGTCACCGTGCACCACAGCTGCTGTGGGTATGCGTGCCAGTGTCGGCGCCGTCGAGCACACTTATCGTTGGAACACGACAGTGACAACATGCTGAGAGCTCTCGGAAAGCAAACTAGCGTGATTGCCCGAGTTCGCGCCTTCAGTACGACGACCCCGACGCTCACGACGCCTGCTACCCCCTTTTCGTTCTTGCCGGCCAATTCTTTGGCTCTGAAACCAAAGAATGCGGGAACGGGCCTCAGTACGTGATCGACTATTCCTACACATCATGCTCTCTCTGACGTCTCCATAGGCATGAAATCGCGCGAGTCTGGCATCACCGAGATTCGGGGTCCTTACTACGCGCCCGTCACAAAGACATACTTAGACGAACTCCTCGGCGACTGGGGTTGGTTGGACAGCTGCGTATGGGCAGGAGCGGTGACTGAGCTAATACTACAGGCGAATATGTTGACGGTGTCAAATTTGCTGGAGGTGCATTTAGTCTCATGCCGGAAGACCGACTGAAAGCGCTTATAGATGTAGCACACAAGTAAGTATCCGAAATCTGAGGCATACATATTACTTACGATGTTTTATGCAGACACGATACGTATGTGTCTACTGGCGGCTACATCGAACGCGTGCTAGCAGCATCCGCTGGGAACAATAATGTTGTCGAAAAATACGTGAAAACGTGCCGCGACATGGGGTATAAGGTCTTTATTGCATGTGGGGGATTCCATTAACCCCATATGTATGCAGATTTGACGTCGTTGAACTTTCATCTGGCTTCTTGTCGATTCCGACGAAGGATTGGGCCGAGTTGATAGCTCTCGTCACCAAGTATGGCATGAAGGCTAAACCTGAGGTCGGGATCCAGTTGTCATGAACGCTTAGTAATGACACGCAGAATAGAGTAGAACCTTGTAGAAGGCGCTGGAATACGCCTGAAGGTTCTAGGACTTGTAGTGACTCAGGTTATGACTCGACTGTGACTCATAAGGAACATTGTAGAATAGTATAGAACGTTATGGTAGGTACTGGAAGGTTCTAGTACAGTACTTGTATAGTAGTATATAAGACGCTAGCTGAAGTCGATGGACTTCAGCTCGTCCATCTGTTATACACGCCCTTAGCGCTATAACGATTGACGGTTCGGTTACGGCCTTTTAGACTTAAGAACTAAGACACCGCTACCTACAACAACCCACCACACTCGACCTAGTGCGTCTAGAGTCCGAACTCTCACGCCTAAGTCACACGACACAGCCTAGACTACAACGACAGACTTTACGCCAAGTCTAAC